GGTCGCGCAGCCACTTCTCTCTGCTTACCTTCCATCGTTTGCGCCAAAAGTTGTTGGACCGCATGTTGCGTGGGATATTGTCTTGAAGGTGGTTGCCATCCTGCTGATCCGAAAATATCCCTTTCGACGGCATCTCGAACAGCAAGTCCATACAAATCCGTTCTTCCCGGTCCTGAAGATCTCCACAAAGTCACCATCTCTTCCATTTTATTCTTCGTCACACCATCTACCTCTCGATACGTACGCATGTAAAGTCGGGGTATGATAGGAGGTAACAAATCGGTTGTATATGGTGCTCCACAATTCTTTGATATCGAATCTAGAAGATATAGCAAGGGTAATTTCCCTTGAGGTGGTGCCTGCGACGATATCAGATATGAAAGAATATTAGTAATTGAAGAAAGAAGCTCACACGTAAGACGGCATTTTCTATCTCTTCCACCACCGCTTGCATCTTTGTCCAATCACCAGCATCCCTTTGGGCGGAAGCGAGCATAGATAAATCCTGGATTATAGGTCGAGAGTTGAATGTGAGCTCTCTCAGTCGATCTGCATAATACGCTCTGAATGGGTCGACGACGGGTGGAGGAGGGTAAAACGGTGGCGGTGGCGGGGGAGGGTTGGCATAGTGAGGATAGGCGCCGTAAGACATCTTTTCTTTTCTCCCTTTGAATCTTTCAGTCGATAATCTTCAAAAAGGTGAGGCGAGTTATAATAATAGTCAAGTCGAAAGCTGAGAGAATTGTTTTCAGTGAGGAGAGTTAGGTCAGAAAAAAACAACAGTCTGTCTAATATGATTATTACCCGATAAGAATGACTTTTTTACCTGAAGACGCCACCAATGATTATTTCGCTCACGATCTGACCTGGAACAAGATGGTGAGATATCACACTGTAGAATGCAGTATCTCTCTCTCGCAAAACTATCCCAAAGTCAGAAACATGTTCCACCGAGAGACATTACTATAAGAAGGAGTGAGAAACAGGTTGAAAGGTAGGAAGGAAACAACAAGTCAGCGTGTCGAGTTTGCAAACTCTATCGGGGATTCCGGAGTTTCATCTCAATGTGGCATGTGGCATTACCTCCACTCAGAGGTGTCCAGTCAACGACCTCTCATCTCTGGCAGTTTGGACGTTTCACTCCTCCGCACACACAAACTTTGAACCTAAGTCATGCCTTCCAAATGGGTACCACTAGAGTCTTCCCCAGAGGTGAGCTCTACACTATCAATATCACCCTAGGCTACCCGTAATGGAAGTCACACTAGCTGATCAAACAGATATTCAACGACGTGAGTTATTTCCAACATCTCCAAAACTGACGTCAGTGGGCTCGATCTCTCGGTTTACCACCTTCACCACTCTCTTTCCAAGATCTCTTCTCTCTGGATGTAGAGTTTCTACAGTTCATTCCAAAACCGGTCAAAGCCGTTCTCTTGCTATTCCCTTCAAGGGGTGAGCTACACGAGGCTCGGAAACGTGAGGAAGCCTCGGGAGAGGGTGAGTGGGATGGCTCTGGAGTATGGTGGATCAAGCAGACAGTAGGTCCTTTCGCTTTGTCTACCCTCTCGAGTCTTATTTTAATGCATCATGTCTACAAGTCTCCCTCGATCGTCCTGCATGTTGCGACAATTTCGGATACTAACCGCCTGGGCGAATAGCGTAGTGACCGCATGAAAAGGATACTTGAGTAGACTCCTGACATCCCAGATCCCGAATGCCTGCGGATCCATAGGTCTCCTTCATGCGCTCCTGAATCTCCCATCCGAAGGTGCTTATGCGCTCACACCTGACTCTCCTCTTCTACGATTCAAAGAAGCCTCTTTGCCCCTTTCTCGTGAGTTCACTCTGATATAATCACTAGGCGAACGCGGCGCTCATGGGACAGCCCTGAAACGTGCGGAATTACTGGACACAGCCGACTTCTTCGAAGCTGCCCATAAAGCTGCCGCTTCCTCTGGCCAATCCGCCGTTCCAGAAGATCTAGACGTCGACACTCACTTTATCACTTTCATTCAGGCCTCGAACTCTAAAGGGTGAGGACGATGATCTCGCGTATGGACGAGCTGATCGAATAGAGAAGAAAGGGTAGTGGAGCTGGACGGTAATCGAAGCGGGCCGTTTGATCGGGGTTCATGTTCCGATCTGCTCAGGGTAAGTTGGTGAGGTATTAAGCCGCTGAGCTGATGATACAGGATGTTGCCAAGATCGTCCAGGAGAAGTATATGGCCAGAGCAGGGGGAGACGTCAATTTCAATATGATTGTCTTGGCCGGAGAAGAATGATCACGAAATGTCATGACCGAGTGTTCAGCGACAAGCTTGTGCATACAACCAACATGATCGATTTATGAGATGTACACTTTGCGTAACTTTGTGAATTGGCACGTTTCTTTGGTCCGAGGACAAGTCACAATTCCAAAGTTATTCTTCGCCATTGCGGCAAGGGCCTACTGGTCAGTTTCACTCTACATGAACATTCCGCTACGGGCTACAGGTACAGGGAACTGTAAAGGAGTACGCAACTCACATTGTAAGAATACACGTATCCGTTTGGGAAAGCCATCGGACCATTCTGACTGTCCATAACCTCTCCACTTATCCTACACACAATGGTAGAGTTCATATGATGACTCAGCGGAACTTCAGCCGCCAACACCTTCATATTTTCTGCACATGTGGGACAATCGATATTCCCAGATTGATCCACTTCCTTCTCTTTTTCTTTCCTGTTCTCATTCTGTCCCAAGTTTCCCCTGACTGCAGCTAGGATAGAATCCAATGACATGGGAGCATCTCCCGCAGGTAAACCTAAAGCAGCATCAAGACCGTGTATGGACATGGAGCCCGATGGCAATACAGGGGAAGAAGTTGATCTCGTGGGTGATGCTGGCTTGTATGGTGCGCAAGCAGGTACACGAAGGGAAGATAAACCCGCTGAGAGTGAGAGTGCGAGAAGAGATTGAGAGGGTAATGCGTAGAGTGTGAGGAAAGTATCTCTGAATTGAGCTCGAACAAAGTCCCAACGAGAAGGTTCATATAAAGACTATATGGTCAGCAATTATCACTTTCCGGCGACGAAAGCAGCTCACCCTGTATACATTGACACCTGTCCGTTCACCAAAGGCTAGGAGAGTCATGGCTTGACGTAACTCCACCATGTGTGTACCAGCCCACGGGGACAGACTCTTGCGGGAATAGGCGATAGCTCCGGCTATATCTCTTTTCCGACACAACTCGATGAATTCTTGCATTCGCAGAGTGAATTCGAGATTATTCTGTCATATGAGTACAAATGAGTGGTGGTGAGAGCATTGACTCACTTTGGTCTTCTTGAGAGTACCTCGGTTTTCTCCACACCACGCGAGTGCTTCAGTGCATGAATGTCTCTCCAGCAGGGCATTTTCAATCTTGACGAGTTCGGCAAATAGTTTGATATCGCATAGATGCTATTGATCAGCTTTCGATTGGAAAATGTGAAGTTTTGTGGTAGAGGTAGGATGTTGAGATGATGAGTTAACGTCAGAACCAACCTCAATATTCTCTTTCTCGGCTAGAGCTCGAGCAGCTTTCATTCGTCCAGACCGGAGGAGATAATCAACAATGAATCTATCCAAAGTCTTGTCGGCCTCGCCCCCTTCTTCCCTATGTCATCAGACAGTGTTTGACTGAGTATGAGTATTACTCACAAAACAGGAGGCGTAGAAGTTCCTTTTACGACCACTTCAACTTCCATGGGCCCATCATGATCTCTGTCCACTCCTATCACTTGACCTCGCGTCTCCTCTTCCTCCTTCATTTCCTCCCCTACATTCCCATCCCGAATTTCCGGATTTGATTCCATAGGAGTATCTCCATCTTTATCCACTATAAGGTCCGGCTTTGTAATATCCGTTGCATCCTTCGTCTCCACCTCTTTGATCTCCAGGGTGGCGCTAGCCGCTGTGAGTTTATCCAGATAAGCCAATCTCCTGGCTAAGGGTGTTGGAGTTATCTCATTTGGTTGTAGATCATCCAGCTTTATGTCAGGTATCAAATACAAAGAAAAGACAGGGAGGAGATACCTTTCGTCTGAGACCTCTGATTCGATCGGTAGCTTGATCAATCTTGTTCATTGCGGTAGCTATGACTTCTTCCCCTGATGACCCTTTGGATAGACTTTTCGTCAGAGATTGTAGTAGGGTCTGATAATAAACTAGTTCAACAACAGATCACACAAGCTGGGGAAAGCGGACTGACCTGGACAGCTATGAAATCTTTTTCCACTTGCCGCTGGGCTGAGCGATGGGACCGACGGAGAAGCTCGTATGGTGTCTGAAGCTCGCGTCAGTAAATGAGTGGCAGTGATACCGAACGAGCTTACGCGTATGAGAGGTTCTTCGAGTAGCATGTTGCTAGTGCTACTTGTCGAGGCGTTGACTGGCATGGTGAGAGATATGAAAGATGATGAAATAGAGTAGACGGCAAGAGGAGGAAGTAAGTTGTTACTTACTTAGGGTATGATCGAGTTGTCTTTGCTCCTTTCGGCGTTATCCGCTTAACCAACTTCCACTCGTATTGTCAATCAAGTGAACTTATACCGTGGACGGGAAGTCTCAGGTTGTCTGTTGCCACATGCCTTGCCCAAAATGTCCAAGTGATTCAACCTTGTGTGTTTCATCTCTCTCTCTTTTTCAAAATGAGTGCTGAACACAACTCTCTACTTCCTGATGAAACAAGCGACGAGCTTGATGATTCCTTCCCAGGGAACATGATTACTCTTCTTCCTCTACTCGATCAGGTCCGCATTCCAAACCCTACTGGCAAGAACGGCAAGCTAGCTTCACGTGAGTGACACATGTTGAAAGTAACTTGGGAGACTAACGTCTACCAGCTGAATACTCAGAGGATCTCTGCAGTGCTATGGAGAAGTATTATTCTGAAGGAATGACAAGTTGGCAGGCAATAAATGAACGACTGAGACAGGAGCATGGCAGCAATTTTGGGTACTTCTCCACTCAGTCTCTGGTTCCAATGCTGATTCTAGGTCACGAGCAAGCTTCTTCCGTGCCACCAAGTTCTTTGGGCTTGGTACTTCTCGCAAAAGCACCCTGTCAACTCAGGATGTTGCTCAGGTGATGCAGGAAGAGCTGGAGGAGGATCTCAATCAGGTTATTGGCAAACGAGCAATGAAACATCGCCTGGCACTTCGAGGATTCCTCATTCCCCGGTAGGTTGATCATCTATGTCTCTTAAAGGTCAGCTGTAACAAAATAGTGACCTTGTTTATAAAGCAATGAAAGAATATGCCCCAGAGGGTCTACAGTCACGTCGTCCGGGCCACAAGAAAGTTCCTCGTTTTCCCATCATCTCTGTTGGTCCAAACGAACAATGGTCTATTGATGGCCATGACAAGCTGTCATCATATGGGATTGGGATTTATGGAATCAGGGATGTGTACTCAGGACGCCTTCTGGCTCTCCAAGCAATGCCATCCAATCGGAGGAGTGAAGATGTGCATTGCATCTTCGTCAATACCGTTTTGAAGGCTGCAGGTACGTTGCTTTTGATCTCTGGTCATTGACCTCCTCACTCACGGCAGGAATTCCCTTACAAATTGCAAGTGATCGTGGTTCAGAGATTGGAGAGGTGATTGCATCACAAATAGCATTTCGGTACGTCTATCAATTATCTTCATATGACAACACAGACCTGACAGCTTAGAACAACATACTCATCCATCTCACTTGAAGACGTGTTTCCATACAAGTTGCTAAAGAGCACTCACAATATTACCATTGAACGATCTTGGCGAAATGTTCGTGAGAATGTGGTTGATCAAGTCAAGGCTGCTCTTCACTCAGCCTATGGTTCTGGTCTGATTCATGACGGTGATCCAGTGCATCAGTGAGTTTCAACTTCCTTCTTGCAAATTACTGATAGACAACAGGACACTGGTCAATTGGATTGTTCCACCAGTAGTTCAGCAGTGCCTAGACGATTTTGCTAAAGTCTTCAACTCTTATCCCGTGCGATATCAAAAGGAGAAGGCAAATCCCTCTGGTGCATCGCGGAATGAGATATACTTCAACCCAACACAATGGGGAGGGAGAAACTGCTTACAGAACTTCCCTGAAATCAGTGTCATTGAAGATTTCCAGGCCCAAGTCAGAGCTCGAGCCCAATTGGCATGGGTGTCTGAGGAGGTCCACAATATCTGCATGGGTGTTGTAGAACGGTCAGGACTTGTATATCCTCCGACTAATTGGGAAGCAGCTTGGTTTCTCTTCAGGGAGGTGGAAGTTGGTGCACGTGAACCGTTGCACCAGCTATGGCTGGAGATTCAAACCACTTGAATCTGCCACATATGCAAACTCCGATGAACATAAACCCACCAATGAGATGCAAAGTTTGCAGTTTACTCCTCACTCAATTACATTCCACTTTCAAAGTATACTTACATAAAGCATAATATCAAACAAACACTGAGAGGCTTGAAACAATGCCCTACACCTGTCGTGATTGTCATAAGTCTTTTGTGAAAGATTGTCTCCAGCTTGAGACCTGCCCAAAATGTCGAAAGATTGAGCAGGTCAGCACCAACCCCAAGGATTCTGACAAGAAGGATATTACCTACTATGAGGTGAGTACAAAAGTAGCTTAATTACTGCTGAACCTGTCAGTCTCGTCCTCAGTGCTTGACCTGTGGGATATTTGGTACACAGTGCTTTCTGAATGCACCACTGGAAGAAAAAGCAAATCCGGAACTCTGTGATAAGTGCAGGCGTGACAGTAAGTTGTTTATGTAGTGGGATAACTCAGCTGACCATGTGGATAATGCAGAATCTCTGGGAGCAAACCGTCAAGCTGCTCATGCTGGACTACAGGGAGCTGCTTTCAGGCAGAGTGTTCCCATGCCTCAGCAAGGGATGGCATCTGGTACTTGGGTACTTGATGAGCGTGCTCAAAGAAAAACAGCTTTGAAAGCAGGCTTGAACTCAAAGGGTCCAGCCATGCAAGTACGAATTCTGATAAGTGGTGTCACGAACTACGTCGTGACACCTCGATTACTCCACCAACAATGACCCTCCTTTGGCCATCAAAACCCCATCACGCCTTAACCTCTTTACTCTACACGTAACTCAGGACTTCTGACACCAAGTACGGCGAAGTTAGACGGAGTTAGGCTAAGTAGGGACAATGGGAGCAGAAGTACGGCGAAGTTAGACGGAGTTAGGCTAAGTAGGGACAATGGGAGCAGAAGTACGGCGAAGTTAGACGGAGTTAGGCTAAGTAGGGACAATGGGAGCAGAAGTACGGCGAAGTTAGACAGAGTTAGGCTAAGTAGGGACAATGGGAGCAGAAGTGCGGCGATGTTAGGCGGAGTTAGTCGAAGGAGGAAGAGGATGGCCGAGGGCTTGGGGAAGTTGGACGAAGTGCATTGAAGTACGTCAAAGCGCGAGAGGGTTGGATGAACGTCTAGGAGGAGTAGATAATATTAGCTGAGAAGATCGCTGAAGTTCTTCAGCGATCCTTGATTGTTGTCAGTAGTAAAAGACAAATAGAGATAGCTATATACAAATCGAGATACATCGCCATCAGTAGAACAAAACCCCAGTTAGAGTAACTACGCCAAAGTGCGCCGTAGTTACACTCCTTTCGACGTCTGCGCCCTCTCGGTTGGGTGAGACATCGACTCAGGAGCGTCAAGTTAGCCGAGGTTCGTCGACCGTCGGTCTGCCAGAAGATAGTTGTTCGACGGCCGTGACAAGTGGGTACTCCTATGGTATCCTTCCCTTGTAGACTTCAATGACATACAGTCCATGATGGGAAAGCACAAGAATGGAATCCAGCCGTCTTTGATTCCCTATTTGTGGGCAATTGGAAAGAGACCCTCAAAGTAAATTTGGCGAAGGCTCTGGAACTTGGCCAAGCAATGTGGGAACAGGGAAAAGGGGAAGAGGAGACCGGACTTACTTATGATCAGTGAGTGCTGCTCAAGAGTCATGGGTGTGTGCATTGACCGACAGATGCAATCCCCGTCCAGCGCTGCCCAATCAAAAGAATGAGCCAATTACTCCTCCCGAGGATTTGCTTCCCCTCAGCTTGCATGAATTTTACACGACATATTGCAAGGTAAATCGACTTTACCTTGTGAAGAAGGATACAGAGCAAACTGGTTTTATTCGAATATTCTTGCTTTTGACCATAGATGAGAAAGTAAGTTTTAATCCTGTGTTTCAAAAGTGGAGTCACAGAGCATTAACCTTGCAGAACACATACAAACTTCCAGAGCCCACTCAACAAGTGGTCCATGAACACCTATCTCATAGTCCACACCAATCAGTCACATCTGCTTCGCGTCTTTCTCGACGTGCAGCTTCTGCCCCTTATGTCAGATCCTTGACCAATACCAGCAACCATTCAAGTATTTCAATGACAACAGGAAGAACCAAGACCATAGCTACCGGACAAAATTTGGCACCAATCAGTAATCTGTTTGCCGGGTTCCGAGTGTCAACAGCGGCATTACAGAATAATGGTACCCTAAGTGAGTTGTTCATTGATCATGGCAAGTAGTTGATGACCCCAGGCCGTATGGCCAATTCTATCTCCCAGTCACATGGTTCTATCTTTGAGTCTATACAGTACATCAAGACTGTCTTCCAACATAGGGATGATGGAACTTTGTTTGCGGTTCAGAGTGCTCCTGAGACTGGATTACTTGCCAACACGCCCTTTGATTATGGCAGCCACAAACAGGCATTCGAGGTTGGTGACATTGTTTGATGTTAGGAGAGTGGCTGATGATGTGCAGTTTTGACATAATGATATTGACCTTGTGGCTAAGAAGCACTTCCGATTTGATAAGAAAGTATGGTCACTTGCAACGATGTCAAAATCAATCAATCAAACACTCCTTGAAATGGAATGCAAGAAAGCCATCCTCTTGGCCTCATACCTTGAGGCGTTTAATGAACTGCTCCAAGAGACCTATCAAGAATTGGACCTACCAAAGCTCATATACACGCCATGCATCTTCATCAAGCTGATCTCTGGAGAAAACAGTGGAGAAACTTTCATGGTGGAGCCTGATCTTCGTCGTGCGGGAAGCTATATCAAGATCAACAACACTGATGAGTTCATTCCTCCAGATGAAGACGAAATCAAACTCGAGCATCAAAGGTTGTATTGCTTCATGCATGCCTTCACACATTTTGTCTTCCATCGATCTGTCTATGGCGCCAAGACCGTGGAGGCACGAGAGGCAGCAATGGTAGTCATTGCTGATATTCAAGGTGAGGATTTTATTATTTGAAACCAGAACGCTGATGGCGGCTAGGGTTCCTTACACCACCTGCGGCTGCGTCCCGGAAACAGAGACACGGATCTGTAGATTGTGGACAATTTCATCTGTTTGATCTGGTCACTCATACGTGAGCACACCTGCCTGCAGTCAATTGTAACTAATTGGAAGTGCTAGGGGCGATTCAAGCATGGGAGATGGAGGTGCTGGGATGCTCAACAGCTTCATGAATGCACATGTGTGCGGGGACGCCTGCAAACAGCTTGGATTGGTGACAGCAAAAGGCCATCAAAAATCCTTTCCTCGACCACTGAAATTCGTCCCTTGACGTGCTATGCCATGGTGGTTCCAACAAGCGGAGAAGGATCATGAAGCAAAACTCAAGGCCCAGAGCTCTGCAAGTACTAACAATGCGGTGAGTGTTCCACTTCAAGTGTTATCAGTGACTGATAGTATATAGACATCACAAGGTACGGAAAATGAGTCAAGCAATATGGTGCAAGAGCCACGCGAAGGTGCGGAGGTGGATGATGAACTTGTGGGAGATGAGTCGGGCATCTGAAGTCTGTCCGGAGTTATGGTACGTCCTGTATTTACTTGCAAGATAGCCTGCTAATGCTAGAGGACAAAAAGCTGGCAGTGAACCTCTCAATCAAAAGAGCAATGAATGTATGTGCTTGAATTTGGAATTCATTGCATAAATTGCACGATAACAGGGACAACAGGGAACAGGGAACACTGAAGGGAACACTGACGGGACTGATGTTCGGTTCAAATTGACAAAGTGCCACACTTGAAGTGCCACATTCAAAGTGCCAAAATGTCAGGGCCCTTGAATATAATAACCCTGCTTGCGCTGTTCCCCGAAAAGTCGTACTAAAAAATTTGATGTCTTACACAGCTTACAAATATTTGACGGGCAACCCTGAGACAGAGACACTGTTGACTTCACCTCTTCATTGCGCTCCTCGTTGGTATACCTCAATATGACTAGAAACCGTAACAAAGCTTATCGTCAGCACCAGAATCGACTGGAGGATGGTCTTCTCCCCTTCCCACCCCCAACTCAATTCCGGCACACCCTTCATTATCCCTCCATTCTCTCTCCTGTTGGTCTTTCTGTTGATCTTTTTATCTCTCTATTCTACCAAAAGCAGTCCATTTTATCACGTTCAAGTCATCTCCTCATCCCAAACCCAGAGTATCAATCTCAGACCTTGTCTAGCTCGCTACCCTGCTATGCGGCATTCCGACTGCGTGGTGTGATCTCAAAAGATCAGCAAGAAACTCTCTACACATCGGTGGGAAAGGTATGGGATGTTGGCCTTAGATCACACACAATAGCTTCTAGAGGTGCCGGATTCCATCAGTGGTGGTTTGGTGTGTGGTGTAGGTATGCCAACCACAGTGTTGTCTCGGCCGACTCTCGACAGAAGGGATCTCAGAGCGAGGTACTTGAACTCCTGAAAGCGTTTGATGGAATCTTTGGAGACAAGCCGAGAACAATGCTTCATCGTCTTGATAAGAAGGTCGCAATTTCAATGGCGCATAATCACTGGCGTGTTCACAATTATTTGAAGGACTTGAAGGAGAAGTTCAAGACAACTTCAACCCCGACTCCATCTAGTTTCCGGAAAACAGCTGAAAGTCTTGACAGTACTCACTCTCAAGCCACAGCAATCAGACTTGGGGGGATGGGTATGATGCTGGCAGTATCATGGGGAGAGGGAACGGAATGGCATGTAGATGCTAAGGACTATGGTGAGCCCAGTTCGCAGATGTCTTCGATAATGGTCATGACTAAGAACTAGGCAACCACTATACAATCATATCAGTCCTCACATCTCCTGCACTGCTTCACCTACCCGAACTCGGATGTACCATCCTCATACACCCAGGGGATGTTGTTGGCTTCTTGGCACACCGTTATCTTCATAAATTAGAACCAGTACCACTCGATACCTCAGCGTCAGTTGGGACGTTAGCGGTTGGAACGACAGGGAGCAAAGGAAGCGTAGGGAGCCGGGGAAGCGTAGGCAGAAGCGTAGGGAGCAAAGAGGGGGAAAGCGTAGGGAGCGAAGGGGGGGAAAGCGTAGGGAGCGAAGGGGGGGAAAGCGTAGGGAGCAAAGGGGGGGAAAGCGTAGGGAGCAGGGGAAGCGTAGGGAGCGAAGGGAGCGAAGGGGGGAAAAGCGTAGGGAGCGAAGGGGGGGAAAGCGTAGGGAGCGAAGGGGGGAAAAGCGTAGGGAGCGGAAGGGGGGAAAGCGTAGGGAGTAAAGGGGGGGAAAGCGTAGGGAGCAGGGGAAGCGTACAGAAAAACGTAGGGAGCAGGGGAAGCGTAGAGAGCAGGGGAAGAGTGGGGAGCAGGGGAAGCGTAGCAGCTGGAACCTCAACAACTGGAACCTCAGCGGTTGGAACAACAGAGAGCGCAGAAAGTGCAGGGAGTGGGGGAAGTGTAGCAGTTGGAACCTCGACGGTCGGGGCAGCAAGTAGTGGAGGAGACATAGGGGGTGAAAGAAGTGTAGACGTGACACCCAGGCGGCAGGTGGTTTTTACTTGTTGGACAGACAAGAACACTCAAGCTCGCATGGCTGAGTATCGTCATTTTCATCAAGTGGTATTGGTAGATATGGAATAGGCTTTGTAGGTCATGAAAGTATGCATACTGATCACCATTCAATGAAAGAAGGTGTGTTGCAGTACGTCAGTGTATTGGTGGATGAAGGGGATGGATAGAGATCGGTGATCGGTGGGTGAGCGAAGGTAACCTGAGACTTCCCGGCCACCGTAACTTATGTACCTCTTGCACTTCAACTGTCATTCATCCTCTGATACTTCAGTACGACAATACGTCAAGCGGTATTTACAATCTCACTTTCTACTGACTTTCTAACCTAGGGTATAGGTCATGGTACTGGTTAGATTCATCAAGATATCGGACAAGTCGGTCAGGCTCCCTGTTCATCGACGATCTCGAAGACGAGGATTCTACTTTGTCAATACCGAACGCGCTGTTCCGCCAGTCTGACGAGACGGATACGGCCTCGATAAGTCGAAAATGTCTGCCATGACACAGAAGAGCAGATATAGGGGAGGAGGAAATCTGAGGTAGGAAGTGGCCATGACGCCTTAGCTTCGACGGAAGTCGTGAGTTCCGCGCAGCCAAACTTCCTCCCCCATGAAACCATGACACAGGGTAGATCAAGTATCGAAATCCACATCTGTAGCCGTGAATCGATTCCCACGTCCTTGACACCTTCCGATTCCCCCCTCTTCCTCGCGTTCATGTCATATATCGGGGACCTCATTGCTGATGAAGCAGGAAAAACTGACATTCACGCCGGCTCACTTTCGATGTATCCTGGCCGGATAGCGTGCCCTGGATTTTTCACCATCCTGAAGATACCTCAACTGCCGCCACAAGATGGGGCTGATTTCGCCATGGATAACTCGTCATGACAAACTTGCAAGATAGTCCATACTCTGTTACACATAAACTATTCACTTACCCAGCTTACTATCTTGACACCTGTACTTTCCACACGAATGTCTACTTCCTGTACTGACCAGTCGACTGGAGAATGAGATGCGTAGTGTATCTCGGCAGACCTGGTTTCAAGATGAAGAATACAGGTTTGTCGGAAACGGAGGAAGAGAAGGAATCGATCACGTTTACCGGTGGTTGGCACGGAGTGATAGTCCGTAAAAGGTCCAACTTGTTTCTTCCCATTATACAATCTTTTTCTCTTCTGATCTATCCTTTCGAACAGCTGAGCTGGATTCGATCTAGTACAGTTTGTAGGGTCACATCACTTTGAACCCTGCAAGCCAAGACAAAGGCAAACATCAGTTGGTTGCCATCAGCCAACTGACCAAAACCCCATCTGGGACATTCCTCATTCCGACTCTCATGCATTCTATCACTGTACCTCCTTCCAAGATTGAGCTCCTATTTTGTACTACAAATATGTGTTTGACCGAGAATCAGACTGCTTATGACAGCCCACTGTCAAGTGGCCATCTCTGAGAGCTGAACCAAGCGATCCCTGAACTGATCCACTACAGTATCTCCCTCACTCCCCTTGTTGTCCCCGTTGGCCAGTGAAGTGTGAGCAGTCAGTGCTGTTAGGAGCTGATGATGCATGGACACCATGTCTGTGCACACAATGATGTTTGACAGACTTTTGATCTTCTCAGCCTCTTTGCTGGTGACATTTCTGATACCGTTTAGTCCCTCCTTCCATTCCTTCACATATTGTTTAGCCCTCGAGGCGTTTTCACGGTCCAACCGGATTTCCTGAATACCGTGCCAAGCGTGGGACAGGTATAAAGGGTTGGACTCACAATAGAAACATCTGCTTGTATGATCCTTCTTGAGACTTCCCCATTCAATGACTTCTTGTGAGGGATCATATCCATCCTCCAGATGCATGAGACGACAAACAGACTCAACAGCACTGAACAGCAGATCCCAGGGGATACCGGTCTGCTCTTTGTCTCCTGTGCAGACTTGAGAGCCCCACTCCAAATATTTGAGGTGATATTCATATGATCCGGTGAACTTGCCAACACATGGTCGGCTCAACAAATCAACCAGAATCTTTGTTTCAGGTGGGTGAGGGGCCCCACCCCAAAGACAAGCTGTAGCTATCATTGCATCTCGAGTTGGGCAAAGAATAAGTATCGCCAGAAATTCACTGTCAAGCTGTTCTACTGCTTTGTCATAGGACAAAATTACTTCAGTACCGGAGGACATTTCTTTGTCTCGGTCGCCAGCACGGAATGGTATAGGGATAACTTTCTCCGCGGTGCCTGGTATAGGTTGTCCAGAAGTGGTATTCACATATGTGGGTGCCCTGGCCACATGAACATCCTGAACATCAATAACCTCAATAGCTGTGGTATTTGCTTCATTGTCAGTGGTGTTCACTTTTACATCAACGAGTTTGGCTTTGAGTGTCTCCAGTCTGGTGTAGTCCTTCCATAGGTTTTCAAGACTCCCATGGGCATGCTCCAAGGGTTGCATTGTGCGACCCCCATGTGACTGCACCAGTTTGCTGCAAAAGTTGCACTGGCTAAGGTGCCATTTTGACAGTTGGAACCCCGCATGATTCCTGCCAACCCTGACAGCAGCCTCAGCCCAGCAAGCAGCCTCAAGGACACAGTCTGGTACTCCGGTCAGGCCATAAGCCATAAGCGCCGTGTACCTTGTTGATGGTTGGGGAGATCCTCCGACTGATTCTTGGGCTAAACAAGCGTCTGACCTCTCAGACCATTTTTGATACTTTTGCGCGTACTCCACTACACCTTGCCATTCACATTTCACATTCTCATCACAAACAGTAGGAGCGTGGTCACTGCAATGATTGCTCAATAGCTCATTGTCACAGGAGTCTTCCGTGGACATTTATTATACCACTCACAATGAGCTGAGAATTTGGGTCTGCAATGGGAGAGTGATGTAGAGGTTGGGAGAGAGGGATTTGCAGCCCCCCTCTCTCATATCTGCCTGAGGGAAACCAGGAAGGCTATAGCCACTGTGTCTCCCTTCATCCACTTGCACAGCCCAGATCCTGATCAAAGGAGAAGTAGGAAGGCCCACCTTTCTCAACATCATCTCCCACACCATTCCTACCATATAGGGCTTGCAGGAAGTTGAGGAGGAGTGGACGGGTCCAGAGCTGGCCTCGGAACCCCAGGAAGCCGTAGACTCGAGACCCGCACGGATCAAGCCTGAACCCAACGATTGTGTTGGATTTCCTTTTTCACCGCAACTTCCCCTACGTCATCTATTCCGTACGATGGGAGTGTAAGCCAATAGAATCGGCTCGCAACGGTCACACTGTTTATAATATTATTCCCTCTTCTGTCGCTTTCCGCTCCGTCTTGTTGTCCTCTGAACTTTATTTGATCATCTCTGGTTTGCTGCGTATGAGCGGAATACAATGAGTGTGGAGAGATGTGGATTCGATGCAAACTCTTTCTCCCTCTGTATTATCATCTAATGATAACTAATGAGTTGCAAACAAAGAGGGACACAGTCTTCCAAGAGAGAATCAGATTGACATCACATCTATCGGGTCGGAAGGGGTGCAGTCGAATATCCTCACTTAGCGGTCCCCCTTCTACTGTCCGGTCTCCACTCCGGCATCAGACAACTATCCATATTAGTCCATCATTACTCAGACAAGTCAGTAGGATTGACGTAGGCAGCATGTTCAGCATCCTCGGTTCGGAACAAATTTTTCGGGCTCGATCCCCTTCATGTCATCACGATTAACTCACAAGGCTATCATCACGAGCACTCCGCACTCATGAAACCTATAATGTGGTCGAGGTTCGCTCGTCAAAATGTCCTGTACTCTGAGCCACTATCCAATCTATCCACAGACTGAAGTCCTCCGCTATCTTACGGGTGGTCATGGAGGTTCTCACTTGCTCCGTGCGGATACCTCTCAGTAAAGTATCCCAAGTTACTTTGGCCTCGACTGCTAGACGCTCTATGTCAGCCCGACAGGGAGCCGCGACGATACCCTCAAGCATGCTCGTGAGCTCAAGACGCAATTTAGTTTCCAGGTCCAATTCACGCTCAAGGGGTTTGCCGGTCCGTCTGTTCTGATTGTCGTTGGACGGTCCATCCCCGGTGATCGAGAGCGGGATGCCATTTTCGGGTGCAGTTGATATAACATTGACAAGTTCGGTTGAGCTATGCTGACACATACCGTGTGGAGCTAGACTTGACTGAGTTATCGCCGAGGCTACTTGGGCTCTCCTGTCTGAGACGGTCTGGTCGTCCTTACCGAGAGCGACAATATTGTCATAGGAGCGATGGAGAAACCTTGTGACCTTGACAGGGTCGGAAGTCATTGTGTGTTCACATGCTTTACAAGCGCCGAGATGGTCCAATCGGAAAGCACCATACCAGCTATCGCGGTAGGAGCGAGCAAACCCTAGAGGCGTCTCCCCAGGGAATCGCTCCGTCGCATCTTCCGCCAATGATACGAAACACCTAGAACGAGCGGCTTCCTCCAAAGGTCCGTACTCGTGGAGCCAGGGGAATGTCTTCTTCCTGTTTGCATAAGATATCAGCAGCCCGAATGTTCTGCTGCACATGCAGACCCTCTTTTTCACGGACCGTGATTTGGAGGGTCGTGGAGTGCGTGTGTTGCGGCCGGATGCGGGCCCTTTAGAATTGGACTCTTCTCGTTCCCCGCCCCCGAGTCTCGTCGACGTTACCGAAGAGTGATACGGACCTCCTGTCCCGCGATGGTGAGATGACTCCGTTCGGTTAAGTGGCATTCTCTGTTCAAGATGTTTTGAAGGACGTACAATTGAGATGTGAATAAGGAAGAAGAGTTGGGGAATTGGGTTTGGGTTCTTCATTTTTTAAACTTTTGACAGGTATGTCATAGATGAATGGATGGACCTACTCCACATTTTGCATTCCAAGTCCGATGAAATACAGGGAGAGGATCACCAATTCCCACGTATGTTTTCTTAGGCTACAGGGGAAGTTTCAGCTGAGACGAGTCAGCTAAATCCTACGATGTCCTATCAGGGTAGCTCAACTAGAGGGGTTTCATTCAATGATCCATCTCACATCTCCGCCGAAGGTGGGAGTGGGGGGGAGTGGGTAGAGTGAACTCACGATCGATAATCCCTGTCATTCCACGAATTCTAGAACTTTACGAGTTATCATCCTTTGTGAGACATTGCCTCAATGACTTCATGAGAATTCGTATTCGTGACACGTCACAGACATCACTATTTCGAAAGTTCGATCGACCTGGTCATCGGTCGTTGCTTTCCTTCGAAGGCGAAAGTTCTCGACCACGACAGTTTTTCCTGAATGACGATCTGTCTTGCTCCGACGTGTCGCAAGCTGCGTTATCCCAGTTCGTTCTTGGTCTATCAAGTCCGAAAGTCGTCTTGAAAATGCCTCAATGATCGGTTCGCTGACCCAGTGGGGTGAAGAGAGGATTGTGAGGGCTTTGAGGGAATGACAGGCGACTTGGTTGGTGACTGTATGATGAGGGGCACAAGGTGCTGTCTGGTGGCAAGAACAAGATCGGGGTTTGATTCGACTAAGGTATTCGGAGCGAGATGAGAGTATGTTCTTGAACCGGATCATGGTTCCCTAAGCAATAATATGAAACAGTGAGTGTAAACAGGAGTGTGAAATCAGATTGCCTAAGTTGGCATCGATAGTAAAGTGAGTTACCTCGAAGTTGACATACCTCATTCGAAACAGGATACCCACGGCTAGAAATACAACACAACTTCAATGGTCGAAAGCCTCATATGGCTGTAGACTCCTTCAGACTTTCCCTCAACCCCTGCTCCTCATCCGCAATGAGCTTTTGAAACCTGATACCATCCAACCCCTGCTCGTATCCCGCCGACGCCACATTTCCTAGTCTCGTATGCGAAATAGGATCCTTTCCTTTCCGCGGAGTTGATGGTGCACTAGACAGTGTCTTCATTTTGGTGTCGTAAATCGTTTCGGGAAAGGTAGAATGCAATGCTCTTTGTGCGGTCATGGATAGGAATGTCTGTCGAGAGTTTTGCCACAGACTTCCCGTCAGCGAGTCCACTCAAGAAGAGCGAAACTTACAGGAAGGTTTGCTTGTTGATTGCATCTTCTTCTGTCACTCGCTCTAGATACGGAGTTCGGAAACTATTTTTGATCTCATGTAAAAGATGGGGGACGTGGTGAATTCTTGGTCTATCGCTAAGCTTTGCTCGTAGTCTTTCGATTGCAGACGAATGTCGATTGAGGACAAAAGAACTCGGAGCTCACCTCCAATGTCTCATATCCCCTAAAGGCGTCCATACTTTCGTCTTGGGATCTATCATAGCTTCTTCTCAGCTCCATAGTAGAGGGAGGGAGGTGAAGACTAACGGTGATATACTTCAGAATCGAATGTAACCGTCGGACGAGTTTGAGGGTAATTGAGAGGAAAGTCTAATATGAAACGGAGCACCGAGCCTGCGTATGGTCCTGTTATCAGTAAAATACAAGATGTGAGGATGTTGCTGCATACCTCGATGGACGAAGAATACACCATTCCATTTCAATGGTGAGTCGACTGAAGGGATGATGTACATACCCCTTGGGCAGTTATTCGGAACTCGAACAGATGAGCTTGGGCGATCAGCATCATTCACCGCCATTTCGAGGGAGAGAGGTCAACATAGCTACTGGGGAGGTTGATTGCGACAAAATGTGATCAGAGGTCGACGGAAGGGTGGGAGACCGACTGACAATTCCGTGCTTAGCTCTGCTACCAGCAGTGGAGATATGTCCTCTCGGGTGACAGATCTTGGTGGTTCTTTCTTAGGAGTGAACATCACGATGATTCAGCAGCAGGCTTCAAGTAGTCGACTTGTTTGTCTTCTTAATGGATGCACTTAACTACGAGTAAGTGAAATAGAGTAGTAACTCAGAGCAGCATGTGTGATTCAGAGTAGTGAGATGGAGAGTGGAGGAATTCACGTGACTGGATCCTTCCGACGGAAGTTGACCAGGGACGAAATTCTACTCACCACTCTCAACTACGAATAGCTTTTTCTCACACTCACGATCATCTAGTAGCAGCTAGACATCATGGCACTCCGATTATTCCGGCCTCTACTTCGTACCCCAGTCCTTCGAGTCGTAGCTCGTCCTACTCCTCTTCTCCGAGGAAGTCTCGGGCTGGTTTCCGCTCCCAAGCAGATAAAGTCGTTCACTTCTTCTCCCCGGAGGTTAGGGAGTGGCGAGTGTGAGTCTTGACGTCTTTGTTTTTCATCCTGACTATTTCATATATGTACAATGAAGAAGCCACACGAGAATCAACCCCAATCAGCTAAGTAATGAACGTCTGGGGGTTTATCTGACCATTCAGCCGATACTCAACTTTCCTCCGCTCTGGCGTCAGAACATACCTATGAATTAGAGTCTGCTTCTCCTTCCGAGATACCAGAGTTTCTGGAGACATTCCAGGAAATGAAAATATGGGATATTCAAGATGTTTCTGGATCGGAGGATGTGGTTCTGACTAGAAAGTTTGGTAATGAAACGTCAGTCTTCTCTTCACATTCCGTACTCCCATGTTCTCCCTCTACCACTTCACCTTCTTATCTGCAGCTCCCGAATCTCGCGTACTATGGTCCGTGTCATTCTCCTCTTTATAATACCATTTTTATCTTCTGTCAATTTGAGATACTTAACGAGTTGCATTTTAGTAACAGAATCTGTCGGCGAGTGCGACGTGTTTTCTGTAACGGTGGATTGACCATCTGAGGTGAGGTCAAACTGGGAATTAGGACTGACGTTCAGCCTAAAATTGACATTCCAAATTTCAGATATAGACAATGATTTCCCTTCTTCAACATCTACCGAAGAAACCCTTCCAGAAGAACCTGAATCAAACGGACCGGCCTATGTCACCTGTTCTCTCCTACTCACCAAACCCAATGGCGAACATTGTCTCGCATTTGATCTTGAAGCTGGCGAAGAGGGTTTCGGATTGACCAATGTTGCTGTCCTGAACAAAAAGCTAGGTGAGATGATAGGCGCCGAAGGGGATTGGCAAAGACGAAGCAAGTATATGGGTCCACGTTAGTATCTCCCATTTGTTCCTCACCTTTACCTTCACTTTCTCATCTCGTGATCGTCGACTTGTGGAATGATGATGTTATCGTGGTTCACCATGAACTGCTTTTTCAATTGTTCTCCTCGGAAGATGGCACGGGATTTTGACTGACGGATAGAATTTGACCATTTGGACATTGGGGTACAAGATGGTTTCGTTGCTTATCTCGCCGAACGAGGAGTGGATGATTCTCTCGGTATGTCCCCTACCCCATCCCACTGCTTTCATTGTCGTATGCTAATACTCTAGCTAATTTCATACTTGCCTATTGCGATTACAAAGAACAAAAGGTCAGTTCTCGTCTTGACCTCCGCAATCGCTGACAAGTAGGAATACGTGGCGTGGTTATCACAAGTTGGAGAGTTTGTAGAACTTTAAGATTGCCATCTCTCTTGTAGAGAAAACGACTAGTTGAATGGATTCAACAGATGCATCATCACTCATATCTTCTTCGCAGCTTTGACCGTTACCAAGTAGGTACAATGCTTTGTACGCCCTTTCTCAAATCATCCGCCTAATCTTATGTCTCCTTCCCTCTACCCACTGATCTTCTTCACAATGAGCTGATTTGATACCATATGGCAAGGACAGATCATTTATCCTCCTCATTGGCTTTCGAAAGCAAAGCCAATCCGGCATTGCGACGAAGGATGATACTCATCGCACTCCAATCGAGGGTCGGATCAATTTCGGCAGCTTGACGCATGTTATCCGCTGCCATTTCGAGAAGAGGAAGTTTGACAGGAGGATTGGCATCACTCCCGAGAGAAAGGATATGTCGACAATCTATAATTTAGTTCCTATCGACAGAAGTCACAAGTTCGGTGGAAGAAAGAAGGTTTGACTGACCTTTGAGACCGGTGGTAATGAGGAACCCGTAAGTCGGGTCGAAATTACCTTCTGAGATAACTTTACTATAGTGACTGACTGAAGGGGATCCGATGAATTTTTCTATCAATGTCAACGAACCGTTCTTTCTTCTGTATTGTACTAATCTCCCTTACCGTTTCCATGACAGAAAGGGGTATGGGAAAGGGAGAGATAACTAACCCATCAGTTCGGTGAAGGCAGCTTTGGGATATCCAATAGCTTCCAACATTGCATATAGTTCTCCTAAAAGTTCGAGAATACCAAGAAGGAAACCATTCCCTGCGAACTTTGTTTGAGAACCTATAAGTCAGCGTCATGTGAAGTTGTGAGGTTGCATTGAGTGAGATGACTGACCTGTAGCTACGTTCTCTCCCACATCGATGAGTTCCTTCCCTAGAGATCGGACCAATGGTTTGACCCATTCTTTCTCTTCTTTTGGACCGGACATGATACATACTAACATACGGTTGGCCGCCATTATGGGTAGCCCGAATACTGGGCAGGCTAGGTATACACCACCTGCTTGTTGGACCATTTCGGCAAGTTTAACTAGTGGTAAGTCGTCCTTCTCCCCCTACCCACCTTTCTTCCTGTCATGTCATGTCAATTGTTACAGCCCACTTCATTGACATGTTCAAGATAGAATGCTCAAGTAGGATGATTGAGGTGGGGGAGTTTGTAAGGTTGTATGGGATGAAATGGGTAAGCGGCTAGTCATATCGAACAAGCGGGCGATGAAGTACAACGTTCCAACCGGATTGAGGGGTCATACATGACGACGTGAAGGTTTGTAGAAATTTAAGTATCAATCAGAGACGTTGGGCAATGGTCTAGACAAAAAATGAAGAAAGAACTCACCCGACGTCTTAGGGTTCAAACTACTCTGATCGATGAAAACAACCTTCGCTTTGATCCCTTTCACCAACTCCCCATATACTTCCAAAGAAACCTCGTCGTTCAACAAACAGCTAAAAACTACATTACACCTTTCCGTCACTTCCTTGAGCTCTTTGGCAAAATACGCCCCAGGACATTTCTCCTTGATAGGTTCGTATTTGTCAACAGACCTATTCCAGAGGGTCAAAGGGGGGAAATTATTCTTCAAAGCGTAATCGGCTACATGAGGAGCAATAGCACTTCCCATAGCTCCAAGACCTACATAACCAATTTTCTGTTCTACCATCTTGTTCTATGTTTTGTTTTTCTGTGGTATGAAGAGTTGAGGGAATGATCAAAAATGTGTAAAATGGTCGGTGAAGATTGAAGTGAAAATCCGTCAGCTTTGAAATCAAAGTCAGTAAGTGAGAATGATGAGAAAGAATCGTACAGTATTAAGGGATTATAAATACATGATGATAGAGATCGAACGTTATCAGGAAAGGTGTATAACGTGTGTCTTTCTTGGTGTAAAACACACGAAAAGCCGGTTGACCGAACACAAGACAACCCCCTCGGCCCTCGGGATCAGAAAACACTTACGTAATGTGAATTACCCGATGCGGTATGTTACTTCCCACGTGTCACAGATATTTGAAAGCTGTCCTCGTCATCCACCTTCATCCTACACAGCTTGAAATCACTTCGACTCATTCCCTGTCCTATATTGTATCCGGGGTGCTCGTGCAGTACGTATCAAGTGGCAAGTTAATCTCCTAAGGAAATAATTGAACAACATGTCAACTCCACCACCACCACCAAGACGTATGATTCCTACTTCACATTCCCCCACACCCTCAACCGATCACTCATGGTCATCCCGCTTCAAAGCAACAAGTAAAGTATGGGGAAAGAAAGCTTTAGACAAGACGGTGGTTATCTCTGATAAAGTTGGAGGAAAGGTGAACGATATTGCCGAAAAGAGGTTCGGCACTGAACATTTTTGGCCAGTGACGGGTGATTTTCCTAGACTTATGGATCAGGCGGCTAGGATATTGAGGGCCTTTACAGGTGGGTCAATCATATACACATAGTTCCATCTCGTTTTTCAATCCTTGATTCCATCTTTTGACTGATTCATCGTCATACGTCCTTTTATCCTTTTACCTCCGAACTCCCTTTTTTCGTTTTTCCGGATGGTGTGAGAAAATGGAAATGGTATGGCGATAAATGTGATACTGACAAAAAGTCGAAGGTGTGGCAACCGTGAAGGAAACTACACAAGCCGACGAAAAAGGTAAAAAGACTAAACGCAAGGTCAAAGTATTACGCAAAATACCTCCTAGTGTCATTGCCAACGCTCGGGGATTGGCCATCTTTACGAGTATGCGTACGGGTATAGCGCCTTTCGGAGGCGCAGGAGGTGCGGGTGTAGTGATTGGAAAGTTGCCTGATGGATGTAAGTTTTTGCTGTATCTTTGATCAGGCTAGATACCTATCATCATTCGATAAGGGTCTAATCCGCCGCATCTTAAATATGGCTGTCGTTATGTCGAAAGGATTCTGCCTGAAGACTTTGAGCTGATATCTAGCATGGTCCGCGCCGGCTTCCATTTCACCTAACAATTTATCTGCGGGGGTGAGTGCTTTGATAATTTTTATGCCTTAACATTTTCTTGGATTAAGTTTCTCTACTTTCGAAAGCGGAATTTTCAGTATATAGGGATACAAGTTATGATAATTGTTCCCGCCTGACATTCAGTTCCTGCTCGGCGTCGACGTATATGACTGTATCCTCGTCATTCGAACTCAAAAAGCTTTAGACTCCTTTGCCACCCATAAAGCCACTCTTGGAGCTGAGATCGGCGTCGCCGCCGGACCTTACGGTGCAGGTGCAGCTGTGGAAGCTGGCAAGGAGACAGCACCGGTCTTCAGCTATGTCCGTAGTAGAGGAATGTACGCTGGAGTGGAGGTAGTGGGACAGGTCTTCGTGGAGAGATTTGAAGAGAATGCTACTATGTATCACTGGCCTGGGGTCAAGGCGGGTGATATCGTGAGTTTCTCTTCGTCTCAACTGAGGAAGCTCTGTCATCGAGAAGGGACTTTGCTAATTGTAGCTCGCTGGCAAGGTCAAAGTCCCTCGAGAAGCCGAGTCCCTCATGCACGCTCTCCACGATGCCGAAACCGGTGTCGCTCAAGCTCAACAAGGCGACGCACTCGACGTTGTCATCATCGACGATCCCGACGCTGTGGAATTATCAGATGGTGAAGTCCTCAAACTTCCTCCGACACCCGAAATGACGGATGGACACGAACATGAGTCCGATCCGGAAACAGAACGTGTGAGATATCCATCTTTGAGAGGTTCACGCGTCTCTTCGATGGAGCATTTACCACCACCCGTTCCTCCTCGGAGAACACATCCAGTCGGTAATAGTTCGATCTCGCGTATCAGCACTCCAGAGCTTACGACCGAGAGTAAAGGTCTCGACCAAGGGACTGTCAGTAGGAGGGAGCATGATGACAATGGAGAAGAGCTTCCGAGCTATCAGGCAACTGAGGGTAGTGGAGAACCGATGAGCGAGTCGGAGAGAAGGGAATGGGATCAATTTTTGGCAGAGAGAGCTAGGGAGGGGTTGGAGAATGTGCATGTTACTGAAGAGAGCTTGCGGTAAGTTGTGGGATTATGGGCGGGAGGTGTGAGGATGATCTTGGTTAGGAATTTGTCTCGCTTAGAATAGACATAATCTTGAAGGTTCTAGCTGTACTAATATGAATGTCGAAGGGTAGTTCATCTATCGCCTCCTGGATATCCTGCTGACTCGCTGTAATTGCTCTTACTCGTAAAGATCCACTCGGAAGCATTCCACAGCAGATCGGCCGACTGACAGGAGCCTCCAGCCTCGGCCGAAGTCAGGTGACGTTCCATGACTCCTAAGCGAAGGCCGGGGCCCAAACTCACCTCTCGACCTCCACAAAGCCATCCTTTGAACCATTCGAGTCGTACGAGTAACTATAAAACCACCGAGACCCTCTTTCTCTCCATCAGGACTATAAACACTCCTGCCAACCGTCTACCATACAGTATCATCAACAATAACTCTCATTCAACAACATCGCAATGCCTTCTATATTTCTCTCTGGCGCTACAGGTTACATAGGAGGGTCCATTTTGAATTCACTTCTATCACTTCCTTCTCCTCCTGAATCCATCACATGTCTACTTCGTGATCCTACCAAATCATCTCGTCTTTCCTCACTTTCCACCCCAAAAACGAAAGTGATCCCTTTCATAGGTTCTTACTCCCCCCAAGATCTACCAGCATTGACAGAAGAAATCTCTAAATATCCTGTCGTCATCGAAACCGCTTCTGCCGATGACGTACCCGGTATCCAAGCTATCATCTCAGGTATGAGAATCTATCATCAAAAACATGGACAAAAAGTAGTTTTCATACATACCAGTGGTACTGGTGCTCTACAGACAGATGATAGAGGTGAAATTGAAGGAAAAGATATTTATACGGATGCTTTGAACCCGGAAAAAGGTTATAAGACAGTAGCTGATTTACCGATTACAGCTTCGCATAGAAATGTGGATGTTATTGTTGAAGCTGCGGATAAAGAAGGAGTTTGTGATAGTTAGTTTTACCGGGAACTATTTGGGGTAAACCGGAAGGAAAGGTTTATGAAATTGGAGTAGCGAATGATACTAGTATACAAATACCTAAATTGGTTGAAATGGCTGTGAGGAGGGGTCAAGCTGGGTATGTTGGGAAAGGTGAGTAATTATTCGTACATATACTGCTCCACCCTCTTCACTCTCTTTTGATAAATCTCATATATGTTTCCATCCTTTCATGTCTCTGGTATTTAATCTTCCTCCGGTGTCGCTTTTGATCACTTCACCGTCGCCACAATATTCCGGATCTTACCATTGATACTCTTCCCTTCCGGTCATAATTTTACCCTTCAGCCCGTATCCCTCATTCGTTTCTCTGTTCAATCAAAGTAGTCTCTCCAACGATGATTTCACTTCGCGTCATCTTTCTTGTTCAAATTGTGTTGAGCAAGAGCAACATTCTGATCAACAGGTGAAAATGTCTGGGTTCATATCCATATCCAAGATTGTGCAGACCTTTACACTCTTCTCTACACCCTCATCATCTCAGGTCATCCTGTTCCACACGGTGCTGAAGGTTATTACTTCTGCGTAGCTGGTGAATATCGTATTCGTGATGCTGCCATAGCCATCGGGGAATCCCTATCAGCTCACGGTTTGGCAAAAGAAGGTGCGACCACATTCACAGATGAAGAACTTGACGTTTTGTTCCCTGGAAAGACATTCAAATGGTATCTGAGTACCAATTCTCGTGCTATCGCTCCTAAATCTTTGAGTTTGGGTTGGAAGACTGATAGGACGAGTTTAAAGGGGTTCTTGGAGGATTGTAAGAGTGAAGCGGTCAGGATCGGTAAAAAGACGAAAGGGGTGTAAAGTGTTGTTTTTCTGTTTGGATGGAGGTTGGAAATAGAGGAATAGAGAAAGAGAGGACGAAACGGAACGCAATATGATAGAAATCGAAGATTATGAAAATGAAACGAAGTAAGAAAATATTAGCGAAAAATCAAGTGAAGATAGTGAAATGGAAATAGAAATGAAAGATGTCTAAAGAAGTTATAGAGAATATGCAATGATACATCTGATGAAACAAATAGTCCGGTTGGTGATATACAATACGACTTGTACATTCTCCTATCTTACGACTTGTATATGCAAATGCTAGGTTGTGAAAATGCCAACAAAATGATCCGGAGTGTAGAAAGATTTGGTGGATCGTGTCAAAAAATGGATCTCTCTCACTCCCCACCCACCCCAGGTTCTTCGACAGGTCGTACTATCTCCCATTTCTCACCACCCATCACCTCTTTTCCTTCCTCCTTCGCCCTCGATAACCTCATCTCGGTGATCTGGAAACTGGTAGGAAGCCTCTCATCCCATTTCCCCGTCGAGAGTAATTGTGAAAGACCACGTGTGATAGTGAGGATTCTGGCCATACCGTGACCGTGGAAACCTACCGCTGCGAAAAGGTTGGGTTTGTTGGGAATCGGACCGACCAGAGGGAGCAGATCGTGTGAATGGGCCATGATTCCTATGTATCAGTTCACTCCGACGATTAACTCCTACAGCTTTATTGTAGCTTTCCCGATCCGTCAACAATACATTTCAAAAGTTTGTTGTTTTCCTCCATATCTGACCCAGGGGTAGAATATGTTCTCGATGGAACTTTGATCTACACGGAAGGAATAAGGAAAATAACTTTGACCTTTATCTGAGTGACGAGGAATATATATCAGTAGTGAAAGGATTGTCAAGATGGAATGCAAAAACTGACCAGTCCATAACCTCCCCATACCTTCCCCTCTACCATTCTCCTTCCACCCCTCATAAGTCCGTTCAAACCATCCCTTCATCCATTTCTCCACCGAGGGTAATACCGTAGAATCGTCCAATATAGCATAAATATCATCTCGGGTAGCCAAACCATGGTTGATTGTGGCGGCTGCCCATGTTCCAGCTACGATTCCTGAATGAGGGGTGGAGACGATATACATACCGTTTTCAACTACGTATGAGTGATCGAGGGATTTCGGACCGGAATATGAGAGAGGAGGTGTGTAGTTTGCACAATGACCGCGATATGGTGTCAAGCTCTAAGTAAGCCTACTGATTCGTATTATCCCCTGTCATGTTTTGTATGGGAGCCTCACGCCCTCTTCGACCCTGCTTCTTCATCCGTTTTGTCCCTATTTCTCAACGTAATGTTACGAGGTGAACGTGGCCAACGCAAGGAAACAATCGAACAAATGCGAAACAGAGCAATAATGGGAGGGGAGAGGAAAGACAAGAAGGATCACTCACTGAGCACTGATACCCATCCCTCTCTCGGATTCCGGAAACAAACCACCAGTGTAAGCATTCGTACACAATACAACCACCCCAGCTTTGATCATACCCCTACTCGTCTCCACCTCCCATCCTTCTCCGAAGCGTGACAGATTCTTTACAGGTGCCCAGGAATATAATTCCGCTCCTGAGCGCATTGCGATTTTCAACAGCTCCGTGGTGAGTTTATGAGGATGTACGCTTCCTGCTGGCCCACGGTTGTATGCTATGGCATTCGATACACGGGTTTTTTGAGCTGCTTCCAGAGGGTCGGTACATAGCGCCCATTCGTATGGTTCTTCTTTCAAAGACGATTGATAACGGGCTTGGAGATAGGTTTCGTAGGCTGATGATGAGGATTGAGCTCCTTCGGGGGACGTAAAAACTGTTTAGTCAACTATTGGACTATGCGTCTCCCACTCACACACATCATCCCCTTACTTCCTGTCAGAGTCTCACTCAGCACGACACATAGATCTTTCGACCGATGAATATTTCATAAAGATTGGAAGGGCCGTAACAAATGAGCAGGAAGTAAGGAAGAGAGACGAGTGATGGAAGTAAGCACCTTCATATTTATACCCTTTCCAGAAGTCCACCTTGTCAACCAAACCCTCTTGAGTGATCACTTCAGCCGCATAAGCCAAAGTCTCACGTTCATTCTCCAAGATCTTGACCGCTTCTTCAGGCGAGACCCCAGCTCCACCTTGAGATACAGGTCTGATCAAACTGGGGAAGACGCAGGACCAATATGACCTCCATTCCGTCCTGCTTGGTGGTCAGCGACTCCTCTCTCTCAGTCGACAGTTGCCCCAAAAGCAAGACGAAGGACTGATGAAGAAATAAAATCCAGAATAACTTACATGCTCCACTGGCAACATCCTTAGCTTCGAGGACAACCACTCTCCTACCATGTCCGACTGCGTCAGCTCGAGTAAGATGGTAAGCTAATGAAGCGCCTGATAGTCAGGTCGAGGTGATTCGGCATGAATGAAGTCAGATATGGCCTTACCACATATCCCAGCACCGATGATGATATAATCAGCATGAGCGGGCAATGGTTCGGTAGCGTCATGACCGTATAACGAAGACGGACCACGATTCTGATCGTGAGCTCTTCGTGCGGGACGAACACTGTTTCAGGGAGATAAGAGACAGCACTACTGACTGAAGCTTGCCAATGTGAGACTGTTGAAGCAAAGTTCTGAGGGAATATAGACATGGGAAGGTGTTGTTTGAGAGTATTATTGTTGAGAGACGGTATCATGGCAAAGAGAAAGTGATGAAATCTGGAGGAGATACGATAGTGCCTGTATTAAGAAACCTTAAACTTGACTGGTCTTCAAAGGTTTCTTATCTATGAAGGAACCAGAAGCTTCTTGCCATGATCACCTCATCATCCTTTTTGGGGTTGTCTCATGTTTTTGTTTTCGAAGTACGACATGGCTTCCTTCACATCGAGAGATGAACTTCTCGACCGATCAAACTAGTTCAAGGGAGGGAAAGCGAGGTGAGGGATGGGGACATTCAAGCTTCACATGGATTTAGTATCGAAGTGTTCTAAGTTACTAGGCTACTAGGGACCAGAAACGGTCAATCGATCCCCCGTTTTTCAAGTGTCAATCACAAATCGATAGTCCGAGAGGTGAAGGAGCTCGAAAGTTGTTGGGTGTGATAAGTCGCTACTGTAACCTACATGTATGTGGGGTCAGATGGGTGGACAGACCCCCGTGATGGAGGATCCTTTCACACGAGCAGGTGTGAGTGATCGTTTGTCAAGTAGCCTGTCGACTCGCTCTCTAGCTCACATACCAGAACCCCGATCTGGTCAACAGTGAGATCGATGAACAAGAGAAACACCACCTTCCTCAGTCATATGGTTTGACATACAATCATCAGATGCTCATCTGGAAAAGAAATCTCCCTTCAACTAAGCTTGACAATCAATTAACCGTCTCTCTGATGAAGAGACGTCCGACTTTCGAGCGCAAAACCAATCAGTATCTTGTCACGTTATGACAATTCGGAGTGGACCATAGGGTAGTCATGACAACAATCGATTACATGACAACACATCATTCGTCGTGATCAGAAGGACAACAAAGGGTCGACATATTGAAACTTGGCTTCTGCCTCCGATACCACATCTCTCCGTCGACGAATGACTCGTTCCTTTCAAGACAGATGCCCCTCTACCTGCCTCAGCTCACATATGACCACATCGACGGCCGTGCTGATCTCACCATTCTCAGTTTATCCATCATCTACCGATTTTCGACTTCCTAAACATTCGAAATGAGCTACAACCAGAATTGGTACAGCCAGTCAGTGTACACAATACCCGAAGAAGACCAAACAACTGTCAATACCAAACGCAGATCTCAGCGATGGAACGCTATTACTGGCCGAAGTGGAAGTGTGTTTTTGAAAGAAGGGGAGACGTACGAGGCCATGGATCCTGACCTCTTGATATCGAACGTTGATTGGACTCCACCACCTGTGAGTCTCACAAAGTTCTTTTCACACTCTGTTGCTGTGATTAGTCTGACGTACAGAGTGATACAGTGGAAGATCCGGAGTTATGGGATTATTATGATAGGATCAAACGAACCGATGCCCCAACCATTGAATCCACTGCTCAAAACGAGATTCACAAGCGTACGTTAAAAAAACGTTGTGATTATCACACCAGACGATTGAAGTTGCTCAAGATCGTCGCCGCGAATACATATCGACGATCTTATACTAAAGCCACCATGGATCGTGCGAAGGAACTTCAAACTGAAGGGGAAGAAATAATTCGTTCGTGTGCGCAAGTCAGCGACGCGGAAGCGCTGTCGGGATGGTATAAAAGATCGACTACTTATGAATTATCACTGGGAAACTTCGAAGTTAGAGAGATATGGGGTAATACGGAAAGACCGCATTCGGAGCAACCCTTCTTAATATCACCTGATAGTAGTCGAAGGTTTCAACTTGAGCATACTGATATGACGTATATTATATAGCTGATAGCTCTGAGATGAATCGATGATTTATTGTGGTTTACTAAGGCTGGAGAAAGGATCTTTCGTTTATTTCGGAGAATGGAACTTGAAGATCACGTTTTTTTCTGAGAAGACGTAGGGGATCAGATAAGACACAAAGGTGGGTAAATCTGATACTGATCTGAACTCTTGTGTCCTGACTCGTGTCACACTTGAGTACTGGGGATGAATCATTTCGATCCTTTATATATATATCCTTTCAACATCAGCATCAGCTGATTGGCATGATTGGTTATTAGTCACACACATCAGAGCTGACTATCTCAACCCCAGCATTTCAACAACTCCATCACACACATACCACCCATCTCACCCGGAATCCTTCAATGAACAACCAAAATTACAAGTACGCAGGTGATACCTCATGGGATCAAGACTTTCATGATAATCGTGACATGACGCCAGATACAGACCACCCGACGAGTCAACAGCGCGTAACGGACTGGACGACTTTCAACGACACTTATGTCATGACCAGTACTTATAGCGAGATCAACTCTCACTAGCAGAGTTGATATTGAGCCTTTTAGGACGGTTTATGATCGCGGGCTCGCTACCCGGTCATGACAGAATATCAACTCTAACGGGTCAGACGTTCGATTCACGGCTCTCACCTTATGTGTGGGGTGTGCTGGCTGCAGGTGTCAGCACCCCTTCTCAGGTTTCACCCTGAGCTCAGGTTTCATCCTGAGAGGTTGGTCTGGGTTCGCCAACCATCCCATGGTCGAATCGGAGGATTCGACGTTCCTAGTTCCTAGTTCGAGTTCCGAGAGCGTGAATACCTGCCGAGGGTACCTGACTTGCAAACCCACAGGCTTGGGGGGGCCTGCCGGGGTTTGGGGTTCAGAAGTACTGCTGTCGAGACGCCAGCTTCCCTGAAGGAGGGGAATGTGTCATGACCAGTACTTATAGCGAGATCAACTCTCACTAGCAGAGTTGATATTGAGCCTTTTAGGACGGTTTATGATCGCGGGCTCGCTACCCGGTCATGACAACTTATGACCTTAACAATCCTGATGAACTCATTTCCACTGTCGAATGGGAATCTCCTGTGAGTATGTCTCCTCCCCCTTCTATTCCCATCCCTCCTCTCTTAAGTTGTTCCCCCCTTATTTTTTTCCGTCGCCTTCATGTGACGTGTTATGATGTGCCCAAAGTTTCGGACGCTGATCTCAAGACGGAAACAGGAGATCTCAACATGGAACCTCAACAAAATACCGGAACGGGATCAACGACTCAAGATGCGATAATGCAATATGCGACTAACTTTAATGATTCAAAGATAAGTCGAATAGTGACCGACTTAGCGGGAATCAATCCTCAATCTACATCTGCTAGACCACGTCCTGGTCGAGGTGCCAATCGAGTTTATACGCAAGATACTAAAACCCGTGCGAGTCAATTACAAACGGAAGGTAACAACTTACTTCGTAGTCGTCCAGATCCTCAGAAGGACTTTAATGGGTTTACTGATTGGTATCAAAGATTGGAGGATTGGGAAATAACAGTGAAGACTTTTGAAGTGAGGGAGATTGTTGAAGGGGAAGATGTTGCGTCGAGAAGACAGCCTTTCCTTAGGTACAGCAGATAAAGATACTAGTCGTTTAGATATTTGTGCCAGGGTTCACACTCTAAACGTACTTCCATTGCCTTGCATGTCATAAGATATTGAAAGTGGGTCAATGTTTGTTTGATAACAGAATGACGGTAGCTTCATTGTAGACATTATGATGACGAAGAGAGATGAATCGCAAGACCACGAAATGAATCTTTTGCCTAGCACATTTGATGACTACTTTATAGTACCAGTAGTATATTGGTCCAATAAATGGCTCTTGTTCATGAAGGGACACAACTATTGATTCGAGTAAATGAATGAATAGCAACCATATACTGAGCAGCTCTAGTATCTAGTACGTTATGCCCGATTTGCGGGCAAGTTCCATCTTGCCCGGATCACATTTCCCTCGTTTTCTCAACTTTTGACGAAAGATTGACCATTTCCGACTGTTTCCGTCTACTTACTCACTATCTTCATACAGGATCTTCGAAATCGAAACAGCAAAAAACGCAGAGGGCATATTGACAATGTCAAAACTTTCGCCATCCCTCAAAGCCCTCATCTCAGCACCTCACGCATTAGGTCGTCCACTCCCTGCTCCTCCTCAACTCACAAGAGTTTTCGACACACTTCGGTCCCGATCTAGACCTCATTTGGAAGACGGTACAATACCTTCAGAACCATTTTTGGTATTAGCTACTGCCACACTTGTCACTGTGAACTCGCCAGAGAGTGTACAGAGACTTTGGAAGTATGCGGTGGAAGGGAGGGATGTTATGGGTTCTGCTAGAACGGCTGCTGTAAGTTTCTCCTTTCCCCCCCCCTCAGGACACATAAACGTTATCATCGTATCAAAGAGGATATTTATGTTGCTTGAAAAGAAAGAAAACTGATGGATAGCTCATGAGGGAAGCAGGTTTAAAATGTATAGCTCTCAATGGGGGTGAGTCTTCTTCTTCTTTGTCTCAACCATGAATGATATTTGGGTGAACATGAGCTGACTGATAGATCCCACGGGTGAGCTAATCCATTCGACTCGTGGTGAAGTTGAAAATTAGACAATCAACGCTTTGGTAGCACTACGTTCTATCTTACCAGAAGAAGTGATAGATTTGCTTTCGTCGATACCAACCAGGTAAGTTTTCTTGGTCTCCCTTTTCACCCTTCACTTCTCATCTCAACAGAATCTCCGCTCGTCACAGGGAAATAGATTGGAGATTATGAAGTAAAAAAATCTCCTCTACTCGATGATCATCTTCGTGGACATCAGGAGAATAATTCTTCCATTCATGGGATCCCACCAGCTCTGGAATCAATCGTTTCCCTCTCAGCCGATTAAGGCAGTTCTCTTCATAATGAGATGAAATAGATTTTACTCTCCTCAAACATGAAACTCCCACTCCTGGCTGCAATACGAGTTGATTGGACCAAAAGGAACAATAGTTGATATCAGAAAACACACACCGGAAAACATTCAATCCATTTCTTCTAGAGGTAGAGAAATGTGGGATATAATATATTCACCTTTCCATAATAAACTTTTAGATAAATTATCAGATGCTCATCCGGATTTACCTGTACATATTTTAGAATCACATTATGGACCATTATTATCTGATCCATCGGTTTCTTCCTCTTTTACCTCAAAACCTTCGTCATCTTCCACCACGTCTACTATTCCTTCCACCTCCTCTTCATCGTCGTCAATACTCTCAATGGACCAACGCGGAGATCACCACTCTTCCTTATCACCTTCTGCGAAACAAAATGACGAGCCAACAAATCGACAAAGTTCCATACTCTCCACAGGAACCATAGGACGTACACTTACATCCATAATGGCAATGTCATGTCTCCGCGCTCAAACAGGTGTTGAACCTCAATTGATCAGTCATGTTCACGGTCTACAAAAAGCTGCCAAAGAGGAAGATTCACAATTGGATGAGAAGATAGGGAAAGAAGGAAGAAGTTGGTTGTGTGGTGATGATGGTACTAAATGGGTGTTGGAGAGTGTTGATGAGATCAGTTCGTATGTCAAGGGAGGGGAGAAAAGTTTGGTAGAAATATAGAATATAGATCAACATATAACTTAGTCATTAGAATATAGAGAATATATACAATGAAACATATAGACCTCGTAAGGAGTATGTATTAGAATAAGTAGTGCTGGATACATCAAGGATTTCTGATGTTGAGATGAGATGAAAGTTCGGACATCTAGTCGGCAGTCGGCGTGGTAAGAATGAAGTGCACGAGGTTTGTGCGATCAGAGAGAGAGATAAGAATAATGACCACAGTCGAAAAATCGGTTTCTCCGAGAGAGTAGGTCACAATTCAAAGAGTAGGTCAAGGTACAAGTCAAGAAAGACACATGGGTAGGAAAAAGCTGTATGAAGAGAATGAGTTGGAAAGCCTATGTCAGAAGTAGAAACACTATTCATGCCTTATACCCAATGCGACAAATCTAACTTTTCTAGATCACACCTAATACTGTTCCTCACCACCTAATACTTTCCCAACGTCTCAGCAACAGCAAAACCACATCCCGTCTTCTCTTTTACTTCCTCCAATGTCACACCATCGGCCAATTCGATCAAAGTCATTCCACCATTGATCCTATCCACATCGAAGACAGCGAGATCAGTTATGATCCTACTTACACATCGTACTCCTGTAAGAGGCAATGAACAGTCTGCTTTGATTTTTGATTGACCGTACTTGTCCACATGATCGGTGACTACGATTATCATCGTTTCGTCTGGATTGGAAACTAAGTCCATGGCTCCTCCCATTCCTTTGACGAGTTTACCGGGGATCATGTAGTTTGCCTGAGAGTTAGTGGAAATTTCAATTGAGTGACTACCTTGTAGATTTGAGTATAGAACGGCTCGATGGCGGGGCCAAAAAGATGTCGAGGATAGTTTTATGTGATGAAGAGAGCACATCAGAGTTGGAGGAAAGAGAAACATATAACTGTACTCACCAAATCACCATTCTGAGAAACCTCCATAGCTCCCAAGATAGACACATCAATGTGACCACCACGAATCATCCCGAAGCTCTCGGAAGAATCAAAGACCGAAGCACCAGGAACGAGGGTGACTGTCTCTTTACCGGCATTGACGACATCCCTGTTTGTCAGCTATGTACACCGTATCGTCCTCGCGCTGAGCAGGTGGGAAGGGCTTGACGGAAGACCGCAAGGACGTGGATTCTTGAGACCAGGCTGAGGAAGAGGCAAAGTGAGATGGGATGAGAAAGAAAAGCAGTAACTCACGCATCCACCTGATCTCTAGTGGGATAAGGTCCCATTCCCAAAATCCCATTCTCACTCTGTAACCACACATTCGTCCCTGGTGGCAGATAATTAGCCGCCAACACTGGCATCCCAACACCCAGATTGACATAATAGCCATCTTTCAGTTCTTTCGCGGCACGACGAGCGATTTTCTCTCGTCTCAATTTGCCTGCGCTCTTACTCGGCACATCATCGGATATCGTCGAGGATGACCCGGAAGGTGTTGGCGAGGCGGGCGGTGTGGGTGGTTTGTCGTCATCACGAGTCGTCAAAAGTTCGATCTTCTTTTGCACTGTCGCACGCACGACACGGTCGACGTAAATGCCTGGTAGATCAATTTCCATGGGTCCGAGTTCTCCGACTTCGACAATGTTTTCAGCTTCGACGATGGTCAATTTAGCGGCTCGGGCACAAAGACCAGCAAAAGCTCTGGTGGTGTATCTTCACGTAAGTTCGTGTTCTACTGGCTGGCCTATCCGAGAGGTCATGAGGTGCGGACGACGTGTAATGTACAAGTATAAACGACAAGACTCACCGGAAAACACAATTTCCAGCTTTGTCTGCTTTCCATGCTCTTAAAATGGCTACATCTCCTCTGATAGCAGGTTCGAAAAGATATCGCTTTCCATCAAACTCGTGGACCTCTTTACTGACACCTGGAACGAGAACGTGTTGTTTTCCTTCTGCGTCGGGTTTAGACCACAATTGGGCAATTCCTCCAGTTTCGATCAGAGTTCCTGCAAGTCAGCACAGATTGTCCTATTTTGGGTCATTTGCCCTTCTGACCATGCGTTATGAGTTTAAACATTGCTCATATGCTTATATGCTGTTCCTTTTATGCGCGCCGATCAGTGGGAGTGAGAACAGGAATGACTCCGCACGTGAACGAGAACGTGAAGACTTTGGGAGGAAACTCACCAGCCCCTGTCCTAGTGTAAAACCCCGGCATTCCCGCAGCAGCAGCCCGCAACCTCTCAGCAATAGTCCCTTGAGGGGATAACTCCAGCATGGTATCTCCACGCAAATACGAATCTCCCAATCCTTTGTTCGTCCCAACGTAAGAGAGAATCATTTTCTTGATCTGACCATTCTTTACCATCGGTGCGAGACCATATACTCCGTCTCCGGCATTATTCGAAACTCCAGTGAGATCTTTGATGTGGGGATGGGTTAGAAGAGCGGCGATGATAGTTTCTGCTGTTCCACAGAGACCGAATCCTGAGTATTAGCAAGAGCTAGTTGCATCCACCCAATCAGCACACTACTGTGTATCGGTCCTTTTCGTATCTGGGTGTTTATAGGAAGCCAAGAAAGATGTTAAAGATTATCATGTGGATGACGTTAATTTGAACAAGAAGCAGTTATGAAAAGATTGGCGATGAAACGTAAGAGTGAAAGTGAAAAGAAGAAGAGAACAACTCACCAGCAGAAAGTAACAAACTACCAGGTTTTATATCCGCAACAGCTTCATCGGCATTATCCCAAACTTTACCTTTACTTCCTCCTACAGCCGGTACTCCTTTTCCTTCAGCTGGAGAAGGAACACTGTCCAATCCAGAATTAGGGACGGCAAACGAAGCATATCGTTTGGATGGTGGACCTACTGGGTATCGTAGGATGGGTGGGAGTAGACGTGGGATGTTTGTATGACTGAGATGGGATGAAGTGGGGAGAATACGTTGACGAAGGATACGAGCTGAACTGATCATGTTGAGTTGGAGTCTGATGGTCTATTTTAGTGGGACAGTTGAGATAAGAGAGAACGATAGAGAGATAAATGGGATGGGGAAAGGATATGCGATGATAAGGATGTTAGGATGAAGTATGGGAGGGGAATATGAGGATGGATGGAATGGAGGTCAAGTAGGAGAATGAAATGTAGAAAAAACGTTTGGAAATGACAAAGTTCTGATATGGTTGGTGGTTACGGAAAAGTTCGGGGAACAAGTCCGTCCGAATCCTGAACGTCGGTTATTCACAATAGCCGGGTGTAAAGCCGCAGTTCGGCTTCGGCAGCGATCGTGCCTGCCATTCGTCTGTAGCTGACGCTGGTGTCTTCTTCATAACACCATGACCGGTCCAGCGCTTTGAGATACCATTCATAGCGAATTTACTATGCCTGACATGTCTATAAAGTATCATTTATTACTTGATTACTACAGACGCCATGCCTAAAGAATGATCCAAGATTCCAAAATATGCTCATTCCATTGACTCTCATGAGAGCCTTCATCGTATCCTCCCATATAACCACACTGCCACGACCATCCAGAGCAACCATAATTGCGACGTATGTGTCATGACTGATGGTTGGGAACTGGACATGAGAGAGAGACTATCAGGGAAAGTAGTAGGTCTAAAAGTCAGTTCAGCCGCTGTTATAACACTCAAAACTGAGTTGATCGTCAGTTGTAGGGCAACATGCTCCACCATGCGTTGGAGAAGGGTGCAATGAGACCAAGGTGAGTATGGTAAGGAGTGATAAAAGGCCTGAACTCACTTGAGGTTAGGAGTACTGGTGAATGGTCCTAATTCATGTATCGCCGTATCCGACGTTAGATCCGGTAATCTGGCTATTGACACTGAAGCCGAACTCGACGTAGACGAGCTAGAGGTAGCAGTTGAAGAGAAGGAAGAGGAAGAGAGAGAAGTTGTTGGAATGGGATTTGACGAAGAAACTATCGGGGCTGTGGAGGATGATGATTTATCCGTTGGTAAATTTGAGGAAGTTGACGAGCTTGATGTACGTGAGGATGATGTAGAAGAGGGGGAGACGGAAGAAATGTCAGCATAGGGATCCAACCTAACATCTCAGTATACTATTGATATTATCGAAAGCAAGAGCTTACGGTTGTCCATCAATGACGATATAATCGAGACCCATGTCTATTCCATCAGTCGTGTTGACATATTCCAGGGGAAAGACTTACGTCCGAAAGCGTTAAACTCCACATAAGTAGGCCTATTGATGATTTGCAAGACGTGAACTTCATCGGTCAAACCTGTGGCGGAAAACATTATCCATGGGACTACTGGATCATCGGAATATCCGTTGCCTGAGAATAGGTTTCCGCCATCGAGGGTGACTGCGTAAACTCCTTCTCTGTAAGTCAGCTTGTAGCTCTTTTTGGTTTGTCTAAATATTGAGTAGGTTGTCGTTTCACAAATATCGATGTCGTAACGACTTCACCTCAAAGTACAGCATAGGAGTAGACAGTAGACGGGACGTTGGGGGAAATATTCAATTCACAACAAGGAACATAGGGTCCGGGTGGGAAAGAAGGGTGAATCAAGACAAGAAAAAACGCACATGTTACATTTTGCACTATAAACAAAAACACTTGCCCCCTTGAATCTAAATGAAGCATAATCACCTTGTACCGCCGTCATATGATACGTCTGATTGTAATATTGTGATTGAAGATCATCTGAGATGATTTGCTTAGATTGGTCTACCCAACCAGTACCTGACCAAGCTATGTATGGAGAGGAATCATCAATCGTAACGTTGGCCATGATCCTATTCTAGATTTGCGAACACTGAAAAACCCTACAACCTTGTAGATGAGATGATTGATATTGTTGGTGTTTTCGTTCCTCGTATGTATCCAAGACAATGAAGGGAGAGTTGTAAAAAACAGGAAATACCCTTAAGTTGACGTTTTAGACTCCTCAAGTCTTATGAAAGGATGAAACATCCCACGGGATTGATGACTTTTCTCTTCTTTTCTTATTCTGTTGATCTTCGCACCTGTGTCAGGGGGATGACTAGTCAAAGGTACCCCCCAACTTGGAGTTTGTACTCCTGAATTTATATGGATTCTCGGGGGCGGCGATGCGAGTTCAGATGTCAAAGGTACCACAAGTCTCGTTTCACCTTCTTAAAAGGATGACAAGGAGTAAAAATGGGAATAAGACCGAGGAAATAGGAGGATGAGTATTTGTTCCAGATCCAATAGCCACGATGACGGAACTGGCAGAAATGTCCCTTTGTGTCAGTAGGAAAAAGGTTTTGTATAAAGATGACGCACTTGGTATGTGGACTTCCCATCTCTAATATGGACGTGGGGTTCACAGACGAGGAGATGCTGTTTTGGATCGTCGTGCCTTGCTGTTGTGTTGAAGGAGAAGAAGCTGAGCTCGGACTGGAAGAACCTGCAAGATCGGGCATGGGTGTCGAGGAGACACTTTGGGAAGCTTGACCCGATGGTAGAGATGGGACGGATTTACTAATGGATGTGGAAGATGGGGATGCAGAAATAGACTGAGAAGAGGTTTTCGAAGTTTGTAAAGTCGTGGACGACGTAGAAGTTGAAGTTGAAGTCGCCATATTATTGACGTTCGTCGCACTGAAATCAATTTTAGTATCCCTCAGACCCAGGTAGAAGATGAATTAAAGTCTCACCTTTGACTTTCCAGGATAATATAATCCAATCCAAAACCTTGCCGTCAGTCATGCTGTTGATAATGTCCTGAGAGGGTACTCACAATTGGCATTGGCTATAGGATTGTAAGTCGGTTCATTGTACATCGTGACGACGTGTGATTTCCCATCGGACTTCATATTCCATAACAAGGCAGGCGCTACGACGTCCACATTGTATCCGTTGTAATACTGTTTCGATTCACCGTCCAGACTGACGGAATACCAGCCTTTACTATTGAATCAGTATCACTTCTCTCGTCTTTCTTCTGTCCACAAAACAGTACACTAATCACATTTGATCTCGATGTCATCCTCAACACTTGATCATCTGACTTTGGAAGATGGTGGGCTTTCAATTATGAAAGTTTATGAGGGCTGATATGACCAAGTATCCGTAAAGCTGCGCGGGTATCATGAATATGAACAAGGGGGAAAGGGAGAAGACTCACATAGATCTAAAGACACTATAAAAGTAAACGGTATCCGTAAATGTATAAGTAAAATAATCTTGATCCTGACAAGTCGTATGAAATGTTTGGTCGTAGTAAATAGAAGGATCTATTCCTCCTGTGATTTGTGTATGCCAATTACCACCCACATAAGAGATAGAAGTCAAGGCGGTATCATCTATGGTGGTGTTACTCATCGTCTCCAGAGCTCACTCCCGTTCGAAAGAGATATAGAAAATGATCAATGGTTTGATGTTGAAGAACTAAATTAGTGTTCGACTCTCAAAAAAGGGTGTAACGTCAAAAGAAATCCTAAAGCTGGGGTGATGATGAAGGGCATGGAGAGTCAGTGAGGATGAGTATCAACGGAAATCATACATTTTTGGTCATCTGGGTATAGGGCGGGAGGTGAATCTGAAGGTGGGAAAAGGGGAAGATCATCAGTGGTATATAAAGGACCAAGAGTGAGATTGGGAGAAAAGAAAGGGATGACGAAACTCTCTTGACGTGGGGTTGGTCAGTTTGGTAAGATCTACCTCACCACCTTTGAGCTCTACAGCTAAGAGTGGGAGAGGAGAGGAAGGTGCTGGAGCGTGTTTCAAGGGGTTTTATAGATGAGGTGAAAGAACATGGATGAAGGACTTGTATCTATACCCCCCTTCCTTGGGTCTAGACAATCCATGCTCCCTGCGTCATGAAGCATGCTATGCTTCGACCCGTAGGCTGGCCACTGGCCGCCGGCGGCTGTCGAAGTGGTATTCTATTTTACTTGATTGTGAATCTGGCTTCAGTATCTCATCTGGGACGAGAGTGATAACGATTGACTGAGGGAAGAATGATTTCAAGTGAAGAGTCAAACGAACAAAGATCTTCCTTCAAATTCAACATCTTTCTTCAAACGCATCATGACATGACGAAATGACGAACCATCTTTGACTTCATTCTTCCTCAAACATGAGCTCTAGCTTGCAGCCTTCCTTATTATACCATGACCTCTCTTCTCCGCTATATCCCACCAACATACCTGGTTTATCCTTACTGGCTATCCGACTTCCCCATCCCGTCCGGGTAACTTCCCTTCGGATCACTCCTGAAGGTGTTTTGTCAACGTCGGGAATTGGGTGAGCGTCACTCCTATGACACATCCTCACATACTACATGTACTAAGAAACACTACCTTTCATTCTCTCACTCTCTCCTAGTATGCTCCTTACCATCGTTCTTCGCATCCAGCAAGGTGATATCGTACAAAAGAGTGAATAGCTGATCTCAGCCGGACAGTACCTGCACGATGGAATGGACGACTTTTACTGAATGTTTTAGGTTCAGAACCTATCAACGCTCTATCACAAACGGAGATATCGTACGAAGAAGCAGGTTGGGAACAGGAATACCCTATAGACATGCCTGAAGGTGTGAGCTCCTTCAGTCGTCTGGACTTGAAAAAGAGCTCAGATCTAGGTGACCACCAGACTTTTAATCTTACAAACTCCAGCGACATGTATCACCCTTTCGGTGTACGGCTATGATCCCACTTCATCTCCTACCGTCACGACAAATGTGGGATCTTCAAAAGTGAATACGAGAAGTGAAAAGGTTTCACTTCCCCCCAATGGACGATTTCTCGATCTACTAGATGATTCTTCCTCTCGATCCAAGACGACATACGCTCTTCAAGTGCTCGAAGTGTTGATCTCTAGTGTCGAATCCGACAAAGTCTTACAAGAAGTAATACAACATCCAACAGCTACAGATTGGTTATTATCTCAACCTAGTTATCCACCAATACCCCTTTTACAACATCTACTCGCTGATCCTCAATATGCTCTACATCCTAAAATGCGACATTACTTACCTCCTTCACATCCTCTCCGCTCGTTGGTCAATGGAACAGAAACTAATCGAAGGGACAACGCATGGAACCGATTAGACGCCGCTGGTCTCATGATCTTAAAAGAGATCGGTCCTGGGGATATTTGGGAAGTTCAAGGGGAGAAGAGTCGATATATGCTTTTACTGGAGAAAGCCCGTTCATGGGCAGCTGAAGAGTCTAAAGGTGTCAAACGAAGTTTGGAACTAGCATTGGACATATTGACTTTACCGACTGAACGAGAAATCTTTTCACTCCAAGCCGAACAACTCGCTAAACTCGTCGTCATCTCTCGATGTAGAGGTTCATCCAGAACCCTATCTCTTCCTACACGACATGCGAGAAACATTGTGAAATCTTTACTGGAAATCTCTACTCAAGTCATTTCTAACACTTTGGCTTTCCCTCACTGCATCGCCCTCGTCAAACCTTACTTGTCATATCTCACTTTGGATGATCCCCTCGTCACCATCTGGAAACATACGCATACACGGACATCATCTCCATCGTCACACGGCGAAACGCCCGAAGAAAGACGACTTTATCGATTATCTCGGTCCATATCCTCCCTCGAATCCGACGCATTGGTTCACTCTGTCACGACGGAGGAAATGATGTCTTTGATGACGCCCTGTTTCCTCGCAGATCTTCGTATGGCCAGAGTGCCACCTTTGGGCATTTCATCCACGACGCCCGCAGTCAACCCCGGTGCGGGTAAAGAGTCACAGATCCAAACTGGGTCTACGTCTGCGTCGGCTTGGGCGGGTAAAGTATACTCTTCACATCAATTCCGAAACCGTGATTTGGCGCCCCAGGGGACCATGTCTCGGCCTGCAAGCAGACACGTCGACGAGTATGGAGTCAAGGGTTGAAAACGGAGATGTGTTTGGGGTGTTGTGAAAGAAAGCAAAAGTGTGAGATTTGATCATGCATCCAAGTGACTTTCTTTTTACCCTTTTTCAAACGTCTTACCTAGTTTACTACCTTTGCTGCGGTGTGCGGGTGTGCGAGCAGTGTAGTTTTGATAGTTGATAAAGCGAATAAGAAGAGTTGATTCACGACGCCACTTTTACTTTGACGAGGTTCAGCTGTCGTCGTGCTCCCCACTTTTGTTTCCCCCACTCTTTCGTAAAGTGTCCCCGTCATCCACTCACCCTCTTCTTACAGTACCTTTTCCTACCAATACTATTACATCTTTGCCACCTTTCCTTTACAAACCTTCCTTTCTTGCTTTCCCCCCCACTCGTACATCTTCTCCCTCCCCACTCTCAAATTCCCACTTTCTACATACAACTTGATCATGCCTCATCCACCGAGAACTTCAACTTCCTCCTCTCATTCTCATTCCCCCTTCCAATGCTCTCATCCAGGTTGTGACAAGACATTCACTCGAAAGGTCAGTCAAGCTCTAATCTCTGAACCACTTTGTCGTCCGTCGCGATTCCACTGACTCGTAGGATCATCTAGTACGACATGCTGCCAACCGTAAGCTTTGTTTTTTCTCCCATCTTCCCCTCCTTTCAAGTCCAATCGGTCATGGACCCGCGACCCGCATGATTCTCCCATATTGACTCAAGATCATCGGTATCCGACCACCACTCAGACCTTTCGATCTTCATCCGTATGCCGAATGACCCATGACCCATGCCGCATGCCGCATGCCGCATCCTCATGTTCACATACCCCAGAAATTAGAAACAGATATGGAACTGATGGGGCGTAGATGCAGTAGAAACTTTTGACTGTCAAACTTGCGGAAGACCTTTCAAACGTCTCGACTTGATGCAAAGACACGAAAAGAGAAATATATGTAAATCAGGTTCTTATCTTAAACGTGATCATACTCCTACTTCTTCACAAGGCGGTCCAACAAGTTCTATATCAAATTCTTATCCTCAATCAAACAAACGTTCAGCATCTTCCATGTATCCAGCTTATCAAAATGGAGTGGTAGGTGGGAGTCATGGGTATATCATGGGATATGAAGGTATGTGGCAGAATGATCCTTGGGACGCGGTATTTAATGATGCCATTGCTGGATCGTGGGCACCAGAATCAGTCGCTAGTACAAGTGCTGTTGGTATGGGTTGGGGAGTTGGTATAGGAGCAAGTAGGATGCAGGAAAGTGCAGAAAGGGGTCAATCTGTCTTTGTGGATGGTGCTTGGTTACAAAGACTAAAAGCTGCTTATCCTGTAAGTTCATTCACTCGTATGCACCTCATCTCTCACATTTAATATCCAACATATGACGACGAAGATGTATGACAGATGTCAGAGAGAGAAATGAAGGCTGACGTTGACCAGGATATGGACCTCTCATCAACATTCGTCAATAACTCTCTTTGTGTTTATTGGTCAGACGTAGCTCCAGTATACCCTTTTATTCATCGAGGAACTTTCGACCTCTTCACCGCACCATCCGAACTCATCATCATGATGGTCATCATTGGAGCTTCTGCCAGTCATACGATTACCCAAAACTTCCGATCTATCGTCAAACGTGTTCGGGGTCAATTGGTACAACAATGCGGTCTCGACATGGCCTTGTCTACCCTTCAGACTTTCTCTCTTTGTCATATGCACGATGTTTGGTATGGGGATGCGGAAAGCTTGTTCGAGGCTCAAGTAATGTGGCCTATTATGGTGTCTCATGCTAGGAAGAAGGGAATTGGTGTGGCTGGACCACCGGATCATGAGGCCAGAGGTGAAGAAGCATGGGCCATGTGGGCAAAGGATGAAGGTGGGTTTCTCCTTCACCCTTCGTGTTGTCGTTATCATTCTCCGCTTTTCTCGCGCATCATTTATTCTTTACATACCCCTCTCCTATCTTTTCCGAACGTCTGATACAGAGAACGCAATAGCGTAGAGCATCGCGTTGCCAGCTGCCCAATAAACTTTGAAAACATCAGCTGACATTAAGAACGACGACGAGCCGCCTTCTGCGTGCTTCTGCTCGACACCCAAGCATCCATGTTCTGGAACCAACATGTATCCCGACAACTATCCATCTTCGCACACAATCTTCAACTGCCCAGTCCTCGTTCTCAATGGGAAGCCACCACAGCCTCCGACTGGATGCGTTCTCGATCTCCACCCCCTGCCTCGCCGACTTTACCCAGAGCCAAATCAGGTTACCTACCCGGACTACATCCAGAATTCATGGTCAACAACATCCCAGACGGATACGCAGCAGCAGTGATGAGTGCTTTGGGTCGAGAACGGCCTTTGCCATTCATGGTGGATGCAGAGAATAGTCTAGGTGTGGAGATGATATTGTGCGGATTGATGGCTATTGCTTGGGATTGTAGAACGAGAGGAGGTATGGGTATCAGGTTACAAGACGGGATGAAACATTGGCGTTATGTGGTTTTCCATGGTGAGTCTAAGTATAAGAAGAAAGTCAAGATTACTGATGTGTCAGCTTTGATCAACCTCCGGATCGCCTGGGAGGAAAGTACCAATCATTTGGAAAGAAGTCCGGAATTGTACAAGATTCGAGATACATTTGCGGTTTCTGTGGTTTCGGTTCTTGCGGACATCCCCATGTTACAAGTGGCCGCTGGGGCTAAAACTGTCTGTGGTGCTCCGAGTAGGTCGTCCACCATCCCTTGAACCTCCTCTTCAGATACACTTTGACCTTGGCGTCGAAGACGAGACTTTAGCTGGTCTGTGACGTTGGAAGTTACCAAGCTAACGTTCAGTCGGTGAGAGACAATTCGAAGACGCTCGACGGAGACTTCGATTATGGGCCAAAACGGACGACGCTTGGAAATGCGTTTGGCAATGTGCTAGATACCTGAAAATGGCCATTACCGGACCGTGGGGGGTATATTCTTCGTGGGGTGTCTTTCTCAGTGCGGTGAGTGCTCGACGTCTGATAAGACTTCCAAGATACTTCCTCACGACCTCATTCTCATTCTTCTGCCGTCTCAACAACGTAGCTCTCTCTATATTAAATGATGCACAGAGCGCCACTAACTTTCAGCTCGTCATTTGGTCATACGCCTGGGCAGCCCTTCCCGACACACCTCTCGCCCCACATCATCCTTGTTCCGATCTTGGTGTATGGAAATTATTCGATGATATCTTGGAAGCGAAAGATCGTCTTGATGTGATTGACGGTGGAGTAGGAGATTTGATTTCTTGTGTCGCGGAGAGACTTGAAGGTGGTGAAGAGGTAGAAAGAGAGGAAGCGAATTTGTTATGGCGTTTGATTCAATCTTGAGATTTGTCCCCCTTTCTTCTCGCCTCTTACTTCTCAAACCTTACCCCTCTACCCAATCACACATTTGCTTAACGCATAATTCATTAGCTACCTATCATATGCTTGGATATTCCATCCCCAAACAACTTTTACCTCTAACATCTATTTTGAATCTTCAAAACATCATACACGTCATACTCCATGTCTTGCCTTGACACCTATAACACCACATCTTATCATCCCTTGTTCATTCTTGTTCTGGGTGATTGATACGAGTACTATTCATTGAATATTTGGGCTTTGAGAGCCGAACGAATCTTTATGTAAAATTCATGTCTGTACTCTATCATTCTTATTTAATTTTGGGTATACAGTACAATGAGGGGAGAAATGATCATGCACCGTGTGTCAGTTAAACTAAGTGTACTCGCTCTGTTCCACTTGATACTCCTTTACACTCACTCTATCTATCATTCACAAGCACGTTCACGAGTTGTTGTAGGTTACTGTAACTTACCAGCATGCATCATACAGGATACTTTGCCAAAAGAGCCAAAGCAGAGATGGCAGAGGCCGGAAGCTGTGTCACGTGTCTTTCCGGCACCTACTGTATTGCCACTTCCGGCAGGTTAGAAAATCGAACGATTCCGAAGTTGTAAGCTCCATAATCGCATCGGATCTTGAACAACTACGCATCTGCCACACCTCACACCGCTATCACAGCCACTGAGCACTACGTCCGTAGACTATAGTGATATACGAATTATCAAAAAGACAGACATATTGGGATTTTTCTTTGGAGCGAGAAAAGTGAAAAAGAGGGGAAAAGAAAGGAAAGGAATCAATCATAAAATCAAGCCACCATCTAATCATCAACTTGTACTCTCCACCCTTCCACCCTTCCATCTTACCCCTCTTACCCTCTTGACTTCGTAGGTTCGTGGGTTTGTGGGACGTTTCATTCCACATTATTATATACTCTTCGTCATTACTCATTTCATTACACCACTTCAATTTCGGATCTACCATTTCACCCTCTTAGTGTAGAGATCGGAAAGTGGAGAACGTTCGTATACTGTACTGGATTCGACTTCACCGATATACCGACAAGTCCTGACATACCGATAATCCGACACCGAGACCGACACTCCGATAATTTCAACTACTCCACCTTTCCACACTTTCCCCTTCACCTCTAACAAATCACCGAGTTACAGAGTCATACGATACTCATTTATAACTCCCTTGTGAAGGATCTTCGTCATCCTTAAAACATCTACATACCCATTATTCATACCGAGACGCCGAGATCGAGTTTTGACATTTTCAGTGGAATTATCACCTTTCATACCATCGTATCATCTTTTCAAAATAGGTGATTGAAACGGTATTCGAATTATACCTGAAATCATCAGTCGTGGAGAGTACTAGTATTGAAAAGTGTAAACGAACAGGTCTGAGACCAAGCGATAGTGAAAGGTGAAAGGATATCAAGAAAGGAAGTCTTTATCATTGGTTTAAAAGTGATTTTATCATTCCTTCTTGACGTGTAAGCCCGGTTCTCGATATAACGTCGTGAATTGAGAACGTCCGATTGTGTTCTTGTTTTGTTTTGAACGGAATTGGACAATTACTGGAATTGGAATTGGAATTGGAATTGGAATTGGAATTGGAATTTGGAGGTGAGTGAGAATAAACATTTCTTCTTCCTTCTTTCTTCATTTCTTGAATGGGTTCCCAAGCAAGATACGTATCATCAATAAGAAAATATACACTACGTCCTTCATTTCACACTGTGGTCTCGGTAATAATTGACATCGTAGATCATTTGCTATCCCTCCGTTTGGGTCGTTCGGCAAACTACGCCAATTTTCGATTCATATCTCTGACAATAACCAACTTCTTCACTCTTTCCACCACATTGTCGTCCTTCTTCAGCTAAATCCTCGGTGCTAGATCTCCGCTTTCTTGATATCGAGATACTTTTCAAGATCAACCAAACCCCACATTCCCCTCCATTTGGTTGCTACACCAACTCTTCTCATCTACTTTGATAATTCAAAATTGTCCCAAAATGGGTTCTTGTTTCTCATCACCTGAACCTAAACCCAATACTTCCGAACCGAAACAACCACCTTCCACTTCACCCACCAGTCCTACAGGACCATCAACGAACAAAGCGACGGAAGAAGATGGAGGTGCACAAGGTATGGCAGCTGCTTTAGCTAGCATCGAAGGACCAGGCGAGAGAAATAGGAGTAACGCTATTGATAGACAATTGGAAGACGATCAGAAAAAGTTTAAAAGGGAATGTAAGATTTTATTACTTGGTGAGTTTTTTCAAAACTTGCTCCACATTCCTTCTTTGTAATCCTGTTATTTGTCGATCTCCATGTCATATCGTTCCCTCTACAAGTGGATGTTTCTATGTCTCTGTCTTGAAACAGATATGATGATCACTTTACGTATCCATATCATCTACAAGGAATCAAGTGTCATGGATTTAGCCACAGGGTTCTCCTTGGACAAATATTTTGATTGGAGGAGAAAAGAGTAGAGTAGAACGCGACTGACTCACAGGATCCGGTGAATCAGGCAAATCCACAATTGTCAAACAAATGAAAATCATCCACCAAAACGGTTATAGTAAAGATGAGTTGTTGAATTATCGAACTACCGTCCATAAGAATTTACTCGACTCGGCTCAGGCTTTATGTATGGCAATGCGGAAATTGGGTGTGGATGCGGAGGACCCGAATAACAGAGTGAGTGACTTTTCTCTTCGCTTTCTTTTCTCTCTTGCCTGACAAGTTTTCAACCTCATGCTCTTGTCTCAGTAATCGTTCAAATTCAAATCCATCATCGTCTGGATCCCTTGTCTTACTGCTCGACCCCTCTTGCTATCTTTCCATCGCGCCCTTTTCCTCTTCACCCAATATGAGACTCCATTCCCTCCTTGCCCTTCCATTGGTCAGGTATGACGATCGTTTGTGAATTCTGTCACAAACTCTAGAAATGATCTTGGAGTCGTGTGTTTGACCTACCAATGAAAGTATATGGCTTAGCAGTATCATTTCTAACTCGCAGCAATACGCAGACCGGATCCTGGAATACAAACTCGATGCCGATCCCATGGCCTTGGTTTCTCAAGAAATTTTAGGCGCCATCGAAGCGGTATGGCATGACCCCGTCATCCCAAGCGTCATGGATCGTTCCTCAGAATTCTATCTCATGGATTCAGCTACTTATTTCTTCGCCAACATACGTAAAATCGGCGCACCGGATTACATACCTGATGAAGCGGATGTGTTAAGGGCGAGAACAAAGACGACTGGGATAAGTGAGACGAGATTCAATATGGGACAATTGAGTATACACATGTTTGATGTAGGTGGACAAAGGAGTGAAAGGAAAAAGTGGATACATTGTGAGTTGTCTCAATCCTCGGTTTCTCAAAATGACCCAGTCACTCTGGCTGATGTGCAAGGTTTCGAAGCTGTCACTTCTATAATCTTTTGTGTTGCTCTGTCGGAATACGATCAAGTTCTACTAGAGGAAAATGGTCAGAATCGAATGCAAGAATCGTTGGTCTTATTCGAAAGCGTGATCAATTCAAGATGGTTCCTTCGTACTTCAGTAATATTGTTTTTGAACAAGATCGATGTTTTCAAACAGAAATTACCAAAAGTTCCTCTGGTACATTATTTCCCAGAATACACTGGTGAGTTTTTTGGTCTTCTCATTTATCAATGTCTTTGTTATCTATCCTCCTCCATCTTGATTCGTTTCAGCACTATTTCAGTCTCAAAACATGATATGGGGCAAACGCAAGTTTGTTAGCTCGATGAATCATCATGAAAACAGCTTCAATAGTCATATGATTGGGTCGTACGGGGTCTTCATTAGAGGGAAAACCTGACAGGCAGGTGGAGCAGATATCAATAAAGCTGCTAAATACATTTTATGGAGATTTACACAAACGAACCGTGCTCGTTTGAGTGTTTATCCACATTTGACACAAGCTACAGATACTTCTAATGTAAGCTTCTCTTCTTCCCCGTGGATAAAATCACACCTCCACTCCATAATCTTTTCACAGATCAAATTATCAATTTCTAATCTTTCGAACGAGCGACAATCACTGCGTCCTCAAAGCTGATGAATAGATACGTTTAGTTTTCGCTGCTGTGAAAGAAACTATACTTCAAAACGCTTTAAGAGACAGTGGAATCTTATAGGTCTACCCTCTTTCCACTCACACACTTGTTTCTCCCTTACCTACGTCTTGTCTTCATCCTTCGTTCTTCACCATTGTTTCGTTATCTCTTGGTCATACCATCACTCTTCCTTATTTGATGATTGATCCATCAAACTTCTTTCTCCCCTCCCCTCAAACCACACACGTCTTATCTCAAACCACGAGTGAACGAGTGATCCCAAATTTATCATCCTGTCAATTCACATTCACTTCCTACCTTTCGATAAGAATCAAATACCACACGTCTTTCCCCTCGCAACCTATGTATTCAAGAGAGATGAATGGACAAAGAGTGAAAAGAGTAGGATACGTAGCAATAGGAACACCTATGATTCTTGTATGGATTTTATTTGCTTGTTCTTTCCCCTCCCATCGCTAGTCCATCACATGTGAATCACATTTGGTCAAGTATGTCCAAGTGAACCCTATCTACGTTACCCCACCACGCATTGTAAATAGTTTCGCATATTTTTCACACGTCCGACATACTGTAACTTATATAAGTGCGATTAATTCCATCTATGTGCTCATCCTCCATCTGACCTCACTTGGGCGGCACGTCACATGTTACGCATGCAACATGCAACTCCTTGCTTTACTACTCGTGCCAATGGCGATGAATGGTACTGTACATATCGGACAAATACGTCTATACCCTAGAGTACTCTGAGTCTGAGTCTATCTGATAAACCTCCAACTGGCGTCATAGAACATATGACATTCAGTCACGCCTAATCTCGTCATTCCTTTCAAGGGTTTATCCGAGAATTCGAGGTTTGTCTAAATTCCTCATCTCGGTCTCTCACATTCTCATACTTCCCCTGTCCATCCTCCCCTCTTTATGCAGACCATTGACCACACACACACACTCTCTCTCACTTTTCTTTCGTAAAAACCTGTACATATGTACATACTGATCTACTGAGCAGTTCGGGCCAAATTTAACTTACTTGAAAGGGCAGGTCACCTCGGCGTTCGGCGTCGGTCCGACCGGGGAAAGGTAGGAAATTAGGAGACATCTTAAGGTACCGACCGAGTTTATCAGTCGAAAGGGAATTTCGAATTTTCACCTGCTTCCTATCTTCACTCCATGCATTCGGGTACTCGGAATGTTTTTAAAGATGACATGAGGATTCGTATTTCAAGTAAGCTTACGACTTTTGTTTTCCCAACTGGACACTTCTATCACCCTTCTTTTTCAAGTAAGCTTAAGATCTTCCACACGAGTTGTTGAGAAAGGAAAGAAAAGAAATCAATCCATCAAAACATCAACACATCAGACGTTATCTTTACATCAGTTGCTAGGAACTTGAGAATCTCAAGGATCAAGTAAATCATCAAAATCTTTCCATACGCCCTTAAAGGACTTAGGTCTTATCTTTCTCCTCTCATCCTCTCTGATCCTCTAATCTTCTGAGACATATAAATCCTGGTGTTTCTCCTCAGTTGACTCAATCTACAAGACAAAGAAACGCTTTTCAGTGCAATCTCGAAATCAAGAGTAATCGGGGTATCTCGTCGTTTGGGTTTCTTAGATAAATATCATACAACTTCGGTACTTCGAATAAACTCAAATTGGAGTAGACCAGAAGGAAGAAAAGATAATCATGTCGAAAACTCGTAAATTACTCAATTCCTTATCTCGAAGTATAAATCCCACAACAAGAGCTCAAGTAAGAACGACACTCACACTGTCCAATCCCACAAAATCGAGTTTTGGATATACGACAGATTCACTTCAACCACCTTATCAACATTCTATAGAGACTACAAGTCTTCGACCACCTTATCATCATTCTTTATCTTTTCAAAGTTCACGTATAAGAGCAGGGAGGAAGTATGTACTTGCTGATTCTGATATCGGAGAAGTTGTTGGATCGGCAGGATCGACGAAAGGGACGGAAGAAAGTTGGAAAGAATGGGCTGGGGAGATGTTGAGTGATGAACAAGGGCGAGAAGAGTTGGAGAGAAGTTGGAGAAATGTTTTAAGAGATTTAGAGGGGGTTAAAACTTCTGGAGTGAGTGTTGTTTCAGATTTGACTTTTATCTTATCGTAATCGACTATTTCTTCCGGTGATCAGAATATGGGCCATGGGAAAGCTCTCCGTCTCAGGTAGTAAAGGTACGTTGGGATGATAATGCTGAAAGAAGAGAAGGAGAGAGGAGAGACGGAGAGACGGAGAGAAGGAGAGAAGGAGAGAGGAGAGGAGAGAAGGAGAAGAAGAAACTGATTCATAGATACAAGTCCCGGATATCCCTTTTCATTCTCTCTCACATCACCTCACGTCGTCTTCACTTGGTGCTATTAAGAACGCAGGGGTGGTGGTAATTCGAGATGTAATACAAGATTGGGAAGCTATAAACTGGGCTAGAGATATTTTGACTGCTTTAGAGGAAACTGAAGGGAGACGTGAGTCATATTCTGACTTCTACTTGTACTCTTTTCTTTCCCTCCTCTCTCTCTCAGGGCATCACCGCCCACCTCTACTCTGCATCAAACTGGCCCGTCGCTCCAGTCCCTCTTCATCATGAAAATTGATAGCGGTTCTCTCTCGTCCCTACACCATCTGACATGCGACAGACTAGGCCGACCATGGGCACGATGTGAAGGGATGTTTACTGACCTCAGCGCTATATTGGCACCCTTCCCTACTTACCGCTCGAGCTCATCCTTCCCTTCTCTCCGCACTTTCTCAAATCTCTCTCGCTTTGTTATCCAGCGAAACCAACTACATTCTCTCCGAACCTATTCAAACCACTCTTCACTCTTCTCCTTCTCTTCTCCCTCCTTCTTCAAACCCATATATAGTCAACCCATCTCTTTCCCCTATATCATCACTTCAACTTCATCTCACTCTTTCTCCCTCCTCTCCAATCTCCACTCACACCATAACACCCAGTATCCACGCTGCGACATACGCATCACTCCGACCTCTTTTCAAACCTATTCAAAGCAAGATATCTCTATACGATCCTACCCTCTATCTCTCACCTTCCAACTGGACTTTAATACCTTCGTCCTCTCTTCCTCACATTTCCACAGAAGTTTCTTTACCACATCTACAAACCACCTCTATACCTACTTTACATCCTGGTGATGTGATAGTTCGTCATGCTGCTTTACCAGTGTTAGGAGAAGGTGAACAGGTATTCCTTCCTATCACCCCGTTACGCGATACGGAAGCAAACAAGGAATTCATCAAGAAACAAAGACAAGCTTTCGAAAGAGGTTTACCACCACCTCATGCGAGAGTAGGATTGGCGGTACAGGAACAAGAAGGGTCAGTGGGGATGATAAGGAGTAGTGGAGGAAGGAGAGTCATGGGATATGAACTTTGAACCTGGGTTTTCTTATTGAGCTATCTTCAGTTGATTTTTGTAGCTTTGTAAACTTGGCTTGTTTTTGGTTGTTAGCTGGGAAGGGAGAGATGTGTTTATTCATGTCATTGGGCTTCTTGTGAGGTTTATACGACTGTCAGATCTAGGTATTCGACAACGAACAACAGATGTATATAGATGACCTGAAGCCACTTACGTCACGTGTTTTCATCCTTCGACTCAAATTCTTCAACCGCCCCTAACTCATGTTCGATAATCTCTCAAAACATCCTCACATACATACATCTATAGTCTTTTCAATACTTGTGCAAACTTCAATACGTATCTTTTAACCATTACAGTGATAATCATCGACAAAGCACAAGAAAACACGTGATTCTTCCCGCAACATCGAACCGTCACACCACCTTCTCTTTCATCAACCCAGAACCCATTTTCAATATCTCTTAATTTCTTTTTGTACTTGACAACCACCAGCCTCACGACATATCGTATACATTCAATTTTCAGAAAGTGAATCTCACGATCTACCACTAAAGAGTCTCACGAGATCAGGTCGACGTGAAAGTCCCACGTGTACGATAGAAGATCAAATCGGGATGGGGTTATTAGATTGGTTACCATGTTGCGGACCGAGGGATAAATCAGTTTCTACTTCACCTGTAAGTGTATATATCTTCTACATACGAAACTATCTCTTCCTCTTCTTTAGCCACCCTTCTCTCCAGTCCTTTAATCAGTTTTGTTTCTACCTTCCACCTGAATTTTCTTACCCATCACCTCTCTTTCCCCTCAACACCACCCTCCACATCTTGTGCGAGATCTCGTGCCAAACAGTCTTTATACTACTTGTCTTTTGGAGCGAAGAGGACCCTTTTAACGGAATGAGTTAAAAGAATTTGCGAATCCAGACAAGTCATTGTAGAATATAAAATCGGAAATGAGAGGAAGGAAAAGATTCTCTTGGCTGACGTTAAGACACCAAATCAAGAATCCACAACACTCCTTCCTCCTCAAAGGGAAGACTCCATAGTATCGGAGAATGGTTATGGTGCTATTGTTGAATCTGGAGGAGGACAAGGAACCAATTTATCAAAAGAACAAAAACAACGTATAGGTGATATTGGACGTGCAGCTGGCAAGTGAGTCAAACGTTCCATTCGAAACTTGATCTCTGATATTTTTTCCTCTCTTGTCTACATCCCCAACACCTTTTTCTTATATGACTCTTCTTCTCACGGATTTGATGTCTATTTCATTCGACAGCCTCTTGTATGATATAGAGATATCGTGTGAGGAAATCAGAAACTAGCATATTTCCAATGCAACTTCGTTGTATTGCACCCTGCCCTTTTATCAAGATCAGCCCGAACGATCGAGATGTCACGGGTCAGAAGTCTCCCCCATTGCCTCTGGATTAAAGAACATCGAGAATAAACCTCAACACGCAGAAAAGAATATCCTTGCTGACCACACCAGTCAAATGTTACCCATCGGAACACTCAGACCTCGAACCACACCTCGAACAGTTTCAGCAGCATCAGCGTCATCAGCCTCTTCATCACGTCCCAGCTCTCCTAGTCCATTACGTCCTGAGACTTCGCCGCCAGGGGGGATCATTCGAACGCCGGAACTTGATCGTTTGGCACCGGCTCAGACGGAGGAAGAGGGGGTGGTGAAGAAGAGTCTGTTCGGTCCGGGGAGAAGTACGAGTGGTACGAATCGTGGGAGAGGTAGAGGTAGAGGTAGGGGGAAGGGGAAATAAATTGCGGATTCTCTACTTGCGAGCTTCACTCTGAGAATATCTTGTTCTGGTTTGACTGATATGGATTGTATGAAGACGGTCGACAAAAGGCGGGAGCTACTGGAAGCATGTGAGATTTGAAGAGAGGAGATGAAGACATGTTAAAGGAAAGAAGAGCGAGGGTGAAAACTTGGACATGGGTCACAAGGTGATTAGTTCGGGGGGCATCAGGAGTGGAGAGGGTGTGTGGAAGGTGGATGAAAAGGTTTGAAATCAATCATCATAAAAACGAATCCTCATATACCCATATTCTGTTGTACCCAGCATTTGACAATTCATGATGCAGCTGCATGCTGTTTGCGGTTCATGTATCACTTCGGTGGTATCAATCACGAGCCTTGTGCTTGCTTGTTCTGGTAGCATAGGATCATTCTGCTGGCAAGATTGCATGCTGTCTAGATGATGTACTCTAAATCTTAATGGATTCTGTGAATTAGCACACGTCAAAATTCAACATCACCCTAAACCCATCCCTGATACTCGTCGACAATTACAAGAGATGCGAAGAGATGATATGTTTGTGATGGGAGGGATAAAGGAATCAACAGTACGAGTACTCACCGGTTTTGACAACTTTTTGAAGATCTTGTTCAACTCCCCAAACATGAGCACGAAGATCAAGTAATTCAATATGTAATCCGTCCTACCCATTAGCACATTTCTCATTTATATCCATCCTCTTTCATCCAGACCGTCAAAAATCGGTCACTCTGGGACTTCGAATAATTCCTCATGATATTCCGAGCCTCAGTCGCCCTGCTACACTCAACTTCTCCTGCACATCTCCTTCGTATTGATAGTCGCTTTTGTAGCTTCGTCTCAAATATAACAGAGACGGAGTGAGAAACAAGGAGTAATTAAACTTACATAAACTTTCTTCATCTCTTCCCTCACCTTGGATACATCATCTTTAACAGCTGTAGAAGTTTTCAGAGATGCTATTTCTTTCTCGACGGTTTGTAAACGGTCTAAATGGGATGTGATCTACTATCAGCCATGGTTAACCCTCTCCCTCAATCCTCACATATGTAGCTCACTCTTCATACATCACCCACTTCCTTCTGATTCACACATCTTCGCAGTAAGGTCTTTTCGATCCTGAATCATGAAGACGAAAAGATCCTAGATCCAGGGGGCGAGGGTAAGAGAACCGTCAAACCCACCTTACTTGCGCCTTGTTGTAATTCATCTACGCTGGCCATCAATAACCCCGTGGCTACTTTATTCTCTTGTTGAAGGTAATAAAGTCCTAGGGATGTCGCAGCGGAGAACCCGAAAAACTATATCATTGTTAGCTTATATTGTTTAGCTTCTACCTCTCGCTCCTCTGGCAGATGGGTTAAAGCTGTTTCCATTTTTACTATAAATCTTCTTCATCGGTTCGTACTCCCCAGCAGAAGCAGGAAGAAAAGAGTTTGAGCGTTTAGAGCTTGTAGCTCAGGTTTGCATGGTTATTGAATGCGCCTCGACTTTTTGTGACTTGAGACGAAGAGGGAAAAAAACGCACAAAGCCTAGAATACCACCACTACTCGTCAACTTCATTCATTCACACTCTATGATTGACATCAGTCGGTGTGTACGAGCCAGAAATGATTGAAATAATGTATGAGGGGAGAAAATGACGTACCGGAATCCCCCGACTGGACGACGAACAGGAGCAGGTCCGACGGTACCTATGACTTCTTCTCTGACTCTAGGCGTGGAAGAGAATGCCCTACTGCTCTTCCGTAGAGTTCTCGGGACCAGACGTAGGCTCATGATACTCATTCGGCTCACTGGGCCGTGGTTTGACAACAAAGAAGGATTGGAATGAAAAGTCGAGTGAGAAAATGAAATTGGTCTTTGTGATTTCGATTTTGAGATCTCCTTCAACCTGTTTCCATCCTCCATTGGTCACTCCTCTTCCTTGCTTCCCACCTTGGTCACGATCGATAAATGAACCAACGTTAGGATTAACGTACAACGCTACAAGTTGACAGCTAATAGGTGTATAGGTGTACTGTTCACGCTCTCCACCATGTCATCTCATTCCTCTCGCTCAAGTGCTTAAATGACCAACCTTCTTCCTGCTCAAAATCAAAATAATGTTTATATCGATTCATACCTATCCACCTACCCTTTACCCCCTGAACCTCCTCCTCCTCCAAACCATACATCAGATCCGTCGTATCATCATGTTCAACACCACTTTGAATCGGGTGGACCACATTATTGGTCTCAAACAACATCCGAAAGTTCCAGTCAAGTTCAAGATTACCCATCAAATAACTTGACGACCGTCAGAACTGATTTTTCTCACCTTGACGACCATGTCCAACGATACTACTCGTATCCCTCTCAAATCGGAACGAATATCGACGACAACTCACAGTCATTTATCAGATCAGACATGCCCCATTCCGTCATTATGCAACTACAAAATCGTCAACAACATCATACCGATCAACATTCCGATACTTCAGATTCTGTCGATTCGACCGTTCCATCATCCAACACGGACAATCCGCAAGGTTTATCAGTAGATGGCGAAGTTTCTCAACCTTCTCATTCTTCACAAATCACTCACACGTCAAACCCTAAATCTTCCAGACAGGTACCAACGCCCCATGATCGAAAAGACCATGTTCAACCTGATCAGATCTCAAGACAACATTCATCGTCTCAATCCACTTCTGATCTATTAGACACCCAAGGTAATTTTCAAATAGGAGTCACTTGGGCACCAGGTCCATCGACCGTTACACGTTCGTCTACCAGTGCTGGATCATGGGGAACTTTACCTCTCCAAACGGAGACCACTCAACTCAAGGATAATCCCTCATCGTCTGTAACGGGGGATGTCAATTCAGCCGTTTCTGAGAGAGAAGAGGAGGGAGATGGAAAAAGGCAAGGAATGTCAGTTGAATGGATGGCTCGTCAAGGATGTAAACATCATTTCAGTGCACCTCAACATACTCTAAAAGGACCATATGGTAATCGACCTCCTTGTGTCGAAGGACGTCATGCCGATTTGATGGGAGTACGAAGAGTTGGACAAGATAGTAACGGGCGTTCATCACCTATAGGTACCAACGGTAGGGTGGTAGTGGATGAAGCAGGGTCACCTATGAGAATACCCCTTACGACACCCTCAAAATCCACAAGAGCTAATAGACTCATGGCCAATGGTTTGAATACGAATGAACATGGACATACTGGGATGTACATGCATACTATGGCTTCGAAAAGGGGCGAAGGTGATAGCCTGGAGGACAACATACAAGCAACTATCATGAATGATTCTCTTGGGTGAGTAAATATCAATGACCGCATCTTTACACTCCTTTACCCAAAGCTGCCTTTATGTTCATCCTTTGTCCTATTCGATACTACACGCAGTTTACCACTCTCCTATTTTGCTCTATGATATCTCAAGCATCTTCTCCTTCTCCTTGTGCCTTCCCTGCCATCGTTCTATGAAAAAAGACCAAACGACCTATTCTCTGGAATATTGACATATTGGAAGGAGGATCATCGCTGACATGGAATACCTTATCTTTTCTCCCAATCCCACTACTATACCTCCTACCGCCCATGTCGTCCCTCCCAGCCCAACGCCCGTTAAGCAAGCAGGACGTTTACTCATGATGGATTTCGCAAGTTGTCTCCGGTATCAGCAGGTACGTGTCCTTCCCCATCCACGATCACTTCGCCATATTCCCATTTACATGCTCTTCAGGCAGTATTTGTCCCATATGGGCGCTCTGGTTGTCTGTGTCGTGGTCGGAGTTGGGTAGCAACTTATGCCAGGGTGCCACTTTGGAGGAATGGCAGTCATTGATCAAACGGTTCTTCACTCCCGATGCAAGGTTCGAACTGTCTTTATATCCGTCAAACGCCGATGTGGAGCTTTACGGTGAGGCTTCCGCTGACTTTCCTTCTCCATGTCACTTGTTTATGCCCGCAATTACACAAATTTCTTCCATTTGTCCGATAAACGTTTGAATTTGATAGCACGGTTATTGTATCGATGTTAACAAACATCAGATCTCCCTTCACAACTTCTCCCCGTGCTGTTGGGAGGGATGAACGAACAATGCCTCTCCCAGTGTCTCAGTATCTTTAATCTGGAAGAAACCTGGTCAGACCACATTCTCACGTTGACAATACACGATCTGGAATGGCGGTTCGTCTATCCTGACAGTCAACTGGTTTGGACGGCAAGTGCCGACGTCGAGCTAGTCTACACGCCCGGTGGAGAGTTATGTATAAGTAGGTTCGTTTTGAATGTCAATACTTGGACCAAATCGGGAGATGTGGAGACAGACGAATGTGGGTTGTTGTTTAGTTTGGGAGAAAGATTGAATTGGTGTGAGGAAATGGAGGAGATGATGCCAATATGGAAAGAGGTCCAACAGACAGGGGATGATCCTCGGGGTGAGTTATCAATTCTTGGCATATTTTCCCTCTCTTCCTCCCTCTCCCACCCTCTCCCTCCCTCCCTCTCCCTCCCTCACGTTTTCCCTGTTGCCCCTCACATCCTACCTGTTGTCTTTCACTTCAAGTAATCTATCAACTCTCATCTTCCATGGGCATTATTCACGCCCAACTACGAGCACCCTGTACGATGTACCTCCACTTTCTTGTTGGAAGAGTAGCTTGCTAAATGATCCGCAGATGTCATGAACCGTTTATTACGTCCTCCCTGTCCCACTGCCTAATCAACGTCTTTAACGCCGAATTCCGAGACTTTGTGACGATATCGGGATGTATTGAATAAGAAGATAGGCGTATATTCGTACCTTATGCAAGTACTTTATTCCCTCTTTGCGTTTCCCCACTTTCCCCACTTTATTGCCCGGATTTGGTGTTGCCCGCTTGCTTCTGACAATCTATCTATGTACCTCTTTTCCCCTATCTTCTCTCTTCACATCTCTCCACATAATCATATCTTACAAGTAATATCACTTCTAACCGCGTTTCATAATCAGGACATCCATCTATCTTTATTGACTTGTGAATATTGGTCATGCCGCCTTCCCACTCCACCTTCACTCATCCCTCTTTGCCGGACAAACGACCTTTAGTGAAAGAGTTTGTGGGATTGAATCTGGATCAATTACGTACACCTGCTTTGGTGATTGATCAAAGTATCTTTCAAGAGAATTGCGAGCGATTGACGAGGGAGGCAAAGAGCAGAGGAATGAGATTCCGAGCACATGTGAAGAGTAAGTTTCCGTATCTTTTCTTCCCATCATCATCATTCGTCACTTTCGACTATATCAAAATACATCGATGGCCTTACCATATGCTTTCGTCTTATCAAACCCACGATTGATCTCAAGTATGGAGGTACAAAGGGGGTAAGGTGGAATGACTCGGTCGGACAAGAAAGTTTCAAAGAGGAATATGAAGCTGAGACAGAGCGCACAAAACGATAGAAGGTACAAGGATCCAGCTTGGGGCAGGGGGAGGAGTAAAAGCTGTGGTTTGTTCTACAATGGTGGAAATATGGCAGATAATACAACATGGGTTGGTGGAAGAGGGTTCAGTCAATGATGCGAGTTTCTTTCCAGATCTTATACATTCAATCAACCTCATAATCTACATCCTCTCTTCATCCCACCCTACCTTCTATAAGAGATTTTAGAACCATGCCTGATAATCGTTATTCCTGGGGGCGTTTAGTATAGTGGTAGAAGTATAATGGTTCGAAGGACTAAGTGAAAGCCCATTGTGATGAGGTGCAGAGAGAAGACTGATTTTCATAGATCTTATATGCCATGCCTGTCTCCCTCGATAAGATGGAAGATCTTCACAATGCTCAATCAGAAGTGAGGGACAAGGCAGTAATCAGATTGATGGTAGATCATCCGACTCAAATCGAAGCTTTGAAGAACTTCAACGAGAGAAATGGTTTGAGAAGAAAGTGGAGTGTTTTCATCAAAGTCGATGGAGGAGGAAAGTGAGTTTCATTATCGCTCATCTTCTCCCTTCTTTTTCCACGGGGTCGCCAAAATCTCACAAGCCTCTGTCTGATGGCTCAATCACATTAAAGAGTCATTCACTGGAAGGAAGTAAGATACACTTCCATTTGTAGGATATCTGACATTCTGAAAATGAGCAGCAGGGTTAAACGGTGTGAAGACTGATGAACTAGACGAGCAGGACTTCCATCAGATAGTAAAGAAATGAAAGATCTCATCGCTCTTTGCCTCTCTTCTAGTCACGTTGAAATATTTGGGTTTTATTCTCGTACGTCTTCCCCCTCCCCTCTCTGTCCTTCATGTATGATAGCTCTTGGAAATGGTCCCTTCACGGTACTCGTCAAGTCATATCTTGGTTCAGAAATTGTAAGAAAGAACTCGGGATTGTAGAGGAACATTCATGTGGAGTGATCTGACCAGACAGATTTTGGCCAATCTTACACTTCCGACTCACTTGACAAAGCTTCAACTTACTTTTACGGTGAAGTAGAATGTGTGAACCTCGCTGCTCGCTCAGCTAGAGATCTTGGCTTCACCGGAAAATTGGTGTTATCAGTAGGAGCTACGCCCACTGCACATGCCGCTACCCGACAATTTTTCATGCCTAAAGATTTGGAGGGAGAATTAGAATTGTGAGTTCTTCTCATTAGATTTATTCACTTTTTCCTTTCTTCCCTTACCTAACTTCTACATGACACAAGAAACAGAATTCCGCTGAACGTGGTCAACTGAATGTGGTCAGTTAGAAAGGCGTGATCAGGCAGAATATCGCAAAAGATATCAGATGTTGATATATAGACACGCAGGAAATTATTGCATGTTGGATCTACAACAATTACACACCTCTCTCATTTCCCCATCAGACATAGCTATCACAGTCTTGACTCGTATCATCTCCCTTTATCCTTTGAGGGACGAAGCTCTTTGTGATGCAGGAGCTTTGGCAATGTCGAAAGATACTGGACCCATTTCGGGATACGGAAGAGTTGTTTTTCCCATCAGTGCGAGGGGATGGGATTTAGGTAGGATATCACAAGAACATGGGATTTTAGTACGGAATCCTTCCCGTGTTTTGGCTCCCCACATCGATCCAGCACAATCCTCAGAAGGGATTACAGGGAGGAAAAAGAATGTGGATCGAGTGGAAGTAAGGGGAAAGAAAGTGGAAGATCAGGAAGAAGAGATTGTGGAAAGGAATGGACTTGAAATAGGGGGATTAATTAGGATAATCCCACAACATGCTTGTTTGACATGTGCTTCATTCCCTTGGTTTTATGTAGTGGATGGAGGAGAAGAGGTGGTAGATGTTTGGATACCATGGAAAGGTTGGTAGAATTCTCATAACTATTTGATCTCTTTGACGGTATGTCAACGATGAATACCATTATCATTATCATTGTAAGTTTAGATGAAGCGTTACTCACACTACTTGGCGGAACTTTCAGTAGAGGAGAGGAAGGTGTCAAGGGTGTTGCAGATTGTTGAAAGGGACTTGGTTTGTGAAGTGGCTGGGAAATTGGAAGATGGAAGGAGGATAGAAAGAGCGAGGATGTTGAGAAAGAGAAGAAGGGAGTATGAGCAGGTGGGGTTTGACCCGGATGAGCATCAAACTTGGAGATAGGTAAGAGGAGATTTTGAAGGGTTGAAAATGACAGTGGAAATGAGGAACATCGTTAAGAATGTTTAGGATATGGTGGAGCCGAACGAATATATTAAGTTGATTCTGCTACCTGGAAGATAGTAAGACTAGGTTGAAGACAAACATCGACGTGGAACTCATGATGACCTTTCAACCGGATGGGGTAACAAAGTGAAAAGAAAGAATATGAACAAGTGTACATCTAACAAGCATGAGCATAGCATACAATCCCAAATCACTTCCGATACCCAATTAAAAGACCATAGTAACAAATCACACAAATCCCAAATCACTTCCGATAACCCACTTCCTACTCGTATCAATTAACCTTCCCATCCATTCTCCTTCTCAAAACTTTACCAGCTCTAACATCCATCATTCTTCCTTCATCCACAACTACGACTCCATTGACTAAAACGAATCTTATCCCCTCTGCTTTCTGCTTTGAAGAATGGAATGTCGCTGTATCCTTTATTAACTCCGGATGGAATAAAACGAGATCAGCGGCAGAACCTTCTGCTATCAAACCTCTGTGAGGGTATATACCAAGACGTTTGGCGGGTCTGGAAGTGAGATGGGAGATCATCTCTGGGATTGACATGAGTCCTAAATCACGAGCGTAATGTCCTTATATATCAGCATTTTATTTGATCTCTTATTTTGAGGGAAGGGAGGGGTGGTGAGTGTGTTTGGGACTTACCGATGAATCGGGGAAATGTACCGTAAGCCTGTTACAAAGTCAACTCTACTTATATATTACGTGAGAGGGGAACGCATAATTGTCCTGGGATGGGAGGTAGGAGAACAGGCGGGGTATGCCAAAAAGGTTTGTACTCTGAAGGGGGTATGGGTAAGGGAAGGAGAAAAAGAGGGAGGAATGGTCTGGAAAAACTCACTCTAGGATGTAATGTTTCTCCATGAAGTATAGCATCACTACCACTACAATGTGTTTCATGTAACATCATCGCCCTCACATTATCTTCATTTCCCACGTGCATGATACAACTGGTAGCTAAACGGTCTTTGAATAAAACGTCGAAGAAGATTTGGATTGGTGGTACGCCTAGGTTCCTGGCTAAGTCTCCTATTCGTCTTCCTCCGTATCCTCTCAAATCAGGATGAGTGGTAGTTCCTATCTTTTCCATCAGACATTTCTTTTCATCACTCTTCGCCGGCTTTCTTACCCTAATTTGGGTGTAAAGATAAAGAAAACCAGTCATCATGGTGGATCATGCTAGATAAGAAGGATGGACATGAAAAGAGAGTAAGGATGCTCACTTGAATTTCATCCCAATTAGTAGGTATACCATGTCCTCCATCACACCCTTTAACCTCCACAGCCAAACGAATTTTCTCCCGAGTCACTTCATCTTGTAATCGAAACATCACTTGATCGGGTCCTCCACTACTCGCCCAACTGGGTAACAAAGCCGAAAGAGTCGTACATCCTGGTAAATAGGGATAAGTGTCTAATGTGATGTCGGCACCCTTTGCACGGGCGTGGTCGATCATCCCGATCAACCGTGGGGCCTTTCCCTTGTTTTCGGAAAAGTTGAGAGTGGCATGGGTTAGGTCTGGAGGTTTAGCTTGAAACTTTTTTTCAAAGTAGACAGCTTTCAAGTGGGGGAAGTGTCCAAGAAGAAATTAGCTGATGTGAGCTGGGGCGTGATTCAGAGTTGTGACGGGACAGTGCGATAGGAGGAGAGGAGACACACGAATAGGACAACCAGTTTGAAGACCCAGCTTCAACATCTCATCATAACTCTCTAATGCTCGATGACCATAACTTCGATGATGAGGAGCATAATAAGCACCTGGATACTCTATCGCAAGTGTCCGACAGAGCACCGCCAATTCAGAGGTTGAAGCATACATCCCTGGAGTGTATGTCAAGCCACTATGGTCGTTAACTTACACTGACGCAGACCAAGAGAGACTCACCTAGACATTCCCACTGCACCTTCATCCATGCACTGTCTGAGAAGGTTCACTTGATCTTGTATTTCTGCTGGAGATGCTTGCTCGTCAAACGGTCCACAAGCCAATAGTCGAAGATTTCCCTTGAGTGCGTCAACTTCGTTCGGGATAGGATGAGTGGATGATGAGGGGACTTACTTGTGGAACCAGCCCGGCAACATTAGTAGCAACTCCATTCCTTTCCAAACAATCGAGATATTGCCCCAAAGTCCGCCATTCGAAAAGACCTTTTCCGGGATAAATAGTATGGCATTCTTCATCCGTAGGTGAACCGTTCCATCCTGCTATCTGCTTACGTATAGAATTGAGTTGTTGTGGGTTTCGTACGGGTGCATAAGATATACCATCCTGACCTATAACTTCGGTCTACACAGTCAGCTTTTGACCTGTTCGCTCAGCTGAGTATTTAGAAAATGAGGGAGGAGGAGGAAAGGAAAGATTTACCGTACAACCCTGAGAGAGCTTTGCTTCGTGTTTAGGATGAGTGAGGAGGTAAAGATCGCTATGAGCATGTAAGTCGATGAATCCAGGACATAATACGTATCCTTCCGCTTGAATAACCCGAGCAGTCGGAACGACTAATGTGTTAGAAGGAACGATCCGCTTTATTACACCTTCTGATACGAGCACGTCTGCCTTGTATGGGGAGGTATCGTCACCGGGTATGACGAGTGGAGATCGGAAGATGATCGAAGATGGTTTTATCATGACTTGTCGTGATGATCAATGAGCTTTGAAGTTGTTGGAGTGGCGAAGTGTTGACTAGATGACTTTGAGATACTGGAGAAATGGAACAATAACCGTTGAAATGGAAGACAAAATCCAAGAGATGGAAGGGAGATGCTGGGTGCTTCCAGAAGACGGTGAAGGGGGATTAGAAGGTAAGAGAGAGGTCGTAATGATCACAGATGACAAAGGAGAGGGATATATATATACACATGATGAAGGGTAAAAGAGTTGATTTACAAGCAATAGGCAGTAGAAGAGAGACATGTTGGGATTGTGTCTCTCCCCCGATGTTGATGGTTCAAAGTGGGGGAGTGGGGAAAGGGAAGGGAAGAAGAAGATTATGAGTTAATTGGTAGATGTCTATCTATTCTCCGTTGATCGTTGACCGTTGACATCATCATCATGGCTTACACATCTGAAAGTAAAGTAAATGTCATGACAAGGTGAGGATGTACGACTACGACTAGCTACTACTATCAACATCGGAGTGGGAATCTGGTACCGAGTACCTAGACGGTCAAGTTAGTAATACTATTTTGTCGTACTTGACCATTATGACACCTGGTACCGAACACCGAGACATGGCAAGAGGAACCGAAAGGGCCTATTACCAATCAAACGCCCATGTTGCATGTTGCAGTTAACGATGATCACAGGCATCTCCACCCTCACCCGGTATCTAATACAATGCGGATCTTTCCTCCCCCTCCCCCACATTCCCCCCCCCCCCCTCCCCGTCAATCGGATCTACGGAAGCTGACACGCGACACGTTTTATGAATTCTCGGATCTATTCGATATTCGACCCCTGATGTCCTGATCTTCTCAAAAGTCACGATCCCTTTTCAAACAGCGGAAACTCTGAAAGTATCTGGACTCTGAACGGAGTGGACAAGGATTTTATTTCATGAAACTCAAAAAACATGACCACCTCAGTTGGACTTAAGGGGGTCACCGAAACCTCAATGAAAGGATCCTTCACATTTCAACCCCTGTAAACGTCCGTCAAACGTCTAGTCCGAATAAAGGAATGGTTCATGTTCTACTTGACAGAGGTACTCTGGTCTTGACACATTTTTAGTTCAAAGCAGTCAACATAACCAGGAGCGGACTTATCTCACTAATACAACCTCTTCTCATCCGAGGAAATCATCAAACAGCCAGAGGTGTGGAGGATGTTAATTAGGTGACAATATTGAACAAAGTCTATATTATTGGGACAAAATGATCAACATGATCTTGACACTCATTTGGTTACTGACTCTGAACCGCTGGACGGTCAGGGCAGATGCGAGCGGTCCGAGGAAAGGAAGTGGTAATGTCATCTTTAGTATCAAAAACGCATGGGCTACATAGTGAGTAATCTTTTTTTTTTCTCTTCTTATCCCACATCTCGATCTTTGCCTCTTTCACCCGCTCATCATCTCATGGTCGATCCCACCACTAGCTCAAGGTTTCATATCCAAAAGCTTGATTTTGATCTTCACCATCGATCTTGTTCATCAAATTGACAATTAACAAATCTTCCATCGCCCAATCTTATCATGAAAATTGACGATATAGTTACTACGACACTCAGACTGCATTAGACGGCGATCCTTGTGCTGCGTCTCAAGTTCCAGGATGGTCAAACAATATTAACAACGGTACAACGTTGTGCGACTTTTACATGTCACCAGATGTGGCTCCAACATTAAGACAATTAGCAACCAATAGGATAGTTGGTGAGTTCGATCATGATTTTTCCATCCCTCATGATCAGTCAAAGGCCGGGAAAGGGATGAAACCGAAGAATTGAAGATATGAATAAAATGACTGATGCAATAGCTATGAATAGGAATCTACTCGCGACTAATATGTGGCTTTGTGGTAAGAAGTGAGTCATGAACGTAACTTCACTCTATCATCGACTGATATTCTCCTTCTCAGGTTCACTCCTCTCTGTGCCTTGACATTTCGTCTGAAACGACATGTCATTGAAATGAATTTAGTGGAACACGGGGTAATTTTGGAGACAAGATCACCGTAATGGTATAATGGGTGGGGCCCAGGACGACGCCTAGATAACACGAGGTATCGTCTGACCGGGGAAGGAGGGGGAGGGGAGATCAAGGCTCAGATACCATCGACATAAACCATAATTAGATAGGTTTCAGCCAAATCGGGGGTCTAGTGTGGAAAAGAGTTTCCGCTGATCATACCAGAGTACGAATCACCAAACCGGACGGGACTGTATTGGTATGGAAAGAAGATTTGATTTTATGGGATGGATGTCAAGCTGCCGAGACTAATCCTATAGTTGATTTATCCGGTATGTCTATCTTTTCTTTTCTCTCATTCCCCACAATCGTCTTTGCCTCTACGTGATATGATACATGATACGAAAGAGTCAATGGATGCCATATTCATTCTCAATATCTTCTTCTTATCCCAGGTGAACACCACATGATCCATCTTATCCCAACTCATACAACATGACCATCTCATTCCAAAGTGAACACCACATGATCCATCTTGTCCCAAGTGAACACCCCATGATCCATCTTATCCCAAGTGAACACCACCTTACCATCTTATCCCAAGTAATACAACATCACCATCTCATTCCAAAGTATCAAAGAGAACATTACCATCTGATTGCGAGAATAAGAACAAAATAAATCGTCTCATTTCAAGGTCCAAATATCATTCACTCAGATAAAGCTGATCATATTCAGGTGAAGTTTTCGCAGCTCTATCAGGAGAACCAGATTGTAAATCAGGAAATTACCCAGGTCTAAACCCTTCACCAGGTTTGATAGTTGAAATCATTGACGAATCAATTTGGCAACCCGCATGTGACGATTCTTGGTCTCCGGACGCTACCGATTATTCTAATACTGATTGTTTACCTTATCAAACATTAGCTGCAGCTGCAGCTAGCGAATCTACCAACCCTCCTGCTATTGGTGGTGGTGGTGGTGGTGGTGGAGGTGGAGGTGGTGGTGGGGGGAATGTTTCTTCTAGTCAAACTGCTCTTCCGGCTTCAAGTACACAACCACCACCACAATCATCAAGTTCAATTTCAACTTCAATCTCTTTACCCAGTATCTCATCCTCTCCTTCAAGTAATTCAACGGATGGAAGTTGTACATTCGGTGATAGGATGTGTGATGGGAATAATTATCAAATTTGTAGACAAGATTATAACGGTACCAGTGAGTCTTACCTCTTTGTGTATTATTATTCATCACTTCATTATTTCCAATGTCTTGATTTCCCTGGAGGTATTTATGACTTATGATGTTTGTGAAAAGCTGATGAGTAGGTTGGGTGGTTTTGGTGACATGTGAAAGTTCATGTCAAATCACAGCTTCCGGATCACTTATATGTTTATGATAGACTAAGAAGATGCATTGAAACCGGTTTTTAAAATGTCAGATGTTGATTGTTGAGAACCACACTTTGTCCCAACTATCCACTGGAGTAGATTGTTCTTCACACATGACTTACTTTCACGTCTTTAGCAATTTCATCGGATAGTTATAAAAAGTGAGTTGTTCAATCGACATGAATGGGAAAATACAACAATGACATCACAACAAAATCCACATTCATCTCCATACCCCACCCATCTCATCAAGCACATTTAGCGCTAGGTCCATCCATTATGCAACTTCCCGCACAAGTAGCAGTAGTTACCCAACCTGATCATCAATAACTTATTCTTCTTCATCCCTTACATCTTTCATTTTACTCAATCATCACCCACACTCGTCATTTAATTCCCAAACGAACCATTCCACCTGTTGAAGAATACGAAATATGACCTTTTTTCCCCATTCCCTTTTCTGAATCATGTCACTCAACATTGAAGGAGACAGTATGTTTCATCCACAAGCTTATTCATTTCTGATTAGATTGTGAAGAAAAAAGCAGGAGAATAATAACTCACCAGTCACACCCCCACCTGCATTACTCACATAATTACAAATCTGTAACATTTGTCCAACACATTGATTCGTACCCATTTGACATACTCCTGATGCCGTACTCGGAACGGGAACCGCAGGAATGGAAGTTACTACAGGTAAAGTAGTAGAAACTGCAGTAGAAGGCACTCCTTTACCATCGGGTCCTGCCCATGTTGTACCTTCTACAGCTGGCCAAATTTGGTTATCTAATACTTGAACGGAATAAGTACCTAGGTTACCACATTGATCACCACCAGCTCCTGTAAGTTCTCTCCATGCGGGGGCTGAAATATCAGTAAATTCTAAACCCTTAACTTCATAGATCATAAACCTCTGAACCCTCTAATCCCTGGTTCGCGATCTCCTCATGCGTCACTGTCTATCTAGGAATTCTTCACCTGGTAACTGTTTAACTCGTTATAGTCTACGATCGAGCGCATGACACGAGATTGTAAAAGAATCTTCAACTCAATCGTTCAAAGAGATGAAGATCGATCGTGTGTGAGAAAGCTAATTGAAATGTTCTAGTCTTAGGTTCAAATGAGAAGATCTGAGGAGATGAGGAGATGAGGAGAACAGATTAATAACTCACCCGATAAGTCCACAATGGGAGCACTTGCACAAGCTGCACATGCATCCCAAAGAATTAAAGGTCCTCCTGAGAATTGAAATACGCTGCCATCGGGTTTCATGAATTGAACTCTATCTATCAACCTGATATTCTCACGTGTACATCTTCCGTACTTCAAAAAGACAACGCATGAGGCGAGGAACGTTCATGAAAATTGGAGTTGGGTGGTGTACACGTAGCCTGATTGATGACTGTAGGGTGAATGAGAGAGGAAAGGGAAGAATAAGAAAAGTGAAACGAGAGAAAAAGAGACAGTGATAAAGAAGATTCCTTACTCTTTCCCACAATAAGCAGAGAGATCAGATTTGAGCCAATCGGCATTCATAGCTGTTGATCAGTCTATATCCCATCTCTATGTACAACTTCCTTTTGCCCCCTGTGGCTTAAAGTTTCTCCAGACTCAAGAATCAGGACATGAATCAATCCCATCGTTCGTAAGCTTCAACTTTCCGTCCAGTTAGTGAAGAAGATCTGTTCAACAAGTAAACGAGATTTAGCTCAAACGACTAATGATTAAGAAGATAGTTTTAGCGACTGAGACAATATCAACAGGAATCAAAGAAGTATCAATGGGAATAGCGAGACACGAGTCTATATGTAGATCCAAGACGATGTTAACCTTGGTAGTCATAGCAACGCCGGTGAATGTCAATACTGATCTGACTTGGATACAAGAGAAAAGACTCGTCAGTGACTCACCAACAACTTGATTAGTCCCTAATTCCGCCAAACTAGGAGCTCCCACAGCTATATCCCATTCACATGTCGGTATACCTGTATTTTGGTTGGCTGACCATCCCGCACCCCAAGTTGCAGCACAAACGTCTCCATCAGTTTGCCAAAGACCATCGTAGTATCTGAAATTTATCAGCTTCACCTTCTTATTCCTTTGAATATCCCTTTCCTGAGTGTGATTTGATGCCACAAAAACAAAGACTGCCTCGAAAGTTTTCTCATAGGCAATGGGTGAGGCTGATATGTGGGATTCACACAATCCGTGACGTGAAGTTATCAGATACGCCGGGTATAATGGCAGGTGTCATATTGCTGGACGAGATGGATTTTTTCTCTGATGCGGGATGAAGATAAGATCTTTGATAGTGATAAAAACTCACGTAGTTACACTGACCCCATCTAGGGAATATACCACCCCTCTTTTTTGTTCGACTGGAGAGGCCAGCGCTTCAGGTCCAAGAATCAGAAATGTCAGTAGACCAAGGAGCATGGTTGATATTGACGACTCCTATGAAACCGAGATCTTGTCAAGAGGTGAGTGCGAATTTGAGGATCTACCAGAGATCTTGGGACAAAACGATCGAATCAATCGATCGTGGGAGACAGCGACGACAGAGGTGCACAGAGAGAGAGAGAGAAATGATCGGGAAAGAATAGAGGGAGTTCTTGATAGATGAAGATAGCAAGTGTCTGTCAATCAGTCAAACACAGCATCTGCTCCTGGTTGACTTACCTCCCTTCTTCCAACAGAGACACCAAATACATCCTTTCATTCCCTCTTTTGTTAACGTCTCAGCTTTGGTATCAAATGGACAGGTGTTACATGTGAGGCGGTCAAGATCACGGGGGGGAGGGGGGACATGACACGCGTCAGGTTCATGCACCTTTCATAGGATTGTCAATCGGGGTAGATTCCAACACGAGACTTTGGCTTGTCAGTACAGTGCGTGATCAGAAGAAGATAGGTATATTGAGATATGTCAGGTGCGTGTGAGTGAGAGTCGACCATCTCAGGACAAGTTGAAAAAGTCGGGTAGAACTCATGTCAATTTGTTCACTCTCACTAACCTCTTTCAGGCCAGCTGCCAAACTTGTCCTTATCTTTGTCTACATCCTTTGTCCCTTTGTGGCACGAAGAAAGTGAGAGATTAGGGAATTGAGATGGATATCAGAAGGCTCCATGAAGATAGTACATGTACGGACGAGCGTTCAGAGGAAGGAGGGGAGAGAGAGCAAAGATAGCAAGGTACGGAAAAGTGAAGAGGGGTAGAGAGAAGACCGAGATAAAGAGACAAGGTCAGAGAAGGTGTAAAGAGTCGCAGATCCATCGTCAGTAGGTAGAGATGAGTGATAGTCCACAGAACTTACCTATGCCCTTTCATAAAAAGATTGGACTCAGTCCTAATGAAACTAATGAAGAGCACCAGGCTATTGGCAATCCACGTTCCCTCCCTCAGAGATGGAACAAGCGTTCGGGCACTGCCCAACGGTGAACCAGCCTTCTCGTAAGTATCAACCTATTTAGCAATGAAGAACATGCTCACCTAGACTCGTGGTAGAGACATAGTTACAAACTCTGATCTCTCGGTCCGAACATTGCCATACTCCATAGGTACATTCTTCCTCAGAATCATCAGACTCTTCTGTGTCTTGATCCGAGTCCGAACCATCAGACGCGGACAGAAGAGCCGCTGGAGGGGTGCTGGCCGGAGCAGGAGACGAGTCTGAGTCGGAGACGGTCTCAGAGGTCGTGTTGTCGGAAACGATGTTCCACAAGGCCATCGCTGATTTGACAGCGGCAGCGGGGGAAGAGGCTTTGAACATAGGGGAAGGGGTCGGTGAATTCGTCGGACTGGTGGAACTGGAAGTCGCCTGTTCGGTAGGTGAGGCGGTAGTCGTTGAGGAAGTGGTCGTATCAGAATCAGAAGAACCTGTTGAACCCAAGGATCCGGATCCGCCGCCAGACCCGTCGGCCTTGATAGGGTCCCAAACATACTCGTCCATGACCTGATAAGTCAACCCACTGGGGTTGTTACCATCACAAGTCCCGCCCTTGATATCAACAAAAGCCAGCGCTGAATATCAGCCATGTTACCTCAACCTCAACCTGGGTCCATCTTTGACACACCCGGCGGCAAGTCTTATGAACAAGTGAAGGAACAAAGGCGACTGACCAGAGAAGTCCAGACGAGGTTCTTCGGCACAGGCAGCGCAACCATCCCAAATGACGAAAGATCCCTCTGAGAAATTTATCAAGTCACCGTTGGCATCCCAAACCTGCACTCTTTGACGGTCAGTACTCTGTCCGCACCATGTCATCAGATACTCACTTCCTACCACACCATTGATCAGGATCGGCATTGACCATGGTAGCATTGAAGGCTTGTCGTCAGCCTCCTTCCGTGCCCTGTACGCCTCGTGTCGCATAGGAAAGCACAGAGTGACGAACGCAATGAAAGAAAAACAGATTGCCATATTGTGGGAAGCCAGGGATAGGCACTGTGATCGAAAGCAGATGACTCGTTCGATATAGATATAGAATGGTAGGGATGGAAACAGGAGGCCGAGAAGCAAAACCACGATGCAAAAGTGAAGCTGACCAATCTTGATGAGATGAGGCCAAGCAAAGATAGGCAAGATACTCACCTACGATTCGATTTGAACCGATCTGTTCCAAAGATTTTGCGTTTTCACCAGCCCATTGTTCGCATTTAGTGATACCACCATTGATGCCTGATTCGACTGCCCACATGCTAGGGAAAGGATCGTTATTACCACAAATATCATTCGTGTCCGTTTCTGTGAGGTCGTAGTACCTGTCAGTCAGTCTTGTAACATAGCGCATTTTATCCAATCCATTGTTTCCACCGACCCTCCTCGTTTATCCGTAGCTCTCAAAGGGCAAAGGATGGTGAACGGCAGAAGGAAGGCTGTGCGGGAGGTACGGTACAGTAGTCGAAGAATCGTGAGGGAAGTTGAAACGAGACAAATTACACTCACACAGTACCCGTAACATCCTTCTGTTCATAGAGTACCCCAGCCAATGTGCTCGTTCCAGCGAGCAAAGAAGTGAGCAGAAAAGACTTGACGGAAGACATGTCGGAGGCTGGCTCGGCAGATCTTCTGTGTCGTGTATGTTGAAAATGAAGGGAATCAAAGAACGCACAGCGTTCAAAGTGTCCAAATAGTGGATTTTAAAGACCGTGAGGAGAAAAAGAATGGACGCTGACTTGCAGCTTGCAACGTTGTCGAAACTCGAGGATTTGGTCAGTCAGTAATGGTAACCGTAGTTGCGTGTCGGCTTCACTTTGAAAAGTCCGTGGCCGGATGTCGAGGTCGTGGCAAGTCGAAAGGTCGGAACGTGTTGAGCGCGTTTGGGTCGTGGTGTGTCGAGTATGTATAAGAAAAGGAATGAAAGAATAGGTCTAGTGAGAAGGAAGAACAAGTGTAAAAGTGAGAAGAAGGAGAAAGAAGTGAGTAAGGAAAGACTTGAAAGTTGAAGGGAAAAGGAAAGGAACTTTGTATGGGATGGGGAGGACCGAGCGTGCCTTTGACCTTTGGCCTTTGAGATTTGGGACCGACATGCTTTCATCGCCCTGTCCTGTTTGGGTGTCTACTACAGGTGGGCAGGTGGGCAGGTGGGCAGGTGGGGGCCAGGGATCTAGGTGCATGGTGCATAGTGTACGACAGGCGAGTCCAAGGGTCAAGGGCGCCAAGGTAAGGCGAAAAGGTGTTGGAAATGACAACGTTGCGAGTGGACGCGACTGATTTCTCTCGTCATTTTCAACATTTAAAGTGACTGACGACGTGTCGTTCCTCTCCTCATGTGCCGACTCTACTCTTGACAAACTTACTGCCAAGTTTACGGGTACATATCCCCTCGCCCCTTGGCATACATCTACACTACGCAGCGGCACAAATCCACAAAAAATGCATCAACAATTGAATCCAAAACAAAGAAACTCGAACTAATCATCATCGTCTCCTAAACGAACCCCTTTGTTCCAATTCTTTCAACCCCAACTCATGTTTTTCTCCCGTATCAAGATCCGTCACCTGAACCAATTCTTCATCCTCTTTACCCTTCAAGAACCTCAACCAGCGAGGTTCAATCACCGGTAACGAATAAGTCGACTTAGAAGACATGTTCATCCCTAATCCCAATCCTAAGTTTGGTGGTTTGTCACTACCACCTTGAGAAACGGAAGAACGAGAAGAGATGATTTTGCGATTATCGACAGCACGAAGAGCTTGATCAAGATCAGGTGTGGAATCATGATCTAACCTTCGAAGAGCTTTTATGATGGGAGAATCAAGTTTGAACATATTCCACGCTTTCCGACGTAGACTCTTCTTCTCTGACAAAACCTTTTTTCCGATTTCACCTTCATTGGTCTCTGTTATCGGTGCTTGAAGACACTCTGGATTATGTTTCAATCGTGTTGATGACATGCCTCGATCGTTTGGAGGGGTCATGGAAGTGAGAGGTGATGAAGCGGCAGAGAAGACGGAAGGAATGAGAGGAAGAGGTGTGTTTTGTGCTTGAATGACTGATAATGGTGAAATTGAAGTAGCGAAAGAAATCTCATCAATGATCCCTTCTTTTATCTTTTCATCTCTACGCTTCATCACTTTATTCACACGTTGAAGAGATTCTCGGTGTAAACAAGGTGTATTAGCAGGGGTGGAAGCGACCGCTGAGAGAGAAGAAACAAGAGGTGCCGTCATGTCGAATATAACCTCGGTGTCGGTATTTTCGCAATAGTCGGAAATGGAAAAGGATTCGATGTAAGAATCTTCCTCAATCCTTTCACCTTTCTTCTCAATCATACCTACACTCTCTCCCCCAACAACTTTTCTCCCGCTTCTTCTCTCCTCCTCTGACTCTCCTGGGATCAGACCACCTGTACGCCGGCTGGATACCATCCTCACAACTGGTAGGTCATCAACAGCGGACAACACTTTCATTCCAGAAGCACTCGAAGCACGACTGCTTGAAATGTCATCCCTCTGCTCACCAACCCCGACACTCTCTTCATCTGTCTCTCTGTGAAATCCACTCTCAGGTGACTCTGTCACTTCCTGTTTCATACTCCTACTAGGTCGAACAACCCATCTACCTCTCTCCCTGACACTGGGTTTCCGACCTACCAAACCTTCCAGCTTTTTCCAAACTTCCACCGCGGGATCGTAACCGACAGCATCAGGATCGGTATCTGGTTCCCATTGAAGGTCATATCCCACTTTATTAGTCTCGACACCAGTTTCCAAATCCGACTCAGCTTGACGTTGATGACTAGCCCATCGCCCATTTCTCTCATTCTCAGATTCCCTCATTTCCCTTGTGTCTCTCACATGACAGATTCCAAAATCTTCCCTATTCTCTTTACTGAATTTTTGATACCCTTCCACAACTTTCTCCATCCATCTTGGATCTCGAGATTGGGTCGAATGATGTATAGATCTATCATGTATTCCCCTATCTCGTTTATCCACAGGAACGATAACTTTCGAGGATGAGGATTTATCCCAAGTGGTAGAGGAAGGATCACACATCATACGAGACATGACCAAAGAAGAATCCGCACAACCAGAGAAAGAAGATGTGGATTTTCTCATAGCTCCCGATCTAGATAATCCTGAAGTACTCGAAGCAGGTCTACTCGATCGACGTGAAGAAGAACGATCATATCGATATCCAGATTGAGTTGTGGATGGCGTCATCACCGTAGATGATAAACGAGATGAACATGGTGTCATATGAGTTGAAGAAGTTGAAGAACGAGTTGATGGAGTTGTTTGATCATACCATTTCTCCAAAGAATTTGAGGTGGGTGTCATACGCTTTGAACAATTCCTCGGATCTACTTGATCTACTCTTTTTCTGGAACTCATCACAGATCCTCTTTTCTCCATAATGTCGAGGGGTTCATAGGATCGGTTCAATTTATGAGCAACGGATATTCCTGAAATGTTCCTATGCTTTCCGGTTCGATACGTTGGTTTGGAATTGATAGAAGTATCATATGTCTGATTATCCGTGATCGAATGGTGAGAGTATTCATTTGGGATACCTTGATGAGATGTTGGTTGAGGGGAAGGACAATCTTGATATCTGGTGGAAGAAGATGTAGAAGGTCTACTTTGTGTTGATGAAGGTCTACTTCTTGTTGATGATAATGTTTCTGAAGGTCTACTTCTTGTTGATGATAATGTTTCCAAAGATCGACTTTGTGTCGATAAAAATCGACTAGATTGACATTCTTTCGAAGAAATGGTAGGTCGTAGAGATCTAGAAGAAGTGGTTGAATATCTTTTCTCATCTAATGAACAGGGACGTGAGTGTTGACTTTTATGAGAATGTGAGAGTTTATCATAGGAATTGGAAATGTGAGAATCTTGCGTCTTGTTTGGATTATCAACAAGTCGGAATCGTTTCATAACCTGTTTCCATCAGTAGTAGTCACTTCATCTGATTGCTCTTCAAACCCTGCGTTTTTCTTCATCCATATCTCCAACCCCAAAACACATTTTATTCCCTCGCATTTCCTCTCTTCTCCTCAAACTCTCTTTTCCTCAAACGACCATCCCGGATACTGATCACTTTCTTTTCATCGCAGTAACTCTTTCTCTCTATTATATATGATCCATCACATCTGGACAGAAAGAGACGGAAAAAAGGGCTGGGACACTCACCCCACTCTCTGACCCTCGAGTCAAATTGGTCGAAATTCCACGCATATTCTTATTCTTATTCAATGACCAATCCTCGCTTTCAGTTGGTTCAATGGAAGAAAAGACCCTACCGGAGGGATGAAGAAAATAGCGACCTGCGCTCGTGTTTCGTATCTTAATGAATCGAGTATCGAGAGAAGATCTTCAGAGAAAGATATATAAGTGTTTTCCATCATTGAGAAATGACAAATTTGATTGAGTCTAGTGTCCGATACGAGATCGGTCAGGAATTCACGGAAGAGGTAAGTAGGTATATGGGTTATGATATCATTCTGATCGATAAAAAGACCGAAACCGGTGGAAATTAGAGATATTGAACGTATTCGGTAATTCGTTAGTGTATGAAACGAGAACGAAAGTCATGTGAACGTTATCATAGTCAAAGATATCAAAAGTCAAAATATGTTCGACGTGATCATTTTATATATTAGAGTATTGAACCACCTTCGTAGAAAATCAGAGGCATTGAAAAGCTTGATGAAAAGTATGATGACATCGATGAGAAAGACAGCAATACAACATATCGTAAATGTGGAATCCTTGAAAAAGTAGTACGAACAAGAAGAGGAAAGGAGGGAATAAGGAAAGAAGGAAAGAGAGAAATCTTAATCAACCCATATTTCCAACTTTCCTTCTTGTCTCCCTTTAGCCATAACTCTAGCTACATCAATAGCAGCTTCGAAATCACCTTCATCTTGCATACTCAACATATCACCATCTTCGTCTCTGAATCTCACCCCGACGTCAGAGGTCAAATCTGGGAATTTGGCTCGGATTGCATCTAGGAAATCTGGGAAATTGTCGGTTGGGGAAATTGACATTCCTCTTGTCAATGAACCGACGTGAACCTGTTGATTAGTCTATACTCTAAATTCCTTGCCTCTTCCCTTATCCCTTCTAATTCCTTGTCCCCTCCCTTATCCCTTTTCATCTCCCTTTGTGCTCTCTTCAACCTGGCCCGTGACATCGGGACAATCTATGGTTCTCTTCTCCGTCTACGCTCAGGGTGTTGTTTATGTATCAAACGCGGTTGTGCACCCGTGTAGTCGTGTGACTGTGCAGTTGCACGTCGTTGTTATGACTATAAGAAGGGATGAATGAGAAATGTACCACAACTCACCTTGACACGTATCTTTACCATATCATAAAAACTACCATTCTCCGAAACTCCATCCTCCTCATATCGACTCATCGTCATGACACTACTCATCGTACTTGGTGTCCTCCTCAACCCCAAACCTTTTCCTCCGAAACTACTAGGTGGTCCTCTGGCTGATGCAGAATTGTTTCTAGTAAGGGGAGCACCAGCAATAGTTTTCTTTGCCCAAGCTTCAATCTTTCTTCCTCCAATCGGCGGGAGTTCAGGTGGTATATCATCTTCATAAGCTCCTGGTGATTTATAATAATCATCATATAATTCTGTCACTCGTAAACTTTTTTGACGTTCTTGAGGAGTACGAAGTACTGGATCTGGAGGAGAATTAGGACCTTCTGAAGAAGAAGTAGAATCTTTCCTTTCTGTTCTCGGTTTAGAAGGTGTGGAAAGAGAATTATTATCAGAAGGACGAATTGAATTGCCCCTGGACAATCCACGCATGTCTTGGATGTCGGGAGTCGTTGATGTTGTCATGTTTCGTAATCCTATAGTGTTCGGAGTAGTGTTAAGGGTAGTATTGTTTCGTGCGAGAGGACGTGGTGGATCTATATTTCCTGCTGAAGTGGCTATGGTATTACTTCTTGTCATACGTGTAGCGATTGGTAATGGACTATCTAAAGCTCCTACTGAAGCTGAACGTGAAAGAGGATGATTAGGATCTAGAGGAGCACCAGAAGGAGTTTGTCCACGTTGAAGACGTGTCACACCTGTAAAAGTCGTATAAGCGTCGTTGACATCGCTAGCAGCGACTAAAACCTATTTGTCAGGAAATCCCACGACGAATAAAATACCATTGCATGGTGAAAGTTCCGGGTGAAACTGATTGAGAAGGTGATAGGGGAGATAAATTGAGGTGCTCACAGCTTTTCCCATATAATCCCTAGCAGCTAGATTTTTCAATTTCCCAGGTGCCGGTTTGAATAAAACCCCTACGGGAACAGAAAAAACATTGTAATCTCTTCCTTGATCACGTATAGCATCATCGATTACTCCATGTTCAGGACTTTGTTTTTGACTCGCCGCATCGCGCATATCTTGAATACCAGAGTCGACTTGACCCATGTATATTTTCGCTAGACCGCAGTTGAATAAAACCTCTGCTGAATAGAGTCGGAAATTGAGACCTAGTTGTTCGTAATTACTTCTTATCAGCTATGGTCATTTCTCAACTAACCATTCTCCACATCTTTCCGAGCTCCGGCGGTCGTCAGTTGAAGTCAACAGGATGTGGGTCTGATAAAGTAGGATGAGGAATAATGATACAGACATTGTTTGGTTACCTCGCATGTATAATAAAGCATCTTCGAAATCTTTATGTGCGGCCTCGTATCGTCCCAACATCTGATAATCAGTGTTCGCTTCGAATTTTCCACATTTCGTCACTTGACGACGGACCACAGAGGGATGTGTCGAGGTCGAAGAAAGACATGGAAGGGGTCGGGAGATGCAAAAGGAGAAGTATAGGTGTGTGAGAGAGGAGGAGTTTACGTCAAGGATCGAGGGTCTAAGAAGAGTCACTTACAAAATTGGACACTCCAGCTTGATGATAAGCCACGGTTAGATAACCATCCAAACTTGTAGCTTCGATAAACTTTTCAACCGCTTCTTCATGACGACCTAAAGTGGCAAGTATGATACCCATATTCCAACATATCTTTGAGGTATCTCCAATACGTTCAAAACATGATAAAGCTGTGTCGAAATCCTGTTCATCATACGCTTTCAATGCCGCTGCCCAAGTTTCCAATTCAGCTTTAAGGGACATTTTTTTTGATTCAATCTATTCTAGTTGTCTATTGATGAAAATGTTACAACAAATGTGATTTGATGTAGAAGATATGACTTTTGTTGAGAGATAACAGAGACCAGCTCTGGAAGACCAAAAACACGAAAGAAAGTGATGAGGTAAAAGAAAGAAGAAACTTGAATGACGGTGGCGTTAATGAGATCATTGTCAGAATACTCTTTTTACTTAAGTCATCGACCATGGTCTGGACGTCGGGAAAAGGTCGTCATCGTAACGTTCTACCAACCCCCTTGAAACTATCATGGTCGATAGATACCAAAATGTTAGTCTCCTTAGTCTCCTGGAATGCTCGGAGATTAAACCAATGTGGTTGCTGGTGGTTTGGTTGCTGAGCGACTGATGGTAAGGGAGCAACGTACAACGTGTGTTAACGACTGCGAGCGGATGAAATCGGGATGTATGTGTGGAATGATCAGTCATCACATCCCCATGAAAATGTTGGAATGTTTAAGGAGACAAGACTGCGAGATAGGAGATCGAAGATAGGGAAAAAAGAAGCAACATAGACATCGAAGAGCAATGGGGGGGGAGAGGAGTTTATTCTTAAGCGAAGCTAGGGCAAGGCACAGATGACTCGGATTAGCACTGGGCGTCGATCCACGTGGTCAAATGATCACTGACGATCAGGTCTGATCTCCGCCCTCCTCGCTTAAAATTGACCCTCATGATACATTCCTCCACATTTCTCCTACTTTTACAAGGATACACGGTGTACATACTCTGTACACTACTCTGGCTATACTGACAGCCCCGAACAATCCGACAAACGGACAACCTACGACGAGCTTGTCTCTTTCCCCCAAAGTTCTTTCATCATCGGACGAGAGCAGGATTCGCATCTTCTCCCGCTCGGGAATCCACGCCGTACTCCCCTTGTCTTACGTCTGTCTGTGTATTTATTTCATCTCACCTCCACATCGTTGATCATCCACTTCAAACCCCATTTCTTGTAATATACCAAAAACCATCTCATCATTCTCAACCTCGAGGCATAAGCTTCCGAACTCATAACTTCGACTTGTATAGACCGGACACAAACCTGCCGAAGATCGGATACCGACGAGGCGGTGAGAGAGACGTAGTCGACTTGTCATTATCGTTCACCCCAAGCGAGTTTCTCAACATTCACTCCACACTTCACATGAGGATTTTTGTCCATCAGGGCCCCCTCGAGGTACTATTTTGACAACCCCGATCAAACCCCCTTTCCATCCCATCCCGCTTTTCTCCTGTAAGCTATGAATCCCTTCATCGGATCAGCTTCTCCCGTTCGAATGACGAGATATATATCTTCATCTTGTATACCTCGAAACATCCCTTTATCTCCCCCAATCAGAATCACTCCTAGGAGTAGAACAATCGTTACTTCTTGCTCACGTCGAAATTTAGCAACAGAGAAAGTGGGAAATATGCCGGGGAAGATTCATACTGAAGCCGAATGGGCAGAGTTTGGGAAGGAACATGTTACACACGGGTTAGGTAGGCTGAGAGATCATGTCATGGTCAAAGGACGTGGAGCGGAATTATGGACTTCAGAAGAGAAACGGTTCTTGGATTTCACTTCTGGAATTGGTGTGGTCAATTTGGGACAGTCAGTCTTTCTCTTTTGTCATAACTTTGAAATCATCATTCGCCTCTCTCAGCTCTCAATCACATGCTGAGTCAGTCAATTAGTCGTATGAGGTAGTCGTGTGTGGTAGTCGTGTGGAAGGTTTGAACTGATGTGATAGTTGTCATCCTGCTATCACTGCCGCCGTGACTCAACAAGCAGATTCCCTCGTTCACATGCAATGTTCTATCGCATTCTCAGCACCTTATCTTCAACTCATCGAACATCTCCTTCCCGTCATGCCACATCCCTCTTTGGATTCGTTCTTCTTCTGGAATTCTGGTTCTGAAGCCGTCGAAGCTGCCGTCAAAGTCGCACGAAAGTATACAGGAAGACAGAATATAATCACCATGCAAGGTAGTTATCACGGTAGGACATACGGTTCTGCCGCACTCACCAAGAGTAAAACTATTTACTCTCAAAACACAGGTCCTATGATGGTGAGTTTCCCTTGTGCTTATCTAATAGAGCAGTATCACAAAAGAATTGATTGGTTGACATAGTAGAGTGGGGTGATAACTACACCTTTCCCATATTGGCATTCTCTTGGTGTTTCTCCCAGTACGTCTGAAGAAGAATTATGTAGAATGGCCTTTCACCAACTCGACTTGGTTTTGAAGCAACAAACCGCCCCAAGTGACACAGCAGCAATTATCATCGAACCTGTTCAAGGTGAAGGGTGAGTTATCAATTTTCCTCATCCTCTTCCTCTTTTGTACAATCTGTCTCTTTGACCGCTAAAAAGATAGTGGTTACGTACCTTGTCCCCCTAAGTTTCTCCATTATCTTCGGGAAGTCTGCGACAAACATTCCATATTACTCATCATTGACGAAGTCCAAACCGGATTCTATCGAACCGGTAAATACTTCGCCATCCAACATTCTGGAGTCAGACCAGATCTCATGATCTTCGCCAAGGGTATTGCCAATGGATTTCCCATCAGCGGAATAGTCGGGTCGAAGAAGGTGATGAACTGTATGCCCGTGGGAAGTATGGGTGGGACTTACGCTGGGAATCCAGTTTGTTGTGCGGCAGGTGTGGCTGCTCAGGAAGTGTATAAAACAGGACACATTGCGGAGAACGTTGCTGAACGGTGAGTCTTGGGGGCACCCAATTATACTGTATTCTTTCATTCTTCATACCTCAATGTTCACCGCTCAATTCCCCCTTCGCCTCTTACTCGCCAGCCCTTGTCACATACCATCTCATAGCCACGCTCCATGAGTATCTATCTTCCGAAGTCTGGATCATCAACAAGGCGAGGTATATAAACTTACTCCCAGTTCGGCAGAAATGCGCTCAGTACTCGAATCCTTAGCCAAATCATCAAAAACCTCTCATCTCATAATCGACACCCGTATCCTAGGTCTAATGGGTGCTATCGAATTCCGTAGTCCTTCTTCCCCTTTGACGATGGAAGGTATCTCACAAAACCAGAATGTTCCAAAAGATATAGGCAAGAGAGTGCAGAAATGCTGTTTGGATAAAGGCATGTTGATACTCACCACGAGTTGCTTCGATACCATTCGGTTCATACCGCCTTTGATCATTTCAGAGAAGGAGATGGAAGAGGGGATGAGTATATTCCGTGATGCTGTAGAGACTGTTGCTAAGGAGGGGTGAGATCAAGGGGGGATGTTGTCTCGATATACGGGAGCACTGGGACAAATAGGTTTAGGGGTTAGGGATTTAACGGGTCGACTTGAAGTAGATAGGGACAGTTGATATTGGTTTGAAACATGAACAATGTACGATATAGGTACTTGTCTACCGGACGAATGCATACATCTTGGCTATCTCCACAAGGTGATTGCGTAGCATCTGATCATTGTCTCACAACGTTGCAACCCGACCAGCATTGTAGACGGACAAAAGTAGACTTGTGATGTGTGAGGATTGAACTCACGCGGATAAAATCCATTGGAGGTGTGCAACAGTTCTGCGATCTGCGATCGATCTGCGAACAAAACTTAAACCCAACGCCATAACCACTCGGCCAACATCACCCAATGAAGTTCTGCCTGTTGTTTAACTATATAATCGCTTTTTTTGTCTCTGTCGCTTGAGCCATGCTCATCAATGCTTTGCACCCAACTCTGTCGTCCCATAACTTACCATTCTCCCAAGATCCTACCACGGCATACGATCCTACAAGGTTCCCTAACTCCACAAGCTTGTGAAAGATTCCAGGCTTATGGACACCACGTCTAAACGTCTTTCCACCTCCCGTCCACCTCCACTCCACCTTACATCATCATCACTTCACCCACACGCATTTTCACCTTTACAATCAACTTCCACCCTCTCTGTTCCTTCTCATCCTTCTTCCTCATCCCTTCCTATCTCTCATATATCACCTTATGGAAAATTACCAACTCATCGTTACCCACCTAAATACACTCAAGTCCCACATGAATCTCCAACTCACAACCCTAACCTTCTTAAAGCCAAGCCGACCTCCAGGATCAAGTCAACAGGCGGTCGACAACACATAGGGACAGGTGTGAAATCAACAGGTATATCAACAACTGCACTTAATACATCTACTTCCACATCCAATCCAAATGGGAAGAAAAGATTACGAGATGTATCAAGTACATCAAAGAATAAAAAATCAAAAAGATGGAACGCTCGTTTAATTCAATCGATATTATATCAAACTTCTTTCTCACTTTTTCTCCTCATCACAGGAGTTTTGCTGGTTGGTACTGCGTATGCTTTGGGAGAACAAGCAGTTAGAAGAGGAGGTCAAAAAAGATGGAATGTAGTCATCATCGTAGGAGCTTATTTTATTCTTGTAGGTTCTTCTTTTTATTTCTTCTCGTTTTGGAAGATATACAGTATGTGTTTGGGAAATAGTGTTAATGTGAAAAAAGGGGATGATAGCTCTTTTTGTTATTTGGTCAAGATGGTTTTCTATAAGAAGTATATTACATACTATGCCAAGGCCTTATGTACCTACGAAACAAGTGGATATACCCAAGGTGAGTGTTTGTGTTCAATATAAATTTGTTCTATCTTGTATCCCCCACTCCGTTCTGAATCTTGACTTTTAAACCTGTGATTTCATTGTCTCTAGACACTCGTCATCCTTCGAAACATGGTTTCCATGACATTCATCTCTCACTCATCTCCTTCCACGAACACATTCATCTCGTTCTACGAGTATCCCTCTCGAAAAGCTATCTTTGTCAGTCTTCAACCCGAGGTTCTTTCGAAGACCAGATACTCTAGTCTTCGAGATGTTCATGGATCATGACCACTACCGCAGCTTCATCTCTCTATCCCTGTCCTTCGCGATAGGGGGTACCAAATATCGTGCTGACCGTGTAGAAAGTTGCAGACCATATAGCCACCGAATACTCTAGAACGGCAATTATCGCACATATCTCACAAGCTACTAAAGGACAACAAGAAGGTTGGGGAAGACCTGGTACAAAATGGGAAAATCAACATTTTAGAGTATACATTTTATCTACTCTTCCTACCATGCGTAAGTCAAGTGTTTCTATTCCACACCTAAAACCCAAGACTCTGTCCTTTCGTTCATCCCTTAATCCTTGATCTCATAGCTTTTTGACTCGTACTTCCCATTGTTAAGACCATCTGTATCTGCCATGAAATGACGTGGATCCTATTGATCTGATCCGGTACCCTTGTCGGGTTTGTGGTATCACCTCTCTATTTGATGGGGCGCCCGTGATAAACATCTAAAGGGTCGAGAGTCACGCTATCTACAAAAATGACTGATTCCCAGGTCAAGCCTTAGCACCTGAATCCAAAGCCCCTGACCACGCTCTCTTTCCCTTACTCCATGCGGCCCGAGAATTGACCGACGAGAAAGGTGCATTCATTACTTTTGTTCATACCTATGTCGAAATGATTGAAAAAGCTCGATTCGCTCGTCGTGAACCTACAGAAAGTGAAGCTGCGGCATGTGAGAAATTGGTCAATGTGATTCTTCTCACGTAAGTCTCTCTTTCTCCTGATATTCTACATCATACTGGGTTGTCATCTGCTGCTTTCAATCGTTGAAAACCAGATTGGAACTTCGACATAGAAGGGAAAGTACGGAAACATGATTGATGAATATACATGTATGGTTGTACAACAGTCATAAACTTTTATGATTCTCCACTCCTGATCTTTATCTAATTTTCAATCCTAAAACCTTCTGTTTTTCACCTATGACAACTGGCGAACTGTGTTCTTGAATGATAAGAAGAGAAAAGTTTTCAACCAAAAAAACACCCATCATTGTTCTACATCTTTCTTCTTCGGTTTCTTCTTTTTAGGTTTACTTTCCCCTTTTTCTTCCACCTTGATTTTCTCTTCCACAGGTTGAATCACCTTTTTCTTCTTCTTACTAACCTTCTTCTCTTCTTCACCATCAGGAACAGGTCTTTTCTTCTTTTTCTTTTTCTCTTCCCCTTCCCCATTATTCTGACCATTATTACCGTTGTTGTTATTTACATTCCCGACAGATCCAGAAACACTGTTACCGATATCTTGTCTCGCAGCCTCTGCCAAACGTTCTTTCAACGACAAGATAGACCACGACGGTTGATAGGGAGCTGTATGATCTCGATCTTTACCACCAGCGAAAAAGAGTTTACGCATTCGTTCTGTCTCGTTGGAAGTATCTGTTTCAGGTACTTCGGGACGATATCCTCCATCGGCGGAAAGATGTGGACCGGCAGGAGTCGTGATGGCCATAGCTAATGTTGCATTTCTTGAGGCTAGGATGGAAGTACCGAGATAAAGAGGTGGAGATGTAGCCGCCTGAGATCAACACTTGACATAACTCGTTTCATCATGACCATTCGTTGTTTTGATTCTTCGTCAAGCCAAGGTCGCACAACCATGAGTGTTATTGAGAATGAGAAATCCCAGTGGTTTACTACTTCCTGCGCATCTTCTCCTTGGAACGTAGCTTGACATTTTCACATTTCACGCCAACGAAATCCGGGCCAGACTGGAGTCAAAGATCAAGGATAGTAAAGAAAAAGGGAAGAAGACGCTGGAGCTGAAGGTCAAGAATAGTAAAGAAGCAGGGAAGAAAGGGCAGAGGGCAGAATAACAAAACAAAAACTCCTAACTCACAATTATTCTCGATTCCAATTCCAACCTCATCTTCTCATCCCAATCTTGTCCTTTTCTCTCCAACATGGAATCAATAGTATAACTCAAAGTTTCAGCAGCAGGACGCATAACGACTCTACTTCTACCTTCTGGTTCTTTTCTAAAATCTTGAATTTCAACCACTAAACATCCATCGACAAAAGAAACGGGAGGTTGAATATCGTATAAGAAAGGCATGAGGGAAGAAGGGATGACTTGAGAACGTAGAGCTAAAAGGAAAGGTTTCATAGGACCATCATAAGTGAATGTTACGGGCTGTTGACGTTAGGTTTACCCTCCAGTATCTCTCTCACATCAGGGGGATAGTACTTTGAATATGTTTGATATCTTGGGACTTTTGAATGAGAAAGGAGAGTGAGTAATGGGGGATATGAGATTCTTTCAGTGACCTTTGAAAGATGGTACATTGTATAGTTAGATAAATGATATATGGGTGATAAGAGCAGATATGAATCTTATAAGACGGGACAGGCAAAAGAGGGGAGGAAGAGGAAAAGAAAGGGGGAACGGAAGAGAACATACAGAATTCTCAAACCTCCAATTCTTTGCGTATAATTGAACGGTAAGTGAAGGTTCCCATTTCCTAGATTTCTTCAATACCGCTCTGGCGAAACGATGGTGGTTGTACCCCGAAGCGCTCGCCATTGTGTGGGATGGAACGTCTTCAGGTATGGGAACGGGTCAAGAGGTAAACGAAGAAGTGTTAGAGACGGTTCACGTCTAGTAGTGACTCGGTCGAGTTTGCTCCCGTTGGTCCGGGCCGGTATCAAGTACGGGGGTCGTGCTGGTATAGTTACGGAGCACTCTACTCTCGAGTACTTTTCAATAGACCATGCAGCTGTAGCTGACTTGTGACAATTTACAACATGCATGTCAGAGACAGTTCTCCCCATAAACCCAATTTTTTCACATTTTACATCTGACACTTCTCCTTCAAAAGCTCTTTCTTGTCAATCTCCCTTGACATTCTTCCACATCACCACAAAACCCTTACCTCTCTCCCTTCTCACTTCGAACCCAGTTTCACCTGACCCTTGCACATCTCCCCATCCTCCCAAACAGGTGATAAGCCAACGCTTGCTCCCTCCCGAAGCTAAAGACACCGCTGTATTCCCCCACAACTCGGTGAGAGTGACAACACTGACATTCCATTTTTCCATCTTTTCTCTCACTATATCCCTAATGGTCGGTGGATCTTCCCGATGAACCTGGTCCGCTGGAAGAACGGCAGGATGGGTATACCTAGCCACTAATTTGTGAGGATAAAGGGTCGGATCACTGGAGGTTGGCATGAAGGGAAGTTCGGTAGTTCGGACCGATCTGGGAGATCGAGCTGGGATGCCGGATGCTAGACGAAAAACAGCCGTTTGAGTAGCATAGAGTGGACGACGGACAGATGAGGGTTCGTCAGCGGAAACAGGGTAGTAAGAGGGTTTAGACGATACCCCCACACCGGAAATCTCGACGTCGTATCTAGGATTTAGCCGAACCACGACGAAAAAATTGACGCGGCGGAGCAGTCAGTGAGTACAGATTCGGTATGAGTGAGAAAGAGGTCATATGATATGATGAGGATCAACAACTCACCCCCAGTCAGAAGCAGACGCCTCTGCCCATTCTCGGAATTCAGCATCGGTCATCTCAAGCTTATGATCCGAATGTCTAATGGTCAGTCAGAACTGCAGACCTGAACCTTCTCACTGACCTGAATACCCGGTTCGTCCTCCCAGTAGGATCCACAAATCCCGAACGAGTGGTCCCATCTTTCGGGGGAAATTTGGCATTGAAGTCGAAGTTCTATCACTTAGCATGTATCACTATAGCAAGGCAGCCCTCCCACAAGTCCGAGTGACAGAATTTTATAAACTCACGGGTGTACTGATCAACAAAACTTTCGGTCGGTAAGTCCCAAGAATAACGACCCCAAACCGACTCAAGGTATGCGGTTGAAGATGCTCGATTACTTCCAAAGCTACGATCGCCTCGAATACCTCAAGATGGGAATTGAAACGTTCTATATCCCCGGCCCAGAGTTCAGTGGTGAGAGGTTGCCAGCGTGGAGGAGATTGTGATACGCCATTGACCGGCACTTCAGGAGCAAGAGCTCGCAGCGCTGTGGACAAGACAGCAGGATTATTGTCTATTCCTGCGACACGCTAGGATTAGTATACATTGTGCTGGACGTACTAAAGGTAGTCGCCCGCCTTTCCACCCCTCCAGAAAGGTACTCACCCCGCTGCCGGGATTCGAGAGATGTGCGAGGAAGTGCAGCATCAGGCGCAAGAACAGGGATCCTGGTTGGAAGCATGACCTGTGGTGGCGATGTGGAGAACTAAACAAGAGAGATGGTAATCAGAGAAGAAGAGCTAAACTCACAGTGAGAAACAGCTCTTGTCCTTCATCCCTTTCATCGTATTCGCTATTCTCTGGACTGGGAAACTGTGATTCGTTTTTGACAGGCACAGGTCGAATAGGTGGTTCGTTAATCGTAGAAGGAGGCTTGACTAGTAACTCTAGAAGGGCACCAGGGCCACAGCCGATGTCCAATACCTGTACGTGAGCCAAAAATCGGAAGCGATGGAGAACAAAAAAGTATCGATATGACCATTCAGTGTGTATGATGGAATGAGAGATGTTATTTGAACATACCGAGCGAATGTTCTCTTTTCTTAGCACATCCATAGCCCATGATCTACGCTGTAGCCAAAGTCTGATCGTCAACAATAAAGTGCGGTGGGGACTTCAAGGGGACTTCGTTCGTCCAGGTAAGTTATAGCAAGATGGCTGAGGTGACGAGGTAGTGGTGAACACCTCGCTCGTCCTCGCCTTGGGGATTTGACACAAATGGGAGATAGCTAGACTCACTCTGGAGTAAAGGTCACACCGACCTCCTTTTCCGCTTCTACGATAGAAACTTCTGGAAGTATCGTGGCCGGCAAAGCGGAAGGAGATAGTTTTTGGGGAGAAGCGTCGGTCGCAGAAACCGGTTTCATAGCAGGAGAAGTCATGATATGTATACTATAAGACTTTTATGATATCTTAAAGGGATTATGACCGAGAAAAGGAGTACTTTTTAGGAAGAAAGTGAGAAGTGAGAAGGAGGTAGGAAAGAGAGAGAAAGTATGGGGAAATGGAGAGCAAGTTTGGAAGAATATTGCGTTTTCTACGCGCAATGTGTCGACTTTATTTCTCTCCTTTTCCTCCTTTCCCTCATCCCATTACGCTCCCCCAATCATATCCCCAATGAGCAACTCAAACTTTCTCGATGTGAGTTGAAATACTTTGAGAGTCCTGACTGATTCTCAGAAAGCCATAGCCATTGTTCAAAAAGCCATTGATGAGGATGTCAAACAGAACTACGCGGTGAGTTTCCTGACGCTCACTTTAACGCTCGAGCTCATGTGTGTAGGAAGCGTACAAGCAATATCAAGATGCTTTGGATTATTTCATGATGGTGAGTTTTATCTCGATATTCATGCTTGTGCTAATCATCAGGCGATGAAATGTGAGCTACCAGAGAACATCGCCATCGACTCATTCACCACCGACTGCTGTGTTTTACTTAGCATTCTATCATCCTGCTTGCCACGACGGAGAGCAAGCGTTGAGGCACTGACGCACAGACGAGAAGAACGACAAACTCAAAGAACTCATCCGTAAAAAGTTCACTGAATATCTTGATAGAGCCGAAAAGCTCAAAGAACATATAGCTAAATCTGAAGAGAAACGCACACGTACCAAAGTTGGGGCTACGGGTGGCGGGGGGTCAGCAGCAGGTGGACCAGACGTGAAAGATGATGACGATCCCGAAATCAAGAAGTTACGACAAGGTCTACAAGGGGCTATCTTATCGGAATCACCTAATGTGCAATGGGATGATGTGGCCGGTTTGGCACAGGCTAAAGAGGCTTTGAAAGAAGCCGTCATTTTACCTATCAAATTCCCACAGCTGTTTACGGGGAAGAGAACGCCTTGGAGGGGTATATTACTATATGGACCACCGGGAACTGGGAAGAGTTACTTGGCAAAGGCCGTAGCTACAGAGGCGAAGAGCACGTTCTTCAGTGTATCAAGTAGTGATTTAGTTTCCAAATGGATGGGAGAGTCTGAAAGGTGAGTTGTCCACTCATCAAACTCATAACTCGACTATCAAATCATCGGAAGTGAGAGATGTTGACATCACAGACTAGTGAAACAGCTATTCACCATGGCTCGAGAACAAAAACCAGCCATCATATTCATCGATGAAATTGATTCTCTCACAGGTACTCGTGGCGAAGGCGAATCGGAAGCTTCTAGACGAATCAAGACTGAATTTCTTGTCCAAATCAACGGTGTGGGCAACGATGACACTGGAGTATTAGTGTTAGGCGCTACCAATATACCGTGGCAACTCGATCCTGCTATCAAACGTCGTTTCGAGAAACGTATTTACATCCCTCTACCCGATGTCCATGCTCGGAGACGTATGTTTGAATTGAACGTCGGGACGACACCTCATGGATTGACAAACGCCGATTTTCAACATCTCGCCGAGCAAACAGAGGGATATTCAGGGAGTGATATTGCTGTTATCGTGAGGGATGCTTTGATGCAGCCTGTCAGAAAAGTTCTTTCAGCCACACATTTCAGAGAGGTCAGTGCTGTTCTTCTCTCTTCTTTCACAAAACTCTTTCTGCTTTTATTCGAAGCTCTCATACGAGGAGTTCAAGTAGTAATGCATTTTCACATGAGCAACTGACTTACCTGGGCAGAGCTGACGACCAGGTAACCACTGATGGTCCATCTGGTCCCGTTACCAAACTCACCCCCTGTTCCCCCGGCGCAGATGGAGCGATGGAGAAGACATGGACGGATGTTGAGTCTGATCAATTATTGGAACCATTACTAGGGGTGAGGGACTTTGAGAGGAGCATACAGGTCAATCGGCCTACTGTCTCTCAGGCGGATATCCAGAAACACATCGATTTCACTAATGAGTCTGGTGAGCTGCTCATTTCTTCCTGTTGTGTCTATTCCCTTCCCTTCCCTCCTTTCACACCCTCGCTCGATTTGCGTCATTTCACTTTTGCTATGAAACACTTCTCCTTGCACCGGTCTGTGAGAATCCTAAGCAATTTTACGAATCAAGCTGACAAGTAGGTGGGGAAGGAGTGTAAAACCTGTTGTTCATGCATGTATTCTATTGCATACGTCTTCATCATTCATGGAATGATAGGTGAGTACTTCATCGTCTTCTGACATTCGAATGAGAGAGGCATGTCAAAACACGTCTCACCTATTCCATCCTTTGCTCTGTCCTCCATTGATACATCGCCTATCAACTCCGATCAACTCGGTGCTCGCTCCACATACCGCCCACTGTCGCCTTCACTTTTCACACCATACCCCATCATACTAACTTATTACCGACCCTAACATATTTTTAATCCTCTCGACCCACACTTTAGCGTAAGACGGTATAATTGAACCAAGACAAAATGACGCAACTGCCCTCTCTCCAGAATATACTGACCAAGGAACTTCTGGATGAATTCAAGGCTACCTTCAAACAATTGGCCGTTGCAGGCTGTTCTGTTGTCGTTGTACAGGAAAACGAAGGTAAGATGGATAAAAAAGCTGTGGCACATGGAAATGCGGATGGTAATCATTGGAATGAAGTGGACCCTCATGTGAGTTCAGAGTATATTCCCGTCGTATGATCATCTCAAGTCGCTTTGGGCTTTTGAGATCTTGATCTTGAAGTGTACGAATCGAATCACTCATTTGATCATGTCCAACTTATCACCCTTGTGACCCTCAGGACGAGCGGATATTGGGAGGTTCGCATGAAGAAATCGAGCTAATGACTAGACCTGGTTTCCTTTTGGAACAGACGGTTTGATCATCTCTCTTGCTGTACTACGCGCTTTGAGTGAAAAGGGCCTTACTGAGAAGATTAAGTTAGCTCAGGTATTTGACATGCAATTGGGAGATTTAGGGAATAAAACCGTCGAAGAAGTTTTGTCACATCAGACCGGATTACCAAGTGTGGATCCTTCGCTTTTGAACGTGGATATACCTCTTGTCAGTTTACCTTCCTCTTTCTCGTCCTATAATCTCCTTCTCCTACTCCCTTCTCACATCTACCCTGTGAGCACACCGAGTGTCCGTCTCAAACAATCCGAACCACTTGCACATCCTGCCCATCCAGTCTTAGCGACACTCAATCATCCTCATGTTCTCATCTCACTATACCTCAATACCCCCATGAATCCTCTAGCTCAATTTAGTGATGTGCACTGTACTTGAGATATGAACGACCTTGACTGATATATCAGCTTGACTCTCTCTCTCAAATCCCACTCTCTAAACCCAAATGGCATCACTCCCAACTCAATATACTCCTTGCGATCCGGATCTTGGAACAATTAACAGGTACCACATGGAATGACTACGTGCAGAAGACAATATTCGATCCATTGGATGTCAAAGCAGTATATACCCGTCCCCATTTAAAGTATGCGATGGGTGTTTGGTCTCAGGTCATTCCTGGAAGTGATAAGGGTCGTCGGAATGCTGAGATGTATCCTTTAGAAGCCACTAAAGAAAAGGGGATATGGTTAAATTCGGTTTACATGGTAGGTTTTTTTTTCATCTACAAACATTCACACTCTCATTTCGCATCGACCTTCTTTACTATGCGGAGTACTTATTCTCCGAAAAAGGTATTTCAGGATGCTGACTTTGAGACTCGTCTATTGACAGCTCTTCCTCTCATGCCAGAATATCACAAAGCTTCACAACCATTAATAAAAGCTATTTCCGAACGTGAGGTATTATCGTTCGAAGACCCACATTTGCCAGTTACTTGGGGAATGGGAATGCAACAGAGTACTCATCGACAACATCGTATTTGGGAAAGTAGGACTGTGACATTTGTGAGTCTATCTCTCCCCTCTCCCCTCCCCACTCTCCTTCTTCTATCACCTTGAATACATCGTGTCAGTCACACGTTTGCTTTCACATCTATGATACTTTATCGTTTTCACGCTATGTTTGAATGGATCATTGTATGGTCTCCCGTACTGGGAGAAATGACTGGCAGGCGATAAGATAACGGGGCTGATTGATTAGGGTTGTACAACGGTCATTGGTCGTTTTCCCAATTTAGGTATAGGTTGGGCAGTTTTGACAAATTCTCCAGAAGGTGTTTATGCCGCCTCTTTGGTCAAATTCCGTCTTCTTGAGAAATTCACCAATCTGGCGCCTTGGGCTTGGAAACCCGCGTGAGTTTTTGTTATCCCTTTCCTCCTTCTCTTCCTCCCCCTTCTTCTTTGTTTATTGTCGATTTCCATTTCCAACCCTCCTATTATCCCTCCTGCCCCATTACGCCATCTGCCTTGCCTACATATCGTGCGACTTCTTGACACCTGTCTCACTCAAACCCTCGCCCTCGAACATCCTATCCGACCTCCAATCTTATCTAGCTCATGACCCAAATCTCGTTCCCCTTTCAATTTCCGGTCCATACACACTTGTGAGAACACGCCCCTAATCATCTTTATCTACCACATGAACCCGGACCATTGTCCTTTTTCATTTTCTAGTATATACACAAGGGAAGAACACACCATCAACCAACCCCAATCTACCCAATAACCCAAATCCGTCCCCCTTCTCATTTTCTGTTCTTTGCACGAAAGGTGAACCCATCACTAACCAATCAGGATATCCTTGGCAAAGAAGAAAGATTTGGTCTATACTGCTTTTCTCTCACACATAATCAAACCCTCTCACAGTACTTCTGATAAATCGGATCAGATTCTAGTCAATGAACTCGACTCAATGAACGTTTCATCATCTCCTACTGACTTGACAACTATCGTATCTAACCAACAACCTTCTCAAGTGAAATCGAGTTTAACTACCCAGGACAAGTCGGTGTCTAATTTAGACGTGACGGTGGAAGGGATTTCAGAAATCAACCTCTCGAATTCTCCAAACAATGAGAATGATCAAATATCTACATTCAACTTGAATGAAGATCTAATACCAAAACCGAAAGAAGATGTAGAAAATTCAATCTCACAACAAGAAGAAGATGTAGAAAATCCACTCCTAAGACAGAAAACAGATGGAGAAGAAAACAATGGTATCATAGGAACCTGGTTATCACCCGGATTAAAACCATTGATAATCTCTTCAAACCAAATAATATCTTATAAACCTCAATATAACATAATCCCACCTTGGTATCATTCGCCTATGGTTTACGTACCTTTTGATAATGCTAAAGATGAATATAGAGGTTGGATCAAAGTTGGGGAACGTCATGGTAAACCTTTTCGATTGAGGGTGAAAGATGGGAAGATGAACGTTAGAGGGTTTGTTGATGGGGATAGGGATAGGGAGTTGGTTTTTACCAAAGTAATCTGAACAATGAGGAATTGTGAGAATTATGTTTCTTGGTATGATTTATTAATCACTTTCCTTTTCTCGACAATTATATCCCCATACCTCAACCAGCCAACCTACCGTTAATCGTTAACCATATTTGAACTCTGACCTTTTTTTTCTTGTTGATCTTCCCCTACCTCCCCTCTCCGACCTCTGACACCTGGTTCTTGATTTCTTAATATTGACGGCTGATTGTTCGTCATATCGACATAATCATTGCTGTTTGTTTATAATGCATCTTCCGTGTAGTCAAGACGTAATGAGAAGTACGGAAATTGTGTGCTCGAGTAGTCTCTCCTATCTCTATCTGATATTCGTTGCATGCATTTCTATTCTTGTCATCATGTGCGTCATTGTCATATCATTGATCCTTCTTACTCCCTCTTACAACCCCGACCAACTTCAACAAACTCTCACCAGCTTTCGTCCTCTCCGCATTACCCAGACTCTTCTTTACATCTTTCTCCCATTCCTGCGTAATCTCCCATTCACCTTGTTTCAACGGATGCCGAGCCAACATATAAGCTAACAATCTCATTTTGACCCAAACCATCTTTTCATCTTTCTTCTCTTCTTCACTCTCCACTTTTCTCATCTTATCCTCTCCCTTCCTATCGTCTTTCGTTCGAACACTATCATTTCTCCTCTCCTCTTTCGTAGTTTTAGATGTACGAGAAGAATGGGAACAGGGAAGAGTAAGCAGCTCGCATGTGTACATAACGGTCGGTGACGCGAATGTAGAAGTCGATTCGTAGTCCTTTCTTGTACCGAATCGTCGTTGTTCCGCTCGACCGGCTCTGACCCCGGAGAGATCTTCTATAGTCTGCGCTAGGAGATGAAGGGAGACGTGGGTCGGGATCAGAGGTTGAAGGGCGGAGATGAGGGTTTGGAAGGAAGATAGAGGGAGGGGTCGGAAGAGATGTAGTAAAGATAGGAGGAGAGAGGGTGGGTGGAAAGGTGGTGAAGGAGGTAAAGCTGTGTGTATGAGCTGAGTGTTAGCTGAGTATGATATTATTGACTATCCACCATTTTTCTTCAAACTGCACTCCTTCAAAGACTGGTGAGGATATATCTCTGGGCTTGACAAGGTGTAGAAGATGAGCAATAGGTCAAGGTGTTTGATCACTTACCAATTTCAACACCCTAGCTGCTACCAACAAACGTCGTCTCTGTATAGGCTCTCTCAAAGCTGCTCTGACTACCATCAAAGGCAAAGACGAATTATCAGCCTGTAACCTAGCCCCGAATGGTCTCGGGATTTGGCAAACGAACATGGGGCTATAAGTAGCTACGTCGTCAGCTTCATGCGAATCATGTTTTTCTCCATCATTTGTGACTGACAAGTATCCGGGTGATCTTCATGATAACACTCTTCATCTTTCTCCCACAACGACACAAACCACTCTATCAAACCCCAAGCTTCCTCATCTACCCCGGACAGTCTATCAATCGCACTTTCATCCCGCACCGCCGCTCTGGATTTACCTTTCCCCGTGAAAGATGTGGCTCCAGTTTGAAACAAAGCCCACGCCCCATCTTCCACACAAGCCGACATGAGCGCATGAGTTTCTCGTTCTGTTCGCCCTTTCGGGTGAGTGATCCATGTGAGCCATCGCGGTATCTCGGTATCTTTTAACGGACCGGCTATGGCAGGCAGGGTCGAAGAGAGAGAGGAAGGAGGGTGTAGAGAGGAGAGACGATAAAGCAGTGCGAGTGATTGTTGTTGAAGTTTGAGATCTGATGATAAGGAGAGATAGAGTAACGCTTGAACGTGTTGCCTGTAATGTCAGAAGATGACCACCACGTTTTTGGAAAAGGGAGATAATTTCCGGAAGTAGAAGAAAGGACTTGCGAGGAAGGAAGGAATTTGTCAGTGAGGAGATCGGAGAAAGTTTCTAAAAAGATTACATCTGAGGGGATCAGCGGAAGTTTTTCGGTTCGCCGGAGAAAGGAATGAGGACATACCCTTTCCTTCATCTAACGGATTAGATATGATACCTTGCCAGGTGGAAGGTTGGGTGGTAGCTATGGAGGTTACCATGGTGGTGATGAATTATTGGTGTACAGGTTGGAGTACTTAGTTGGTGGAGGCAAGTCGCGTGTGTGAGTTGCCTCCCGAGACCGTGGTACGGCGGCGTGGCCCGCTGTGCTGTCTGCTGCTGGAGTGGCAGGGTGTCGGGGTGTGAGGGTACCCAGGGTCCGAGCGTATCCCCACAGAAAAGAGTACAGGTAGCGGTGGCCGAAGCTCGGGGCTCCCTTTGGCGCTTCGACGTCGCATTTGGCACTTTCGTCATAACTCACTCACCCTCATATCCGAACCACCCTACAGTACATATATCTATTCTCTCTATCCACTCACTTTATCATACACAAAGTCACTCCCTTTCATACCATTCCCTCTAGCTTTGAAACACCTGCTTCATATCCACAGCTTCACTGCCTACACCATACACCTCACCCGCCTCCCACAATATCCTTTGCGCCTCCTTCAGCTTTCGTCTCTATCTCACCACCTCACAACCTTCGGCTACTAAAGTCCGACCATCACCCCATAACCTAACCACTCTTCTTCACATCTCATCCATCATCACTTGCCACCTATTCTAAACCATGGCTCCCCGCAAACGTCATGAAGCCGCGTCGTGGGAGGTAGACGCTGACAGGCCAAAACCCGATGGTGAGACCAGGGCTAGGAGGTCGTACTGCATCAAAGAGCTTGTCACTCGTGAGTCTTTAACTTAACCTCTATGTGAACACCTCAGAGAAACCCCCCTTCAAATACACTTCAGATGTGGCTGACATCTCTTCCTCCCTCGACGTAGTGGTCTACGTTGCCACCCTCGTGTGACCATGATTCGCATCGCTGACACTATCAGAACCCGCGCCCGGTATCGACACCGTCAACGACATCATGCAGTATGCCGTCAAGACTCATGGCAACCGTAATGCTTTCGCCGGTCGTGATATCGATCGAATGATTTCCGAGGAAAAAGAAGTGACAAAAATCATCGGTGGCAAGGAGGTCAAGCAGAAGAAGACGTGGACTTATTACAAGCTCAAGCCATTCGACTGGATGGGCTATGTAGATGCTTACGAACGTGTCAAACAGATCGCCAGTGGGTTGCGGGAACTGGGTTTGGGTTCCGAGGGAGAGACATTCTTCAACATATACGGGTCCACCAGGTAAGACTATCGCTTGTGATTTCCAAATCACCTCATCCCCTTACAGCAGTCAGGATATGCCCGATTCCTAAGACCAAGGCGTGTGAACATCCCGCTGACAGTCAGTCGCGATTGGATGCTCGTCGCTCAGGCGTGTGCTTACTCCGCCGTACCCATCTGCACGGCCTACGACTCTCTCGGGCCCGACGGTCTCGCCCATTCTCTCAATGAGACCGAAGTCCGAAGCATGTTCACCAATGCGGACCTGTTGGGAACGCTCGCCAAGATCATCAGCAAATGTCCCACAGTCAAAACAGTGATCTACAATGGCAAAGCTGAAGACAAGGACCTCGCCGCTCTTCAATCGGCCAAGGAAGACCTTAAGATCATCACATTGGACGAGGTCATCGAGCTGGGTAAGAAAAACCCTAAGGAAGCCATCAAAGCAAAACGGGAAGATGTCTATTGTTGCATGTACACTTCGGGTTCTAGTGAGTTATCGAGCAATGTACTTCCTGATTGGGTGATGTGCTGACTTGCAGCCGGTACGCCGAAGGGAGTGCTTCTGACACATGGCAATGTCTGTGCTGCCGTCGGATCTGTCTGGACCCTTCTGTACGAACAGCTCACGCCTAACGACTCGTACCTTGCTTTTTTGCCTCTTGCTCACATTCTCGAGTTCGTCGTCGAAATGTCTTTCGTCTTTGCCGGTCTGCCCATCGGATATGGTCGAGTCAAAACTCTATCTGATGCCAGCGTCAGAGAGTGCAAGCCTGATATCTTGGAGTTCAGACCGGTACGCTGAGAATTATCTCCTTTAGGGGCTATGCTGACATATTAGAGTATTCTCGTCGGCGTCCCCGCCGTATGGGAAACCATCCGCAAAGGTATCCTGACCAAGGTCGAGCACTCTGGCGCAGCAAAGAAATCCGTTTTCAACTTTGCACTCCGGGCCAAACAATACGCTCAGCAGTACTTCATCCCCTTCCTTGGCCCCATCACCGACAAAGTTGTCTTCGATCAGGTCCGAGCGCAAACTGGGGGCAGGTTGAAGATCATGTTCAATGGGGGAGGACCTGTGTCGACCTCAACTCAGCAGTTCCTCTGCACCGCTTTAGTGACGATGATCCAAGGTACGCTCGAAGAATTTCCTGTGGGTCATTGGCATAAGCTGATGGATAGGGTACGGTTTGACAGAGACTACTGCCATGGCATGCATCCTGAACCCAGATTGGATGCAGTATGGAGCCGTCGGTGGGCCAGTGCCAGCAGCGGAAATCAAGCTAGTCGATGCCAAAGAGGCGGGTTATTTCTCCACCAACAGTCCTCCTCAAGGAGAGATCTGCGTACGTGGACCGGCCGTCTTTTCCGGTTACTACAAACGACCCGATCTCGATGCAGAGGCCTTCACCTCTGATGGATGGCTGAGGACTGGTGATGTAGGACAGTGGAACAAGGACGGAACAATCAGCATCATCGATCGTCTCAAAAACCTGGTCAAACTTCAAAGTGGAGAATACATTGCCATTGAATATCTCGAGAGCATTTACAAATCCTGTCCCATCATGGCTAACGGTTGTATAATCGCTAATGGCGACCACAGCCAACCGATGATGGTCGTTGTTGCCCATCCTGTGAATCTGCCGACGTTCGCGAAGAAGAATGGTCTGGGCAAGGGTGAAGACATTGAGGAGCTATGCAAAGATGAGGCGGTTGTGGAAGCTGCGCTAGCCGAGTTGAATGCTATTGGACGTAAAGCGGGATTGAAGGGGATGGAACTACTGGAGGCGATCGTTCTCACAGCGGATGAGTGGACTCCAGAGTCTGGGTTTTTGACAGCTGCTCAGAGTGAGTCATCCCAAGAATCTGTTGCACTTGTACCACTTCGAACCCATGCTGATAGGAATAGAATTGCAACGCAGATACATTGAGAAGCACTATGCCGACCGTATCAAGGTAGTATACACTTGATCCAACTGTCGGCTCATCTTTCATAATTCAGTTTCTTATATACGACAGACAGTAATGGACGTGGGATTCGTGTGAAATAGTAAATGACAGAGTAGAGCGAAATACAGGACGAAGACGCACAGGCCGTATTTGGCGGAATATGTATTGTCGGAATTGCCGCTCAAATGTCCATGCTATGAATGTACTGCTACAACCTCACTAACATGCAGGTTATCACTGACCAAGACAAACCAGAACCATCTTGGCTCGATGCGGCAATCTCACACTTGGGACACATAGCACACTCTCGTCGACAATTTTCGAGTTTCCCCGACCGAGTCCGACCTATGTTGAAGAATGTCAGAACCGTGCGACTTCTCCTCATCTCTCCTTTCTTCCTCTTCTTCTCGACTTGACGTCAAACTTGAACTTGTCCCGCGTTACATACCCCTCCTTTCATAACTTTACACGATTCCTTCGGCAGACGGAGAATATCTTGGCCTCCCCGCACCGAGTCTGATCCCTTGGCCCCTTGGTTAAATCTCGAGGTGTGGACATTGTGATACTGGGAGATTGTCATTCGTATTGATGTTTGTCGGTCGTTTCGCTCATTTCTGATTTGTCTGTCATTATATTATCTTGCCTACTAGACTTTACAATAATCGATAGATCGTACTTGAACCCGAAGTCGTCGTCAGGTTTGAAACCTCTCAGTCTTGTCTATCAACAAATTCGGTCTCTATTCTCCCACATATCTGTCTTTTCCTCGAGTATCCCCTCGTTCAAGTCATCAGTTCAAGCCGGTTCTTGAAGACATACGATCGGATCGGATCGACAGTTGATTCTCCGAAATCTTCATCTCTCAAGTCATCGAGTATTTTAAATCGTTTTCTATCGACCTACTTAAAAGCTCACTGCAGTGACATTTATGCGACTCCCCCCTTTGGCCCTGGTGGCCCTTCCACTAGTCTTAGCCTATTATCCTCGTCCGCAAAGATTACGTCCCACTTCTGTACCTACTCAAAACTCACCAGTCAAGAAGGCTGATTTGCCAGCAGAAGGATTACATCAAAATGTATATTTAGTATCGGCAAGAGATTATTTATGTTTGAGTCCTTCCAATATGACTTTAGATTTGTCTACTGTGTTATCGACTTCATCTACGTCGTCTAGTGTGCCTATGAGAGCGAGGGGGAACGTACCCACTTCGGCTGTGAGGGCAAGCCGGGATTATCCCTCCGGATCAAAAGACGAAGATGGGAGGAGTGTTAGGGAAGGGAGTGATAGAGTTTTGAAGAGAGGAATCGAGGAGAGGGATAGTTCGGTCAGAGGAAAAGAAAAGAGAGATGGATCGATAGGATTAGAAATGACTAATACTTCCAATATGTCTTACGTACCTGGAACAGTGGTGAATAAAGTCAATTGCACACAAGCGCAAACATGGGATATATCTTTCAACCAAGCTGGGAGTATCACGTTGAGTGGGACGGAGTTAGTTTTGGAAGGTGAAGTCGGGGACTTCGGAAGGTTATTCGTGAGTTTCCAAGCTTTTTCTCCTCCGTCATGACCATCCCACGAATACTATATCTTGTTCGACATTTCCACAACGCGTGATTCATATTATTCCATGATCAATGACATAAGGAGAGATGTCGATCGATATCATCATGTCGGCGAGAAGCAGACCTGAAGTCGTCGCGTGTAGCGAGCAAGTGGAACATCCGCCACAAGGCTGGAGGTAGAACGATGGAGGACATGAAGATAGAACTGGACTAGGCCGGTATGATGAAGATGATATACGATGGAGTCAATTTTGAATGGAGATATGAAGGGGACGGAATGAAATTATCCAGGAAGAAATGCTAATGATCAGCTGAACAATGTAACAAACTCGACGGGACAAAATTGGTTTTGGACCCGAGACGATCATATCGCTATTGTTGATGCTGGTAAATGTTTAGATGATGGGGATGGGAATGTTGAGGTATATACATGTTATGGGAATAATGTTAAGCAAAGTGAGTTTCTCTTTCGTCTTTGAGTTTTATCATATCTTCCTTCCCCTTGTTCCGCATGTGTCTTTCACTCTACATCCCAATTCCGTCATTCAGTTCAATATATATTGAATTAAAAGAAAGCTAGCTGTATTCTCCTTGTAGTCCTTGACCGTGAAAAGAGGGGAGAGGTTGGCCTATTTGCCATGGGTATGCGGTCCCGAAGATGTAGTCTTAGGTTCGGGAGGAACCGATTAGCCAAAGTCTGGGGGGTTCTATGAGGGGAAATAGAATAAAATGAAAATTGAAAGGGAAAGGAATCTAGAGGATGATAGTTGTGCTAGAGAGGGAAAGAGGTGAGGAAAAGCTGATAAACGTTTAGCTTGGATTGTGGGTGATTTAGATACTGCTAATCAAGCTCCAATTCGAGAAGGTCAAGGTCAAAATACGATTTGTACGGATATTCCACCTGGAACACCGATGAATGATACTCAAGGTGATTTCAGTAGGATTCATCGTGAGTTTAGAGTACTTCGACTTTATCCGTTGTCCATGTCATACCATATATCTTCCCCTCTAATCTTTTCACCTTACCAACTTGTCACCTAAATACCATGCGTGTGATCATGTTCATCACTGAGAGAATGGACAGGAGACATGAGTTCTTGCAGGGGAATCTTCATTATTTGTGAATCACACCAATGACGAGTGTGTCGGTACCGATCTCAAGTGCCTTGTGAGACGATGGACAGTGTAATCAGAAAAGAGCGAAAGAGATGTTCTCGTCGTAGGGAATTTGTAGATCAGGCGGTTCTTCCCAAAACATAAAGACTAATTGTCAGCTTGTCAAAGATCTGATCTCTGCGTTTCCGCCCTTGATTGTCAACAGGTTAATGGAACTTTGAATTGTCCTTCTTTGGGCGTGTGAGTCAAAACGTCTCTACTCTATCCTTCTGTCAATACAACTCATCAGAAATCCCCTTTCCAATGACCCTCCACCCTTCCTCGGGAGTGTAGACAAATATTCTTCCTTCCCATTCCTCCTGACCAACTCTCATTGCCCTCTTACAACAAACCATACCCCCCCACCCCTACCTAAGTTATCTTGCTACTCCATATCATCTCATCTTACTATCATGCTCACGATCTGGTTGATTAGAAAGAATGGGGAGGGGGAAAGGGTGGTGGTAACATACTGACACCTAGGACATACTGTGTCAACGCAACCGATCCATCTGCAATGTACCAATTCTTCGATCTAACAACCATTTCAAACGGTTCAAACCCATTGACAATGTCACCATCTGATTCATTCACATGTTGGAACGCAGGTCCTAATCCTCAAACAGGAGATCAAGTAGGGATAGATAGTTGTCAGTTGAAAGGGAGTGGAATGGAGAATTGGGAATATACCGATGATTTACATTTAGCAACTACTGGTGGTGAGTTATTTTTTCATCTTTCTTTCCACGAAATCCCTCATCTTGGTCACTCACATTCCACTGGGATTTTCGAAGATTCTCTAATGGTTGATCACTTATTCCATTCTACACAAAATCAAATTTGGGATTAATCATATTTCCCATTCTTCACAAAATGATCAAATGGGGGAATGGTTCATTCCTCCAATCCGAATTCAGAAGGTTCCATTTCGGTTAAGAACTCATGTGGTCTCGTGTAGTCCTGTCGTCGGCATATTCTCCCGGGGTTCATGTCACCTACTTGGTCCATCGAACTGAGAGTTGGCTCGATATTGATCCTGAATACTGATACTTAGATCAATGTCTCGCTGTCATAGATGGTTCAACAGGAAAGAACACAACACCATGGAATAGTTTATCAGATCTTCAATTAACAGAATGTGATCCGATTGATCAACATCAGGTGAGAAATTTCGTCTTCTCTCACATCTCCTTCTTCCCAGATGAGAACCATTGTGAACGTTTCTCAGTTGACTCGACTGAATATTTCACGAGTTGGTCAGTACGGGATTCATGTGAGATTACACAAACCTACATGAGGGGTTTTTCACCTGCTCTCGTCGTCGGACAATCATCCTCTAATAATCCCCTACATCTAAGGTTGAATATTTTCGTCCGCGTTGTCCTGCACGAATGGGGGGTGTGATAAGTATGACAGATATTGGAAGGTAAGAGATGCTAATAGACAAGATGTTCCTCACTCCATGAGGTCCCGGAAGTAAAAGTATGATATTTCAATTATACCCAGATGATACGTATACCCTTTGTCGTTGTTCTTTCCTATTCCATGTTACATCAGATGATGATGAGAATGCAAGACATTCTTATCGAATAAAATACTTCTCAATTGCTGCATGTTGAACCTTCAATGATATGATGAATAGTGTTTATATTCTCTTCAATTCTCTACATTCCTAACTATAAGACGCTCCCCATTCCTCACTCCACGATCCCATACGATCACTCCACGATCCCACACAATCACCTAAATGAGATTTCACCTTCCTTTCCTTACTCCTCACTCCACAATGACTCAATGAGATTACACTTTCGATTCCTTACTCCACGACGATTCAATGAGATCTCACATTCAATTCCTGACTCCTGACTCCTGACTCCAGTGAAGATCAAGTTCGGAGATGACATCACCTCCCCATTTCCCACATTTTAGATTAACCGACAAACGACCATAGCTCTTGGTAAAGATCTGGTATGTGATACTCTCACCTTTACCGTCTCTCCTATCCCAATATTCTCTTTAGGTCCAGCGTCCAAAAAACCCGTAGTACCTAATTCTGGAAGATAAATAGGTATCGTATATATTCCATCTGGTGTAAGTGACATATGTCCCATTATCGTACCTTCTAAATTTCCTAAATCTATGACTTCTTCTTGTTTTCCTATTTCTTTCATCACATTTCTTCCCATCTCATCACCCTCATTCGAGCTATTCGTCTTTTCCGTACAAGGCATTTTTTCCCTTTTCCTCATCACGCTCAAGTCATTTTGGTCATGTTGTGAACTTGTTTTGTGAAGTTTGGTTATCTCACTCGAAGCCGTATTCGAAAGACGTAGTGAGGAAGATCCTCCATTTCTAAATCTCTCAATAGCTTGTACTTGCCACCAAATATCCGCATCTTGACTTGCATTCTTCACCCTCCTCTGACCCATTTCAGATCTCATCATCAAAGTTTTTATTTCCATTTCCGTCAATCTAATCGCTCCTAAACCTTTCTTTCTAGCTAAGAACGATTTGATTTGCCAATGTACCAACATATCATCAAATCGTCTTAAAGGACTTGTAACTCTCAAATAACCTTTTTTTTCTGATATCCCTAATGCCCAATGTGATAAAGGGATAGGAGATAGAGTGACGGTAGACATGAATAAACCAGATGCGAGAACATCTTTTGTAGTTGATAAGAAATTTTCCGGATCTCTACGTGAGAGTAATTCGTCTAATGTCATTTGAGATTGATTAGAATTAGAAGACGGGAGGATATCTGGTATTGCCATACCTCTATATAATACAGGAAGGTCATTTGATGAACAAAATCTAGCTGCTAATCGACCGGCTAAAACCATATATTCCGCAACTACCCATGATGATGTTCCTCTAGAAGGGATGGTATAGTCCAACGGGGGAGAGTTGAGGTAAAATCGTGATTGAGAGGGAATTGTTTGATATGAAAATGAATCGATAGGTGTTGGAGGAAGAGAGGAAAGGATGTTCACATTGGCCCATGGTTGTGACCAATCTAAACCTGATCTAAATAATCGAACTCGACGAAGTGTGATAGCTATCTCTCGTAATTGTTTTAAATTGTTGATATCCTCTTGAGTCACTTCGGGTGATTGAAAAGTGGTAGAAGTTGAAGGGAGAGTATCAAATGGTCGAATGACATGATTTGTAGGATCACCTAAAAGTTGATCCACTGAAGAATAAGTCATCACTTTAGGTGATTTTATCCATCCTAGTCGAACTTTCATATCCAAAACATCACCTTTCTTAGTGATTCTAGCGGAAAAAGTCATAACTCCTTGTCTACCTTCATTTCTTTCCACCTTTGCACCTAAACTAAGTTCTTTCTTGATGATATCCAATGGGAAAAGAGGGATCGAACGTGATGGGTCGTATAGTGAACTCCCCTGAAAACTCGCATGGATCGCAGCGGGATCCGAAGGTTGGATATATTTGGTAGGATCGGCAATATGTACATGTACCCATACATCTTCACTATTGTGTATTCTTTGCAAAGAAATTCCATCATCTAATTCCTCCGCTGAAGCTTCATCGATCACGTATACGGTTTGGTCGGAAAAATCTTCTCTGAGAGAATCGAGCTCGTTTCCTTTCAAGAAATCGCCTGAAGGTTGTAGTTGGGTGGAAGAGATAATTGAAGCTTGTTGTTGTTCGCGTAGAACTCGAGAACTGACCAAGATATCCCAAGGTGACCTAACACCGATATCACAGAGAAAACGAAGGACGAGACCTTCTTCGATGATTTCCGAAGGATATCGGTCAATGGCACGTAAGATCGAAGTAGATATTATTCTTGCGGGAGAATATTGAATGGATCTTCTTTCTGCTAGTCGAAGATAGAGAACGGAAATAATATCTTTATCAATTTCAGACCATTGAGGTAAATCATGTTCAACCAATTCGATTTCTCCCGTTTTCCCTTTTGACATAGATCTCGAAAAGTCGATTGCTTGTTGACATTTCTGTACGAATGCATCGAGTAATTCACGATCTTCTTTCGTTTCGGCCAACGAGATTTTAGACACTCTGACAAGTCGTCGATATTCTTCTTTACTACGCATGATGAATTTTCCAGAAGACCACATATTCATGGTATCCGCCAGAAACATTTCGGGTTTTCGCATGAGCATAGTTTGAGTAGCATATGCAGCTAAACCATGTGGAGGTATACTACCTTCTCTTTCATCCAAAAGATATTCAGCTGTACTAACGATAGAAATACTTGTTTGTTCTCGTTCATTGGCGAACGTTTTGAAAACATTTTCAACACTTCCAGGTTTTGATGTAGATAATTGATTTAACATATCTTCTGTTTCTCGCATGATACGACGCATTACCATGACAGCTTCCCTTCGTGCGATTAACATTCCCTCGATTTCTGTGGTTGATATATCTTCATCACGACCGTATGCTTCAATCAGAGCGGGAGACCAACATCGTTCAGCGACGGAAGGATCTAAGAGTGATTGAGGGAAAACGAATTGGACGTCTGCAGAAATGACAGGCCATAATTCTCCAGAAGCTCTTAAAAGTAATAATCTTCTTCTACCTCTGACAATAACATTTCCCAATATGAGACCTATACCACTGACGTCGGTACTATACATCAGCCATATTATTCACAGGATCTGCACTGAAAGAAATTGATTCTCACCGACGAACTTCGACCAATCGACCAGGCTCGATACCAATGATAGGCTGAGCAGTATCCCATGATAAGGAAGGATCCCCGGGAAAATCTTCTGTGGCGAAAAAAGCACGTTGTTCGGCACTGGTCACACTGTCATTACCTGTCGTAAAGGGGATTTTAGGGGTGATTGAGCGAGAGGAGGAAGGTTGGGCAGGAGGTCGGGTTGTAAGAGGAAGCGAGACAGTGGAAGTCGATCGAATGAGACATTGAGGTCTGAATAGTCTTGTTCTAGATGTTCGGAGAGTATGAGTACAATGAGCACACCATGTGGTCATGCTTTAACGAGGAGAGTATTTGCAAGAAGTGAATTTGAACACTTTTAAAAGCAGGACAAAATGTCTCTCGGAATTTTCCCACGGGTGATTGTATTGCGGAGCCCCGCATGCCCTTCGGGTGAGAAAATCCTTTGACCAGTGGCGTCTCGACCATTCGTCACAACCTTCTAACTTTCGCCACTGTATATAACACCCTTCATCCTTTCCTCTTTGCCTTCTCTTCTTTGAAATACCAAAACACAACACGCAAATCACTTACAATGTCAAAAGATTCTTGCCCATGTGGTAACCCCGGTTCATGTTGCAAGTCAGTTGCTCCCGTACCACTCCATCGTTCAGGTTCAAAACGCACGCATGTCAATTCGGTATGGGCTATCACCCCTCAAACCCGAGAAGAACAACTTCAAACTTTATTAGGATCAGAAGAACCTCTCGATCATAAATGTGGTGCATCTCAAAGAGCTGATGGGAAATGTTGTAAGGATCTTAAGGGTGATGATGAACGTCATTTAATCTCACCAGAGGTTGTCAGGGATGTGTGAGTTTCTCTCTCTTTCTTCTGACAAAGGAGAAGGGTATGGAATGTTGATGTTTTTTTTTCAGTATCATTGGTTTGAGTGATGGACTTTGCGTACCTTTTGCTCTATCGGCTGGACTTAGTAATTTGGGTTCGTCAAGATTAGTCATAGGAGGTGGTTTAGCAGAATTATGTGCTGGTGCTATCTCGATGGGTTTGGGTGGTTATCGTATGTTAAACTCTCCTCTTCGTGTCGCTCATCTCCCATCTCTCATCATTCCTTATTGAAAACTTTCAATCCTATCGCTCCTACTTCACCCTTCGACCCCATCAAGCGGATTGGCAAGTAGAAGGTCAATGTGCTAGGAATGATTGTGCTGACTCATAGTCGCCTCTCAAGCGGAATTAGATCACTTTCATTATCTTCGTCGTCAAACTCGCGCTCGTGTACTTCGTTCTTGCGCAGGAGAGATGGAACGTGAAGTTCACGCCCTTCTCGGTCCATTAGGAGTCAAAGAAGAATTATCAAGATTAGTATGTGAAGATCTCCGTGCGGTAGAAGAAAAATCATACGAGTATGAAGGAAATGATCAAGGTGGTAATGCAGGTTTGACAAGTGGGGTAGAACCAGCTGTTCAATTACCTATCGAAGCGGGTGAAGTTGGAAGACAAGGTTGGTTCAGATGGCGATTGAGAAAGACGGAAGAGGAAGATGGAGGTATTAAAGGTGATGTGAATCAAGAGATGGGATTAACACCTTTTTTGTTAAAGTATGGTGAAGGAATGGGTGAGTGTAAAAGACACTAATATTCTCATCGTCACTATCACCATCACCATCACCATCACCATCACACCGCAGCTCTGGATATCTTCTCATGATCCCTCATATCATCCCTCTTCTTTTCCAATTCTTTTTCCAAATTGATGCTGTTCATTAATGTTACGGTCAGAACTCCATATGGGTTGAATAGAGGTACTGTAAAGTGCTGACAAAATAGAAGAAGTCCCAGTATCCAGATTATACATCTCAGCACTCACCATCGGTATTTCTTACTTTGTTGGAGGTCTTATCCCTCTTATTCCGTACATGGCAACTTCCAGCGCACGTGTTGGACTGATCGTTTCCTCCATCGTGACGGGTATCGTCTTGTTCATCTTTGGGGGTTTCAAGACTTACTTCACGTGAGTCCTCTTTCATCTCACCCTCACTTCTTATTCCGTTTCTCGCCTCTTTGGCAATTCATCACAATATCCTTCGTTCGATTTCTCTAGCAGTATAAGGCAAGGTAGCTGTACCCCTTTTCTCGCTAGGAGTGAAGTCTTCTATTTGAAGATGTCAAATGGCTGACGTGTAGTGGTGCCGAAGGAGGTTATGGCGGATATCTCTATGGAGCAACGAGCACCATGTTAGTAGGTGGTGTAGCCGCAGCAGCCGCTTTTGGATTAGTCAAAGTCCTCGATGTTCAGGCTTGATCATTATCTCTTTTCCTCTTTTCAATATCACCACATCCGTATCACATTGTCAGAAATCAGCAAGATATCATATCGATCTGTTATGCTTCATGTTTATAGCTGTTTCTATTTGCTATCGAGAATGATTGTCGTCATATCAGAGTGTAAAAGTCTACCATGCATATGATTACTCCAACTGTACAACACATCAATTTTCCACCACGAAGCTTCAGAGCCGGTTTGACGAATGGCTAGAGGAGAGGAAAGAATTATTATCGCACTTTCACATTTGGATCCCTGAATAAATGTTTGCAATGAACACAAACGTAGAATAAAGTCATATTGGTCGTCACGCGTAAAGCTTGATCTTGGTAGAAGACGGCACTACGAGTCAGCTTGAGAAATTCTGAGATTCTCCCTGTACGTCTTGGGAAAGCATGTTGCCTGGTGCCGGGTGAAACATATGTTTGACAGATATCCCAACCTTCCTCATCATTCAATTCACGAGATTAGTCAAAAGTTCCTGTGGGAAGATTTGAATGGGTCATGAAGTGTGGGGCGAAAGCTCTTACTAACCCATTTTTTTGACAATGAGGACATTGTATATTTGATCTTTGTAAAGTTGGATCATTATCCAAATCTCGAATTTCACCAGCTTGTTCTCTATTCAATTAACAATGTAACACGTTTATCTCTCTCTGTCTTTCTCATGTGTTTCAAAATCCAACCATTATGAAACTTTTCCCAATCTGGCAATGAAATTCTATAAACACCGTTCGTCCTTTCGAAACCATCAAGACCTTGATTCAGATGGTCCAATGATCAAAATCATCAAGACCTTGATTCAGAGTTACGAATGACCAATAATACTGTGCAAGAGAGGAGTGACAATGAAGAAAAGAAAAGAAAATGTGAGTCATGAAAAGTAAAGAAGGAAGTGCTCACCTGGCAACTGTCAACAGATCATTTTTATATACACAAGGAGCGAAACCCGGTTCCGGTATGGCATTCTCGGTATATTGACAGTTCCTACACATGTAAAGTAATACATGTGCGTTATTATCTGACTATTGTAAAATCAGCTATGTGTTGTAATTGAGACAGTGTGAGACGGACACGAGGGTAGAGTAGATTATTACTGAATGTCAGCTGTTCCTTTTTGAAGAACTAGTCCAGCAACTAACCAATCACCACAGAATCGTAGAGCTGCCATGGTTTCTTCCTTCTTTCGTCTTCAACCTTTTCTATTCTCTCTCTTTGAAAAGTAGTGCAGGGATGCGGAGTTTTGCCGTAGAAAGATGGAGGTGGCAAGGAAGAAAGGACGGGATTGAGTAAGTCGGTTTTAGAGGAGGAAGTGGGATTTAAATCATCCCCCCGGACAAGAGATGACAGTTAGGCGCTGGGTAGGGGTGTACGCACGCTTTGTTGTAAGTAGTCTTGGTAGCGAACATGCATGATCGTTACCCTTGATCTCAACTAGGAAATGGTTTGTCATTGTCAAGTGATCCAAATCTATGCATTATGACCCTGCGAATGATGATCTAAACTTACCCAAGTATGTGTGGAAACCTTGAAGTGTTCAAGTTTCAAGGTTTTCTCTCCGTGTCCCGTGTGCCGTGGTACGAGTTGGCGGATTGGCAAGTGGCGGTGTCAAAAAGGAACACATTCTTGATCTGCCTGCCTGTCATTCATCCCCCAGCCCATCCCAGCCCATCCCCCCCTCCTCCCTGCCCCCCCCTCCTCCCATCACCCAATCTCCCGACCCCCTTGTTCATCCCCAATTCCTTTTTCATCCCTTCCTTGTTCCTATCCTGGTTCACTCCGCTTGCACTTGACACCTATAATATTCTTTTTTCTTTCCTACCTCATCTCCTCTACGTCAACTCTCACATTCAAATATATCGACCATGCCACCCGTCTCATTGCTCAAAATTCCCATTCCAAGAAAATTCATAGTCCTTGGTCTTTCCATAATCTCATTATTCCTTTTCCTTCACACTTTCGTTCCTCGTTCATTACCACCAGCCCTTACTCCTCATATACCTCATCATGAACCTGACGCGTCATATTTCTCCCCATCTAAATGGCTTCCACCCATCTTCAATCCAAACGCCCCTGATCGACCGGTCGAATTCGATGAAGATGGTCAATGTCTTTTTCTCTCACCTTTCGACGCTCTGTCCATAGCCGAAAAGAAAAGAGCCGAATCTCTTATTTTGGAAACGGTCTCTTCAGGTGTGGTACGTTCACGTCCACCGCCTAGTGGAACGGACTCCGATCCGGATTTCGATGATGAGTTCAGTGAAGCTAGTAATGATACCAGGATCATGCCTCAAGGATTGACACATCCTATCATTGGGTTATTAAGGGATGGAGAAAGGAAATGGAAGGAAAGAATGGAAAGACAAAGTAAAACTTTGGAACAGGCTGTTCAAGTTTATATTGATAAATGGGGAAGACAACCTCCTAAGGGGTTTGATCATTGGTGAGTAACCCATCTTCGTACTAAATCTCACCCGTACATACCTTAAAGGGATTGATAATGTATTGAGAAACCACCTCGCACTTAAGGAGAAAGTGGTCGGATGCAGATATGAAGTGGGGGAATCGAGGAATGTATTGATGATCAGGTGGACATTTGCTCAAAATAAAAACGTACTCCTTCCAGATGAATACGATGCGTGAGTTGTTCCCTTTTCTCTTTCTATAAAAATTTCTTCAGAATCGTTAGTTTGAATTGTTGGGACTTTAAATGTGCTGGGAAATGAAACAATGGGTACATGAGCTGATCAATCTTATCAGAATCATGAACTCTCTTCTCCCCTTCTACGCTCTTCCTATCGAAACGATGCAACAACGTCACGTCGAGGTTGAATCGATCCAAGAAACTTTCACTCTCATCGTGCATGAAAACAAGGTCGAGTTGCAATGGAACGACGATTATTCGAGGGATACATGGTGGGCAAGCAGACCCAGGGCGGATAGTCAAATCAACTTGATGGAAGAGTTTATCAACTTTTTACCCGATTTGAGGTTAGTAACCTAAACATGTGACTTGAGGAAGTGTATAGGGAGTGGTAAATTGACAAAAAATAGAGCAACCTTCACTATACACGATCAACCTTCCATTCTTCTCGATTATAGTCGTCGAATGGAATTGATCACTGCCGCTCGTGAAAACAGAGTCTCCACACATCCCAATGAGGAAGATCGTTTCCAACAGGACTGGTACAAAGCTTGCGCACCTGATAGTCCACTCAATCAGGATGTGAAAGAGTTACCAGCGGCAGATACATTTATCAGTGCTCATGGCGCTGCCATGGACATTTGCGAACATCCTTCGGTGAGTTTCCCACCCCCAAGTCGTCTTTCTACTTCTGTCCCTCACCAAACCGATGTCAACTCACTACTTTCATCTATCAAGCGGGGATTTTTGGGTGACACTGTGAGAGGTTCAGCATATGGTGTGTCTTCAAGGAGTAGTTTCTGATGACTTAGTATATGGAAAACCACGGAATGTTACTCGAGGAGAAAACTATCGACACACATCCTAAACCTCATACCAAGCTGTTCCCACTTTTTGTCCCTTCCAAAACGACTTTGAACGGAGATATCCCTGTGACACCCATTGGGAGGGATGGACGTAGAGATGATGTTGGTCCTGATCCTGCATGGAATAGAAAGTCGGGGAAATTGTATTGGGTAGGTAACATTTTTCCTCCCAGTCGTTAAAGCTCCAAATCTTCTTGTTCCTTTCAATCACGACACGTCATACTTACATAATTCCATCTCTGTCACGCTCGAACGACCCGAGTCAATGAGTCAAATGAAATTTTGCCTAACGACGACAGCGCGGTCTTTCCACCGGACTCAACCACGATAAAGGTGCCGGTCATTTATGGCGTCAATCTCATCGTGAACGATTGCACTTTTTAGCTAATGATCGAACCGGTGCGAGAGAAGAGCTTCTTTCACCTATAGGATCTTCCGGTGAGGCGGAACTCACTCAATTACCTTTGAAAGAATTGGGAGAATATTATATGGATGTTAAACTTGCCGGAGGACATTGGCAATGTAATTGGGAAGATGGAACTTGTGATGAGATGGAGAAGGAAATTGATTTTGCCGAGAAAGATTCCGCTGAGAAGAGTAATGGATATAAATATGTTTTTGATGTGGGTTCAAACTTTTTCAATCCATTTCTACCTCTTTATAACCACCATACTTGTATCCTTCGGGCCATGATCAATGATCAGTATGTTGAAAACCCAGTTTGGATGATACTATGAATTTATGCTGATGTTTAGACCGATGGAAATGCTTGGAGCTCTCGTTTTCCTAGACTCATGGCCAGTCATAAGTGAGTTGACGTCCTAAATAGTAAATTATAGCTGATATGATAGTGTTGTCATCAAAGCTACGGTATTCCCAGAATGGAGTAAGTCCTCTCTTCCTCTCTTCCCCTATTCCTCTATATCTCTACTTTCCTATCTCCCTCGCACATCTCACACATCTTGCTGAAACGTACCGTTTAAGGTAATGATAAGTAGTAGAGGGACCGAGAAAAGCTCAAGCTTACATAATAGACACTCAATCGTTACCTGAATGGTACGCTTACGTCCCTTCGAAAATGGATTACTCAGATTTGTTTTCGATCATGACTTTGTATGTAATTTCCATTCTTCCTTCACACTTTATCCTTCATCTCTTCCTCTGTCATGATCACAAATCTTTCCCTCTTTTTTTCTCCTGATTACAAGTCTTCCCCACTCTTCTCACTCTTCCCAGAAGATTGTCCTAGGCTCCTCTCCCCCCCTCGTTCTCGTCATGCTCCACCAAGATTCTCATACCTCCGCGTCCCGGTCTTTGCCAGAGATTGAACAGCACTGTCCAACCTAGAGATAGTCAACAACGACATGATCTCCACTGACAATAGTTTCCGAGGTACACCATCTGGAAAAGGATCACATGATGAAGTAGCTAGAAGAATAGCTCTCAATGGTCAATGTTGGGTAGAAAGAAGTTTGTCCTTTTTTTTTCTCTTATATTCTCACGACTTATTCACACTACATCCTTACACTTTTTTCACACTACGTCTTCTCATTACATCCTTACACTTTTTTTCACACCACGTCTTTCCACTCTACTCATCCGTCACTTCCTTGGGATCGAATGTCAATGTTCAACCTAAAACCCAACGTAAACCGCTCTCACCAATTCCGCATCAATACATTTCATTTCGTATAGTCGATCTTCCCAAAACTACATATCGATTGATAAATATGATGGGAACCCCATTGGCTAACATACAGCATGGAGAAGAGAAGATTTAGAAGTATACATGTTCCGTCTTTATCTTGAATATGCTAGACTCATTTCTTCTGATCGTGATAATGGTAAAATGGTATGTTTACTTATGTTTTCTCCCCCTTGTTCCTTTTAGTTCCTTCACTTTCCTCCCCCCCCCCTTTCCTTTTCCTGACCCTTTCCGTTCTAATTCCAGCCATCTTGTTGATCTTCCCGTTCTGATTCAGTGACTTTCTTCACATATCATAAAGTCATTGTTGGTGAGCTGTTGTTGACACTAATAGGATTTCGTACTCCCTCTCAACCCTGATGTACCTATGCCGGATGAACCGTAATATCAAATTTGAGTTATATGACATTTTAGGGATCTATCAGTTGGTCAAAGGGATTTTTCTCATGTAGATCATTTTCTTACAGTTTGATATGCATTCATCAATGCATTTGGACATTTCTCATTCACTGTCGAGTTCCTTGTAGATCTTGTGGATCATCAAACGTCAAATCATAGTATGTCTACTTGACTTTCATCCTCCATGAATTTATCTTGGTCCCCCAGTCATCATCATAATTGCAAGTTTGTCTCTCCAATCAGTAAAGTATGATTGCAAGTTTGCCTCCTCCAATCAATAAAGTATGCCATACCGTAACTCACAACATCAAAGTTATCCCGATAAGAAAGATGCATCTAAAACAACATCAAAGTCCAAACAAAAAAATGCTAACAAGCTAAAATCTCGAAAAAAAAAGTAGATGCAGAATTTGATTCTCATTTCTCATTCCACAGATAAAATCATTTCACCTTCTTTCAAACACTTGATAAAATCTCTCCAAGCTTTCGCACCACCTTGAGGTAAACTTTCATTAGCCCAAGAAGTTTCTTTAGCCATTCCTAAAGTTTTCTCCGATCCGACTATTATCAAACATCTTTTAGCTCTTGTAATCCCAACGTTTAACCTACGCCAATCTGCTAAGAAACCAATATGACCCGAATGATTATTTCTAACAGTTGAAAAAATCATGATTTGTTTCTCACGACCTTCGAATCCATCAACGGTTTTGATTTCTATTTCTTGTACTTGTTTAGCTCTTTCTTCTCCTAATAAATCAGATAAAGCTGAAAGACGGGATTCGTCGTATTGTAGATATTGAGTGAGGATTCTGATTTGTGCAGTGTATGGAGAGATTATACCGATTTCTGATCCTTTGAGATCCTATTTGTTAGTTTGGACTAAAAGTACACTTGGAATGACTATCACTTTATTGCAGTTCATTTAGTGAAGATATGGCTTTTCACGAGGAAGCAAGTGATGGGTGTACAGATGAGTAGAAGGGGAGAAGGAAGCAACGGAGGGAAAGAAGATGGTATGGTGGGTAGAATAGTGTGAAAAGTGGGTCGTAGACTTATATTAGATGAGATGATAATAAGGGAAAAGCGGTATGAGAAGGTGATAGAGGATAAGAAGTATGAGAAGCAGAGAGGAGAGAGGTTGGCGGGGAAATAAATCCACTCACCGGATTACAATCCAATAAATCAGCCACTATATCAACCACCTTGACAGCATCACCATAATTTGCTAAACTTTGATTCTCAGGACTTTCAGGATGTCGATGATCGACAAAAGTCACATTCTTTCTACCCCCCTTTCCATCCGATACGAGGTAAGAAGTTTTAGGCGGTTTCAAATCTTCTCTCACTCGACCATCAGAAAGAACGGTACCGTCTTTCAAAGCAGAGTTGTAGAATGCTTGATTGGGAAAGGAAGAGATGGAGGGATGCATTCGGTATTGAGTGTCGAGCATGATGGATGGGACGTCTGAGTGTTAGTTTTGACGTCGACGTGTCATATCCCAGACGTGCAGGTGGTGAAGAATGAGGAGTACAGAGGCGAGTGAGGAAAATCACAGATGCGGGTGAGGCGAAGTGTAGAGATTGATGGGGTGAAGGGACAGAGGAGAATGTAAAGAGGGGTTTGTGACGGATGAGATGGAGGGAGGGACAGGATCAAGAAACGAGGGTCGACTAACTACGTTCATGAATTAATCTCTCAAACAAACTAGTTCCTAAACCTCCAGCCAGAGCTTGTGGAGAAACTATTACCGGCGGTAATTGTTTATGATCCCCTATAATGGCCACGTTTGAAGACTTATATCAGCTTTTCGTCTCTTCAATAACAATGTAACTCACCCCTTTCATTAGAGGAACAAGGGACAGAGGCTCTGTGGCCATACTAGCTTCGTCTAAAAAAACCATGGGAAAGTCTATTTGATGTAATCTAAAAGAAGCAGCCGAAAGACAAGTCGCACAGATCTGTGATATTACTACAAGACATTGTATCCGTAAGAGGAACCACATACCACATCAGCATCGGCTAAAACGTCTTGTCGCATTTGTAATTCCCATCCGTGCAGTTTACCAAATATTTCTTGTAGTTGTTGACCTCTTTTCTGAGCCGCCACTGGTGATCAGTCTAAGTATCCCTTGAACAGAGGTTTGGGATTGTGATGAAGGAGGGTGATGCGGTGGTGAAACGAAAACGACGAGTCATCACGTCAAGTGCCAGATGTACGTGTAGCGATGGGTAGGGGAGCAGACCCGAAGGAATGGACAAATATCAAAGAGAGTGGAGAGTGGGACGGTACATACTTGGATCTGCTATCTGATCAGGCTTTGAAGCAAACAATTCTTTCTTCTTTCTCTCCAATTCAACAACTTGATCATACAACGGATGTTCTTTCTCCATTTCACTCAGAGCGAATTTCTGCAGATCCTCTCTTATTCTCTCCTCCGTTCCCACTCTTATAGCTTTCAACCCATGATTCTGCAGTCCATCCAATAAGTTATCCACAGCAACATTCGTATGTGCACAGACGAGTATCGGGAACGGGACTTGCCAATGTGACTTCAACAATTTAATAGTTTCCACAATCACCCTGGTTTTGCCAGTTCCAGGAGGACCCTGAACCAAACTCAATCTTTCAGAAAGCATCATTGCTATAGCTCTGATCTGACTTGGATTCAACGGAATCTCGGGGTCACCTTCAATTTTCAATGGTTCTTTGCCATGATCGACACGATACCGTGTGGTCCAGCTTTTGATCAGGGCGTTTCGGGATAACAATGTGTCCGAAGTTTGATCCGTGTGTATGGACGGGACAGACGTCGCGTCTATATCATCCGGTTTCATCTCTTTTGTATCAGGGACTGGATTATGCGTTGCATTGATGGAAGAGGAAGAGGATTCGTATGGGGTGTAATCTTGTTGAAAAGCTCGTAAGATGAGATCACGGGTGGCACTACCTCGAAGGATGAATTCATCTTTATCGCGATGTCGTATGCTTTCCGAATGAGCCGCGGCGATATCATCTTCGAACTTGTTCTGGAAAGAATGAGTCGTACCGTCCGGATGTAGGTCGGTCGTAGTAGGAGGAAGAGGAAACCCTGCCATGTCTTGAGAAAAGGGGTCCAATACTAACGAATCCATTGCTTCCATTTGACGAACAAGTGCCCAATCACTCATACCTATGTCAAGTCTGTCCATCAGCATCATCTTCACTCCTTAGTAGATACCTTGAGATTGCTGCCTAGTCGAAATGCACTCACCGCCAATGCCCCTTCTCAAATTCTTCGATGGGCTGTGGAAAGACAACTCGAACATTACCAGCCGTCTGACTGTAGACCCTACCTCTCAGCCAAGCTCTATGTCCATCCGTGGGGATTTGATCCTTGGCAATGACAGCGTCGACAAAAGGGTCTGTACGGGATATGAAAATGATCGTCCCAGGTCTGTCATCAGCCACTCATCTTTCTCACATAGTAATCCTGCATCACAAACATTAGAATAACTTACGTAAATTTCCAAGCTTCCAATTTTCCTTTTGCACCAGCTGCTTCTCGGCCAGTCTTCGAAAATTGATACACCACTCCATCAACCTTCTTCCGCGGTGCGAAATACGTAGCTCCAAGGCGTTCTAACATGACTCCCTCTTCCCGAAGTCTGTGCATGGACCATTTTTCTAATCGTTGTAGGATAATTTTTTCTTGTTCTTGATACTCAGCCAATAACAATGGTGCAAAACTGATCTATCAGCTTTCCCAGCTGTGGATTCCACAAACAACTAACTGTTTCATATACCGTTTAACCTCGTCACTGAAGGGTGCACCAGGTTCAATCTCCGGAAAAGGTGCTTGTGTTCTTCTCGTGTGATGATCAGGAAACCAACGTTCTCCCTTTGCATGAGGTAATCGGGATAAAGATCGTTGTCGCCAATCAAACCTCGTCCGTCCATCTGGGGGCATTTGTCCAATGGGCAGTGGAGGTAGATTAAGCAGACGGGTACGTCTGTTATTCTTGCGCCGTTTGGTCTTCTCAGGTTCCTCGTATTCCGGTACTGGTGGAGCATCGGGAAGGGGATTACTCTCTAGGAGATCCGAGGGTTCGTAAACTTCTTCTATCACGTCTTGATCGGGAGCCCAGTAGAAATCCGAATCTTGCGGAATATATCCTTTAGAAATATTTTGAGGTGCCTTCTGTGCGGAAGATAAAGAACCCCTACGAGGTGGAGTAGGAAGAGGGGGTGGCGGTGGTGGATAAGGGGGTTGACCAAGATCGAAAGTGGAACCGTGAGGTAGAGGTTGAGCTTTTTTGTTCGAAGAAGAGTGTAATGATCGAATGGCTGATGCGTAGATAGAGGGGGGAAATGTCAGAATATGACGCGAAGCGGTATGAGAAGTCACATAGTTTCTGAGTAGTAGGGAGCAGGTTGGGACTTCGATAGCCCCAGAGAAAGGGCAGATGGGGAAACCCCGAAGGGTAGGGATATGAACAGATCGACGCAGGTTGGGCAGATGTGATCGGATGACGACTGAGCGATCAACCGTGCAATTTGATAAGCTGAGATGTGAGTAGTGAATGGAGCGAGTGAAGTGATGGATTCAGACACAAGGACGAGGTTTGTCTAAACATGAGAGAACAAGAGAGAAGAAAGAAAGTGGAAAGAATGATGGAACATTGACCCCTGACGAAATTTCAATTGGCTGAATTTGAGTGAGTGGACGTTGACGTGCATCAAAGTGGCAAAATCAATTTGACTTTTCTCTTGGATTCCAGCACATGCTGCTCCCTTTACGAGGTACTTAGTAAGTAGAGTACCTTGCTGAGTATGATCAGTACCATGGTACCAGTAATATCTGTAAGTCTTGTGCCTCTGATATCTTTCCATACATCATTAAGTGATCCACCTGAAAAACGTTACCGTTACATCCCTTCAGAAGAGATCATCGGGAGACGCACACCGTTTATCTTCAAACCTCGTCTCCTTCTCCGTGAAATCCGTATCTATGGTATTCTCATCAACATCCCCAAACCATCCAGATTTCCCAAACATGAACACATCCCATTCCATCTTCAACCTCAGATCACTCAATTCACTCATAGCGCTCTCTACCGTCTTCCACGGGTCTGAAAGTTTTGATATATCTTTGGTCGCTAGGATGTTGGCGCATGTCCTCAGACCTGACAACAGACTATCAATCGAAGTCAGGAATGTATCTTTTCGAACCGTCAAATCCAGTAATTCAACTCTAGTAGAAGCGATTGTCTTATTCGACATATTCGACTGATTCGCTGTGGATTGCTTCTGTTCGTTTGTCTCTTCTTGACCATCGTGATCTTCTGACCCTCCCATTTGACCTGGAGATGGAGATATTTCCAAGAGATGGGTTTTGATACACCATTCTCGAAAAAGACGGATATAACCAGCTGACTCATCTTTCGTATCTGTGATCAACTTGGTCCATTCGGCAACTGTACGATTAGTTTTATTCTCAGGAGACGCCATAATGAGTACGAGTACTTAACACAAATAACAACCCCACCGTCATCTCTGTTTTTGAGAGAATCACAGATTATGACATCCTTTGGGATTTTGAAACGTCAATATCCTTTTCTCCCTTCTGTCACCAATGGTCCTGCTGCCTTAGAATCTCAAACGTGATCTTTCAAACATTTGGACAGTTGAATGGATCCTTTCAAGGACTGACGATTAGGACACCCGGGGGTGAACGAAACACCATACTTTGTCCTCTCCCCTTCCCCCTTCTGCTCAACTTTCAGACATCCTCGTTGATTCTCACTCTCACTAGAACGTCCAGGGGTTGAAAGGAAGAAGAAGCAGATGTGATTTGAACGATACAAATCCTATACTTTGAACTTCGACTGCGACTTTATCTTCTTTCGGTAACATGCGAACTTTTGGGTGTTTGGTAAGATGGTCTTTGGCCTTATTCGCGTTGGTGAGGGCGGATACGAACAGTTCATGTGGAGATGAATGTATTTCTCAGCTACGAACGAATTTGGTACGTGTTTTTTCTTCTCTCCTCGTTATTCCAAATAGTCACTCGCCACTTATTTGTCACTCCCAAATCCTCTCTCTCTCCCTTCATGGGTCTTCGACTATCCATTACCCTGGACAATAGTCCTCTTCGAATGGACTTATCAATAGGATGGTAGTCGTTTGCGAGATGCACCCATGCACCCATTGATCGTTGGCTAATGAACAGCCTCGATACGGATGCGACACTTCCGATACTGCCTGTCTATGTCGTAACACTATCCTCATGCCGGAACTTCGAGCATGTACTATCGAAATCTGTCACGAGGTCATTATCTTTCGCGCTGTTACATACTATGAAAGCTGATGTACAGCCACAAGCATGGGATGATGCTTTCACATATATCGACAACCTATGCGCATCCGTAGGGGTTGAAACCAATGTTGGCTATTACCCTTCTTCCTCTTCATCCTCCTCCTCCTCCTTGGTATCATTATCAACATCTTCTCGAGCGTCTGGAAGCTCTACATCGAGACCTTCATGGGCTACACCATCAGTGGTTAATCCCGGTGGACCAATCAATACAACTCTCTCGTCCTCTCTTTCTTCGTCCTCCTCCTCGACTTCATCTACCACTTCTTCCTCCCTTTCTTCTTGGTCTTCCACCAATACAGACACATATCAGTGAGTGATTTCGATATCAAATAATTATAAAGTTGATAGAAAGGACCGGCGACGACGCTCCTACTACCATCTCCGCCCCTAGTATGTCAGAGACGAGTAGCAGCGAGACGGTAACACCTCTCGCTATACCCACAGCTCCCACTGGGTCCAGTTTGAGACATTCTAGTTCGCGTACTTCCAGTAGGACTTCCAGCACAGCGGGAGGGACGATTCCCACAGCGTTAGCGGGGATTGGATGGGTTGCAATTGTGGCTGGGGCAGCGGCGGTATTGTAACTGGTCGTAGTCAGGTTCAGTAGTACAGTAGTAGTATACCGGGAGTTTATAGCGGATTATGGTCGAAGCTGGACTTCTACTGTACATTCATGTCGCTGTCAGTGACTATATAAAGTAAGTTGTTAAAATGTCTTGGCATGCAAAAAAGGGGGTAACATTTTCACTCGAGGCATGCCAGGCACAAGGTTGAAACACAGGGGTGAAAAATCACAAACTTCTCTCAGGTAGAGTAGCATTTAGCTCCACCTAGAACTCTTCATCACTTTCTCCTCTCTTCTCTCTTCTACCTCTCCAACTCTTTGACGTTCTTTACCTTTACCTATTCGATTCACCCTTCTGTACTACCGATTACATCGCATCAATCAAGTACTACATCCAATCCCTTCCAACAACCAAAAGTGAAGAGATCAACCAATACCAAGATGCTCGCTTTCCTCATTTTACCCTTAGTATCCGCCGTCAGTCTACTTCAACATCCTTTACCCAACGCTGACATGTTAGACGGTAGGAAGGTTTTTGTTTATACGTCAAGATCAACCTCCTACTTGTTCTGATGGTTGTTTAGCTGGTTTAGAGAAAACTACTGTGGGTAATCTGTTTTTGACAACGATATGATCGTCTTTATCTTTTTACCCTCCTCGCCCTGGTATGACACGTCCAAATCCAGACAATCTCATACTACTGTTTCATATCTTTTATTTTACAGAATTATCTCTCACTGTTCCATGACGTCTTACTCTTATTTTATTCTGCAGACCATCAAGGTGATGTGATGCTTCATTGTGGAGCCATAGTGACTTGATGATGAGGTCACTACGCGTCAATATGGAACCATCTGAGGATTCACTTGCTTGATTATGAGAATGATAGCCACTGTGGGATATAATCAAGAGAGCTTCTGACTTTGTCGAAAAAGAAAAAGAGAGGATACTGACAAGACTAGACATGTAACCCGAACAACAATCTGACTTGTCTTTGTATCGAACCTGTCGCAACAGGATATTTGGTTTCTTGTTTGGACGCATCGTGCAATGTGAGTTCTTCCTTTCGTTTTTTCATCTTTACCATATTCCTTCTTTTCTCCAATTCATCCCACATACATATATCTTATCATCCTATGTTCTCATTACAAATATTTTATTTTGTTCTTCCGTATTTCGTGTCTCTCTCCCCGACATCCCCACATGATCCATCAACCAATTCGTCTAGTTTTGACATGAAGCTGCCTCCTACTTTTCCACTTCTTGACGATATTCGACTTATACAAATTTGAAGTATAAAGTCATATAACTAATGAACAGTCAGCAGATAGAACAGAAGCTCAATCATATTTTTCTGAACTCTGTCAAGCTGGTGGTTTCTTACCTTCTGGTTTCCCTTCCGTTCTTCCTTCTTTATCGTCCACTTCGTCAGCTCCAGCCGCTAGTTCGGTCTCAGGATCAAGTACGGATTCTGGATCTACGGTTGAATCGTCCGTTCCTAGTTACTCGCCAAGCGGGACGGGTGTAGAATCAGGTTCTAGTGCACCAGCTTCTTCTGGGGATACCAGTAGTACTAGTACCACGTTAGTCCTCTTTCTCTTTACCTTCTCATCACTCTACTTATCCTTTTACATCCTTAATGCTCCTTAACTCGTCTCATATCTTCCGGAACTACATGTGAGGTGCGAGAAGTTTTTCGACGCACATGACTTTCCTATCGTGTTCTCTCACTGAGGGATCATGGCCTTCTAGAGGAGGAGGGGAGAGAGAGAGAGAGGATAGACTGACAAGTAGTACCATCTCTGGAAACGATACTCCTTCATCTGTCACCTCGTCCACCTCTATGTAAGTCTTCCTCTCAATCGCAATACACCTCCCAATCATCAGAATGATTAACACATCACTAATCCCCAGTTCTCCATCTTTGACATCCACAAACCCAGCCATTATCACACCTACCACCTTATCTCACACTTCTTTATCCACAACATCTCATTCTTTTTCTTCCTCTTCCCACTCTTCAGTCCCAGCAGCAGGAGCCACGGCAGGATCAGCTTCTCAAGTACTTTCCAAAGGACTTTTTCCCTTTGGAGCTTTGTCGGCGATCATGTTGATATTGTAAAACTGTGATCTTTTGTGCATATTGTGAAATTGGACAGTTCACCTGGGGTGATGGATGAATAATTCAAGAATCTTCAATTGCTGGTTTCAGGGAGATGGGAATTTCATCGTGGACAGTCGGGTTGGGAAAGATTAGGAAAGTGACGACATAAGGGTTTGATACCCTAGTTGAGGTTTACATACGGACTTGTGCATTGTTTTTTTGATTGGACGGTTTCGCGCAAAATGAAGATTCGGATTACATCTCTGACTAATTTCTCGGAAGTACAACTTACTGAACTAATTGATAAGTTTACTTAATATGATATGAAAAGACACAGGTTGAATTCCCAAGATTTTCCTCAAAACTCTACATCTTTCCCAATCCCCAATCTTCCCCATCTTCGACATATTGGCATCACAAATCCCCAGATCACGCCCACGAAGATCAAATATATCTTCTCCTCTTTCCTGAAAGAAAAAGATGATCAACTTCCACTTTTTAAAAAGAGAGTATATGAGCTCCTTCAGACTATCCCATCAGCTCATTTTCTCTCATATATCTCGAAAAATCAATGTGTATGTGAATGTATTGTACTGTATGAATCTAAAGGAGGAAAAAGAGAAGTAAAAAAAAAAACTCACAATGGCAAAAACGACTTTATCACCATTAAAGAACAATCTTTCAAATTCCGTTCCTCTTTCTAAAAGGAAATCCAACTTGATACCCCTTCCATCTAATCCTGTGGGTTTAGGTTCAGGTTCATCTTTGAAAATATCTTCTGGAAATCCGGCAGTTTCTTTTGCGCTATGTTTATCACGATCTGATATGATTATTTTAATACCATTACATTTTTTTAATTGATCACATGGTATTTTATTCGTTTGAAAATGTTTCATTTCTTCTGTATCGATTGTGTTTGAAGATTTCCCTTCGATGTTTAAGTCTGAGTTCGTGATTTGGGAAGTTGAAGTTGAAGATATCCCTTCGACGTTTGAAGATATCCCATGTGTTGGAATGTTATGGTTTTGGTTTTGAGTGTTTGTTGGTTTAAGAGATAAACTACCTAAAGGTTTACCCCATTTAGGATCATATGAAGAAGAATGATTATAATCGATCATTTCAATTTTGATAGGTTCTGAAATCCCAACATCTATCATATCGTCATCTATATCGAAAAAAGGATATAAAGTACGTGTACCGTTGGAAATTGGTTGAGATGAACTATCTGGATAACGTATATCTACGTTTTTTGACCAAACTTTCCATGGAACATGAAGGAGATGAGTATGATGATGGTCATGATCGTGTTCATGTTCATGAGCGTGACCATGTTCTTGAGCAGCGTCATCATTGTGCTCATGTTCATGATCGTGGTCTTCCTTTTGATCTTGATTCGTTCCGTTGTCTTCGATTTGGATATCTTCATCTTGGTAAACCTTGATTTCATTCTCTTGATCTTGGTTTTGAATAGAGTCCGAAATATCTTCTTGATCATTCATCTTGTCCACTGATATTTCTTCCGAGTGATCTTCATCCTTTGACATATCTTCATCTTCTTCATCATCTTGAATTTTTGTTTCTGTTTCTTTTTCTGTTTCTTGCGATTTACTCGATTCGAACTCTGTCTGTTTCTTGATCATATGTTCAACCATCATTTCCATTCCTATTTGATTCATGACCTGACGATAATACTTGACCTTAAACCCTTCATCAGGTTCAAGTAACATGAACACCGAAGGAATTGATAAACCGTATAATTTAGAAACCGGTACAGAACCACTTATAGCTACAGGAGCTTGATCACCACCTTCAACTCCACATCTACCTTTGATATAAAACGCCAGATGATCTTTAGATGAAGAAGTTTCGAATGTAGGTAAAATCGGTGAGGGTAAATCGATATCAAGACCAGTAGGAGTGAAACGTTCTTCTGTATCTACAACACCATCTTGAATCCCTTCAAGTTGTGCTCTTCTCACATTAAGAGGTGGGAAACAAAATCCAGCTAAAGCGATACAATGTGGTATTTCAAAACTATACCAAGTACATGGTGTCGAATTTATTTCATTATCCAAATCCACTTCCATTTCTTCTTGTGTTGTATCTGTTCGAACTATACGATGTTGACGTATTGAAGGACCTTTTCCATTTTCCAAAGGTAATGTAGCAAAAGTTGCTAAACATGGGAAAATTTCATCTTCTGGTACGGAACTTTCATCAATGTTATGAATTCGTTCACCAGTTTCGTATACTCCACAAATAAGCCAATCGGGTGTGAGAAATCGGAATGAAGTAATCAAGTTGACTCCGCACATAGGTGAAGCTGACTGTATAAAAAGTCAACTTTTGTTCTCTTATTTCCCTTTGCATACAGAAATTCTTAAAGAATAGTTGGAGAGAAGCGAATCGATATGGAATGAGAACTTACACCTAAACAAATTCCTTTTTGCCAATCCCATACAGCGGTAAAAGTAGCTCCTGCTGAATAACAAGGATTTAATACCCCTATCCTACCACCTTTTATAAGTTGCATATCGATAGATTCGGATAAAGAGAAATCTTCCGCACAAACAAATTCGATTATTGGGATTTTCGCTTTCGGATGTATTCTAGGAATATTCGTTTCAGGTTCAGGATAAAGATGATAAAGGTTTATACGACGTATAGTGAGTTTATTACCAAAAGGTAAATCTCCTTCTCCTGCCATACTAGAAATTCTCAGTATCATCATAGACCATAAACATTACTGAGAAACAATGACTCACCATGGACCAACGACAGCTACGATTTCTTCCTCTGGACAAAAAGCGATTCCTTTAATTTCGTAATCCAATACTACCCTAGAAATACAGATAGCACCTTCTTTCACATCATCAACATTTGTATTTTCGTCTACCCCGATTTTCTGAGTGTCGAGATTTCTTTTAGACCGAAGTTGCCAAACTGAAAATGAATCTTTGACATATCCTCCTCTAGGATGTACTTCACATGTACATAAAGGTTTTCTTGAATTCGATTCCAGCATTAACATTTTGTTATCTTGTACATCTACGACTTCCGCCGTGGGAACGTGTAAACATGATATTTCTCTCGGAATGAATCGATCTAAACGTCTTTGATCTTCTATGAGGTTTTCAAGTTTGAGATTCACATTTCCGGAAAGATCAGGTTCGGATTCGATGGTGTGGAATTGACATCGAAGACGATATTGTAATTTAGGAGAAGTGATAATAAGTCTATGAATATCTCGAGATACCTATATATCAGCCAGATATCTGTCCATAGTGTTGTTTTAATATAGAGTAAAAAGGGAGGGAGATATAAAGGTACATACATACCCTGAGCATACGACTTAATGTAGTCGCGGAAGTATCAGAGAGGATAACTTCAAGGATGGATTCGTATTCAGAGTTGGTAAAGAGTGGGGATAAGGATTTGAATTTCTTCTCCTCATCTTCTTCCTTCTCTTTCTTCTCGGATATCTCCTTCCCCTCTGGTTTGTTTTCCATTGGGACAGGATCATCTTGCTGGATATCAAGATCTTCCAAGTTTGGATCTTGAGGTTCCTATAGATCAGAAAAGCTCCTCCCCAGGATAGACTGGACGGAGAGAACTCACCATCTCAGACAGGACTACTTCAAGCATGGAATGGTCCATGGTGTATGGGATGTTGACTTGAGAACTGACTATCGTCTTGGTCTGTGTATGATACTTATGAATACCTATACAAGGATAATGCAATGCCTGGGATATGAAAAGATGAGAGAGATAGAGTGACGGTGAGAAGGAAAGAAGGTGGAGCAAGGAGAGAGAAACGACAGCGCAAGCCTTCTCCCGGAAATGTCCGGCCTTCCGAACCTTACGGGCCTCCACCAATCGAGCAACGTTTGTGGACCATATGCAGCATGCAGCACATAAATACTCAGTGGTACATGTGAGCAACATGTAGCATATAGCTAATCACAGACTGAACAGGATACATGCCTTTGTCTACATCTAATCATCTTCTCTCATGACAGAATATCATGTCGCTTCGATCCCCTATCTCCTTCCGAACGATTCTCGCCAATTGCCAAGGGCCAGGAAATCAAGAACGACCAACAACTCCACCTGAAGTTTATTTTGTTGTCGACCGGCGTCAACAAGTAGAGCACAAACATATCTACAAAAAATCAGCTCGAGCTCTCGTATGACCGAACATCAAATACCCACTCACGATACCCTACTGACCCCTGCCTTCGAGACCATCATTGCACATCTTTCGTTCTCCTTCCGTGAGCGAGGGCGTGTTTTTCTTTCCGATGTGCAATAGCCTCCCCCAAAAGCTTGAGGTTGTAGCGATGGCGCCACCCCATGTACCCAAGTGCCAATAGGGACAGCACGACTATTCCTATATTGTCAGCTTCAGTTCTTCACCGTGAAATAAACTTACCAATCACGACATATTCGATGATCTTCACTACTGACACTCCGTCAACGGATGAGTTGGAATTGATCGAGTCATCAAAAGCTCGAAGAGCGATCAGTGGTGACATTTCAGTAACAAAATGACAATAAACAATCTAGAGCTATTGGGAACACCCAATTGTATAGAAGTTTGAAGGGGAAAGGAGTTAGTTACACAAAGGATCTCAAATCAGTGACATTAAAATCATCCTATGCATCCCATCATACCATTTCATGATCTCTCGCCATTCGTGATGACTATTGTTATGATTTTGGAGCGTCGAAACCTAATCTGAGAGGAGGAGGTGGAACAGGAGGTTGTGAGGGATCGTATGTCTGTGGATATACACCGTTCGCAACGGGGAACCCTGGTGGCGGAGGAGGATATTGAGGATATCCATTAATTTGAGATTGTGGGAATCCAGGTGGAGGAGGAGGATAAGCTTGAGGAGTAGGTTGATATACTGGAACACCTTGTGGAGGTGGAGGTATACCGACTTGTGGTGCGTAAGTCGGTATGACAGGTGGTACGGGTGCGACGGGTGGTGCAGGAACGGGAGTTTGAACAGCTGGGACAGCAGGGGTTTGAGCAAGAGCACCTGCGAATTGTCCTTGGTAGGCAAAACCTGGACCTGAACCTGGACCACCGGGTATGATTGCGTGTTTCCTACTATATTAACGATAATCCACAATATTTAAAAAAGAAAAAACAGTATGACATACTTCGCTTGAGCTGCCAGTAAACGTTCAGCCGCAGATCCATGTCTCTCCCCTTTACCATCTTTCTTGAAAGCATATTGAACTGTGATCTGTTGACCACCAAAGAATTGTCCGTTCATATTTTCGATAGCCATATCCGCTGCGTCAAAGTCGTGGTATGAAACGAAACCATATCCTTTACTTTGACCAGTAGTAGGATCTCGTGATATCTGATATTAGCTCTTTCTTCATCTGTTCTCTCCCTTCCTCATGTCCGATGAAAGATTCGAACCGATATATGCTGAACGAATTAGAAAAGAAGCACGTAATCAGATTGAGGACTGAAGAATGGAAAGGAAGAAAGAGGAGGAGGATGAATAATTACCTTTGGATGTTCCGCAATACTACCAAAAGTCGCAAAAGTATCATACAAAGCATTCTCATCCACATTCAAATCCAAATTCCCAATAAACAAATTCGCCCCTATATCCAGTTGTTTCTTGTCGTACGAAGCTTTGTTTACTCTGATCGGTTTGCCATATAATTTGATTTGGTTCATTATCTTAACGGCGTACTCTGAATCTTCTTCAGTGAGGAATTCGCAGAAACCGAATCCTTGATGATTCATCGAAATACGATCTTTGGGAAGGAAGACATTTGCTATTGTGTCAGCTTCAGATTCGCAAGCCAATCACACGATGTAAAGATCCGTATGAGCGGCAACGATAGCGTGTTCAAATGCCGGCAAGGAGCAGGAGAAGTTAGGTAGAAGATACAGAAGTCAGGAGAGGAAAGGACATACAGACTGGACCTGCTTGACTGTCACATCAGCGAACACAATCATATTACTGAGAAAGACTCACAGCATGAGTTCCCATATCAAAGCATCTGTACATTTCTCATCGAGGTTACCCTTTGTCGAGTCAGCACTGAACTTCATGTTGAGGGAAACTGGGGTGTGTCTGGAGGTCATGAGGGTGGCATCAGACATGACGTACCAGATAAACGGTCGCTTCTTGATTCCTGTCTTGCTCTGCTTTCGGTGCGATAGACATTGTCAAATATCCTAGCTGAGGGCGGTCTTGTCTGTTACAGTATGGCAAGATAACAGCGCGAAGATCAGATAGATCCCAGTTGGATTCCTGGCGGCGAAGAAATCTCTGGAGATTTGCTTCCGTCTTTCCCCGTGGGTGGGTCATACGAAGCTACATGCATGCTACACGCTATGGGGAACTTTTATGGTAACTACTGAGGGAACATCGATGCATAACTACCTCATGTGAACCGTATGACCATATAAGTCCACATGAAAAGCAACATGACCAGAATCACCACTCCCAAAGTCATACATGTTGTCCCTCTTCCCTTTTTGGACACTTTTGACAAATTCGACTTGGACTGTCTTGTAGCTGTCAAGTTCTCTTCCTTGTCAGCTGGAACTTTACCGACCGTTCTCGACTTGAAGAAACGTACTTTCCAATACATCTGTTGAAGTATCTAAACTCGCTTTTTCTTCTTCTAGAGAGTTGGCAAAATGCACAGCGTTCAATTTCAATCTATGTGACATCTGTCTGTCAGCTTCAAGCCCATTCTATCAAATAGAAAACCTGACATCGGCCAATTGACCACCTAGTTCCTCATGCAATCGAGCTGAACCCATACCACCTTTCACTCCTGAGAACAGTATGTCACGATCTTCTTTCCTGATAGGCTTGATGGGTATTTTGAGAGGGAGTAATCCAATTTCACCACCTTGACGATCTTCTTCGATACGTCGCCGAAGATATTCTTGTACAGATGTTCGTTGTCGGATGATGGATGATCGTGACGAAAGGTTACGAGCTTCTGACGGTAGAGGAAGTGGAGAGACAGTGGGAGAGTCTTTCGGATCGGATATTGGGGTTGGGGGTGAAGAGGATATGGAGAATATCGAAGTGTCTTGCTGATGGTCAATTCAATAATGCCCTCGTTGTGAGCTGAAATATTACCTCGGATAAAGTGGACATTCGTTCTTCTATCCTGTTCAAAGTCCTTTCCAAATCATTGAGGGTTTCCGACGAAGTTGATGGTCTGTTACATTAGTTGTGATCGTGTGACAGTCGGGTTGGTAGGTAAGCCTTACCCTTCATTGCCATTCCTAATAGCTTCAAGAAGTATCCGAGCATATTCCAAGTCCTATGGTCTTAGCTATAGTAATACAAAGAGAGTGGGACTGACCTGCTGGTCCTTGATCAATGTCAGGTGGGTGACCTCAGAGTTCGGTATTTGCCTTTGAAGAGAGCCGACAAATCGGATGAGGTTGACCAGCGCATGAGGTGAGTTAGCTGCCGCCTTCGCTGCTCTCAACGTTGCTGCCGTGGGCTCTCTGTGTGTAGATGTTGTTTGAGCTATCATGTCGTTCTCCTACCCTAAGCTTAGGATCTTGACGTGTTGTGGACCAAGGATCGAGGTGATGGAGGTGCGAGTGCCACATTCTCATAATGCCGATATACACCGTCCATCGCGCTCTTCCGCGTCCTCTCTCTTCTTCTTAGATTACTCGAACTGTCTCAATTCCCCATTTCTCCATCGTCCAACCTGTCCACTACTCTTCCGACCGGCGGCGCACTCATCAAATACCGAGAAACAAATCTGTCTCCATTTGCACCACCTCGATTCGTTTTGTCGGTGGCATGTCCGTTTGTCATCTGACTTGAAAGTGGAGGTCGTCCACTATGGATGTTGATATTTCTGCTAGCTCACTTGAACCTCCTCTTGCTCCCACTCCCTCTTGTTCAACATCGCCTACCAGCACAGGCTCCAAATTGGTGTCTACAATCACTCACATTCCCTCTTCACTCCCCAAACGCACCTTGCGTGTTAGACCTTCCGACCCCGCTCCTCCCGAACATGCCGGGTCCAAGTCTACTGCCCGTTCCAGTCAACTCCGCGCCCCAACACCGAAAGAGTTAGCAGATGTCAACCGTCGTCTTGGACCTGAATATGTGGAACATAGGAGGCAGACGTTGCTGGAGACGAAGGAGTCGGAGCTCAAGTCCGTGACTGAAGAGCATGATACGGCGATCAGGGAAAAGTTCCACTTGGAACGATTTGTGAATATCTTGACTGGCTGGAACCCGTCGGTAAGTCTCTCTATCTGACATTCCTTCAATGCTGATGTTCAGGTGGCTAAGACTGATAATTCGCCAGTGTTCACAGATGTAATACCTTTGAAATTTCAATTTGGACAACGCTGACTGACAGTGGAGAAGGCAGAACCATAATCTCCTTGATCTCGTTCCGGACACCAACACCAATGCTAAAGCTGGACCTTCCCGACCTAGAAATTCGCTCCCCTCACGGACGACTCGTCAAAAGGTACAAGAGCAGTCCGAGCGTCTCGCTGGCGTTGTGGCGTCTCCAATCACCTCCGTAGTGACCTCGGTAGGCGCTATCTCCGAAGGGGACGTGAAAGGCAAGGGCAAGGGACGAGCTTCATCAACGACAGTCATCGTGGAGAAACCAGAGAAAGATCCACCAATAAAAGTGCGACTAAAGCTGCATGTCCGCAGTTCGACAGCAGGTAGTATGCCACCACCTCCTCTACCCGACAAGCCTTCCAAAGCCCATCGACGCGCCACCATGGGACACGCTGTTAAAGACCCTCCACCTCAGGAAGAAACCGTCTCGGACACTGGTCAAGGGAAGAAACGTGGACGTATGTCTTTACCTGTTCTCCCCCCGGCCAAGAAGACACGAGCTAGTCTCTCTGTAACACACGAACCTAGTCCTTCTCCGGCTGTCAACTCTCCACATACAAATGATACTACACCTGTACCCATGTCTGCATCACGACATACCTCTCCGTTACCCACGCCAGCGCCGGCTCTACCTTCGTTAGAACATGTTCCCTTCCCTCGTCCTCCTTTCAGAGGGAATCAACGTACACGAGGCACTCGTCATGCTTGGTATACCGATCCCTCACATATCCCAACTGACATACGACCCTTCCATGGTGATCTTGGGCAGTACTTCCAATCTTACATTCATCTCGAAGACACCGGTCCACCACCCGATATCAAGAGCTTGGAGATCCGAGCAGCCAGAGAAGCTTACTTTCGCAACCGTGTCAATTATCTGCAGCAGCATGGACGACTTCTGCGATTACTAGACGATCCGGAAGAGGGACCAAAAGCTGTCAACAAGTCACATCAGAAAATGATCGGTCCACCACCGCGCTCAACAGATCATCATGATTCGATGATGACGCACATGGTCCAGGTTCGAAATGCCATAATGGCTGAAGCGAAGAACAGACCATTGATTTGTAGACGTGTAGCTCGGGCTGTCCGACTATACTGGGAACAGATCGAGGGTAAGGAAGAAAGAGAAAGACTGGCAGAAGAGAAGGAAAGAAAGAGGAAGGCAAAGGAGTTGATGAAAGCTTTCAAGAAGCGATGGGGACTCGCAGTGAAGGTCGTAAGGGCTCGACTGCAGGCGGCACAAAAGGCAGAACAGGATAGATTGGGGAAAGAACATCTGCAGAATATGCTACAGCGCAGTACAGGGCTGTTAGAGGCTCAGAGAGATGACATTGTGGGTAAGGATGAAGAGGAAGAGGAAGAGGATGATATGGGATCGGAAGGGACGGAAGAGGTCTCTGCAGCGGACGAGGGGGAGGACGAGGATGGCGAAGAAGGCGAAGATCAGGAAGAAGGTCAGGACATGGATGTAGACGATCTGCAAGGTGAAGAGGAGGCCGGCTGGGACGAGAAAACTGAGGTAACCGCTGTCACTGTCAATGGGGATGGTCTGCTGGATAGTCGTGATGCGACTGAAGATCAAGAAGGGGAGGATCAAGGCGCGATCGATGGAAACGACGAAGACGAGAGAGATGACGGAGAATCAGACGAGGAAGCGGACAGTGTGGACGACGACGACGATGACTTTTCTGGAGTGGCTATCGAACATCAAGCCGATCTTCGATTTCTGATATCCGGAAACGTGGGTATGGAAGTTGATTCGGAAGTGGCTTCTGCCACAGGAGATGATAACCAGGGACAACTCCGGATGAATTCTTCTACAATTGACACCGAAAAAGCAACAGTTGAGCTCGCTTCTCCTCTGTTGTCGATATCGGCACCGTTTGGTGACACCCAAGCCTCACCTCTTATCCCGCAACGAGTATCTCCTGTTTCACAAGGTCACCATACCACAGAGCACGTTCCTGTCCTCACCTCGGCACCTGAACGGTCGTCCACTGCAATAGCGGAAGTTGCCCTACCCGTATCGCCTACGAGCCCTTCGCGACGAGTGATTACTACGAAAGCAGCATTTGGAGCTATCGATGGTGACGATCCAGATGCCGACGATGTCGAGTATGCCGATCAAACGAGCGAGATCGATCAGCAAGATCAAGCTCTCGATGTTGAGATGGAAGATGCTGAGAGTTCGACGGACGACGGTGAGGACGCTGGACTGGTCGCTGATGCGGATGTGCCTATTGAGGATCTTTTGAAGCGATACGGGTATACCTTGCCGGAACCCGAAGCTGAACAGCCTAGTGTTGATATCGAAATCAAGCCTGCTACTCATGAAGCTCAAGACACTTCCATAGTGGCCGAAATAACGAACGGCGATATCATCGTTGACCAATCTTTGACCGACGAAGTCTTGGCCAAGAAGTCACCGACTCCAGGGTTGATCATCGAAGGTAAGCGACAACGACGCGCTAGAGCCGTTTGGTCTCCGACGGCTGTCCCTCCTCCACCACCCCCACCTCCAAGTCGGCCGAAGGTTGTTGTAATCAAGGATGACGAAGAGGTGGAAGAGGACGGGCAAGAGGAAGCGGAAGAGCACGAGGATACGCCGGAGATGACGAGTGAAGAGGAGATCACCGACGATGAGGATGAAATGGAAGTGGATGAGGATGAGATTCATCATGTTCGCCAACCTATCCTCCTTCGAGGAACATTGCGCCCATATCAACAAGCGGGTCTCGAGTGGCTAGCCAGTCTCTACGCCAATAACATGAACGGTATTCTCGCTGATGAGATGGGTCTCGGGTCCGTATACTCCTTCTCTCCCTTGTATTTCACTGACAGTTACAGAAAAACCATTCAGACCATCGCTCTTCTAGGTCATCTGGCTTGTGATAAAGGTGTTTGGGGACAACACTTAATTATCGTACCCACTTCCGTCATACTCAATTGGGAAATGGAATTCAAGAAGTTTTTCCCCGGTATGAAAGTTTTGACTTACTACGGAAATCAAAAAGAACGTAAAGATAAACGTGTAGGTTGGCATACCGAAAATGCTTGGCAAGTCTGTATCACATCGTATCAAATCGTTCTTGCCGATCAACATATTTTCCGTCGAAAGAGTTGGGTTTATATGATATTGGACGAAGCGCATAACATCAAGAACTTTCGTTCACAGAGATGGCAAACTTTACTTGGGTTTAAAGCTCAGAGAAGGTTGTTATTGACGGGTACTCCGTTGCAAAATAATTTGATGGAATTATGGTCATTGTTATATTTCTTAATGCCGAATGGAGTTACGGCGGACGCTACGGCAGTTGTAGGGTTCGCTAATCATAAAGAGTTTATGGAGTGGTTTTCAAGTGAGTAGCTCGCTACTTGTTCGAATTTCATCTTGATCCAATTCTCTTTATCTTCATGATCAGTCTATCACCCTACGTAACGGGTCATCATGTGTTGACTCAGTCCATCATCTTCTCTTGCTTGTTTTGATAGATTTTTCGTCATTTCGCACGACTGAACGGGATCGACAGCTGATGTCAGATCCCATGGACAAAGCCGTTGAATCTGGCGATACATTGGACGAAGGTATACTTGAAACCGTAGCTAAACTACATACTCTTCTCCGTCCGTTCATCCTCCGTCGATTGAAGAGTGAAGTCGAAACTCAACTTCCTGGGAAATTCGAACATGTCGTATATTGCAAACTTTCCAAACGTCAACGATTCTTATACGATGAATTCATGTCACGGGCATCTACCAAAGAAGCTCTTACTTCGGGTGGTTATCTCGGAGTTGTCAATACTTTGATGCAGTTGAGGAAAGTTTGTAATCACCCGGATTTATTCGAAGTCAGACCAGTACGAACGAGCTTCGCCATGGAACGTTCAGTGGTAGCGGATTACGAACCCTGTGAATTACTCATACGTCGTCGTTTGTTGTCCCAAATGGATGAAGTGGATCTACAAGATTTCCTCGTTACGTCTCGTGAAGGAGAATCCGCTTGGGTTTGTCGAACGAGAAGGGAACTCGATGCGAGTGACCGATTACCTCATGCTATCGAATTACCTCGGAGAGGAAAACAACCTCAAGGTCCCAAAATGGATACAAGGACTTTGGAAGGATGGTTAAGATATAAATCTCATTTAGAAGAACAAGCTAGTAAAATTCGATGGAGATCTTTAAGAGATATCAATCAAATACGTTGTCGACGTTCACCTATTTATGGTACAACACTATTATCACGTTTATCCGATTTATCAAATTTTCTACTTCCTTCCAATATCCCAAAACGTCGACCTAAAGATATGTTCGGTGATCATCATCCTCCAGTTTCATCTTTAGTTATATCATACGAAGATCGAGCTAAACAAATGATACCTATCACGGAGAAATATGCCGTTATACCACCAACAGTCGTTACTCGAGATATGACTAAATATTCTCTTCCAGGATTAAAACCAATTTCCCATCCTGAAATCTTATCACCTTCATTCGATACTTTACATCATTCAGCAGTCAAGTTACAAATCGCTTTTCCAGATTCTTCCTTGTTACAATACGATTGTGGTAAACTTCAAAAACTCTACGAAATGTTACGTCAACTGAAAATCAATGGTCATCGTATAATCATTTTCACTCAAATGACACGTGTATTAGATATCTTGGAAATGTTCTTATCATATAATGGTCATCGATATTTACGTTTAGACGGTTCAACGAAAATTGAAGATCGTCAAATTTTAACTGAAAGGTTTAATAGTGATTCAAGAATATTCGTTTTTATAGCTTCTTCAAGATCAGGTGGTGTTGGTATTAATTTGACTGGAGCAGATACTGTTTTCTTTTATGATTCAGATTGGAATCCTTCTATGGATAGACAATGTATGGATAGAGCACATAGGATTGGTCAAACTCGTGAAGTTAATATTTATAGATTCGTTTCTAGTCATACGGTAGAAGAGAACATGTTAAAGAAAGCTAATCAAAAACGTTTATTGGATAAAATGGTCATACAACAAGGTGATTTCACTACGGAATTCTTTGGGAAGATGGATTGGAGAGATATGTTGGATGAGAATGAACATTCTATTCCGGTTGAAACCAATGGAGAAAGAGAAGAAAGAGAGGAAGGTGTGGTGGATATTGAGATTGAAAAAGATTCATTGGATGGAGAAGAGGGAAATATGAATCCGAGGATCGGAGAAGAAAAGGAATTGGTAAAAGTTTTAGAAGAAGTGGAAGATGTTGAAGATGCAGAAGCGGCAAGATTAGCTCAAGGAGAAGTAGAATTGGATTTTCAAGAATTTACAGAAAGTCGACAAATGGTTAAATCTAAATCGCCAAATTTACAACGAGGGTTATCTCAGGTTACGCAGTTAGGGAATGAAAAACAGGAGCAAGTGGAGGGAATAAAAGAAAAGAATATCGAAGAGGAGAGAGAAGATGAAGTGGAGGAAGAGGAGGAGGAGGAGGAGGATGTGGGTGGAGTTGATGAGTATATGTTAAAGATGGTGGAATGGGATTGGGAATGGTTTTCTCAATTTAAATTTTGATCCTCAGTTTGTCAAAGTGTCAAGCGAACAAGCGACATGCAAAATGTAGATCTTGAATATGATGTTTTATTGATATCTTCTCGATAATATATGCTACAATAATTCCACATGCCACATACACAGAGACAGAGATCAAAAGCCATTGGTTCGAATGGAAGAAAGGGCTTAAGGGGGAAAGGAAAATTGACGTTTGATGATCAAAAGAAAAGTTTGAACATGGCATTTCCGTCTTCTCCTGTTTCCCCTTCAGTTACTTCTTTCTTTCCTCCTCTCCCTTCCCCGTCTTCTTCTCTTCTTCTCTCCCAAACAGAGAACTATTCAGGCACTGATTCTAGACCAATATGAGTAACTTGCCCTCTACAATAACTGCTGAGTCGTAAAGGTCTTAAACATTCGCAGGCCGCAGACCGGACATTTGGACCGGTATGAAAGCGTTTCATCCGAACAGCTAAACACCCTCAAACGCTCGGACCCAAATACTTAAATCATATTTCACAACTTGATTCACTTCTTCACTTTTCCCACTTCTTCACCTCTTTTCCCCACTTTCCCGAGTATCTCGTGTTTTCCTCATGGGTAAAAACAGGAAAATATCTTTCTCTCGTGAGTTTGGAAACGGTATGACTAAAAGTAAAAAACGAGTGATATCAACTTTGTCTGGATCTGGACATGATCCAAGTACGACAAGTACGAGTACTTCTGATGTTGGTGTTGGGGGTATCAGATCTGGAATCACGGATAATGATAGTGTGATCAATGGAAATGGAAGAGAAAAAACAGGAAATGGAAAAGATGAGATTTCAATGGGGAATACAATATCAAGTTTATCGGATAAAATGGAGATTGAGAATGGAATGGAAATCATTGCTGAATCCAACGCAACGGGAAAGAGTAAATCTAAATCTACAACTTTTGGTTCAGGTGGTTCAGGTGATTCAGGTGGTTTAAGATCGATATTCACTCAAGAAGCTTTCTCGGGGATCTTGGAACATATAATTTTAGACCTTCCGTTCTCTAGTATTGCCTCTGCACTTCGAGTGAGTCATCTTTTTCAAGAATCCCTCTCGTTATACCCCAATTTTGGGTCACTGGATGTCTTCTTTTCTCTTCTCATTCCAATAACTGATATTTCACCTTTGTCTTCACTCTCCCTCGACTCACTTCTCATCTCTCTCCTTCACTTGTAATCTCTCTGCTCCACATCTAATCTCTCTGCTCCACCTCTAATCTCTCTCCTTCAATTCTTATCTCTCTCCTTCACCTCTATTTCTCTCCTTCACCTCTAATCCCTCTTGTTAACCTTTAATCCCTCTCCTTCACTTCTAGCCTCTCTCCTTCACCTCTAATCTCTTACCTTCACTTCTAATCTCTTTCCTTCACTTCTAGGCTCTCTGCTTCAATTCTTATCTCTCTTCCGTTGAGGAGTGAATGATGATACGTGAACGGAAGACAAATAATCAGACACCTAAGTACACATCCTCTAACACGACAGATCTGCAAAAATGTCAATCACGTAATCTCCACTTCTTCCATACTCCAACTCGTCCTTCGTAAACTCTATCATTCCCTACCTGATATCCCTCCACCTCCCGCTGGACTCCCCAAACAAAATCACAAACCCGGTCCAACTCTTCAACGTATCATCCAAAGAGAAAAAAACCTCGCTGCTTTGACCCCGACTGATATCCGTTGTCTTCATGTTCCACGTGGTTTGGTACAACAAATGGAAGATGGTTATATGCTCATGTCTGAATCCTTTGCCAAGAAACGAAGAGATGATTACCCTCCTGAAGCTCCGCCGGAATACGAAATTGATGGATGGTCAGTTTGGAAGTTACCAGGAGAAGAAGAGATGATAAGCGATGGTGTGGCTAAGAAACATCAAGGGATGTGGAGATGGAGAACTGAAGTTGGTTTGGAAGGTGGGAGAGTGGAATGTTTGGCTTTTTGTCCACAGGATAATGTTGTGGTAGTTGCTAGAAGACTGTAAGTCATAGTATTGCTTCAAAATCCCACCAGACAAGGTCGAGTGAAGACTGATGCTTATTCCCAGTGGCCCTTTCCAGCGCGATGACATGTCAAGAGACGTCTTCTCAAATCGACTATACTTTTATCAAATGCGTCCCACAGATTCGTCTGAATCGAAAAACTTGGCCGCGTTTGCTCAAGGTGGACAACCTCATCCATCTGCAGCACTCCATTGTATCGAGATCCTCAGTCCGAAATATGACGACGATCCTCGCAAACTGCCCAACATCGATTTACAGATCATCCCCGGTGGAAGGGTGGCGGTAACGATGTGGGTGCCTCAGCTTTATCCAGAGGCATGTTCGGGTGTTTGGGACTGGAAGCGAGGTCTCTGTCTTGGGGTGAGTCTCATGTTCCATCATTCCGACCTCTTACATGCGATCAATCGCACTGTACTCACCCAGGTACGTATCTTGTGAGGACCGCTGATGGGAAAGATCGTGGAACCAGCGGACAACTTTGGGAGTTTATTCAAGACACGCTTCCTCACTCAAGATTGGGTCGTAGGGACTACTTTCCGTCATATCGACGATCCTGACGATGAATTCGACTTCACGTTACCTGTCTACGAAGGTGATATCGGTTACAGTCCATGTATCGAAGTTTTCAGTTTACTTGATCCTAAACACGAAATCAAACCTCGTGTACTGGGAATAGGAGCTTCTCCCGGTTCTCAACCTCAAGCTTGGTCAATGTCGAATTTACCTCAAATGGGACGTATTTGTGTTCATCAACTCCCAACTTGTCTAGTAATGGAAATGGAAACTTTATCTCCTGGATTTCTACCTATTGACTTTCAAATCCAATGTCCTCTTCTTCCTTCGCGAGCTTTACAAACCGCAATGGGAACTATCTCTTTCAGTCTCATAGGTACCGTTGACGATCTGTTAACAGGAGCTCGAAATTATACAAGTGTTCAAGGATCTTTCAGAGCTCGATTCTTGATTTCAGAATGTTTGGCCGCAGTTGCGGCCAAGAACGTGATAAAGAATATAAGAAGAGAACGTGGTCTCTCTCGTAGATCTCATTCGACTAATCGACGATCATCCGGCATGACAGAACATGATGAAGACGACTCGAATGAATGGACGGACGAAGAAGATGAAGATGAAGACGATGATGAAGACGAAGTAGATAAACGTCCACATTGGTTCCTACCTTGGTCTGATTTCTCTAGAAGTATTCATCTACGTAAAGATCATCCTACTTTAGGTCCAACTTGGGGTTCAAGAGTGATAACAGTTTCTTCATGTGATGGAAGATGTATGAAGAAATATAATGGTGTTCATCCTGAAGAAATAACTCCAATAGTTAGAGATGTTCTCATAAATATATACGATTATAATCAAAAAACTTTGAATGGTTATCGTATAGATGGACCATTAGGTACATTCCGACTTGGTAAAACAAATTCAACTTCAATTTATAATGATAAGAAAACAACGACACAAACACATTCTTGTCCACTTACGAAACCGATCTTACTGCCGACATTAGAATTCATCTCTGAACGAGAAAAACAAACCAAGACGGAAACGACAGAATCAGCACCGATGTTTGTTGAAGACAAAATGTCATCTGGATTATCGTATACCAAACGTACAGGGTTAATAACTTTTGATCCTACTAGACAATTGGAGAAAATGTTCTTTGATGGGGATAGGATCGTTTTTGGAATGGTAAGTTGTTTTTCTCCCTCTTCTCTTCCAAAGGGGTTTTTGGGTTGCTGACGTTGTGTAGAGGAATGGCGCGAATATCATTTCTTTTTGAAACCTACGAATAGGATTTAGTGTTCTTCACAAAATCATTCCGATATCTAGATTACAGTTGATGGATAACTTAGATGACATGCATGCTTTTTACGTACTTACTATACCAGTACAACGTGCCGGTTCGGCTATCACAACACCCTCCTTCTCTCCTTCTCTAATGAGATTGCTCTGTTCATCCTTTGCTCCACTCGACACCCTTTTTCTTACTCTATCACATATTCTTCTCTGATCTATGCTAGCCGAATCTCTCACACGCATTCCTTACCCTCCTTGCATGCAATGTACTAAAGTGTTACAATGAACAGATTGGAAACGTGGGGACCCACATTCCTTTCTAACGCCATCTGGCGAAAATGACGTCACGATGAACATTCCTCTCCACTCGTCACCACCCCCTTCCTTCCATTCCTTCCTTCCTTCCCATTTCCCCCTTAAATATTCTATCTCGCTATCGCATCTCCTTCTCATTTCGGACCGTTGACAAGACCAACACCAACAACACCACATTCAGAATAATCGCTAGTGAATATGACTCAATCACCAATCAAAGAAAATGTCGACCCTCTCGCCGGGAGGGCGAGTACCACAGCTGGACAACCTAAACAAGTGCCAGATGATGAACAACGTGGACGTGAGTTTTTGTTCTTAACTTTTCTTAAGTTTGTTGATATTCCTCAATCTTCAAACTTCCTTTAAATCTGAGACTTTAAATTTGATGATCTTCTCCATTATGTCTATCTTTCCTCACGATCACCCATCAAGACTATTTTACTCGTCGATTCCATCTTGGTATCAATCGATATAAATCTTCATTTTGAACTCTTGAGATTTTAACACCCCTTTTCAATATTGAATAACGTCTTGTTATTTCACTCGTTATTTGATTACAATGAAGTAGATTTACATGTTGGATAAATTTATAAAGGGTTTTTTTGCGTGCAAAGGGTTGATATTGATATTTCAGCCAAAACTAAACCTGAACAGACTAGTGGCAATGCTACTGAAGAAGATTTAAAGGTGAGTTACCATCTTATCTTCCTGTTTTTTTTCTTTTTGTCTCTTCACACTCTTTAGCAGGATTCCTCCACCTCTCTTTGAAAAATTGAAAAAGATCACAGGGCTGAATGTTATGACGGACTATTCGCTAATGTTCAGGCTGCCAAAGTAAGTTGACTTCCATGATTACCTGTCTCCTTTATTTTCTGTAATCCCAATTTACTCGTACTACTCCAGAGCACCATTCGTCCCCGGTCATTTTTTAACACCATCAAAGTCCCGTTCTACCCCTTCGCTACGTATGACATGATGGCGAAATTTTCATTGGACTCATCGCTCATGTCAGGCCGCTGCGGAAGCTGTTCAAGGTGAAGGATCCGGCGGGAATTTGAGCAGGAAGGACGTTGAGCAGGCTGGTCCCCATGGAGCTACTTGAATTATATGACGTATGACCGAGGTACAAGATGTAAGAAGTAACAAGTGATGCAGACATGATCTTCAGTATTCGCCGTCCCTCACATCAAGTACCAGTACTCGAATCCACTCGCATATGCTCTTCTTGCGCACTGCGTTCACTGCTTTTCCTCTTCTTCCCACAGCTTCTTACTGATGGTACCTATATGCCTTCACTCATCATCGCCAACACGTCATAGTCAGATTTGAACCGCAAACATTGCATACCAGTACAGACAATAGCACGACAGATTCTAATGATCACAATCTCGCCTTCACCCCCACTGGCAAGATCTTTTCATCTATTCATCAGTCACTTTCACACCTACCACACGTCTACATGAATTCCTCTGTGAAAAGTCGATATATCAAATCAACTCACAATTCGCATCGTACATAGTATCCGAGCCTATCCCCTGGAATAAAGCTCCCGTCTCTACCATACTAGGGACCACCTCTTCTATCGTCCTAGCCCCAATGAGTCTCATATTCATATCAAACTCATCTTTCAATATCTGTAAAGCTTTTGATACTCCTTCAGTACCATAAGTCGACATTGCGTAGATCATTGGTCTTCCTATACCGACTGCCGTTGCACCCAAAGCGATCGCTTTCAAGACGTCTGTAGCTCTTCTCACACCGCCATCGACGAAGATTTCGAATGGTGGTGAATGAGGAGAGAGATAACCGTTTTGACGAAGAGCCGATGTGACTGAAGGAAGTAGAGCTAATGGGGAAGGGGAGAAATCTAATTGACGTCCACTGCGATGTCAGAGATACTTCTTATGCTCTTCTCCTTTCATTCCCTCATTGACAATTAGGAACCACCGATATCTTTCTTATCTTCTGATACGTCTCGGTTCCCACATGTTCCTTATAGTGTGGCTTTAACTCTCTTGTTCCTTTTACCAACGACTGTCACTTATATCAAACAGTATGAGATGTGAGTTTTGGGATGAAAGAGGGAATCATCAATGATGTAAAGTAGGAACACTGACCCATGATTGGACAACACAATCCCATCCATACCGTGTTGAGCAGCCAAAACTGCATCTTCCCAACATTGGACACCCTTCAAAACCACTTTCATCCCTTTTGCAGCCTCCTTCAACTCTTTCAAATCTTTCCAACTCAACGAAGGGTCGATAAATGATGATATTGCCCTTGCAGCACCTTGATCTCTCCGGAAATTGTCTTTACCAGCAGCTTGTTGGGCCGAAGCGGTACCTTCGAATTTCGTCCTCATATCCTATCCGTCAACAAGTTGGTCATTATCCGACCCAAGATGCTGATCTCACCTTTTCTCGTCTACCAAGTTGGGGAGCATCAACAGTGATAAACAATGCTTTCACTCCTCTTTCCGCAGCGTGCGAAATAATCTTTTTCGTCCGCGTTCGATCGGCGTTAACGTATCTATGATTATCAGCATATACAATCGATGCTCATGAAACAGAAACGTACAGCTGCAAAAACTGTACTTGGCCAGGTTTGGCAGCATCGACCATTTCGTCGAATGAACAGCTGGCTAATGTGGGAATCTGTTTTTCAGCATGATGATAGATATGGGGTGTTCAGATTTTACCATTTGTATGACATCATGTTCTGCTGCAGCTTTTGTAAGACAGACTTCTCCTTCAGGATGTCCAAGTTTGCCTATTTGTCAGTCAGGAATTCTATCGGGGTGCGTCTAGAGGAAGAACCACTCACCTAAAGCGGTAGCAGTGATGTAAATCGGCATACTGGTCTTGAACCCAAAGATTGATGTGGAGTAATCAACTTTGCTAACGTCTCGTAAGACCCGTGGTCGGAACCAAACCCTGCGCATCAACATCTCCGATACCTCTTCCAAGGACCCAAGGAGTTAGCTCAGACCCTAGACATACCGGTGAAAAGCATTATGGTTTTCCCGCTGAAAGACTTAGCTCATCCTTCACGTCCTCGAGGAACTTACCATTGTAATCTCATCGTCTGCCCCTCTGATGACTATCAGCATTCAGCGTCAGAGCGCAGAGGGACCCACGATGAGTAGTAATTCCATCCTCTTCTCGACATGGTCCTTCTGGCCACAGCTTCGAAATCGTGCAAACTCAATATCTCCTCTAAAGACGGTTTTACATATTCTTCTGGTAGAGTATCGTTCGTACCTCCCGCGCGCTTTTGAGGAACTTGGACAGCCGCTGGGGCAGGAGAAGGTGATATAGTTTGAGGTTTTGGGAGAGTACCAGGTATGACAGGTCCAAGATGTTTTGATGGATCTCTTTATCAGTTTTGATTGGGGAATCATGTTTGAGGGAAGTGAACACATACCCAGGTTATCTTTGATAGCATCTGGAGGATGAATAGGTTCATATTCTTCCGTGGCGTCTTTTCCTGCGTATTTTCTCTCCCGTCAGCTCGATGCATGGCGTCTTGAAGAAGATGCGCACAAAATGATATCGGCGCCTCCTGTCGATCGTTAGTCACCCTGTTCACTGGACGAAAGGAAGATAACTGACCTGGGTGTTCCTTATGGTTAGTCACTTCTCAAGTGGTAAGGAAATGACTCACATCGAGAAAATCTGTTACGTCGTACACATGTCCTACTGGTCAGTGGGAGACAAAGTTCTGGAGTGGTTCATGAATGACTCGCCATGAACCACGATCCATACGCCCTGCGAGTCAGCCAAGCTTGCAGCACAGATCGAAGTTACGGAAGTGATAGGAAGTCCAACTGTGACACGACTCACCTTTTCACGACTGTTATGAAAAGCTACCTCTTTACCATCGACTTGCTTCATCATATATAGAGTCGAATGATGGTGAGTAGTATACAGTGAGCAGTGGGAAAGGCGCAGTGAAGGTGAGTAGTGTGGGCAGGGACTTTTTCAACCGCATGAACCGGCGACTATTGCCGGAGCAACCGTATCAGCGGCGATGGCCGAAATTTTCAAAGACCAATCAACTCGTTCGTTATTCCATTCATCCAACTTTTTGTTGAGCTTACTTGGTTGCTTCCCTACAAATACTGACTTGTCCCACAAATACAAGCGACCAGCTATCAGCAAGACTGATTTCCACCACGGTGAAATAGTAGCGGTAGTGGTATAGTGTCATGTGGTCAATGGCTAGTGGATGAAGGAGGGAGGAGTAAGGGAAGGCTTACTCTACTGATTCTCATTCCATCTGCCGTGATTGGACATTCTCTCGTACCTTCTCTCTTCAAATCTATGGTGACAAAATAGCAATCCCATACGATGATGACGTTTGTCTCGATCATTAATCGGCAGCCTTGTTCTCATCAACTCACTTCGTATCATATCACTCATCATTGACCGAACTTACCTCCTTGTTGCTAACAATCTGCCTGCCTCACTATTTGCCTTGCTATTGCCCTACTTTTGCCAGTCCTTCGATCAAAACTCTTCAACTGGTGAATCTTTCTCCTTTTCCTTCGTTCTATCAAATGCTGACCTTCTAGCTTCCTGATCACCTTCCCATCCCACCTCTCGAAGAACATAGAAATGGCATCCCGTTCCAACCCACTAGTCTCATGTAAGATCAATGTCTTTACTGATTCTAAATGCACTATTCTGCTCGAAACCTTGATGGGTTATTGTGACCCCGATGGTCTGAGAAACTTGTTCCAGGTGAGTATCTCGTTGATCCCGCTGTATACTTCGACACTGATATTTTTAGGTGAACAAGAGGATAAGTCATATAATCCTTTCATCGGCGGTCCTACGACGTATCCTACAACATGCTCCCAATACTTCCCCCGTCCCTCTTGATACTCCACCTCGGTCAACGGAAAATAGTCCATCGTCATCGGATTTCGGATTTGAATTACTTCCACTGTTTCCTCTTCCCTTCAGTCCTCTCTCGCTTCCTCCGTCATTACCTCCTTCTCTACCTCCTTCTTTACCTCCCGCTCAACCGATTCCTCTTCCTCCTGTCCCTCCTACCAGTACCTCTATCGATGCAGCTAAGGTTCAATCCGCCTCAATCGATGCAGTTACCTTTCAACCCGCGTCCATCGATGCAGTGGAAGTGCAAACCCCGTCCATCGATGCAGCTGAAACCCAACCAACCTCTGTCGATGCAGCTGAACCTCAATCTGCTCCCACCGATGTAGCTGACAGTAAAGCGAGTCAGTCTGTCCTCATCTCACACGAGTGCCAAACTCGCGGAGATTATGCGACATCACACCTAGTGGCAGACACGAGTGAACAAGCTGGTCCATCTGGCACAACCTCACCGATAGAAGATTCACGACTCTTTCATAGAAGATGGCCATGGGAACGTGAGAAAGCGTTGATAAATCTCGAACCTGCTGAAATTCGATGTTTCAATTTACCATTCTCATATGTGGTCGACGTACAAGATGGTATCATGTTGCTCATTTTTTCCAACACCGGGTGGCCTGTGGATGCCTTGCCTTGGCGATGGGAGATGCAACAATGGGCAGTGTTTCAATTACCATATTCTGGTCCTGAACGTTCGTTTTACAACATCAAAGACCGAATACAAGGTTTACTAGGATGGACGGTTCTTCATCAGGGTGAAATTTGGGGAATCGCATTTTGTCCTTCCGATGATGTCGTGGCTGTGGCTGGACCACTGTGAGTATATCTTTTGTTGGTTAATCCAATTAAAGTAATGATTATGCTGATGTTATCAGACGAGAAGGTGTAGCAAAAGGCAAAGCGGATTGTCCACTCCGATTTCGTCGTATATACTTTTACAAACTCACTCCTAATCCATTATACGAATCTAGATTGTTGGGTGAGGATGGTGCATATCATCCCGAACGATACGCAAGACAATTCATAGAAATCGTCACGCCAGACGATATGTCTCTTAATCCCGATGTGGAGTTACAACTGATTCCCGGAGGGAGGCTACTTGTGACAAATTGTGCTGGGGTACCTGGCTCTTTGAGTTTAGTGGCAGTATGGGATTGGAAATCTGGAACATGTATAGGGGTGAGCAACGTATCATCTGACTCGTCCCATAATCATTCTTTCATAACCATCTATGCTACTATAATTGTCTGCCAAGTTGAAGAACTTTTGTTAACCTGAACAGCGTATCTCACCTTTAGCTCATGATGTTCCTTCATTTCCTTCGATTTATACAGCTCGATTCATCACTCGAGATTGGGTAGTGGTATTAGCTACACGGGACATCGACGGATCTCGTTCAAATACAAGAACCAACCCATTGACAGACCAAGGATATTGTTTGGTTTTATCGACATACGCTTTAAATCCACCTCCGAAACCTCGTCGGTCAAAATCAATGGTTTGGAGACATGTTGGTAAACTTAAAGAATATAAATCACACATTTGGAATGGATTACCAGAATGGAGTTGGTTCATAAACGATATGCCATATGCTATTCCACTAGCTTCGGCAGCTCTTCCAGCTATGTCAGATGATAAAGTTTTAGATTTAATGATACCACTTCGACCTACTGTGGCTTATCTTCCTTTATCGGCAAGAATCAAACTTCCGTTTCAAGATGATTTAGATGGAGGTTGTGATAGTAATTGTATCGATGTTTTTTCTTTCGAATGTAGAGGGATTTTACAAAGTTCAGATCAAATGGAAATCATCATGTTGGTTGGGACGATTTCACTCAAGTTTATCAAAGTTATGACTCGTTGTGCTTTGGCGAAACGAAATTTACAAAATCGACAAAATCAAGTTCAACTCCAATCTCAACCGAGTGAAACTTCATCTCATGATCCTGGTCAATTCCCCGAGCCTCAAAATCGATCTATCTCAATTCCTTCACTTCATCCCTATATGACGACGACGACAACGAAGACGAGACTTTCAACCTCCACCCCACAGCTCGTTCTGTCCACTCAAACTACTTTATCCACTCAACAACCTACTTTGACCACTCATCAGCCTACTTTATCCACTCTTCAACCCCCTGACTCCATTCGACAATTCAATTCATCTAAACAACCCATTATCTTATCTAAAAAACGTCCAAATCGTTCCAATTCAACTCTTTCAAACATATCTCAAATACTCGGAGAACAACTACCAGAAAAAGAAATGATTTCATACACTTGGTCACAATGGCAACAACACGTTTACATTTGTCCACATTCAAGTGCATTCTGTTCCGCATCTTCAAATTCGAAATCCATTTATTGTTCAACAGCTAATAATCATACACAAGGTGATAAATTTAATTTAGAATTATCAGATTTCAAACCTTTAGAATTAAGACCAAACACTGTTCATTATGCCGGAATGGAATGTATAAGTCAAATAGATTATCCTATAGGATCAAAAGGTAAAGAATTAGAAAATGATAATAATAATGAAAAAACCAGAAGGTATTCTGTAGATTCAGCAGACCCATTCGTAAAGACTTTGATGGTAGATAAGATGATTTGGAATTCTACTAAATTTTTGAAAAATATAAACGAGTTGGATGTTTTTAAAGCGAGGATTATCAAATCTGGTTTAGCTAGAAGTTCTACTAAAGTCTTGATGACTTGTGGTAAACATTATACTTGTGCTCAATTGTTTTTTGATGGAGAGAGGATCGTCTTGACTTCGGTTAGTTCTTTCTTTAAACTTGATTTTCGTGGTAATTGAAAGTTAATGATTTTTTAGCTCAGGGGAGATCAGCATATTTTGACGTTTTGAAGGTTTGTGACGTTTTGGAGGAGTTGTTAAGGATCTGAAGTTAGTATCCTGTTATCTTGTCACAGGAATGAAATCCTGCAGAAATTATATAATGTGACCTGTTGTACCATTTGTACTCTACTTATACTACTTTACTCTACAGTGTTGTTGTGTGATGTCACATAAAGTACAATGAGTCAAGAGTGGTCATATGATGTGATCATCACCACCACGCAATGCTATTATTAAATTGCATGATCACCAATAAGCTACAACTCTTTATTTGAACACACTCCCAGCCGCACTCACTCATCAATGAATCAAGACTACTATGCAAGAATGCTACATCCCTCAATGTCCATCCGCTACATTTCTCAACACGTCGCAACCATATCCCACCTGTTGACGACAAGAACTACGCAAACCTGACCTCACAAGGCGGTATTATGACGATTCCGTCTCGAGGCACCACAGCATCATCTCGATAGCCCCGTACCATCAGAAGCTCTGGGTCCACTACCCGCGCTACTCGGACTGGACCCGCTCTTCGTCCTCGCCCTCCCCGATCCAGGCGTACCGATCGGACTCGCATGATGAGTTCGGTTAGGTGAACTGGGCATGGACATACCATCTCCTCTCATCTTCTTATGACTCGTCCGTTTGGCCAAACCTGACGTACCGACTTTCACTTGAGGCAAGGGAGGTTCACGTAGTTCGGTAGGTGATGCGGGACGTTTCGGATGACTTTCGTCGTCTGTCGTGGGGTTGGAAGATGATCTTGAGGATAGTTCGCGTGAATGGTTGTTATGATTTTGGTTAGGCTCAGAAACTTGGTTCAGAATGGGAAATTGAAGACAGTACGTTATTATAGCTATCGAGGTCAGCATTGTTTCAATGACAATATGATCAAAAATAAGGGTGAAGATGAGGATGGATAAAGTTGTGGGGCAGCGAGTGAGAGAAGGAAAGAAGAATTGGGAACGGAGGTTAAACTCACCTCGATGAACGAAAACATATTGGCGTAAAGATTGAACCAATGACATTCGTTGAACCCTCATACTTTCCAAAACCGCCGGAATGGGGTTTTCCATCAATGATAGAGGGGTAGGGGCGCGATGACGTTCTTGTGATTTGGTGATGGCTGGTGGAGTGGGTAATGTCTTGTGCAGACTGTTGTCAGTTTAGCTACCTCATCATTACTCCAAACCACCGTCGTCCAGAACAGTGTTTTCTCCATTCACCATAACAGAGGCTGCTTTCACCTGTCGACGAGACGAGGCCCAAAGCCCAGTTCTGCCAATAGCCTAGTAAGATCAAAGAGCAGGCACGAACCCATCCGAGAGATGAGAGGATTCGTGAAGGGAAGCCATCTAGGAGATATGAGAGAAACTCTATGGGGAAGTCATCCGGGGGATACGAGAGAATAGGAATACTGAACTGAGTCAAGAGATATAAGAGGATATGTGTAGGGAAGTCATCGAGGAGAAATGAGAGAACGTGTACAGAGTGCATTGACGAGAGGTAGACACTCACTGCTCCGAAGACAGCTTTTCCGACGAAGTAAACGCCGAAGCTAAACTAGGTCGTCTACTACTCCCACTTCCGGTGGAAGTTTCACTCCCTCTATGTCTCAGAAATCTATCGTCCCAATTAGTATTCAGGCTATCGGTATCTTTATCTTCTATCGGATTACTGAAATCTATATCCATGGGCTGGACGACTTTCTCTACGTCCATATATGATGCTTGTGCCGGTTTCAAATTTGGGGGTTGAGGAGTGGTCATAGATCCTGGTGGACCATGTAATGTAGAGGGTTGCAAGGGTAGATTAGCGACAAGCGGATCGGGAAGGATGTTGAGGGATGATGTGTTGGGATGAGGACCAGATGGGGTGGTACTTTGTTCTGGTATGGACTCGGTAGTGGGGACGGAGTAAGGTTTGATTTGTTGACGTTCTCGGCGTATACCATCTATGATAGAGTCGACAACGATGAAACTACCTGTTCGGCCGACACCTGCTGAACCTGAGAATTAGACTCATTCATGTTGTTGCGTGACTAAATAGCCGAGCGTTCAGGGGGTTCTTCACATATTGGATAGATCATTCCCAGAAAAAGATATACAAAGATGAAATATGAAGAAGGCGTTCACAGACAAAGATGCACAATAATGAGGCAGATTTGCTGTAGGTCCATTGAGATGTTTACGACCTGGGTAACCATCGAATCCATGATGGGATTACAGAGCAAAACATATGGAGAAAAAAGGGGACAACGCTAAGATATACGTGAAATGATGAAAGTGACAATCGAGTTCTAGACGGGGAAAACAGAGGAAGAGAGGACGGGCGAATCTCGCATATTGACAATGAGACAAACTCACAATGCACGAGTACAGGCGGTTGATTAACCCTTCCTAATGGATCATCCTCCTTTTCGACCTGCTTACAATGCCCTAAAACAGCTTCATCCACATCCTTTATCAACCTCAACAAAGTATCCGCTGATTGCGGTACGTCGAAATCCGGCCATGAAACACATTGTATCTGTGTTACTGTCCTAATCGGTTTCCCAGGTAAACCAGTGTGAGTCAATTGAAAAACTCTTTTGATATTCTCTTGAGGGGTATTGACACCTTTCGGAGTAACAGCAGCCGCACCAAAGTCGAACCCTGTTTTTGAACGTTCTTCAGGTTGAGCATCATCATCACCTTTTTGAGAGATGAGTTGAACTTGGAATTGACCGCAATTTTCAGAATTCCAGTAGTTACCACATTTCATCAAACCACCTTCGTATTGCTTTGTGATCCTGTCAGTCAGCGATTGTTTCTTGATAAGCGCTCGTGGACATGGCTTCTCCGGAAAGATCAGGCTTCGATTTTATCTGACCTACGGACTGAAAGCGTCGAGAGTTTAGCTTCGTGCGATGTTTTCAGCCAGAGGTTACCCGACAGTACAAGAGGGGACGAAGCAAAGGAGAGAATGGGAGAAAGGGATGAAGGAGAAAGGGAATATACGCACATGACAATCACTCGAACATCTTGTTCCCACACCAACGTCCAAAAATCACAAATGGTAGCATCCAATGGACCCTGAGTCGCGATATACCTCCTAGTAGTCCCTCGAGGCTGAACGAACGAAGCATTTATATAATCGCAATCTTCTTCACCTGGACACCCCAATCTTACCCTGGAAAAGTCATATGGCCAGATATTTTTATATCTATTTTTACTACCTCTTTCTACTCCTGCCGTTATGGAAAAAGGGAAATAATCCCCCTCCTGGGAACTCGAGAGAGATTCCGATCGACTCATGAATACCGATGAATTTTTCAAAGTCTGTTGAGGTTCAGGTGGAGTATGCTCGAGTTTCGTACCGGATTCTTTCGTATGATAATCCATAACAGCTTGTAAACGTTTCTGTTCGCCGAGCTCTATAGCGTAGAATTGTTCTGCTAAACGGTCCATGCGGTCTTTCTCAGGCATGACTACCAGAGGTCGGAGCCATGTGGGTAATTCTTCTGCTCTAGCAAGCATGGACTGGTTGAGACCGAGAGGTATACGCTCGCTGATTCCTTCATGTGAGAGTTCGAGGTTTTGACGTATGTTGTCGAAGAATGGGTTGGCAGGTTGAAGACGAATAGATCGACCTGCGTCGGAGTTGAAGGATGATGTAGAGCCTAACATGTGATTGAAAATACCACTGCGAGTGGGTTTACGAACAGGAGACGAAGGTATGGGAATTTCTGTAGCTGTGGAAGTGGCGGATGAAGTGAAGGGATCAGGACGGAAAGAAATGCTTGGAGTTTGAGAAGTGGTGGAATGAGAACCATTGCTATGTGGTCGACTGGGGCGACCGGAATTAGTGGATTCTGCATATATTTAGCTAGTCTGGTTTTCCGATCATAACAAAACTTACCTTGTCTGAAAGCCATGCTGCCCAATCTACCCGCCATCAGACCAGAGGCAGATAGCGTGGTAGAATCATCACCACTACCTTCGTCGTCGTCGTCGTCAGATACAAGATTGACGAGAGCCGAACTGATCAAAGCATTATGACCTCCTTTGACAAACCATAATCGACCATTGAAACCTTCTCGCTCAAATTTGGCAGCTAACCCATCCAAAACCCCTCCATTTGGGGCATTTCCACTATCGGCGTCGAGGAGGATGATATCACTCTTCTCCCGCCACTTACTGACGGCCTCCACGGAGGCGGGCGTGAGCATCTGGGTGATTCTGCCCAAGTCGAACGCAGGTCTCCGTAAAAGTGTGGAAGGGATCGGAAGGGAGTGTGAGTTGGGTAGATGAGATATGGAAAATGACGACGGTGGTCGAACATCTAGTATCAAGACTGTCGATGGGGATAGAGACAATTTGGAGATAAGAGCATTGACGGACAGCGGTGGAAGTCGACTGGAAGCGGATGAAATGGTGTTTGTGCTCAAAGGACTGGGAGCTTTCATGAACGATGATGAAGACTGCAATAATGCCATTGGTGGTTGCCGGATTGATTGAACGAACTGGGGCGATGGAACTGTTGATGATTCTAATGGTGGCGCCTTCAACGGAGAAGAAATTTCTTTACGCCCTGCGGATGCTTGACCGACCATAGATCTATACATCGCCAATTTCTCCCTGCTGATTTCTGGCAAAGGGGGTATACCAGAAATCTTCGAGGGATTGAATTTCGTAGGTGGGTTTTCAAAAGGTTCAATCTTCATTGCCATACCACTATCATCTCCTAATAGATTGGCTCCACTCCAACTGCTTCCAATGTTCAATTGTTCAAAGGGATAACCTAAATGAGGACTATTCGATGGACCTGCAATTGACGGGGTGGGTGCACCCGAACTTGCCGCTAATAACAACCATGGTGATGCAGGAGTTTTTGCCGAAGGTGCGAAGGCAGGGGTGAATGTGGGTAATTGCATAGTTGGCATTTTCTTCGGACGTGTGGCGGTAGCTGGGGGCGGGGAAAGTTCAAGGTCAGGGGAATGATGTCGATTTTGTAAATCAGGAGAAGCAGTAGGAGAAGGTGATGAAGGAATAGGTGGGATTGGTGATCTTAAAGCTGAATCTGTAGGAAATTTGTTTGAACGTTGACGTGTTGATGGAGGTGTTTGAATTATAGGTTTGATCGATGTAGGTGGGGAAGTAGGTTGATTATGTGTTGAAGCACCTACGGCAAAATTTCGTTGAACTGGATTTAGTTTTCGAGTTTGTTCAGTTTTCATCTTGACATCGATCGGTTCTTCGACTTGCATCTCTGACAATCGTCTTGCGGTTTCTTTATTGGGATACAAGTCCACTGGGGGAGGTCGACCGGAAGGATTGAACATGTCGTGCATGATGGATTTATGAAGATCTAGATGAATAACTTGAAAGAGTAAAGAAAGTTGATTTCTTAATCATGTTCCGTCTTCTTTGGAGTCGATCTGCTCGATGACCAGATGACCGAAAAGTAATCGTACTCTATCCAAGTGCAATCGACCCTCTGTGTCCAAGTATCAAAAGGCTTGATTTGTGGAGCGTAAAGCGTATCAAAAGTCCAGATTGCTAAACGTTTGACCGTCAAAGATTCGAAGGGAATAGTTGTTTTAATGAATCTGATGGATATTCTCTGTATTTCCAGAACGTCTTACGGGGTACAAGTCTAGCAGGCAACCGATAGGAAGGGGGGAGTGATGACGAATCTTAGGAATGAAGGAGGGAGAAGTAGAACAAACACGTGTATGCAAGTTGGGGGGGGGGGGGGAAGGGTTGAAGAGTAAGGTAAGTGGGAAGGATTTGGTGCGTGTGTGTGTGAGAGAGAGAGAGGATGTCAAACTAATTGAAAGGGAAAAAGAAAAGGGTGACGAGTGTGAAAAAAGAAAAGTGAGTAAGAGAAACGGAGATAGAACCGAGTGGCCAGGAAAGGATGAGGTCAGGGTTTCAGGGAATTTTGGTCTAGACCCCCTGAACCCCGTCCGTGAAAAACGAGATGATCAATACGTCATCTCGCGTGGCACTGCCTCTTCACTCTCTCTTCCTTTGACTCTTTCTTTGAGAGGTTTTCTATTCCCTCTTACATAGTGCATGTCTTCCCTCATTAGAAGCTACATCGCATAGTGTAATGGAGAAAAGGTAGATGATATGTTTGAACGACTGGTGAACGAATAGCAGAATTTGACAATTCATACACTGTCTCGGGTCCTTTTTTCCGCTGACGTCTTTGATGATCGTACATGACGTAAGGGATGTGGCACTTTTGGTCGTGTGGCATCATTTATCCTTCCCTTGGAACTTGATTAAAAGCACATTGGCAGTGCCACTAGAGTACCGCCCCTGCCGCGCATGCCGACGTTGATTCCAACAAAGTAAATCAATCGGATACCCCCAGTAGCTAGAAGCTTCTCTTCCTACTCAGCTTTTCTTGCCTTTCTTAAACCCTGTTTCATGCGATGCAAGATGACTTTGACTGATTTTACAAAATGTTTCTAATGAGATGTGTTTTGGTACCTTTAATTCTATCACTTCATTCCTTTCTCAATTCCTCCATCATCCATTCCTCCTCCTTCCCCTGATTCTGACAAACTGACCGACTCATCTTTTCGTCCCAACCAGACCTTGACATTCTTATGAACCAACATCAACCCCATCACTACGGGAAGATACCATAAACTAACCCAAAACACTCTTTTCGCCGCCACATCCGTCGTAGTCCTCCAAAACACCCATGCGGAATGGACAAAAACCGCATTAGGAACAGCACTGGTGAGGGCGAAGCCCCAATCGACACTGCCTGACAATGGAGCCATGAGAGCTGATATGGGTACCAACAGAAGGGCATGACGTAGAGAGACCAGGGAGTTCAATCGTGGAGAGAGGACAGAAAGCATAGGATAACCTGATAATGCGTATGAACCTCGGATGAGGTGAGATAATGCGTTGAAATGAGGGAATTGCCAAGAGAATAAAAGAGCGAATAATGTCCATGCCGTGAGAGGATTCGGAGTGTTAGGAAGATTTGAACCAGGTGTATGAAGGAGGAGTGGTTGATTCATAGATGGGAATAAGGTACCACCTGTAGCTGTCCATCCCATCAAAGGTGTGATGGCACCAACTAAAGCCCCGATCCAAGTATTCACCACTGATACACGTTTCATCGGGGTGTAGATTGCAGCGTATAGGATCAAGTTTCCCACTCCTAAAGCCGCGGTAGTGGGATTACATCCCCAATAAAGGATACTACCTCCAAGTAACGTGCACACGAATCCGAACATCGCAGCGTGGAATGGAGTGATTCGTCGGGTCACAAGGGGTCGTACTCTAGTCCGAGGTGTTTGCGCGTCGAGTGGCGCTTCGAGGATCTGATTGAAGGTGTTGGCAGCAGCTGACGTGAGGAACGTGCCGAATGATAGATTGAACAAAAGTGGTAGGGACAACGGGAGTGGGGAAAGTGCTAGACCTGTGGTAGCGGTCAGAGTCATAAGGATTGACAAGTTACGTTTCGACAATTGAAAATACACGGCGATGAGTCTTCTGAGAGTGAGAGGTGGAAGAGGCTGGTAAGATTCGATAGGTGCTAACGGAGGATGGGGGAGAGGAAGGTCGAGGTTAGGTAGTGGTGTGGCAGATGCCGAGGAAGCATCAGCTACGGTATTGATACGAGGGAGGTAAGGTGCGGGATGAGCGGCAAAGAAAGGACGAGGGACAATGGGAGAGGGGACATGAGAATGTGTATGTGTAGATCGACGACCAGACATGGTTGACGTGTGATACTGTCGTCGTTGATGAGCAGGCGTGGACGTTCCGGGTTGAGCATGAATCACGGTTCCTGAGCTTGTTTCGGAAACGACAATGGCTTCTGAGGTAGATTGAGGTTCCGGATCGTCTGAGACAAATGTCGCAATCTCACCAACTTTGGCCATTTGACCTTCGACCATCTTTCTGAATTTCCCCCCTCTTCGAGTGATCAAACTGACATAACTTCCGTCCTCTACCACTTTCCCACCTTCGAGTAACACGACTCTATCCGCACTGGCAATGCTAGAGAGTCTATGGGCAACAAGTATAACGGTGATGTCCGATTTTGTGAATAATTTCTGCAATGCCAAATTGACTGTTCGTTCAGATTCCGCATCCAGTGCACTGGTGGCTTCATCCATTAATAAAACATGAGGATCTCCGATGAGAGCACGGGCGATGGCGATGCGTTGTCTCTGTCCGCCTGATAAACTAGCTTTAGTGATGATAGTATCGTATCCAGATGGAAGCCTGGATATAAAGTCACAACTGGCAATATTTGCCGCGCGGATGATTTCCTCTCGAGTAGCATTTGGATGACCGTAGGCGATATTCTCCGCAATAGTACCGCCAAAAAGGATAGGATCCTGTGGTACAACACCGATACGAGAACGCCACGATTCGGGTATGAAAGATTTGATATCTTGACCATCGAATAGAACTTGACCTCTGATTGGGTCGTAGAAACGAAGTAATAACAATTGCACGGAGGATTTACCACTACCACTACCACCTCTGACACATCAGCGGCGGTCTTTGAGCAAGGTGAAGTGACTCACACTAAAGCCACTCTCTCGCCTCTGTCGATACGCAGGTTAAGACCATCCAAAACGAGAGAGTCGGGTCGAGCTGGGTAGGCAAAGGCTACATCTCGTAATTCGATCGTGCCATCTCGTTCTGGTGGGACTGGCTTGCCGATCGACAGAGGTATTGGTGAAGGTAATTCATGGAGACTAGTGATACGTTGTGAAGCTCCGACACCTTTCATAAGTCCCGTGAAGAAACCTGCGATAGCTGGATGATCAGTCATGGCTTGTTTGATCATCATTTGTCAACTCACTATTCAAACTCCATTCGATCCAATTGACGTAAATGAGAAGACTTGTCATGTCTCCGATGCTAATCTCTCCTCGTCTGACCAAAAATCCACCATATAGCAATAAACCGATCATGCCTATGTCACCCGCTACTTCATTGACATTTTGAAAGATACCGTTGGCCACAGTCTCTTTCTTTTGTAGCTTGTACACTTCTCCAGCTTTGCTGGCGAAAAGCTTTTCTTCCGTTGACTGGTTATTCAAAGCTGTGACCGTCCTATGTGCAGACAATCGTTCTTCCGCCAGCTTGCTCATATTTCCCATAGCTTCTTGTGTTCGAAGTGCGAGCTTTCGGATATACTTGCCGTAGAAGAAAGAGCTGACCGATATTGGGGGGATGACTAGAAGCATGCACATGGTCAAACTGGGGGACAGCATCCACATGGCTCCTACACCCACGACCGCAGATAAGACAGCCTTTAAGCCTTCTCCAAGATTCTCCGAGAGAGAATTACCGATAATCGAAGTATCCTGACTGAGTCTAGAGAGAGCGTCACCAACTCCTGTCGTTTCGATATGTGATGGTGGGAGAGCCATGAATTTGGCGTAAGTCATATTTCTTTCACATATCAGTTATAATAATTGAACGCAGGACACGAGATCTGACATACCGTATTCTTGCCATTGTTCTTTGTCCCGCTAGACGCAGCGCTATACTTCGACAAGAGTTCGCAGCAGCGCCAATCAACAGAGCGAAGGTAGTGATCCCAACGGCCCATTCCAAAGGTAAGCCAAAGAGAAGGGTGGCTTCTGATCCAGGAGCGAAAAAATCTATGATACGTCCTATAGCCCAAGGCCAGGCGAGACTGACACCGGTACTGATACAAAGGCAGAATATACCCACAGATATTAGAGGCAGCTGCGGTCTAGCGAATGAAAGGAGTTTGAGAAGAGAGGTCGTATCGGGAGCTTGGTTGTTTGTTGGTACTGGAGCGGAAGGGGGCAAGGCTACTGGAGAAGGTGTAGGCGGGATGGTCTCTGCATGGACTTGGGAAGCTTCGTCATTGATAGCTTCGGCGGAAGTGGACGATGGTTTTTGGGGTTGGGACGATTGAGATTCTTCTCGAGACTTGGTGGTTGTCGATTGTGATCTGATGGTGGATCTGACGAAGGAGAGCTGTGAGTTATGTGATGTTAGAAGAGATTGTCGTATGGCGACCTGCGGTGGAATGAGCGATGGGAGCCTTTTACCATCAAAGAAGGAGCGATGGAAAAACGTGGGTATCGAGCTGAGCGGGAAGTGTCTTGAGGCTGGTGTTGGAGTAAGACCTGGACGGACAAGCCTGCCCAAACTCATTCCTTTCCAAGCTGTCATCTTGAAGACATCCAGGCGTTGGCGATTTCCTGGGATGTATTGCAGTGATGCAGGTTCCGCTGCCCACCTAGAAAGTTGAAAGGGGATGTCAGGAATAGGGGACAACTTTCGGGCTTGTTCGGGCGATGAATGGGATAAAACACAATAAATAGATTGGAAATAAATAAAAGTCAACCTAAGATCACCTTCTGCTCGATCACTACTTTGTCCAGGTGTGTGTTCAACGCAACATGTCAGCCTCAACATTGAGAAGTGCGTATCGCACACATTGTTTTCATGACCCAGCCCGAGATTTAATGGTGGAAAAGGCTAATTCTCAGACTCCCTCGCCAGACGTAATCACAAAGAACGAGCTCAACCACTTCATCGTACTCGTCTTGGTCTTCTTGAAAAACATAAAGATTATGTTCATCGAGCTAGAGACTATAGGTCTAAACAAGATCGTATACGTAAACTCCGAGAGAAAGCAGCTTTTAGAAATAAAGATGAGTTTTACTGGGGTATGGTCAAAGGTAAGACTGTGGAAGGTGTTGCCGTAGGTGATAGAGGAAATAAAGCCTTGGATGCGGATTTGGTGAAGATTTTGAAAACGCAGGATATGGGGTATGTGAGAGTACAGATCGCACAGGATGAAAAGGTATCTCATATTGACCATCTACATGACCTTAGCAGTGAGCTGATCTAGTAGAAAATCTCCAAATTGAGAAGGGAATTAGAGGTGATCACCCCTCCCGGTGGATCAGATTCAGATTGGGATGCTGCTGCCGAGTTGGCGGAAGTTGAGAAACTCGCGGAGATGGGAATCGTCATAAAGGCTCGAGAAGACGGAGGAGAGAGGAAAAGAAAAGGAAAGGGAAAGGATTTACCTTCGGGTCACGTCGTCTTTGCTGAGAGACAAGAGGAATGTATGTCTTCAAACACATCCATATACGAAGTAGCTGATAGCAAGTTGATTCGTACAATCCCAACCACTCACAACCAAAATCCCCTGTACTTGAAGAAGAACTCGCAGAAGACTTAGGGTGGATCGAGACCGTTGATACTTCGAATAAGACAAAGAAAACTTCTGTTTCACATCCCGTTCCAAGCGAAGAATTGGAAGAAGATGCCAGAGTTGGTATATTTTAATAGCAAGGAAAAACGATACTGATACACTTAGGAACATCGTCTATCACTTCTTATATCCCTCTCCGCATTGCTCAGACGAGTACGTCTTCTTCGTCAAGCCGAATCTCGACTGCACATCACCAAAGCTCTCATGGGGAAAGGGGCTTCGAGGAAAGTACGTGAAGCTCAATGGGTTGAAGATGATACACAACCTGAAGATCGGAATGGGGAACGGAAAAGATGGGAGGGAAAAATGTGGAAGTGGAAAGCGGAGAGACGGCGATGATCATGTTTTAGCGTTTGATATTGATGCATGTAAGTTATTTGACTCATTCGTTTCCTTCAAAAACGACACTGCAATGCTCAGTAGATCAGGCTTCACCTCCTATTCACTCCATTTCTGTCCCTCAGTGAAGTTTCTCAAGAGTATCGCATGCTCATGCAGCCATCGCCTGCATGTTGCATCTCTAATATCAACTTGTGTGGATGATCTTGGGTACATGTCAGGACAGAATTCTCAGAAGAGTGCTTGCCAGGCTTGGAACAAAGAAAGGGCGTGATCATGCGAAATTCCTATACGCCCCACTCGCTCGATTGATACTCTCTCGGCCGCTTCACCTCTTTCTTGGTCCCGGAAACCGTTAGTTGTGAGACAAGAATCGCTATTTCCCGACTGATGTTTCTCCAGCAGAGCCTGAAGCTCTTCACTGGTCAGGGTGAACCCACTCGCCCTCACTCCCCTGATTGTGTCCTCCACATTCAGCACTACCGCTCTTGTGAGATTCCCAATTTTCTTAACTCTTCTACTTACCCCCGTTATGGTCACCTCCTCAATTGGTTCCCGGAATTCCCCTTCAGTCAAATTTAGACTCATACCTTGATTGGAAGTTTGAGATTCCTGGGTGTCATTGAGCCGAGGGGCATGTTGCGTGATGTACGATCTCACTACGAAGCATCGGTACAACACTTGCTTGACAGCAGTCTCATATTCGTCAGTCAGTGGGACAGGTTCAAGCTCCTCCAATTGGTCATTGTTGGAAGGGAAGCCGTGAGGATACAATGGCAACAACAAGAATTCCCGCACACGATCTTCCAAACTGGAGTTTTCACCGTCCCCTGGTGAAACTTCCGATCCATTAGATTGGGTGGATCGGGTGAATATACGAGGGTCAAATGGCATTTCAAGATTGAATAGTGTAACTTTCACATAGATCTCTTTACATACGCTTACATGTATCTAGCATCACACCCTCTTTTGTTTACCTTACCCAATTGTTAAAACCCCGATAAGATGACGGCCCCGTCCGGTCGTCGGTCACGACGCTCCAAGGGCGTCATCGTGCGTCTCACGCTCGACGATCTCATGGAACCATGGATCAACCGTTCGTGGAGTGTTGGAAGTCGACGTCATTAGTGAAGTTCCTCACAAGTCAAAAAATGACTCTGCAAGTCATACATACAGTATATCATCATCACTGGATCTCCAGTTTGGTTGAAAGGATTGACAATGTGGCGCACGGATGTTGACTCGTCTCATCACTAATTTCAAGAATCGGTTTGTTGAAGATGATTATGTAACCTGCTCTACTACGTGTATGACAATAAAGGGGAAGATTAAAAAACAAGTACATGGCAAGAAAAGTCTCCTGATGGTGATAACATAGTCGTTCAAACCGAGCCCGTTCAATTTCCCTTCCTTCCCCTGTGGTTCCACATCCTCGTTTCAATTTGAATCGCGATCTCTCCTGCCCTATGACTTTTTGCACGACACATTCCCTAGATAGTACGTATATGTCCTTCGATCAGTCACTGCCTGTGAGGTCAAGATGCTGGATTTTAAAAGGCTCCTCATCACTCCAAACGTCATTGTCATGAATCTGTTGAGAACATGCGTTTTGAAGCTCTGTTGGTGTCATGTGTAACCCTCGAGCCCGAGCTCCACCAAGTGTCTGTTCGACGACAAAGTTCAGTCGGGCGATGATAGTACTCAAATAACCATCCGGATGAATGTTGCTCGTCAGGGGGACACATGCAGTATCTTGTGTGGAAATCTGATTACCTGATTCCCCACGACAAACTCCACTCGATGAAAAGTCAATTTGATCCAAAGCATACTCCCTACTAGTTGTAATTAGGCCGGGTGGATACCTGTGCGTACAAGAATGACAAGTTCTGCTATGCTGAATGGAGCTTTGCTCTACGACGTCACACCTTTGCAGGACTTCCAAAGCCGCATTTTCAATGATCCGCTGCCGTTGTCGTCTGTTACGCTGGCTGCATCCCTGGATTGGAACTGGCTTCAGGAATGTGATGAATTTCAAAGGTTCTTCGAGAAATTCTCTCAATTCCTCGTGATTTATATCTGAGTTGCATGGAGGAGGTAGGAATTCAACGGATGACAATGGTCTCATTTCTTCTTGATTCATCTCTGACTCGTCTGGAGGAGGTGAAGGGGAGTATTGTGTGTCCGACATGTTTAGGAATTGGTAAATTTGATCTTGTTGGATGGAAAATTCCGCACGGACATATAGACATATATAGTTTTCTCATTTCACTTTCCGTCTTCTTATCCTCCGTCATCGGGTCATTGCGTCATGGGAACGACCTCCGGGCATCGAGAGGCTGGTTAGTATGTACTTGTCTGCATCATTTCAAGAACAGAGCTTGCTCTGGGGACAGGATGAAGGGAAGGATTTCTCTTTTCCCATTGTGTCATAGTTTCACCTTCACCTATTTTGCACTGAAATCCTCACTCCTCTCCATATACGTCACATCATATCATCATCGCTTCGTATGAGTCCTAACGGCCGAGAGCTTGAGGGGTTCAATCGGAACGACGATGACAACATCTCCAAGAAAAGTGGGCCGGGCCTAGAGGTACCGAAGAGAGGTTCGCCCCATCATCTAGACGGTAGCTCTTGAACGGATATGTTCCTCTTTATCAGATGACGGTCAGAATCTATAAGCAAAGAATGGATCTGACAATCCAGAGCTCAACATTCGTAAGTTCATCGTGTACGCTTCAGGGCCGGTTGTTTTTTCTGAATCCATCTTCATATCACGCGGCAAGGGGTGGTTTTTTCCATATACTTCAACTCTGCTTGGGTAGTTGGAATTACTTTCACGAGTTCCACGAGTGTTTGACCAGGAATCTCGCAGTCTTCCACCACCTTCAGCAGGACATTCATAGGTACGTCCCTATAGTCTATTGATTGGCGATCTTCTTCTTCCGAACTCGGAACGCCCGACGTTGATTTTTCCATGAGACTTTTCAACTGCTGATCAGTCGTCTTGAGAGTGCTTAGAGCCGCATGGTAACGACTCATCATACTTGAGAGTGGTGCTGGAGGTAAGTTACGATCTACCCATGAAATAACAGAATCAGAGCGTTCCAGAAAAACCACGGAAGCATCTAATATTAGATGCACTATCGCTTTCATCGATGGTCTTCTTTGGGTACTTGGTTCTAGTCGCGAGGCTAAAAGTCTTGGAGGGCTCATGGTTTTGTCTATCCACCACTTGATATCGCCGTCCATACCTAGAGGTTTTTTGATCAGATCAAAGATAGAGAGGTTTCGGTGATAACATAAAGTGGGTGAAGTAGAAGGGTCCGACATGATCGACTGAGAAGTAGGAAGTGAAGAGATGATGGAGAAAGGTATGCAGGGGATTATAAGCAAGAGTGGAGCAAGTAGAAATCCTAAATTCTCACTACGCCCCTTCTCACGCCGCATGACGTGACGTGCACAACGCATGAAAGGGTGATAAGTCCGACCATGCGGTGATTCCCACGGAGGATAGCCCTGCGACCTTGTCTACCCGAGATGTCCGGACACTAGGAGAGGTACGGAAGGAGGGGGAAAGGGGTCTAGCGAAGTCTGGACCCTTGACAACACTAGGCTAAGGGGTGAGTGAGTCACGGTGATGGCTGCGTTCCAGAAAAAGAGTATTTGCACCTCTCGGTCCTCAACTGGGACAACTCTCACAATTTCTGATCACATCAACCCGAAGAAAGAAAAACTGACATCCGTGTTCAATTCTCGGCACTGCTTCAACACCTTCATTGTAAGTTGATGGGATAGAGTAATCCTAAGATGTATAAGGAGACTCTCAATCATCACTGCATCTCAAACCTATCAATCGATCTCATAGCAACCTTTTTATGGTAAAAAAAAGGCCATACCGTAGCTTCTCATATCGCTTCCTCCTTCTACCTCGGAGGTGTCTCAAAAGTGAAACGGGAGACTACGCCAGTGTCGTAGGATTCGGCGAATTGATGGGCGATATCAGTACATTCGTAGAGATTGATGACGACTTTTGTGAGAACTTCTATACTTTCAAACAGTCTGCACTCGGCAGACCAGAGCTCATCCATCTCGTTAAACCCCCAAATTTCCTGAGAGTTGGACTCACATAACTCTATCAAAGTTTGGAAACTTTTCTTGGTTTTGGTGAGATGTCTAACTCTATCGTCATACTCTCTCACATCCTGCTCTAAGCTTTGCGGCTGCTCTTCATACCATGAAGACTTTACCCATTCAACCACCAACTTTGAACGCTCGATCAGGCCCCCAGTTGCATCCAGTAGCCTCTTCATGCCAGCAGTATACGCCGGTATTTGATCAGTGGAAGGAAGCCCTAATGGCGCCTGTCGCCTTTTCTGAGCGGACACCGCATCACGTTCGAAGAATCCCTCCATGTACTCTCTGATCGTGTGAGATGATGATAGTACAGGCTCATCTACGAAAGAGTTCGCTACATAGCTGGGACTAGGTGGAGGGGACTGAGGTTCTGGCAGGGTTGGAAAAGGGATGGAATTCGTAAAACCTGGCCCCGATGTTGACATGACTGCTAGCTAAGCTATACCCAGACAGATAATTGTGAAACGGATTGGTAATTTCTCAAACAGTAGGGATGGTTATTTATGCTCTTATGTCATGTTGTCATCCCCCTTCGAGACGGGTACGCTCCATTGGGGATACGGCCGCTTTCAACCGGTTATATCTCATCCGGATGAGGTCATCTTGGCTTCTATACCCCTACTTCCCAATCAAATTTGGTGGGGATGTCTTTTGACTCCCTCTTAGAGGGTTCTACCCCACAACAGGGGTCCTGCATGTATGGGAAGGCCACGGACACGGGACGGGTAGAAGGCGAGGTGGAGGACAGGGAGAAAATGCAGGCTATGTACGTCTTCCTTCCCCTCTTGGCTCGTCCTGTTCAAGTGATCTACCTCTTCTATGACTCTATAACTACCGCAGAGAATACCGCTCCCCCCTTGTCCTCGTACTTGTCCCAGCATTCGTGTGAAAGCGGTTGTTGGACCAAGTTGACCGCACGGATTTCCCACCATATAATTCATTTTGACACTTTCCCTCTATCCCCCCGACTGAATTGGCAGAGCAAAGTAGTCAATAACGGAGCGAAGGCTGTAATTCATCTACTTAGAAGGCCTGAATGAAAGTTTGAGAGTTTCTCGCCTCGATGACGCTACGTCAAGACCCACGTCATATAGTTTGAGTCAATGCGCCCTGTTGAATGGTGACCCGCCACACTGCGGAGTTATAAGGAGTTAGAGCGTGGGAAAGATGACTAAGGACTACGTATCCCCTGGATGATATATATCTAGATAGTTCTTCTAGATAGTTCTCTATGATCTTATGAATCCATACTAGATCGTGAATTTCAACAGATTTGGAATCAGAATATCTGAATCACTGTATACCGCCCCATCTACACCAGTAACACATCTACAAGTAGTACAATATGCCTCCCAAGCAAGAGACTTTCGAATTCGTCAATGGTGCTGTCAAACCAGTACTCAACGGCAAGAATTTCTTTGGTTGGCATCAAGCCGTCCTTGACGCTGCCTATGCAGGAGGTTATGTCGATATCCTGCTCAGCAAGTCCAAGAAACCCGTTGATCCATCCATCAGGCGCACCGAGATCACCATCAAGAAAGAGCCGGCAGTGGAGCCCGCTCAAGTCCCTCTCCCAAGTGAGGCAGAAGAGAAGGGAAAGGAAGGTGACGGTGGCAAAAGTGATGAGGATAAGAAAGCGGAGGACAAGAAGGCAGATGATGAAGAGGACGTGATAGAGGTAGATGAGAAGGGCAAAGTAATCAGTATGGATCAGAGGAGGAGGGAATTCTTGCTTTGGGAAAAGCGTAATCAAGAAGCTCTCTCGCTCCTTCTACGATCAGTTGATGAAGCTTTCCATTGGCAAATCAACGGCATGGAACTTGCTTCCGAAGCGTGGTCACTGATTTGTGACGCACACCAGTTTAAACAAGCATCAGTCATTACCGACCTACGAACCGAATTATCCAAGTTCTATCTGTCAGATGGTGGTGACATGCAAGAACATCTACGTCGTTTTGGAACTCTAGTAGAACGTGGGATCAAGTCAGGTCTCCCAGAGTTTGCAACCGACACAGCCCGCTGTGACATACTTGTGGGTTCACTCCCTTATTCACTCAAAGATATCCGTCGTGACTTTCACAATCTTCCATCCGACAAACAAACCTTCCGCGCTCTACATGCAATGTACCTAGAAGAAATGCGTGCAAGAGAAGTCTCAGAAACAAGAGAAAAGGATGCAGCCAGTAATGGAAATATTCTCTATGCAGGAAAAGCTCAGCGTGGACGAGGTGGAGGAAGAGGTAGAGGTGGATTTAGAGGGAGGGGTGGTCGTAACAACGGCGCACCAAAAGAAGAAAAACAACATGGGGGAAAAGGTACAGCTCCTGGTAGTTGTTGGAATTGTGGCAAACCTGGCCACTGGCGGATTGATTGTCCTGAACCGTCAAAGAAAGAAAAGGGTACTGCAGCAACGGCAGCCTGTCACGGCTGTCGAACAACTATCTTCTAGTAGACCGACGGTCGACGAACCTCGGCTAACTTGACGCTTCTAAGTCGATGTCTCACCCAACTAGGAGGGCGCAGACGTCGAAAGGAGTGTAACTACGGCGTACTTCGGCGTAGTTACTTTAACTGAGGTTTTGTTCTACTGATGGCGATGTATCTCGATTGTATATAGCTATCTCTATGTCTTTCACTACTGACAACAATCAAGGATCGCTGAAGAACTTCAGCGATCTTCTCAGCTAATATTATCTACTCCTCCTAGACGTTCATCCAACCCTCTCGCGCTTTGACGTACTTCAACGCACTTCGTCCAACTTCCCCGAGCCCTCGGCCATCCTCTTCCTCCTTCGACTAACTCCGCCTAACATCGCCGCACTTCTGCTCCCATTGTCCCTACTTAGCCTAACTCCGTCTAACTTCGCCGTACTTCTGCTCCCATTGTCCCTACTTAGACTAACTCCGCCTAACATCGCCGCACTTCTGCTCCCATTGTCCCTACTTAGCCTAACTCCGTCTAACTTCGCCGTACTTCTGCTCCCATTGTTCCTACTTAGCCTAACTCCGTCTAACCTCGCCGTACTTGGTGTCAGAAGTCCTGAGTTACGTGTAGAGTAAAGAGGTTAAGGCGTGATGGGGTTTTGATGGCCAAAGGAGGGTCATTGTTGGTGGAGTAATCGAGGTGTCGCGACGTAGTTCGTGACAGTCGCCCCCTTCTTTAGCCGCGAACGTCCTCGTGAGCGATTACACCTCTGTCGTGTCAAGAGAACTTAGCAGCGTAGTACCCCCATTCTCTCCCTCCCCATGACCATCCTTCACCCTTCTGCTCTTTGCGCCGCACTTCGTAGTTGGGCCTCCTTTCACTCCAAAACCCGACAATGAGACTCCCCTAACTTCGTCGAGGTTTGCCGTAAGAAGCCCTGTGTCTTTTGTAGGTGAGACACGCTTCCTGAATGGCAGCCGAACAACACCGTTGTTTGTCGAAGTAACCCTCGCTTATATTGAGATGAGACACTATAGCGTGGGAATTTTGATCGTCCCTGCGATGCCTTTTGTTGATGAAACGCGAAGTTTGCTGCATGTTGACGACGAGGGTTTAGGTTTGATTATACTAAATACTGAGCAGTTCGTCGAGCTTCTCTCTTTTTCCCATCTGCTTTCAAAACTTTCTATCTCTCTTACCTAGAAAACAGATTTGTTACCTTGAATCATCTTTTATTTCTTTAAGTATTTTTAACGTCATGGCCCCTCCTACTCCCACCTCTAACCCTTTCGCCGCCATGAGGAACTTTGGTGGTATGGTGTCGTCTGCTCGTGAGTTATTCCTCGACACTTACCTTACTTCGCCGGACTTGGCTGATGTTCAGTTTCCTTCGGCGACAGATCTCGCCAAGTCTCCTCCCTCGGCCTCGGCACCCTCTCTTTGGGGGAGCCGTCTGGCGATGTCCCGCCTCCTCGCTCCGCTTCTCCTCCCGCCGGTCCTCCCGCTGGTTCTCCCTCTGCTTCTCCTCCTCCTGGTCCTCGCTCTGCTTCCCCTCCTGCCGCCAGTCCTCGCCGCAGGACGCCCGCCTTTCGTCCTGGTGAGTCTCCGTCCTCCTCCGACCAGGAGTCGCTCAGTGGTTCGGAGTCGGACGATCAGTCAGACTTCGAAGGAAAAGGGGGTGATTATAGTGATGAGGATGATAGAATCGTGTCGGAGGGTGAAACCGAGTTAGAGGAACACTCGGATGATGATATGGTGGCGGTTAGTGTAGAGGACAACAACGTAGATAGTCCTGAGCGTGAGTTCTTCGTCCAACCTCTCACACCTTCGCCGAACTTGGCCTTGTTTATCTGTTCTTTAGCTCTTCAAGACATTGCTAACTCGCAGCCGCTCCTGCCCCTCCCCCTGCTCAAATTGTGGGCCAGAAACGACGCCGTTCCCTCTCCTCTTCTTCTTCTTCCTCTTCTTCTTCTTCCTCTTCTTCTTCCTCTTCCGGGGTTCTCCCCCCCCCCAACGCCATCGCCGCTGCCGCCGCTGCTGCCGCTGCTGCCGCCGCCGCCGCCGCCGCCGGTCCTGCTGCCGCCGCCCCCGTCGCTGCTCCCCCCCCTTCTCCCAGAGGGGAGCCTTCGCCCAAACGGGTGAAGAGATCACTGCGGGAAGAAGAGTACTTGTGGGAGAAGATGAAGTCCGAGCCTGGTCGTTGGATCGCGGTTGGTGTTGACGAAGCGTGTGATCGTTGCCGGTGAGTCCACCTATTCGTACTACGCCGAAGTTACTCCTGCTAATTAGTAGACGTGAGATTATCACGTATAATCGTCCAAACTGGCCCTGCCTCAAGGCAGTCAGGCCACACAACAAGGCCCTCCGTTGTGCTTCATGCACGTCTGGCCCCTGCTCCTTCTGTCCCGTTTCCTCTGCCCGGGACATCCCGCCCCGTCCCTTCGACGCTTCTCCTCTCCCCCCTCCCCAGACTCCAGCGTCTGTCCCCCGGTCGCGGGTACCTCCTTCGTCTCTCCGGTCGGTTCGCCGTACTTCGCCGGACCTCCGCCCGTCGCCTCCGTCGCCGTCGCCCTTCGCCCCTGTGGCCGGCCCATCACGTCTCCCGGCTGTTCCTCCTTCGTCTTCTCGCCGTCCTTCGGCCTCTGCTCCTTCGGCCTCCCGTCCTTCGGCCTCTCGTCCTTCGGCGCCACATCCGTCCTCTCCAGTGGTAGCTTCTCCTCCGGCTCACAGCACCCGAAGTCGGCGTCCTTCTGTTCCTCTGGCCACTTCGGCGGCCCCTCCCGTCACCCCTCCCTCTGCTTCCCAGAAGACACCGAAGTCTTCTTTAAAGAAATCAAAAGGGAAATCTAAAGAGAAGGAGGTTGCCTTCAATGATGGCGATGTGGAAAATGAAGATACTCAGCGTGCTGGTCCCTCTGCTCCCCGGTTGTCCCTCGTCCACCCTCGTATCTCCCTGGACGTCCGTATTCCTGAGGACGAAAAGGAATTCGCCACTTATCGTTCTCTCGTCCTCGGTCTCACTACTCAGCTTGAGGCCGCCCGAAATGATACATCTCTCCTGCTTGACTTCTCTTCTCGTCAAGCTAACGCTTTAAACAATCTCACTGCGGCGTTAGTAGATGTAGTCAACACTGGGGCTCTGGACGACGAAGCAAGGACAAGGTTAGCGGACGTCTCTCGCCGAAGCCTTACTGAGATAGCCGATGTTCGCCGAAGACTGTTCGACACCCCCTTCCTAGTCACTCCTATGGCGTATGAGCCACCACCGTCCCTTGACTGGTTAGGTCGTCGTAGTAGTTCTCGTGTCCCAGCTTCCGCCCAGACTGCTCTCGACCTCCTCAGTCTTCCCTTCGAGTGTCTACGGACCATACGTTCTCTGTGGAGGACCCCGAGCATGCAAGCTGCTCGAGATGTCCAGGACTTCGGTGACTTCTTTGGGGCTATGAATCGGGCATGGAATGCTTCTCTCTCTACTGCGTTCCCGTCTGAGACTCTCGATCTACCTTCGGTCATCGGTAGCCTCCACACCAATCCCGCGGGACCGAGTAGATCGAAGGAGAAAGGAAAAGGAAAAGGTAAGGGTAAGAGTAAGGACAAGTGAGCGGTACGTAGCTGTAATCCTATGTTGTATGCAGTACGTTCTATCTCCTAGCCCTTCGCAGTCGCCCTTCCTTCGGCTTAGTAGGGTGAAGTTCGTGGAACTTCGCCAATATGTCGTCAGCTCCATCGACGTTCTCCACTGGTTCCCATGATACTGAGTCGTCTGTTCCTTCGTAACCTAACCACTCCACCAAGTACTCTAACTTTCCTGATCTCTTATTTACTCTAGAGTCTACAATGTCTTTTACCTCCCACGATTCCCCTACATTATCTACCTCTACTGGGCCAGGTGGTTCAGCTTGCTGACCAGGAAATATTGGAGGGTGATAAGGACGGAGCAAGGAGACATGGAATACATCATGGATACCTGCCATCGTTCCTGGTAATTCCAATTTACAAGCATGAGAACCTACCTGCCGTACTACCTTGTACGGCCCACTTTGCTTAACATCTAACTTCTTCATTGGTCTCTTCGTCTTAATATTCTCTAACGACAGCATCACTAGGTCTCCTTCCGCGAAGTTCGGCGTAGTCCGGTGTTTCCTATTGTATCCTTCGGCGTACTTCTCATTAGCTTTCTCAATTCCTTCGATACAATCTTTGTGTATTTCAGTCAAGTCTTTTACCACCACCGTAGCAGCGGGCACTTCGACCTCGCTAGCCTTTATCTCTTCAGCCCAACGAGGGTGATATCCATAGTTCGCATAGAATGGGGTTTTGTTTATCGCAGAGTGCTGGGTGTTGTTGTGAGCAAAGCTAGCTCGAGCGAGTAGCTTTGACCAGTCGTTCTGCTGATAGGAGGTGAAGATTCGAAGATACAGTTCCAAAGACTGGTTGGTTCGTTCGGTCTGTCCGTCAGTCTGTGGATGATATGCAGTAGAGAGATGTAGTCTTATTCCGAGACTATCGGTCAAATTCTTCCAGAACTTGGAGGTAAACTTCGATCCCCTGTCCGATACTATATTCTCTGGCAACCCATGCTGGGCCACCACATAGTCCAATATCAACTCTGATAGGCCGGCTGCGGTTAACTTCGTCGTAGTCGGGATAAAAATGGCCCATTTGGTCAACCGATCCACCACTACCAGGATGGAATTATATCCATGGGAATTTGGCAGCTCCTCGATAAAATCCATCGAGATGCTAGACCAAGGTTTCGTAGCTACCTCCAGTGGTTTAAGCTCCCCATGAGGTTTCTGCCTGTTAGTCTTCGCTCTCTGACATACCGCGCATCCAGCAACATAATCTTCGACCTCCTTCCTTACTCCAACCCAGACATAATCCCTCAGGACTAGTTCAAGGGTCTTCGCCGAACCTGGATGACCGGCCAAGGCTGAGTCATGTCGCATCTTCATGATCTTCAGCCGAGCATCGGCGTAGTTCGGCACATAAATGCGATCGTCGAATGTGAGGAAACCTCTTGAGTTCCACCCCCCACGAAGGATTAGAGGAGACCGCGAACTACGGCGTAGTTCGGTGATTGATCCTGGTTCCTGCACGTTATCGTTACACGTAGGATGAGAACACTCAGCGCAAACGACTCCTAATAATTCTTCTCTGACCCCTTCTATGTCTTCGTCCTCCTGAACTCCAAGTACTAGATCCATAGGGTCCACAAGATCATTTTCCTTTACCTCCCTTGTCCCTTGCAATGCTCGAAGGAGGTGACGCAACTCCGACGTGGTGGCGTCAACTTCGTCGAACTTCGGCAGACCTTGGATAAGGTTGCTCTCTTGTACCATGGTACTTCCTTTCCCGGAATGATAGTCCGCCCGTCTAGATAATCCATCTGGAAGACTTGCCTGGGTTCCTGGCCGATAAACCATTTTAAACCTGAAGTTAGCTAGCTCCTCTACCCACCTACCTTGCCGAGGACTGAGTTGTTTCGGTTCCATCCAGTAGGTAAGGTTTAGATGGTCGGTAAGTACTGTGGTTTCTACCTGCAATAATAAGTGTCTCCTTCTTCTGAAACCCTCCACTACAGCGAGGAACTCCTTTTCTCCTACCGTATAATTCAGTTGAGCTGTGTTGAAAGCACCAGACTCAATAGCTACCGGGTGTTCTTGACCAGCCGTGTTGATCTGCGAAATTATGAACCCCCAGCCGAAGAACGACGCATCTGTCTGTAATATCGTCTTCAATGTAGGGTCAAAATGGGCTAACACCGGCGCAGTACACATCCTAGCCTTCAACTCTTTGAAGGCTGACTCCTGTTCGACTCCCCATACAAATGGTACCTCCTTCCTTGTCAAGTCATTGATAGGTCTAGCAATCTTCGAGAAGTTGGGGACAAAGCGCCTGTAGTAGCTTACAACTCCAATGAATCCCCTTGACTCTCGTAGATTCTTAGGACGTGGGAAGGAAGTGATGGCATCAATGTATTCTGGGTTCACCGATACACCTTTAGAGGATACCACGAAACCCAGAAACACCACCGAATCTCTTTCGAACTCGCACTTACTAGCTTTCACGTACAGGCTCGCCTTCCGCAGTACCTCAAAGACCTTCGCCGTAGTTCCTCGTAATTCCTCCAACGTATTCCCATAAATGAGGATATCGTCAATGTAGACCACGACTCCATTCCCTAGTAGCTCTCTAAACACCTCATTTAGGAAGTGTTGGAAGACCGCGGGGGCGTTTCGCAGCCCATCACGAACAACCAGAGATTCAAACATACCATACTGTGTCCTGAACGCCGTCAGGTGTTCATGTCCCTCTGTCACCCTCAACAATTGGTATGCTCCAATTAGATCTAGTTTGCTGAAATACCTTGCTTTTCCAAGTTCCTCAGTAATTTGACCTATTAGAGGGAGAGGGTAGGCATCTGGTATGGTCGCTTCGTTCAGTTTTCGATAGTCGATGACCATTCGCCATTGTCCTTCGGCTTTCTTCGGTATCATAAACATTGGTGAGCCGTATGGCGAGTTACTTGCCCGAATTCGGCCAGCGGCGATTTCGCGATCTAGTATGTCTCTCAGCGCGCGTCTCTGATCTTCTCCTTGAGCATAGAGGGAGGCGACCTTAAGGTTCGCCCCCTCCTTAAGCTCAAACTTCAAATCGTAGGACCTTGAAGGGGGAAGGGTCTCTCCTCCCTTCTTCGGATTAAAAACGTCAATGTACTGGTGGTATTGTTCAGGAACTACCTGGAACAACTCGTCTTGTTCCTCCGGGCTCAGCTCTTCAAGCTCATCTTCGCCGCGGAGGTCTATCGCGTCCGTCGGAGTCGGCAGCCCTATGGCCGCTAACTTCGCCGCACTTGGTGGGGTTGGAATGGGAAATTTCACCGAGTTGTCTCTTCCATCAAGGACAACCCCTTCCTTCCTCATCCAATCCCACCCTATCACAACATCTGCGTCGCAGAGCGTTGTTACATCGAGACAAACAGATCGCACTTCGGCGTCCTTCGTCAAACTAAATCCGACTTCGACAAACTCGGTGATGGGTCCAGCGACACTCACCGAGCCGTCGAACATGTGAACGGGTACGCTCACCTGATATCGCCTCTTGTCTACACCTATCTTCGCTGCCGCCCTAGGGCTTATATATGAACAAGTAGCTCCAGTGTCCCAGAGCGTAGTTAGCTTTATTCCATTAATGAAAATGTCCGATTTAGGTTGATCTCTGGAAACGGAAGGGATGAGGAGATGATTATCGACATTGCATGAACAAGGGGTACTGAGTGGTGTATTTTTGTATTCACAATCCTCTGGCTCCATCAGCTGTGTTTCTTTTATGGGTTTGGGAATGGTGGCCGAGAGAATATGGCGGACCCGCCGAGCCTCGCCTACTGCGACAGGTCCTCTTCTTTTCCCTGGTCCTCTTCCAAATCTACTTCTCCTCCAACCGCATTCAAGTTCCTCCTCTGTCCGAGAGGTACTGCGTTCCCTCCCGATCCTCCACCACGTTCTCCGAACTTCCCCCCCCATGGAGGCAACAGTCCAACCTTAACCTTAGCCTCCCTTACAGGGCATTCCTTCAGCCAATGTCCTGCTTCACCACACTCGGTACACTTCCCCTCCTTCCTCCTTGTCTCCCTCAGATCGGAGCTCGGCCTAGGCCATCTTCGGCGAACTTCGTCGATGTTTGGCGGTGTACTCTTTACCACCGTCGACATCATAGCCGCCTGGACACCACCCTGCGCCGAAGGTTGCCCCTTTTCCCATTTCTTCTCTTCTTTCTTCTCTGTCCTCTGACTTTCCACCACTGTCGTTGTCCTTATCCCTCCTTCCCTTTTCCTCTCTGCCTCCTTCTCCACTTGTCTCCTCCACAGGCGGTTGTCCAAGGGAATCACAAACTCCAATAGCTCTTTCACAGTCCCAAACGATCTACCGTGTCTTGCAATTTCATCTAGGAGGTGCGATTTTAGTCCTTTCTTGGCTCGGTCAACTAGGTTTCCATCATCAGACCACTTAAGAATCGCAACATGTCGCTGGAAGGCGGAGAAGTAGTCCGAAGCAGACCCGGTTTGCTTGAGGTCGTTAAGTTGTCGGGCCGCAGTTCCTTCTTCGTCTGGATCACCAAAGTTAGTCTTGAGGTACTCAGGAAGAGGTCTTTTGGATAGATCGGGCTGCACTGCAAGAAGAGGTGTTTCGCGTAGATGAGAGATCATGAAAAAGACTTTCTTAGTGTCGTCGGGGAAAAGATGAGAGTTCAATTCGAAATGTACGTCGCACTCAGACAGAAAGGCGGTTAACTTGTTCCGATCTCCTCTCCAGAGGTCTGGGTTAGGTAGCTTTATCCCCTTCCGTTGTTCGCCCACTACGCTTGGGGTCGCCGAAGTTTGCCGTCCCATGGCGTACCTCACTCCTTCTGATATCCCTTCTGCAATCCCGCCCACTGTATCCCTTTCTCTTCTCTGTTCCCATTCCTCCCTACGCCTTCTCTCCTCCATCATGTCTTTGTTCATATTCGCCACCATCTGCATCAAGGCCAACACCACCCCTTGTGTTCCTTCTTCTCCCAAGTTCGCCGTACTTCCAGTGTTTTCTCTTGGGCGTGGGGTTTGGTCTGATCCAAGTGGGGATCCCGCAGGTGGGAGAGCATTAGACGGAGGAGAAGGAGGGTTAGAAGGCACCGGTGGAACGAACTCATCTCCTTGAATTGATCCCCCCACACTATCCTCCACTCCAAGGTCCTGCCCCATTGCTCTGCTAAGCTCCTCCAATGCTCTCCTCTCGTTCTCTTCCATCCTGTCTCCATCCCTACTCATGCCTCGCGTAACTCTCCTTTCTGGTTCCATAATATCTTCGTACTTCTCCGAGGTTCGCACGGGTCGTCGGTAAGAGCGATCCTTGATACTGTCACGGCTGTCGAACAACTATCTTCTAGTAGACCGACGGTCGACGAACCTCGGCTAACTTGACGCTTCTAAGTCGATGTCTCACCCAACTAGGAGGGCGCAGACGTCGAAAGGAGTGTAACTACGGCGTACTTCGGCGTAGTTACTTTAACTGAGGTTTTGTTCTACTGATGGCGATGTATCTCGATTGTATATAGCTATCTCTATGTCTTTCACTACTGACAACAATCAAGGATCGCTGAAGAACTTCAGCGATCTTCTCAGCTAATATTATCTACTCCTCCTAGACGTTCATCCAACCCTCTCGCGCTTTGACGTACTTCAACGCACTTCGTCCAACTTCCCCGAGCCCTCGGCCATCCTCTTCCTCCTTCGACTAACTCCGCCTAACATCGCCGCACTTCTGCTCCCATTGTCCCTACTTAGCCTAACTCCGTCTAACTTCGCCGTACTTCTGCTCCCATTGTCCCTACTTAGACTAACTCCGCCTAACATCGCCGCACTTCTGCTCCCATTGTCCCTACTTAGCCTAACTCCGTCTAACTTCGCCGTACTTCTGCTCCCATTGTTCCTACTTAGCCTAACTCCGTCTAACTTCGCCGTACTTGGTGTCAGAAGTCCTGAGTTACGTGTAGAGTAAAGAGGTTAAGGCGTGATGGGGTTTTGATGGCCAAAGGAGGGTCATTGTTGGTGGAGTAATCGAGGTGTCGCGACGTAGTTCGTGACACAGCCCGTGAGAAGAAGGGAGAGAAGGGAGTACCAATGGCAATGGCTACGTATGTGTCACGGGCGGGGTCTTATCCCCAAAGGGTAAGCAAGGTGACTGAGATGGGGCTGTAACCCAATACTTGTCTCGGGCTCGTAGAGCTTGAGGAGTATACAGAGGTTGACAAGGGACTGAGGGAACTGAGGGAACTGAGGGAACTGCAAGATGTCAGGCTGGATCTGACTGGACTGACAAGTTGAGAATGAGATTCAACATGAGATTCATAGGTGGGGAACAACCTGTTTGGAGGGGGTTTATATCCACAGCAAAACAGGCTGAACTGCAAAACTACAACAATAAGCTACGGAAGAACTGCTAAACATATTTGCAATTCTCATCAAGAGAATTGGCAATCCTGACATGTGAAACTAAGAACAATAGGCAAAGGACCCAGGGGTCCAGGGGTAACTGTTACAGGTTCATGGGTGCGACAAGGAACAATTAGCAGAGGACACAGGAGTCCAGGGGTAAGTGTGTCAAGCATGTGAACACAAAGGGGAACAATAGATTAAGAGCACAGGGGTTCAGGGGTAGGTGTTTCAAGTGTGGGAGTGTAAGAGATGACAATAGGGATTGTTGATGGAGATCAAGAACAATAAACCTAAGCCAAAGGGGGTCAGGGGAAGTGTTCCAGATGTGTTTCAAGTGTGGGAACACGGGAAAAGACTATCTTAGGTGGCAAGTAGGTGATGTATGACAGTATGAAGGGTGGCAACTGTCACGGCCGTCGAGCAACTTCTTCCTAATAGACCGACGGTCGACGAACCTCGGCTAACTTCACGCTTCTGAGTCGATGTCTCACCCAACCAGGAGGGCGCAGACATCGAAAGGAGTGTAACTACGGCGTACTTCGGCGTAGTTACTCTAACTAAGGCTTTGTTCTATTGATGGCGATGTATCCCGATGTATAGCTATCTCTATTTGTCTTTTACTACTGACAACAATCAAGGATCGCTGAAGAACTTCAGCGATCTTCTCAGCTAATATTATCTACTCCTCCTAGACGTTCATCCAACCCTCTCGCGCTTTGACGTACTTCAACGCACTTCGTCCAACTTCCCCGAGCCCTCGGCCATCCTCTTCCTCCTTCGACTAACTCCGCCTAACATCGCCGCACTTCTGCTCCCATTGTCCCTACTTAGCCTAACTCCGCCTAACATCGCCGCACTTCTGCTCCCATTGTCCCTACTTAGCCTAACTCCGCCTAACATCGCCGCACTTCTGCTCCCATTGTTCCTACTTAGCCTAACTCCGCCTAACATCGCCGCACTTCTGCTCCCATTGTCCTTACTTAGCCTAACTCCGTCTAACTTCGCCGTACTTGGTGTCAGAAGTCCTGAGTTACGTGTAGAGTAAAGAGGTTAAGGCGTGATGGGGTTTTGATGGCCAAAGGAGGGTCATTGTTGGTGGAGTAATCGAGGTGTCACGACGTAGTTCGTGACAGCAACTGCTTCAGCAGTACGATGAAAAACACAACGAGTCAACCTGGGTGGTTGACACCGGCGCCACTCATCACCTCACATACGACAAATCCCTCCTCTCTGATATCCTTCCTCTCACAATCCCTATGATCCTAAACGGAGTATCTGAAAATGGAACTCTCACCGCTAAACATTCCGGCACTGTCCTCAGCATAACCCCTTCCGGCAAGGTCTTCAAAATTAGTGACGTCCATTATGTTCCCGGTGGAAAGATAAACCTCTTATCACCAAATGTCATTATGAATAAAGGATGGACTGTTAGTTTTATGCCTTCTGGAGGAGAAATCAAGGGTCATGGACAGGTGTTTAAGATGAAGCGTATGGGAAGTTTGTGGGTGGTACATCTACCACGCCATAAAGTAGAAGAGGGCTCTGCACTAGCGTCATCTGGTGAAATCCCTATACCAAGCAAGACATTGAAGGATTGGCACGAGTCGTTGGGACATGTTGGAGTTACGTCAATGAAGAAGCTCGAAAAAGCAAATCTACTCAAGATTGAACCAACAGAACCACCATTTACAGGAGATCAATGTGACGTCTGTATTATCAGCAAATCAACCCGTCTATCATTTACCGATGTTCCTGTTCGTGCAACAAAACCTCTTGAAATCCTTCATTGTGATCTCGCTGGTCCGCTCCAATTATCATATCAAGGATCAAAGTACTATCTCAGTATAGTGGATGACTTCACAAAACTAGTCGTCTGTATGGCTCTCCAGAACAAGGGAGAAGCGACACAATGTATGATACTCGCCGTCAAGAGATTAGAAAACATTGCCGAAGCAAAAGTCAAGATCATACGTACCGACGGCGGTTTAGAATTTTCAGGTGGAGTTTGGGATAGATTCATTGGAGATAATGGAATCATCCATCAAGTAACCACACCGTATACACCTCAACTCAATGGAGTTGCAGAAAGAATGAACCGTACTCTAAAGGAGATGGTTGGAGCACTCCTACGTCAAAGTGGACTAGGAATGAAGTTTTGGCAGTACGCACTCTTTCATGCGAGTGGTATGCTAAATAGGTGCAGGGTTAGAGAAGACGGTGTTACTGTCTATGAACAATTCTTCAGACGTAAACCCAACCTTGCAGATCTCCACCCATTTGGTTCCAATGTCTATGTCCATATTCCATCTCAAGTACGTGGAGGAAAGGCAGAGTTGACTCTTCCAAAAGCTTGGAAAGGTAGACTTGTAGGTCTCCCATTTACGTCAGCTGGATATATTGTGTGGAATCCTGTCACGGACAGTTTCACAAATACTAGAGACGTGGTCTTCCCAAGGCAGGGGGGATCACAGTTGGAGAATGTGGTAGACGTGGAAAAGGATGCTGGAAGTGATGTAGAGAAGGACGGTGGTACGGAGAGGCAGGCAATAGGTCAGCCAGAGGAGGCTGAGGACGACATTCCCCCTCCTGAAACAACAACAACTCGTACTCCTCCTCTCACCCCAGAATCAACAACACCTCCAGTCCGTTCCACTACTCCTATCCCGTCAGAACTTACTCCAGTTGAAGACGTACAAGAAAAAGAACAATCTGTAGTTGAAGAACCTCAACAGCCTGTAGATCCAAGCGAGGATGCAACAGGAGAAACAGAAGAACAAGAATTGCCTGTACAACAAGCAATTGAACCACGTAGATCAACACGTCAAAGAAAACCAAGAATTCTACTTCTTGAAGGACCTCAGCTCATTAGTAGTGACGAGCAAGAAGAGGGATGGGTGTTGACAGTACAAGGAAGTATCTTAGATAATGACCCAAAGACATATGAGGAAGCTATACGCTCTCCATTAGCTAAGGAATGGAAAAAGGCTATGGATCTAGAATTAGGAAGCATTCAGAAAGCGGAGACGTGGGAGGACACGGTTGCTCCAGCAGAGAGAACTCTTGTTGGAAGCAAGTGGGTATTCAAGACCAAGCGTGATCAACATGGTGCCATTCTCAAGTACAAAGCTCGTGTTGTTGCGAAGGGATATTCTCAGATCCCTGGTCAAGACTTTGATGAAACCTATTCCCCTGTTGCTCGACTCACTTCTCTTCGTATATTCCTCACTCTTGTTGCTCAAGAAGATTTAGAACTAGGTCAAATGGACGTTGTATCAGCTTTCTTAAATGGTAAACTCGATAAACCAATCTTCATGCAAAGCCCGCCAGGATATAAATTGAAGAAAGGTTGTGATAGCGTCAAACTACACAAGGCATTATATGGTTTGAAGCAAGCAGGACGGACATGGTGGGAAGCATTGGATGAACATCTTCAGACGCTTGGATTCCGTCGTACAGCTCAAGATTGGGGTGTGTACCGCTTCACAGGAAAGAAGAAAGCATATATTATTGCGTATGTTGATGATCTCCTCATTGCAGCTGAAGATATCAACACGGTCAATCTTATCAAAGAAGAACTCTCTCAAAGGTGGGAGATGACCGACGCTGGAGAACCTCAATTCATGTTAGGATTGAAGATTACAAGAAACCGTTCAGAACGTACAATATGTCTTACGCAGACAGCTTATATTGATACGCTACTAGAAAAGTATGGTCTTACCAACGTACGACCTGTTATCACTCCTTTTGATTCAAAAACAAAGCTTCAAGCAAATGGTCTAGCCTGCAAGGAAGGTATTACACGTTATCAACAACTAGTTGGAAGTTTGATGTGGACAGCTATAACCACACGACCCGACCTTGCTTATGCAGCTGGCGTACTCAGTCGCTATTGTGCAGATCCCACTGAAGCAGCGTGGGATGCTGGAATCCATGTCCTCAAGTATCGTAGAGGTACACGTACCCACAGATTAGTATTAGGTGGGAAAGGGGGGACAAAGTTATTGGAAGCATGGAGTGATGCCGACTGGGCTGGAGACTTAGACGATCGTAAATCAACAAGCGGATATGTTGTCAAATATCACGGATCAACAGTCAGTTGGGGAACGGTGAAACAAAAAGGTGTAGCATTGTCTACGACCGAATCAGAGTATATGGCTCTGACAGAAACAATCAAAGACGTAACATGGGTTCTCAGTATTCTCAACGAGTTTGGAATCAAGACAGAAACATTCCTTCCTGTTCTTATTCATTGCAACAATCAGTCGGCAATAGCTCTCTCAAACAATCCCGGTCATCATAAAAGCAGTAAACATATAGATCTCCGATATCATTTCATCCGTGATCACGTCTGTCACGAAGTGACAAGTCAGTTTGGTTAGAGTTGGATGGGTTGGGTATTTAACCAGCGACCGGCGGTTACGATTAACCACCGGTTAATAGGCCTTTTAGCACAGTGGTTTAGACCGCTGCCTCTGAAGGGCACTGTTATATCGTCCCAATGCTGGTTAGTTGGTCTCGTGACAGATTAACCGGCGGTTACGGGTAGGGTCCTGGGTTCGACTCCCAGACAGAGCTGGGGTAACCCAGACCTACTTGGAAAACCTCCCGAGAGTTGGAGTAAGTTTTCGGCCTATCGTGCCCATCCCTGTTGGGGCCCCAGATGGGGCTGAAAGGGAAGGCATAATGTCACGAAGTGACAAGTCAGTTTGGTTAGAGTTGGATGGGTTGGGTATTTAACCAGCGACCGGCGGTTACGATTAACCACCGGTTAATAGGCCTTTTAGCACAGTGGTTTAGACCGCTGCCTCTGAAGGGCACTGTTATATCGTCCCAATGCTGGTTAGTTGGTCTCGTGACAACGTCGAACAAGAAAAGATCAAGTTGGAATATGTGGAGACAGAGCTCCAAGAAGCAGACATCTTCACAAAATCAGTGGGTGGAACAGCACATTGGAGACACGCAGAAAATATTGGGATTAGACCAGAGAAAGTAGTCACGGAAAGCGGCACGGCTGCAGTAGTGACATACGGAACAGTTCTCGTGGTAATGGGGACAAAGAATAAGATGTGGCGTAAACATAAGAAACAACGTAAAGGATGTTGGAACTGTGGAGAAGAAGGTCATTATCGTCATGATTGTCCACACGCAAAGGTGGAAGAAAATCATAGTCCAACGGAAGACGAAACAACAACACACTCAACCGTGATGACACACAAGAAAACAATTGAACAAGACGGAACGTCATTGTCGATACGTGTCGTAGTAAAAACTCCAAAAGAAAAGGAAAGTGTCAGGGCCGTCGAACAACTATTTCTTAATAGACCGACGGTCGACGAACCCCGGCTAACTTCACGCTCTGAGTCGATGTCTCACCCAACCAGGAGGGCGCAGACGTCGAAAGGGGTGTAACTACGGCGTACTTCGGCGTAGTTACTCTAACTAGGGTTTTGTTCTACTGATGGCGATGTATCTTGATTTATAGCTATCTCTATCGGTCTTTCACTACTGACAACAATCAAGGATCGCTGAAGAACTTCAGCGATCTTCTCAGCTAATATGACCTATCCCTCCTAGACGTTCATCCAACCCTCCCGCGCTTTGACGTACTTCAACGCACTTCGTCCAACTTCCCCGAACCCCGGCCATCCTCCTCCTCCTTCGACTAACTCCGCCTAATATCGCCGCACTTCTGCTCCCATTGTCCCTACCTAGCCTAACTCCGCCTAACTTCGCCGCACTTCTGCTCCCATTGTCCCTATTTACCCTAACTTCATCTAACTTTGCCGTCCTTGGTCTCAGAGGTCCTGAGTTACGTGTAGAGTAAAGAGGTTTGAGTCGTGATGGGGTTTTGATGGTCAAAGGAGGGTCGTTGTTGGTGGAATAATCGAGGTGTCACGACGTAGTTCGTGACAGTCGCCCCCTTCTTTAGCCGCAAACGTCCTCGTGAGCGATTACACCCGTACTGTGGGAAGAAAACTTAGCAGCGCAGTACCTCCATCCTATCTTCCTCCAATTCTATCCCTCGTCCTTCTGCTCCCCGCGCCGTACTTCGTAGTTGAGCCTCCTTCCACTTTGAAACCCGAGAGTGAGACTCCCCTAACTTCGTCGAGGTCTGCCGTAAGAGCCCCTGTGTCTTTTGTAGGTGAGACACGTTTCCCAGACGGTAGCCGAACAACACCGTTGTTTGTCGAAGTAACCCTTGTTTATATTGAGATGAGACACTATAGCGTGGGAATTTTGATCGTCCCTGTGTTGCCTTTTGTTGATGAAACGCGAAGGATGCCGCATGTTGACGACGGAGGGGTAACTCGAGTTATACTAAATACTGAGCAGTTCATCGTCCTTCTCTCTCTTCCCCATCTGTTTTCAAAACTTTCTATCTCTCGCACTTAGAAAACGGATTTGTTACCTCGACGTATCATCTTTTATTTCTTTAAGTATTTTTAACGTCATGGCCCCTCCTACTCCCACCTCTAACCCTTTCACCGCCATGAGGAACTTTGGTGGTATGGTGTCGTCTGCTCGTGAGTTATTCCTCGACACTTACCTTACTTCGCCGGGCTTGGCTGATGTTCAGTTTCCTTAGGCGACAGATCTCGCCAAGTCTCCTCCCTCGGCCTCGGCGCCCTCTCTTTGGGGGAGCCGTCTGGCGATGTCCCGCCTCCTCGCTCCGCTTCTCCTCCCGCCGGTCCTCCCGCTGGTTCTCCCTCTGCTTCTCCTCCTCCTGGTTCTCGCTCTGCTTCCCCTCCTGCCGGTTCTCGCTCTGCTTCCCCTCCTGCCGGTTCTCGCTCCGCTTCTCCTCCTGCTGGTTCCCGCTCGGCTTCTCCTCCTGCCGCCACCCCTCGCCGCATGACGCCCGCCTTTCGTCGTGGAGAATCCCCGTCCTCCTCCGACCAGGAGCCGCTCAGTGGTTCAGAGTCGGACGATCAGTCAGACTCCGAAGGAAATGGGGGTGATGATGATGATGAGGATGATAGAATCGTGTCCGAGGGTGAGACCGAGTTAGAGGAACACTCGGATGATGATATGGTGGCGGTTAGTGTAGAGGACAACGATGGTGATAGTCCCGAGTGTGAGTTCTTCGCACATCCTCCTACACCTTCGCCGAACTTGGCCTCGTTTATCTGTTCTTCAGCTTCCTAAGGCACTGCTGACTCATAGTCGTTCGCGTTTCCCCCCCTGCCCAAATCGTGGGCCAGAAACGACCTCGTGCCCTCTCCTCCTCTTCCTCTTCTTCTTCTTCTTCTTCCGGGGTTCTCCCCCCCGCCAACGCCATCGCCGCCGCTGCCTCTGCTGCTGCTCGCCGCCCTGTTGCCGCTGCTCGTCCCGCCGTCGTTCCCCGTCCCGCTGTCGCCGCCGCCGCTCCTGTTGCCGCCGCCGCCGCCGCTGCTGCTCCCCCCTCTTCTCCCCGAGGGGAGCCTTCGCCCAAACGGGCGAAGAGGTCATTGCGTGAAGAAGAGTATTTGTGGAAGAAGTTGGAGTCTGAGCCTGGTCGTTGGGTTGCGGTTGGTGTCGATGAGGCGTGCGATCGTTGCAGGTGAGTTCCCCTATTCGTACTTCGCCTAAGTTCTCCTTGCTAATAGGTAGACGTGAGATCATCACGTATAATCGTCCGAACTGGCCCTGCCTCAAGGCAGTCCGGCCACACAACAAGGCCCTCCGTTGTGCTTCATGCACATCTGGTCCCTGCTCCTTCTGTCCCGTCTCCTCTGCTCGGGACATCCCCCCCCGTCCCTCCGACTCTTCGCCTTTCCCCCCTCCTCAGACTCCAGCGTCTGTCCCCCGGTCGCGGGTACCTCCTTCGTCTCTCCGGTCGGTTCGCCGTACTTTGCCGGACCTCCGCCCGTCGCCTCCGTCGCCGTCGCCCTTCGCTCCTGTGGCCGGCCCATCACGTCTCCCGGCTGTTCCTCCTTCGTCTTCTCGCCGTCCTTCGGCCTCTGCTCCTTCGGCCTCCCGTCCTTCGGCCTCTCGTCCTTCGGCGCCACGTCCGTCCTCTCCAGTGGTAGCTTCTCCTCCGGCTCACAGCACCCGAAGTCGGCGTCCTTCTGTTCCTCCGGCCACTTCGGCGGCCCCTCCCGTCACCCCTCCCTCTGCTTCCCAGAAGACACCGAAGTCTTCTTTAAAGAAATCAAAAGGGAAATCTAAAGAGAAGGAGGTTGCCTTCAATGATGGTGATGTGGAAGGTGAAGATACTCAGCGTGTTGGTCCCTCTGCTCCCCGGTTGTCCCTCGTCCACCCTCGTATCTCCCTGGACGTCCGTATTCCTGAGGACGAAAAGGAATTCACCACTTATCGTTCTCTCGTCCTCGGTCTCACTACTCAGCTCGAGGCCGCCCGAAATGATACATCTCTCCTGCTTGACTTCTCTTCTCGTCAAGCTAACGCTTTAAACAATCTCACTGCGGCGTTAGTAGATGTAGTCAACACTGGGGCTCTGGACGACGGAGCAAGGACGAGGTTAGCGGACGTCTCTCGCCGAAGCCTTACTGAGATAGCCGATGTTCGCCGAAGACTGTTCGACACCCCCTTCCTAGTCACTCCTATGGCGTATGAGCCACCACCGTCCCTTGACTGGTTAGGTCGCCGTAGTAGTTCTCGTGTCCCAGCTTCCGCCCAGACTGCTCTCGACCTCCTCAGTCTTCCCTTCGAGTGTCTACGGACCATACGTTCTCTGTGGAGGACTCCGAGCATGCAAGCTGCTCGAGATGTCCAGGACTTCGGTGACTTCTTCGGGGCTATGAATCGGGCATGGAATGCTTCTCTCTCTACTGCGTTCCCGTCTGAGACTCTCGATCTACCTTCGGTCATCGGTAGCCTCCACACCAATCCCGCGGGACCGAGTAGATTCGTCCACCCTCGTATCTCCCTGGACGTCCGTATTCCTGAGGACGAAAAGGAATTCACCACTTATCGTTCTCTCGTCCTCGGTCTCACTACTCAGCTCGAGGCCGCCCGAAATGGATACATCTCTCCTGCTTGACTTCTCTTCTCGTCAAGCTAACGCTTTAAACAATCTCACTGCGGCGTTAGTAGATGTAGTCAACACTGGGGCTCTGGACGACGGAGCAAGGACGAGGTTAGCGGACGTCTCTCGCCGAAGCCTTACTGAGATAGCCGATGTTCGCCGAAGACTGTTCGACACCCCCTTCCTAGTCACTCCTATGGCGTATGAGCCACCACCGTCCCTTGACTGGTTAGGTCGCCGTAGTAGTTCTCGTGTCCCAGCTTCCGCCCAGACTGCTCTCGACCTCCTCAGTCTTCCCTTCGAGTGTCTACGGACCATACGTTCTCTGTGGAGGACTCCGAGCATGCAAGCTGCTCGAGATGTCCAGGACTTCGGTGACTTCTTCGGGGCTATGAATCGGGCATGGAATGCTTCTCTCTCTACTGCGTTCCCGTCTGAGACTCTCGATCTACCTTCGGTCATCGGTAGCCTCCACACCAATCCCGCGGGACCGAGTAGATCGAAGGAGAAAGGAAAAGGAAAAGGTAAGGGTAAGAGTAAGGACAAGTGAGCGGTACGTAGCTGTAATCCTATGTTGTATGCAGTACGTTCTATCTCCTAGCCCTTCGCAGTCGCCCTTCCTTCGGCTTAGTAGGGTGAAGTTCGTGGAACTTCGCCAATATGTCGTCAGCTCCATCGACGTTCTCCACTGGTTCCCATGATACTGAGTCGTCTGTTCCTTCGTAACCTAACCACTCCACCAAGTACTCTAACTTTCCTGATCTCTTATTTACTCTAGAGTCTACAATGTCTTTTACCTCCCACGATTCCCCTACATTATCTACCTCTACTGGGCCAGGTGGTTCAGCTTGCTGACCAGGGAATACTGGAGGATGATAAGGACGGAGCAAGGAGACATGGAATACGTCATGGATACCTGCCATTGTTCCTGGTAGTTCCAATTTACAAGCATGAGAACCCACCTGCCGTACTACTTTGTACGGCCCACTTTGCTTAACATCTAACTTCTTCATTGGTCTCTTCGTCTTAATATTCTCTAACGACAGCATCACTAGGTCTCCTTCCACGAAGTTCGGCGTAGCCCGGTGTTTCCTATTGTATCCTTCGGCGTACCTCTCATTAGCTTTCTCAATTCCTTCAATACATTCTTTGTGTATTTCGGTTAAGTCTTTTACCACTACTGTAGCAGCAGGTACCTCAACCTCACTGGTCTTAATCTCTTCAGCCCACCGAGGGTGGTACCCATAGTTCGCATAAAACGGTGTCTTGTTTATCGCAGAATGGTGGGTGTTGTTATAAGCGAAGCTCGCTCGAGCAAGCAGCTTTGACCAGTCGTTTTGCTGATAAGAAGTGAAGATTCTAAGGTATAGTTCGAGGGATTGATTTGTTCGTTCGGTCTGTCCATCAGTCTGTGGATGATATGCAGTAGAGAGGTGTAGTCTTATCCCGAGACTATCGGTCAGGTTCTTCCAGAACTTCGAGGTGAATTTTGATCCCCTGTCCGATACTATGTTCTCTGGTAGCCCATGCTGGGCTACCACATAGTCCATTATCAGCTCTGATAGCCCAGTTGCGGTCAACTTCGTCGTAGTTGGGATAAAAACCGCCCATTTGGTCAATCGGTCCACTACTACCAGTATCGAATTATACCCATGGGAATTCGGGAGTTCTTCAATAAAATCCATCGAGATACTGGACCAAGGTTTCGTAGCCACCTCCAGCGGTTTAAGCTCCCCATGAGGTTTCTGCCTGTTAGTCTTCGCTCTCTGACATACCGCGCATCCAGCAACATAATCTTCGACATCCTTCCTTACTCCAACCCAGACATAATCCCTCAGGACTAGTTCAAGGGTCTTCGCCGAACCTGGATGACCGGCCAAGGCTGAGTCATGCCGCATCTTCATGATTTTTAGCCGAGCATCGGCGTAGTTTGGCACATAGGTACGATCATCGAACGTGAGGAACCCCCTTGAGCTCCATCCTCCACGAAGTATTAAGGGGGACCGCGAACTACGGCGTAACTCGGCGACCGACTCTGGTTCCTGTACGTTATCTTGACATGTCGGATGGGAGCACTCAGCACAGGTTACTCCCAATAGTTCTTCTCTAACCTCCTCCACCTCTTCGTCTTCTTGTATCCCAACTATCAAATCCATAGGATCAATGAGGTCGTTTTCTCGTACTTCCTTTGTACCCTGTAAAGCTCGAAGTAGGTGTTGTAACCCAGAGCTAGTGTCGTCAAGTTCGTCGAACTTCGGCAAGCCTTGAATGAGATTGCTCTTTTGCACCATGGTACTCCCTTTTCCCGAGTGGTAGTCCGCTCTTCTCGATAATCCGTCCGGCAGTGTGGCTTGTTTTCCTGGTCGATACACCATTTTGAACCTGAAGTTAGAGAGCTCTTCGACCCACCTACCCTGTCTAGGGCTAAGTTGTTTAGGTTCCATCCAATACGTCAAATTCAAGTGATCTGTGAGAACTGTAGTCTCTACCTGTAGCAGTAAGTGTCTCCTTCTTCTGAAAGCCTCAACGATAGCTAGTAACTCCTTTTCGCCTACCGTGTAGTTCAACTGCGCCGCCTGGAACGCTCCGGACTCGATAGCCACCGGATGTTCTTGCCCCAACTCGTTCACCTGCGAAATTATGAAACCCCAGCCGAAGAACGACGCATCTGTTTGTAGTAATGTCTTCAACGAGGGATCAAAGTGAGCCAATACTGGGGCCCTACACATCCTCTCCTTTAATTCCTTAAAAGCCCTTTCCTGTTCTACTCCCCAAACAAACGGTACATCCTTCCTGGTGAGATCATTGATTGGTTTAGCAATTCTGGAGAAGTTGGGGACAAAACGCCGATAATAACTGACAACTCCCATAAATCCTCTGCTCTCTCGCAAGTTCTTAGGACGAGGGAAAGACACGACAGCATCGATGTATTCCGGGTTACTGGAAATTCCCCTCTGTGAAACCACGAACCCCAGGAAGACTACCGAATCTCTCTCAAACTCGCACTTACTAGCTTTAACGAACAAATTCGACCTCTGAAGCACTTCAAACACCTTCGCCGTAGTTCCCCTCAGTTCTTCCAACGTTTGACCGTAGATGAGTATATCATCTATGTAGACTACTACTCCCTTTCCCAGCAGCTCTCGAAAACTTTCATTCAAGAAGTGCTGAAACACAGCGGGAGCATTCCGTAGGCCATCCCGGACAACAAGAGACTCGAACATACCGTACTGTGTCCTGAACGCTGTCAGGTGTTCATGACCTCCCTTTACTCGTAGGAGTTGATAAGCCCCAATTGGGTCTAACTTGCTGAAGTACCTCGCTCTTCCCAGCTCTTCGGTTATCTGGCCGATCAGAGGCAGAGGATAGGCGTCGGGTATCGTTGCCTCGTTTAACTTTCGGTAGTCAATGACCATTCGCCATTGACCTTTCGCCTTCTTCGGTACCAAGAACATCGGTGATCCGTAGGGCGAATTACTGGGTCGAATTCTTCCGGCCGACATTTCGCGATCTAGGATGTCTCTCAGCGCACTTCTCTGATCTTCTCCAAGCGAGTAGAGTGGAGCAACCTTCAGGTTCGCCCCCTCCTTAAGATCAAACTCCAAATCATAGCTCCTCGAGGGAGGTAATTCCTCACCTCCCTTCCTTGGGTTAAAGACATCAATGAACGAGTGGTATTGTTCAGGAACCACCTGATACAATTCCTCCTGTTCCTCCGGACTCAGTTCATCCTGATCATCTTTGTCTCGGAGATCTATCGCTTCCGTCGGAGTTGGCAGACCTATGGCCGCTAACTTCGCCGCACTTGGTGGGGTTGGGATGGGAAATTTCACCGAGTTGTCTCTTCCATCAAGGACAACCCCTTCCTTCCTCATCCAATCCCACCCTATCACAACATCTGCGTCGCAGAGCGTTGTTACATCGAGACAAACAGATCGCACTTCGGCGTCCTTCGTCAAACTAACACCGACTTCGACAAACTCGGTGATGGGTCCAGCGACACTCACCGAGCCGTCGAACATGTGAACGGGTACGCTCACCTGATATCGCCTCTTTTCTACACCTATCTTCGCTGCTGCCCTAGGGCTTATATATGAACAAGTAGCTCCAGTGTCCCAGAGCGTAGTTAGCTTTATTCCATTAATGAAAATGTCCGATTTAGGTTGATCTCTGGAAACGGAAGGGATGAGGAGATGATTATCGATATTGCATGAACAAGGGGTACTGAGTGGTGTATTTTTGTATTCACAATCCTCTGGCTCCATCAGCTGTGTTTCTTTTATGGGTTTGGGAATGGTGGCCGAGAGAATATGGCGGACCCGCCGAGCCTCGCCTACTGCGACAGGTCCTCTTCTTTTCCCTGGTCCTCTTCCAAATCTACTTCTCCTCCAACCGCATTCAAGTTCCTCCTTTGTCCGAGAGGTACTGCGTTCCCTCCCGATCCTCCACCACGTTCTCCGAACTTCTCCCCCCATGGAGGCAACAGTCCAACCTTAACCTTAGCCTCCCTTACAGGACATTCCTTCAGCCAATGTCCTGTTTCACCACACTCCGTACACTTCCCCTCTTTCCTCCTTGTCTCCCTCAGATCGGAGCTTGGCCTAGGCCATTTTCGGCGAACTTCGTCGATGTTCGGCGGCGCACTCCTTACCACCGTGGACGTCATGGCCGCTTGGACACCAACCTGCGCCGAAGGTTGTCCCTTTTCCCATTTCTTCTCTTCTTTCTTCTCCGTCCTCTGACTTTCCACCACCGTAGTCGTCTTTGCCCCCCCTTCCCTCTTCCTCTCTGCCTCCTTCTCCACTTGCCTCCTCCACAGGCGGTTGTCCAAGGGAATCACAAACTCCAATAGCTCCTTCACCGTCCCAAACGATCTACCATGTCTCGCAATTTCATCCAGAAGATGTGATTTTAGACCTTTCTTAGCTCGATCGACTAAGTTTCCATCATCAGACCACTTGAGTATCGCCACATGTCGTTGAAAGGCAGAGAAGTAGTCCGAAGCAGAGCCGGTTTGTTTAAGGTCGTTGAGTTGTCGGGCTGCAGTTCCTTCTTCATCTGGGTCGCCGAAGTTAGTCTTGAGATACTTGACGAACTGGTTGTGCGCCGTGAGGTATTCTGGGAGAGGCCGTTTAGATAGATCGGGTTGAACGGCGAGGAGGGGAGTTTCGCGTAAGTGAGAGATCATGAAAAAGACTTTCTTAGTGTCGTCGGGGAAAAGATGAGAGTTTAATTCGAAGTGTACGTCGCACTCGGACAGAAAGGCCGTCAACTTATTCCGCTCTCCTCTCCAGAAGTCTGGATTAGGCAACTTGATACCCTTCCGTTGTTCCCCAACTACGCTTGGAGTCGCCGAAGTTTGCCGTCCCATGGCGTACCTCACCCCTTCAGATATCCCTTCTGCAATTCCCCCTACTGTCTCCCTTTCCCTCCTCTGCTCCCACTCCTCCCTGCGCCTACGTTCTTCCATCATATCCTTGTTCATGTTTGCCACCATCTGCATCAAGGCTAGCATCACCCCTTGTGTCCCTCCTTCTCCGAAGTTCGTCCCACTTCCAGCGTTTTCTGGCCGCGGAGTTTGATCCGATCCAACTGGGGATCCGATAGGCGGGGGAGCATCGCCCGCAGGGGTAGGAGGATTAGAAGGTATTGGTGGAATGGACTCATCTCCTTGAACTGACCCCCCTACACTATCTTCCATCCCAAGGTCCTGTCCCATTGCTCTTCTAAGCTCCTCCAACGCTCTCCTCTCATTTTCCTCCATCCTGTCGTCACTCCTACTCATGCCTCGTGTGACTCTCCTTTCTGGTTCCATATTATCTTCGTACTTCTCCGAGGTTCGCACGGGTCGTCGGTAAGAGCGATCCTTGATACTGTCACGGCCGTCGAACAACTATTTCTTAATAGACCGACGGTCGACGAACCCCGGCTAACTTCACGCTCTGAGTCGATGTCTCACCCAACCAGGAGGGCGCAGACGTCGAAAGGGGTGTAACTACGGCGTACTTCGGCGTAGTTACTCTAACTAGGGTTTTGTTCTACTGATGGCGATGTATCTTGATTTATAGCTATCTCTATCGGTCTTTCACTACTGACAACAATCAAGGATCGCTGAAGAACTTCAGCGATCTTCTCAGCTAATATGACCTATCCCTCCTAGACGTTCATCCAACCCTCCCGCGCTTTGACGTACTTCAACGCACTTCGTCCAACTTCCCCGAACCCCGGCCATCCTCCTCCTCCTTCGACTAACTCCGCCTAATATCGCCGCACTTCTGCTCCCATTGTCCCTACCTAGCCTAACTCCGCCTAACTTCGCCGCACTTCTGCTCCCATTGTCCCTATTTACCCTAACTTCATCTAACTTCGCCGTCCTTGGTCTCAGAGGTCCTGAGTTACGTGTAGAGTAAAGAGGTTTGAGTCGTGATGGGGTTTTGATGGTCAAAGGAGGGTCGTTGTTGGTGGAATAATCGAGGTGTCACGACGTAGTTCGTGACAGAAAGGACGTATGAGGAAAAGTGGGGACATCTAGCAAAGAAAGAAACTCTCACAACTCACCGTCTTGGTAAACATCATATTCCTATCAAACAACGTCTTGGTAATCACACAATAACCTCGCATCCATATTCATATTCATCTCACAATCCTACAACAACAAAGAAACTTATTGATCGTATTACAAGTCTTGACAAGACACCCGCAAGTCCTGCTCAAGCGGCAGAGCAACACCGACAAGGTGTGCCACATACCGCTCGACTCCTGAGCAACACCCGCAAGGGTGTGCCACATAGAGGGTTACAGAAACCCACGTGAGGGAATTGAACTCATGACTTCCAGGAGACACTTCGTACCGGAGATACTCGACTGATAAGACATGAGAAATAATAAGAGGAGAGGGTTGTTGGAATGAATAGATGAAGAAGAAGACAAGGTGATGTTTGCGTGGAGTGTGAGAAAAATTTTCAGGGTCCAAGGACACGAGGGATTACGGAAATATAAAAGGTTGTTTGAGTGTGGCAGTAGGGTGTACGTGCAGTGTGATCGTGTCAAGGGGGGTGTTGAATGGTGACCCGCCACACTGCGGAGTTATAAGGAGTTAGAGCGTGGGAAAGATGACTAAGGACTACGTATCCCCTGGATGATATATATCTAGATAGTTCTTCTAGATAGTTCTCTATGATCTTATGAATCCATACTAGATCGTGAATTTCAACACGCCCGATGCATTTTCGCCACGAATCTTTCACTGCCACATTCCTTCCTCGACCTCTGTCCAACTCTTCCTTTCTCCCTCGTGACGATACATTGACCATGACTTCATAACGGCTTTACAGTACTTGACACTGTGAGGTTTCTACCTGAATAGACCCCTCATAATCACAGGGAGGATGGCACCTGTTGACGCTCGTCCGGGGAAGCATCCCTCATTTGCTGGGACTCTCACTCCTTCCTGGATTTTGTCTATGGTTCGAAGTCTACTACTGGACAGGCAATACTTTTGGTACCTCTTCTCTCTCCTTTTCGTTGGAGAAGCCCTACTAGGACTTCTCATTATCAACAAAGTAGCTTGTGAGTCTGTCTCTACGTTACCGAACAAGTCTGACAGTGGTAGATACCAAAATTGACTGGGTTGCTTATATGCAACAAGTCGATGGGTTCATTTTTGGTGAACGTGATTATTCCAAACTTGAAGGAGAGACCGGACCACTAGTGTGAGTCTCTCCCTCACTCAACTCAATCTCAAAAGCTTATGGATAGATACCCTGCCCTCCATTTATACATTTACGCGGCTCTACACCAACTGCTTCCTAACGACCGGGTCCGAGCGGCACAATACATCTTCCTCCTGGTCTACCTCGTTACTTTCACTCTGGTAGGGTGTATCTACTATTTTTGTGGGAGTCGAAATCGCCATATTCCTCAGATCTTATTGGTACCTCTGACTCTGAGTAAAAGAGCACATTCGGTTTACCTCCTCAGACTCTTCAACGACCCTTTGACGATGATACTGCTCTATGCGGCTGTGGTGGGGTTCATGTGTCGCACGACTACTGGATGGAGGGTAGGTTCTGTGTTGTTCTCTATGGCTTTGGGAGTCAAGATGAATATCCTTTTATTTCTTCCAGGTTTGTTGGTGTTGTTGGTTCAATATAGGGGAATCTTTGGGACATTGGAAAGTACGGCCATCATGGCTTCCATACAAGTACGTAACGTTATCGCTTCGCCATCACTTTTTTTCAGTTCATAGACGCAGGAGTGAGTGCTGAGAATTAGATAGTCACTGCTCTTCCTTTCCTTGCGCATGATTCATTGGCATACTTCAATAGTGCCTTCGACTTTTCAAGACAATTCTTATACAAATGGACAGTCAATTGGAGGTTTATCTCCGAATCAACGTTCTTATCCAAAGAATGGGCGACAGGTTTGTTAATGGGCCATGTGAGTGTTCTCAATCGTCCGACGTCGAATTCGCGATATTTCCAATTCAAAAACTTGTCGCCAAATCATTCGCATAGCCCCATTCGGACCCAGACATCGAGCTCACTCACAGCTGACAATCTTGATGATTTTTGCGGCCTATCGATGGGCGCCCAATCCAGTCACCCTACTACATCAAGCCTGCTCGACACCGTCAAGACCTCCCGTGCACACTCATGGGCTGTCTGCTTACCGTGAGTCAAACGACTATCGCTTGAGGTTTGATTTTTTGACAGACAGAGATACCTTTGGTACTATTCACCTCCAACCTAATAGGAATGACATTCGCCCGTTCGTTGCACTATCAATTCCATGTATGGTACTTTCATCAAATCCCACTGTTGCTCTATCTCGGTGGGGCTTGGGGAAACCCCATTCTCGGGTGAAAGGATTTTTTCTCCTTCACTAACAGACTCCAGCTGATACTTAGACCGTGTCTATGGATAATGATCGAGTACGCTTGGGCCACAGCACCCAGTACGAACTTTAGTTCCGGTATCCTCTTCTTTTCTCATATCGTCATGCTCGGTGGACTCCTCCTGCATACCAAGCCAATATTCAACGACCTCTCCTCATCTGAAATCACGCTCGCATCAACAAGAAGAGAAAACGAAGCTACATGAATCTTGAATGTCACACTATCACAAGTCTGTACAATCCCATGCAATACATCTATCATGATAATGTACACAAGCCTATGCACGTTGAGTGAGTAAATGTCCAGATCTACTCTTCCGGAGGTAACTTCACCCCATCTCTCTTTAACAAACCGCTCCACCAACCTTCACTCCATCTTCTCCTATCCCTCTCTTGTCGTTCTCCCCGCTTTGATGCATCCCAACCTGCTAACGTTCTCTCTGCTGCATCACCTTCGACTTGGGGCCCATCGCTTTCGACAGGGAGGGGATGAGCTTCCATTATGGCCGTCAAACCAGCAGCATTCTCACTTCTACTTCTTCCCCTCCTTCTTTCTCCAGCCGAAGGACCTTGCGTGTTCAGACTTCCAGAACGAAGCACGAACCCTGGACTAGCAGCACCTAAACCTATTGAGAAACCGGTAGGAGCACCTGGGGGTGCTAAGTCCGGTAAAAGAGTACCGTATCGCGGTCCACGTCTACGAGCCGTACGTGGAGAAACGGGATCGGTAGGAGAAGTAGGTGAGTCAATTTCCGATCGGCGATGACGGTCATACCCTTCCGCTTGGGCGAGCGCTGTATCCACATGAGGTAGGATGGATGCATGAGTAGAATGGTAGGTCGCGTCCTCTTGAGTTGACACAACAGAGTCAGGTTCATCGGTGTAAGGAGTATATGAATGAGCTTGAGAGAGTGAATGATCGAGAAGGGAAGAAGTTTCGGATAATTCATCTTCTACCCATGTCCCAACGTCCACGCCTTGACCAGGTTGGATGGTGGAGACGACCCAAACGCCGATGAGAAGGATGAGGACGCCGATAGAGACTAGAGCAATTTGGTGTGGTCGAAGACGATAAAACTGGTCATAGAAGACCAGGCCATCTGAGATCGATCAACCAAACACTTTCCACTTCAAATTTCGTTGTCGCCCGACGGATCATTTGACGAGGCGGAGGGGACAATATGATATCAAAATACTAGAAGGTTTGAAACAAATGGGATAGGTTAGAAAAGGGAAGACTTACCGAAGATTGACGACAGATTGAAAAAGCAGAATGCCAATGGACAAATCAAAGCTGGACTGGCGAACGTTAAGCTGTAATTCAGATAAACAAGTTGCAATAACGCCCCCACTCCTAAACCCGCTATCAATAGCCAACTTTGAGCTCGATTGAATTGATTCTCTCCTCTTCCTGTCCGGAAATGATCGATAGTGATGACTAACAACTCGACCGCAGCTTTGGCAAGGACGAGTGACATTCCTGATAATGTGCCTGAGGCAGCCGCGAATGCCAAGCCAGCCAATGTACGTGTTCGTTGTTGTGCGTCGGAGAGTGTGGAGTTTGGGGATGCGTCGGGGGATAGAGAGAGCGGAGAGGTATCGGCAAAACGAACATGTTTTGGGTCGTGATCAGTGTTATTGATATCGTTCGAAGGGGATGATGATCGAGGATTATAATCGGTATAAGATGGATGAGTTGGGATGGTGGATGTCTGAAGGGAAATGGGAGATGACCATCGACGAAGATTAGAAGTTGGACGGAAAGGGATGGCAGGTGGAGAATATGGCGATGCGTAGTTACTCGGTGGAGAAGATGATGGAGGGGTTTCTTGATCTTCAAGACGGATACGACCTTCTTTGTTGAGATGTCTATTCATTGTCCATATTGCGAAATGTGCCTGTCATCAGCTCAGTTGTGTTCATACATTCCTCCCACCCAAGCTGGATGAAAGGAGATAGGACGAATCATTGAAACACGTCAGGTTGAGTGTGGATGTGGAAGGTGGACTCACCGTCAATAAGACACCAGCAGTGGCCACTCCTTGAATAGTGAAGAAAGCTACAAAAGCCGGACGACGGAACAACACCAATAGTTCATCCAGACCATGTTCACTTTCCTGAACGACCCCGAAAACAGCAATGAGCACCGCACCCACAGTCACCAAGGCAGTTCCTACTATACTGGCAGGACCAAAGGTATCTCCCAATACTGTCCTGGCCAGCAGGGCGTTGAAGATCAGACTGACAGCTCCGAGAGGGGCGAGGATGACGATGGGTAAAGCGTCTAATTGAAAGATCGTAGAAAAGATATTTGATGTGATATATATTCCAAAGCCTAGAAGCCAGAGTGGACGACGTATAGGTCGTTTACGTTGACAAGGTGGAGCACATTCGTCGATGAGATGAGATTTACGTTGAATGGTGAGACCTATTGATTGAATGAAAGAACAGAGAAGACCGACGATGATGGCGATAGCCACTGGGATACCCATGCTGTCATGGATGTAGAGGCACAGAGGTACTCTTCGGGAGAAAGTGTATAGTAGAGATAAAGGGTGATACTGTAAGTGAGTGGAGTGAGTGAGTGATTGTGGAGAAGGAGGTACGAATTGAAAGGATGTTGATGGTTGGAAACGTAGAGAAGAAATCGTTGTGATCTTTCAGACACCAAACCTTAACAACACGATCGTTTCGACTTTATCTCTGCATCTTGTGCATCATATCCAGGCTCGAACCGGCAGGCGTCGACCTGAAACTCGTGTTACTATATCCACGCCCTCTACCCTTTCTACTCGTACGGACTTTCAACCTCAAGGCGACGGATCGTCGAAGAAAACAATGATTTCAACCTAGCTATCTGGTCAAGCTGCTCTTTCTCGATTCTCACTCCAAAATCAAGTTGAAATGCAATCAAGCGTAATAAATCACTTGGTAGCGGAGTGCAAGTACTCTGTAAATTCGAATACAGCATATATGAAAAAATATCCATTCCACTTTGTGAGCACTACCTTCTCTCTTCATCATCCACGCGATAAGAATCACAAATGAGATTGCTCAATCTTCACCGAAAGTAATCTACCCTTCACAAAGGAAGGGCAATATACTGACCTACATTCATCAAAAATGCCTTCCAGGTCATTATTGATCTTCGACCAACAGATCGAACTTTCCAACTATAAGACGGTTTGATGGACACGCTGAAAATCGAATAACCCTAAGACGAGAGGTCGACGATATAAGGAATGTCTGCTTTAACTAGATCCAGGGCATTTACAGCTCCATCCCTCTCATCTGGACTCATTCCTGTCACCCTGCCCGAATTACCATGCTCATGTCTCCCGCCTCGACCGCCCGTGCCATCCTACGGTTATCGTGTTGATGAGTACATTCAAAACCACAGGGTTCAGTCGTCCCTTTCTCCCAGCGACAGCGGTACTCCGAGCCATATTGCCGACGTGAACCTGGACTTAGGAGATCCAGCGCGACTAGATTCTCCAGATAGTGAAGTCCGGTCAATAGAATTTGGGCTCGATACTCGTGTCAACGTGACTGCGGAAGTCCCGGAATTGGCTTCGTCCGCTCTCACCCAAGCTCGAAGTGTGACACAAACTGTAGACGACCAGTGGTACGAATCAACCTTGGACCTGCAGAGCATAGGGGAGGATCTCTTTACTACCTATAAACAACGTCGTTCCGAGTTAAGAACTATGCTCCGTACCGCAGATTCTATCCTCAGTCGGTCAACACTAGGAGACCATAATACATGGTTGCGATTTCGTCAAGTCAGCGAGGCTGCCCAAAGTAGATTGAGATCGTTGGACGACCTCATCTACGATCGGTCACGGCTCCGAAGTGGTCGAGGACAGGCAACATCGTCCCGGGCCACAAAGCCATGGAGACGATGGTATTCTTTTGTCAAATCGCACCTTATAATGTGCCAACTTTCCCGGGACACACTTGAAAAGTGTATTCAACAAGTGGATAATGAGCTTGCCCGCAGTACGGCTGATGAACCGTTTCCACAACATCAACTCCTCAGCTCGTACATTACAGAAATCTGACATACAATGACGATATTGACCCAAATGTGGAAAGCTTGAAACACTGAATATACGTAGGTCCAGCGTTCGATTTCCTTTCCCCTCTCGCCCATCGATCATCAAGATGAAGCGATTACTCGTAACGCGAGAGAATGTCAATGACGATTATCTAACCCAATGGCAAACACAATGTTAAGGCTGGCGTGATTTCTTTGGGTTCACTATGGAACTGGTTCGAGTTCTCAATATACTCGGGTGTCGTCCGGAGAGATACATACTGACCTGTTCTTCTGGGACACACGTGTACTGAATCGTATGCAGTATCTATGAGACGCTCCTAACATGACTAAAGTGCCCGGAGCCTGATTCAAACGGTCCATTAGCTCGCTTCGTCTGACACGATCTTTCGTCCGTTCATGTACGTTATGGTATCGGCGGTACGTCTATATCACCTGGTCTTCACCATTCCTTTGCACTGGCAGTTAATGTTACTTATACTACGTACAGTGTCACTAAGCACACCGATGATAAATGGATGAAAGAATCTTTGCTATCATCATTTGATTCAGTCCACAAGACATCGACCGTCGCCGTGGGAGGAAAAATCTAGTCGAATCTCATATCACACAACTACAGTATCTGTTTTTCCTTTCCCCTCCTCCTCGGTCTTTAAAACATTTGACTCGCTAGAGATTTCCCACGACGCAGAGATTATTCAGACTCAAGGATCCTGAAAGGAGTGAGTCATATCGATTGAATGGATTTGCACTGATCAATTTAGCTTGGTGAGCGGAGAACGAATTTGTCATCGAGTTTGAAATTGCGGATCATCAAAATAATCATATCTCCTGTCCGTTCTCATGGTCGAAAAACAAAAACTCACCTCCCGATAGACGATAAAGAATACAAATCCCTCCTATCCCTCCAGTCCCTCCGAACGTCGACTATCGAATCGAGAAGATTGCAGTAATTCAGACTTCACTCTCATGTCATCCTCGCAGACCTCCATTCCTTACTGGCATATTCATCCTGCGACCCTGTCAAATCTTGGAGAACTTTGGGAAGGAGCGCTCGAGACTCTCTCGCCTCTTCCGAACAATCTTGAGGGTTTGAATAATCCAGGTACGTTCGAGGCCTATAACACACTAAAGGAAGAGATCACATACCCATGGAACACCCATACTGAGGCAAACCTAACAGAACTAGAGCGGATCTATCAAGCGGAACGACTGGACAACCAGATTGCCGACATACAACTCCAACAGGAGGGAGAAGGGGAGACACAAGTTTCTGTACCTTCTATCACTCCAGGCTACCGAGTAAGGCTACTAACCACACAATTAAGAGTACTTCTTCACATGTTGAATATCACGAGACATTTCAGGTCTTCTGATCATTCCAAGTCTTGGGGTAATCCCTCTGAGTGCGAGGCTTGTTTGCCAATGTTCAAAATCTTGAACCAAGCTATGCATGTTCAATCATACAATAGGGATTCTGATCCGGGGTCACGTTGAGTCACACCGGCGGTTATTGATGGGTCGACTGAAATATTGTAGAAATTGGATTACTGATGTCACGCTTCAACAGGATGATGAGTACAGGTCGCTTCACATGATGATCTACAGTACGAACGTGTGATAGTTGAGGATTATGCATGTTCCGAATGGGGGACAAGTCTTCTGACATACAGACTTTCTTGACAAGTAACTCAACCCGAGACGTCTCCTATCATTGACGAACGATCGTCACGAAATTTCCTTTCCTCCCCGATCATGGTCAAAAACTTAGAATACTTTCCCAAATTCTCTACTTTCATCTTCATCATTGACATAATCTATCCTGTCCACACTCCTTCCGCGTCTCCTCAATTATCCCTGTCTTCACTCAATCACCACGCATTTCAATCAATATTCCCATGTCATCCCTTCGACACCAACCTAACCCTCCTTCTAACTCTTCACAACCCTGTAGATCATTCACAACCCTAACCTCTCTCGCCGGTACCTCTCGTGTAGTCTTTAGAGTTCACACTCCTCAATCAACCTCTCCTCTTATATGGACAGGTCTTCTCTCTTCTTCTGGTTTTCTATCACCTAATGCTCATCTCGCTATATTATCACCTTCATCTTATCTCACTCTCATACCACACAGAACTACTCTGGTGGACAATAGTTATGCAAGACATACGATGATGGATCATATCCTTCAAAAAAATAGACAATCATGTATTCATGTGAATAGTCCTGTTGAATTATTACGAGATACACCAGAGGATGATAAGACACCTTGGATATCAGCTTCAAAGGATTTGATTTGGTGTTTGTGGGAAGTAGCTAGGAGATTGGTTCGTGGTGAAGAAGACGTCGAAGTGGCTGTCATATCTATTACTCCGAATGTTGATAAAGCAAAAGGATTACATCTTTTTCATCCTAGTGTCGACTCGACGTTTACCTCACACATCAACAGATCAAGACAAGAATTCTCAGAAGAGCAAATGAGAGTGAAACGATTGGAAAGAGATCAACCACCACATATGTACCACAAACCCATTCAAACGACCAGTCCACACGAAGGCGGTAATGATTCAAAACCGACGGGAAGAGATGGTCGGAAAGACGGGAAGCATGAGGACGAGGAGAAATCTCGAAGAAGGACGGTGGAGTCGAATCAAGTGAGAGGAAGAGAAATTCATGTGTTTCCTTCTCAGTTATTACTTGAAGGGAAAAGAGGAAGTAACGGAATGTCCATTTCGTTGAGAGAAAATTTCGATATGGCTCGTTTTGCCGCGCAGAGTAGTTGCGAAGTATTATTCTTTGGAAGAATCTTCGCTGAGAGTATCATGGATAATTTAGAATTTACCCTGCAGGTGAGTAAATTGTCATTGTCATCGTTTTGTCATGAATCATGAGTTCCTACGTAGGGTATCAATTATCATTGGAAAAATGATGTACGAATCGAGTAATTGATGAAGAATATGACAGAGGGAAAAATAAAAGGAAGGAAAGAAGGTCGAGCTGACAATTTCAGGACTTACCTCTTTCCCTCCCACCTCTTTTCTTTCATCCTCAATTACCATCACCACTTCAACCTGACCAAATCAACCCAACACTTTCCAAACCATACAACTCAGCCAATGTTCTCAAACGAGACAAACCCTTACATATCCCCATCCCATCCCGTTTTCAAAAGAAATCTCATTCTTCAACCAGCGGTCAAAGTCGGATTAGTTGGCTAGAAGATCTGGTATGGGATCCTAGAGTGGATGATTATAAGACATGTTTACAGAAACTCCGACGCAGGGCTGGAGAGCTCGAACGACCTAAAGTGCGTCATGTGAAAGAGGACGATACTGCCGGAGGGTGGTGATACCGTAGGTCGACATCATCTCACGGAAAACCTATACGTTCCCTTCTCTCTCAGAGTTGGGATCCTTTTTTGAAGGTGAGAGCGTCACATGAGGAGATGAAAAGAGAAGTCAGGAGGTAATTAATATCGAATTAGAAGTTCGAGTCAACAGGAATGTCCGTCAGCCCAAGTGAGTAGTGAAAGACAACAGAGGTTCTCAAAGAAATTAGCAATCATATATGATATCTGCATAAACCCAGGTTTATCGTCTCACAATCCTCATGTGATCTAATTAGTAATCACCTCAAAAATACTTTTATTTCATTCCTTTACTGTATCCACATTCAACGTCGGTCTACCTTCTCCACTTCCTGATCTTCTTTGCGGTGGACCAGAATTTCCTAAATTGGGACTACCCACAGGACTACCATTCCGATCATAACTTCCCACTCCTCCGACATATTGATTTCCACTCATATAAGGACTCCCACTTTGACTGATATATGGAGTGCTACTCGCACTGACAAATTGACTTCCACCCAAATAAGGGCTTCCTCCAACGTACGGACTACTGGTTCCGTATGGAGAGCTAGAGCTGCTAGATCCTGCAGTACTAGGTAACAATCCTACGCCCTGTGCTTGAGTAAGACCGAATTTATCTCGTAGATCTGTCGTGGAGGGTTGACGGGAGTGAACAGAAGAAGAGGAAGAACGGAGTCCTATGAGGTTCATAACGCTTGAAGTACGTGATGGGGGTTCGGGCTGTCCGAGGATAGGAGCTGAGGTGGAGATGGGAGATCCGGGGTTCGCAACTTGAATCCGGGTCGTAGGTGAGGAAGGAGGTGATGGAGCGTTGTACATATATGTGGCGAGAAGGACGATTGATGATCCGACGACGAATGCGACTGTGATGGGATAAGAGAAGAGAGCGACGGAGGCGAGGAAGGAGATGATAATGGATAATGATGTGGCAAAGCCTTTCCTGAGAACGTCAGCGGCGATCATGACAGAAGAGGAACTCATGCATGTACAAGCTCAACACCAAACTTCAAAAGTCCACCGGCAGCGACACGATAGAATTTATGTGAACGAGAAAGGTAAGAAGCTCACATGATGTTGTCCGAATAACGGATCACAATAGCCGTGATCAATCCTCCAAAAGTCTGGGTCAACACGGTTCCCACTGCCCACCCATTGAAATTGGCAAAGCTCCCTCCCACTCTTTCCAACCAGCTAGATCCTTCTGGCCCACGGGCAAAGAGAATCGGCACGGCTGCGGGAACTAATGAGAAAAAGGATAGCTGAGTATTCCGTACCCACAGATCGGGCGCGGGCCCAGACCCGGTCTGAGTTTTCAAGATGAATTCGAAATACACGCCGGCTAGGCCGGAAGTCATACAAGCCAAAGTGACTGCCATGAAGCCTCTCAAAGGGTGCATCACGCGTTCGGAATTCAGCTGAGGAATGTCGGAACGGAGTTGATTTCCTTTCGATATCTGTACGCCTTCGGTCTGAACGATAGGCGATATGTGTGAAGGTGCGGCTGTAGATTGTATTTGAACTATACCGACTCCAGCTGCAAGGAGAATAAGGGACAGCCACTTGCCCTTACTTAAACGCTTCCTAAGCATGAGAACAGAGAAGAAGGCAGTTGTGAGGATTTTCATTTGATAGGTAACCTGAAATGTTGCGACGTCGAGATTGGATGCTGCCACATATTGGAGATTATTTTGTATGACGTAGAGAATCGCGGGGACTGAGAGTTTGTAGCAATCGGGTGAGAGAACGGATTTGGTTAGATTTCGTATTCGTGAAGGGTGTAGCATGGTCGGAATGAATGACGGGAATGAGGAAGGAGGGCGAGGATCTTCTCGACGATCTTCTTTTTCTGACCAGCTGAGAGATGAAGGAGCGGAGAGAGTTGCGTCGATACGTTTTAAAGCGATCAAGACGGATATAGCACCTTTGAGGAGTTCGTTAAGCAGGACGGCTGTGGCGGCAGAGTAGGTTCGTGAGGGAGCGGTCGATATCCGTGAATAGTGCATAATGATAGTCAAGAAGGCGTTTTGTAAAGCAAGCGTTATCAGTCTGTCCTCGTCAGCATTGCAAAGAGGGACCCAACCACATCCGAGCTATGGAACTCG